GATCGTCTCCAGGTCCTGGAGCCCTTCCAGCCCTGGGATGGCAAGGATGCCAAGGACGTGCCTATCCTGATTAAGGCCAAGGGCAAGACCACCACTGACCACATCTCCATGGCTGGTCCCTGGCTGAAGTACCGTGGCCACCTTGATAACATCTCCAACAACATGTTGATTGGTGCTATTAACGAGGCCAACGATGAGGCCAACAAGATCAAGAACTTCACCACTGGCGAATGGGATGCTGTTCCCGCAGTTGCCCGCGACTACAAGAAGAAGGGTATCAAGTGGGTTGTCATTGGTGACTGGAACTATGGCGAGGGTAGCTCTCGTGAGCATGCTGCTCTGGAGCCTCGTCACCTGGGTGGCCTGGCCATCATCACCCGAAGCTTCGCTCGTATCCACGAGACCAACTTGAAGAAGCAGGGCATGCTTCCCCTGACTTTCGCTGAACCCGCTGACTATGACAAGATCAAGCCTGATGACAAGGTAAGCTTCTAACCCTTTTTTATAGCCGGATTTTATTTTCTGCCAATTAAACGGTGGATACTAATAAACTATATAGGTTGATATTCCCTGCACTGAGCTCGCCGTTGGAAAGCCTCTTATCATGACCGTTCACCCCAAGGACGGCAAGCCTTTCGAAGTGAAGCTGCAGCAGACTTTCAACGAGGCACAGGTTGAGTGGTTCAAGAACGGAAGCGCCCTGAACACCATGGCCAAGATGACCAAGAACTAGAAAGCGAAAAGCTTTTTTTTTTTCTTTTTTTTTAAAAAAAATAATGAACATGGCACTGTTATAAAGGTCCATGATCTCATGACAAGCCAAGAAGCGAGAAAGAAGCCGTTGAAAGAGTCTATCGAGCTCAGATGCGTTGGAAGTCATTGTATGCTTTTAAGTCAACTGTGTATGTAACTTTTGGTGACCACATCTAGTATATAACAAGGAATAATAAAAAAAAAAACGTTAAATCCGAGGCACTATATATATGTATTATCCGCCGTATCTATATTTATACAGCCCTGACGCAGTAGCTTGCGCAACAACATGCTGGATGCGATTTATTGTAAATGCACTACGAAGTGTTATGTACCTTATTTTTCGTCAACACACCTTGCGCCTAAAGATGCACCTTACCTAATTCCGTAATGTATCTGCGGAGTTCTACCTAGCAGCACTGCAACACCCCCTCTAAGCCTGGTTTGGTCTTCCACCTTCTAGCTACCTACAACATGCACATGCACGCAATGCACAGATAAATCCTATGCAGCTCTGATTTCAGCTCTCGACCGCCATCCGTCGCCTCATCCATAGCACCGATTATCGTTCGTCTTTCCCTGCCGAATCAAGCATGAAACGCCTGGAAACATGGATACAAATATTCAGCGGGCGCTGAATGACAAGCTATATGACAAGCGTAAAGTTGGGGCACTTGAGTATGGCACAAGTCCTGCCCAACTGTTGATGCACTGCTCCCATATACATTGCTTACTCTCGCTATATGCTCTAGACTTGAGAAGATAATACGAGACCTTGTTGCTTCCGGATCGTTCCAGCGCGTTGAAGATATCCTTGAACAGTTATGTAATGGTTATGCTTATGCTGTTCATCAGCCACATGCTCGAAATGGCGGCTTGATTGGTCTGGCCGCAGCGGCGATTGCGCTTGGCACGGTATGTTCAGCTTTTCGTGCTAGCTCTTGTGTTAGCTGCACGAGGGTATATTGAACGCTTAGTCTTCAGACTTGCCTGTTCTGCCGCGTGTCAAATGTGCCGTCCTCTGTTCGATTTATTGATCTTTGCACAAGTCAAGGCTTTTATGTTTGTTGGTGCCACTACTAACCCTTTTAACAGGAACTTCCTCGCTACCTTGTAAACATTGTTCCTCCCGTGCTTGCCTGCTTCACTGATCAGGATGCGAGAGTCCGATACTATGCATGCGAGGCTATGTATAATATAGCCAAGGTAGCCAAGGGCGAGATATTGGCTTATTTTAACAGCATATTCGATCAGCTATGTAAAGTATGCTTTCCCGCTGCCTTCTTATGCTGTGTGTGTGTGTGTGTGAGAGAGAGAGAGAGAGAGAGAGAGAGAGAGAGAGAGAGAGAAGATAAATGGTTGAGAATGACTGGTTAACCGATGAACTTTCTTATAGCTTGGAGCGGATTCAGAATTGTCGGTCAAGAACGGAGCTGAGTTACTGGATCGGCTTATAAAGGACATTGTATCCGAGTCTGCTGCATCCTATATTTCAGTCTTGGAAACTTCTTCGAGCGTCGGAGATAATACAGCTGCAGATGAGCATCAGCAAAACTTACCTACGGCATTCTCATTACAGCGCTTTATCCCACTGCTCAAAGAACGCATTCACGTCATCAACCCGTTCACTCGACAGTTTCTTGTAGGCTGGATTACACTTCTAGACTCAATCCCAGATCTAGAATTGGTAACATACCTCCCGGAATTCCTCGGCGGGATCCTCAAATTCCTTAGTGATCAAAATGTCGACGTTCGCGTGGCTACACAAACTTGCCTTGACAAGTTTCTCAACGAAATCAAGAGAATCTCCCAAGTCAAAAGAGGGCTAGTGGAGAATAAGAGATTCAAAGAAGGCGGTAAAAGGAAGCGTCAGGAGTCTATGGACAGCACCGGCGGTCGTCCTCATCTGGATGAAGGAGATGAGCTCGATTCTGATGCTTTAAATGATGATGATGAGGACAGCCTGGAAGAAGACTGGATCCCCGGACAGGATGTAGAAATCAACTATAAAGAAATTCTGGATATTCTTACAGCCACTCTTGATTCCCCATTAGGTTCGTTTATTTCTTCTGGTTTATATCCTTTTCATTTCATGTTATGTACTGATGATGATCAAGAGGAGGATTGCCTACTCGAGTCGCTCAGATGGATTGTTGAGTTTCTTGATATCTGCCCTGAAGAAGTGCTACCTTTCACACCCAAGATCTTAGCCCATATGCTCCCGGCAATGGCCAGCACCAAAGAGACCATTCGCCTTGCGGCGACTAGAGTCAACACTTGTCTCATGGACTATGTGGTTTCTTTGTCAGATGAATCCGATGTCAATGCGACGCAGGCAGCAGCTTCGATGAACGTTCGGATGTCTTTGTCACAAGAGAAAGGGGATAGCAGCAGCGTCGGTCGAACATCTCTATCAAATTCCAGAGATATCGAAATCCGTAGCTCAACGCCGGGAAGTGGCCGTGTGTCTTCCACTGCAGTCGCCACGCCTAATGCAAACCAAATTCAGACCAATCTCGACTATACTGCGGCTGTTAATTCGCTTACGTTGCTTTTCCTAAACGACCACGAAGCTACCCGTGTAGCTGCTCTAACCTGGCTCATCATGCTGCACCGAAAGGCCCCACGCAAGGTATTGGCCTTCAACGACGGTACCTTTCCAGCACTTCTCAAGACCCTCTCAGACCCTTCTGATGCTGTCGTCACTAGAGACTTACAATTACTGTCTCAAATTTCTCGCAATAGTGAAGATGATTACTTCGCTAGCTTCATGGTTAACTTACTGCAGCTATTCTCTACAGACCGTAAATTATTGGAAACTCGAGGTAATCTTATTATTCGGCAGCTTTGTATCAGCCTCAGTCCAGAGCGCATATACCGAACGCTGGCCGATTGCATCGAAAAGGAAGAAGATGTTGAATTTGCTAGCATAATGGTGCAAAATCTTAATAACAACTTGATTACTGCACCTCAATTAGCAGAAGTCCGCAAGCGTCTGAGAAATTTAGAAACAAAGGTATGAAGCCAAGTTAATCGTNCCCCCCCCCCCCCCCCTTTTTTTTTTTTTTGTATTCAAGCCTTCAGATGAGTGAACGTCACCCACTGACGAGATATACAGGACGGTCAGACTTTATTTGTGGCCCTGTTCAGATCATGGTGCTACAACGCAGTTGCAACGTTCTCTTTGTGTCTACTGTCCCAAGCTTATGAGCAGGCATACAACCTGTTACAAATTTTGTGAGATCTCTTGATAAAGCCCCTATGAGCTGGGTACTTACACTTGAATAGTGGTGAATTAGACATGACAGTCAACATGTTGATCCAAGTCGACAAGCTTGTTCAGCTTATTGAATCGCCCGTATTCACTTGTGAGTCTTCCATCCAGCTCAAGTTTATTGATAGATGAGTGAGCATACACCTTCAATTTTCCAACTAACGAGAGACAAAACAGATCTGCGTCTGCAACTACTAGAGCCTGAGAAATACCCGTACCTCTACAAATGCATGTATGGGATTCTCATGCTTTTGCCGCAGTCATCTGCGTTTGCTGCATTAAAAAATCGACTCAACAGTGTCAGCTCAATTGGGTACCTGCAAATTGCCCCACGAAGGTAAGATTGATGCACAGTCTGGATATTCAACTTGGAAGTGGAAGACTCAGCAAATGTCTAACGAGCAACAATGAGTACAGTGTAGCAGGTGCGGCGACGTCGTCAAATTATGACCGGCCGAACAGACTGAAGGGGCGAGAAGACGGGGCAATACGATGGGTTGAGCTTTTGGAAAAATTTCGCAGCGTCCAAGACAGGGCAAGAAGAAGTCAACGACATAGTGTTGAGATAGAAGACACGTTCTCGGCTGGGATCGGCGAATTTCGCATAGGAGAAGCATCACCAGAGGGGAAAAACAGAGACAGCACTCGAGTAGGGCCTCCTGGACCGCCTGTGCCGTTGAAAGAGCAAGTCCCGGTAATCTCCCCACCACCTGTTAAAAAATCAGGGCTTGGAAGGCAATTTGGCAGATTGGGGGGCGCCGTGTCAGGGAAATCCCGTCGAAATCAGTAGATGCCTCGGGAATAGTTTTAAAAGAGAATGAAAGGAAGCGCGGCAACGATCTATTCGATAACGAAGCCGATGACTTTTGACTTGGGCGCTATTGTTCAATTATGAGAGTTCAGTCCACATTTTACTTATAGTTAAAAAAGGCTGCCAGCTTCCAGTACCACTTTAATATATGATTAACAATGGTCATAGATTGCTGGTAGTTGCGTTAGCTTATGGTCCAATGACATCGGATTTTGCTAGTAGACTTACTCTTGTGAAAGAGCAGCAATGTGCTCACTGAGCTCTTTCATGTGAAACACTAGGGTATGGTATCGCTGCTCCAATTCGATCACATCTCCGATGGTTAAATAAGGCGTCACGACGGATGCACCGAGAGCCGTAACGCGGTCATGGAGATCGGGAAGCTGTGCAGACACGGTCTTTATCCTTCGCTGCACATCCAGATTTTGCTTGGCCAAATCTGAGGGCGGCTTATAGCACTCGCTCTGTAGCGTATGGAGCAACTCCTCAGCTGCCTCAGCCTCTCTCTGGAGGTGGCGCTCAAAGGCATCAACTCGGGCTGCCGTCTGCTCAGCCCCGTAAATCGAGCTCTGGAGGCGAAGCATCAGGCTGCCCAGATGATCGGGATCAGGGTTGGCAGTGGCAGCCTCAGAGGCCACTGTGGTGAGTGCATCCAGAGCGCTGGCCCCATCTTTGGGTAGACTGTGCTCTATTGCGTCGAGCAAATGGCCCTTTGTAAGAAGGGTTCCGTTGGGAGAAGTGGCTGGCTCGGCCTTGTTGTGAGCGGCGGTTAGTCCTTGGAGAGCAGTCGCGTCCACTCGGGCAAGGAGGCGGCGTTGGTCGTCAGCCGCTTCGTTTAAGGATACGAGAGCAAGGAGCGCCTTGAGGGTATCCTGGTTTCGCTCAAAAGACGGCAATGAAGTTTTCCATGCAGGGGATTTGGACGCAAGCCAGGCATCGACGTACGACCAGTCACGGGCAGTAGATGCGGCAATACGGGCAACGGATGGCGAGAAAATAGCTGCTGAGTTATCAACCAGCCTATGAGCCATAGCCTTGTATTTTCCTTCGACGTCTTTTTCTCCTTTTTTCTTCTTTTCTTTCTCTTTTGACCCCCTTTTCCACCGAGCACTATGTCGGGTGCATAATGAGATGCAGAGGGAGAGCCGCAATGCCCCAGGCACTGCTGCTGATGGTGGCATGCAGCTTACACTACGTCACAAATGCTTCTTTGCACAAAAAAAAGAAAAAAGGAACAGCACATATGAAATGCAAGATAGCACCCACACAAATATTACTATAAACAAGAGCTAATACTCATTTATTATTTCAGTAGAAAGATCTATCGATATATTAATATCCAGTTTATCCAGTGACTTTATCTTTGTCTCAAAAAACATATGGTGGCGTATACGATGCTATTCTTTTCGTCCTGCTAGTTTTTACTTTTGGCCCATTTATCTGCAATTATCTTCATAACGTCCTTCTGCTGGCTGTCTGGGTTCTCGATTCGAACGATCTTCATTTGTTCTTTAACAAACAGCTGGTAGTCACTCAATTTACCAGCGGTCGAACCTTGCCGCGGTGCTGGTTTTGTCTGCTCAAGTAGAGCTTTGCAACTGCCACATCGATGTCTCTTGGGGTCAATGCTCTTGGAGTGGCGCTTATACTCACAGCTGCATGCTGTGCAAGCCCATACATATTTGAAGTCAATTTCATACGTATGTTTGGTGGTAACCTTGATGCCCTGTGAGCCAAATAGTTTGGAACACTTTGCCGCCCAGACCTTGAACTCTTTCCCATGAGGGTTATCTTTGATACCATTGATCATGAAGTTGGCCAAATGGCAAAATTCATGCGCTAAGACATTAAGCAAGCGCTGCTCGTCATCGATAACCTTCTCGGCAAGCTCAATCGATGAATGGTGTCGATACTGTTTCACCTCCACACCAACGCCGTCCTTTGTTTGCTTAGAGCTCACCGTCTCTCGCTTCCAGCTTGCTCGGCCAGCTGTTGTCTTGAGAGTCTTGCTCCACACAATCTTGACTCCTCCAGTTGTCTCAGTCAATTCTCCAATTTTGCCATCCGTGATTTGGGTGTCAAGTTGCCGGAGAAAATCTGTCGCCAGCTGACCTTTTTTCGCATCAAACGACTTTTTGGTTTGCTTTTTCGGAGAGCTCGTTTTTGGAACTTTAGACTGGGTGGGGGTGGGTTTACGAGGAATATGCGGCTCATACTGGTCGTCGTCAGACTCAAGATCCCGAGCATTATCGAATTCTAGCTCTCGCGAAATCCTGATGTGAAGCGCTTCATCGGCTGATCTTGGATCCTTCTGTTTGTCGTTTCTAGGAGAGATGATAGGAAGATTTCGTAACGTGTCTCTTTCTAGCGATTCTTCAAGATCCAGTTGAAGGTGTGAAAAGGGATGAATTATATTTTGACGACCCTTGTTCTCAGAAGATTGTCGCTGAGAGTTCGGCCCCACGGTCTGGAGAGGGCGCACAGATCGGTTACGAGGGTGTTGTGTTAACGGTTCTTCTTGATTATCGTCAGACAACCCTTCGTTTGTGAGAAAATGAGATCGACGTAATCTCAATGCCGAATAATCAGAGTTCAAGAGTCGAGTTTTCGATCCAGATTTGTTGGTAAAGGGAGTTTCGTCAGGCAGTTTTGAAGGCCCTCGAAAACCTCTTACTGATTCTGTCGACTCCTTTCCCGAAGCTAGATTGTCGCCATGTTTCTGCTTGAGACGTGACTGAAGGCCATTTTCTCTCTTTCCAGATTTCTGAGGGTGTATAAAGCTGCTTCTGGGCTGAGGCGCTGTCTCCTCGTCAAAGATACCATCATCGGCGTGATCAAGGGATGACTCCCATTTCTTCCGTATCGCTTTTCTAGTAAAGGTTGGGATGGCGCGTTTAGGTGTTGTGTCTTCTGAGTCGGATATTAAGTCGATAATTTCGGGTGTTTGTACCTCCAAATCGTTGAGCCGCTCTGCTGACTTGGTTATAATTACACTGCTCTTCTCAAGGCTGGATATTAACCTTGGCTGCGAATATTTGGGCTGCGTGTGATTCGGAGAGCAAGTCAGAAGGTTGTCTAGGGTCGGTAATTCATCATCGTCACTGCTAACATAGAAATCAGCTGCACTGATAGGAGCCATATTCAAAATATAATATTGTAGCGAAGTTACAACGCCAAGCTGCTCTCATTGCAGTGACATAATAGCGTTTGTTTACTTCAGTTCAAATCGGCAACTGGATGCCGAGCAACAGCTGCTAGTAGCGCCCTAGTAGCTGGTTCACATTAAAGCGGGGTGGCTACATGTGCCTGAAGAATACACGTGCCAACGCCAACATCGGGGATAGGTGCTGGAGAGAGCAACGGCATGATATTACTGAGCTAACTACTGTTGAATGGATTCAAAGTGATTCTAGAACGGTTCCAACTATGCCGCGATTTGCTGGTTTTCACTCGTATTTTGTTCATTTTAGTTTTTTGCTCGGTGTACCATTACAGAAAGTACAAGATCCTTCAGGCACTGTCTCATATCGCCCCCGCATGATTGGCCCAATACAGTCGAGTTCCTGAGCACCTTTGTGGCCCTGCAAAAATTCTACCGCTATTACTTTTTTCTCCACTTTAGTCTTGCGACAATAATGATTATATTCTAGTACTAGTAGCGCCGTACTTCTTTCAACTTCGAAGGTAGGTGTGGCAGTCCTTGGTCGTCAGTGACATGTTCATGATAGTTAAACAGATGCCATGAAATTCGGCCATGATTTCAAGCAGTCCTTGGCAAGTCAAGGTATTACTATACTTCCTCCAATAACCTGAGCAGTTGTATCTGCCTCCCAAGCCGCTTACAGTCGCTTATGATCCTGTAGGCTTCCCGCCTCACTGGGTCGCTCACGCGATCCCGTATGGCCAGCTAAAGAAATGCCTCAAGAAGGTTCAACGAGAGCTACAAGAGCTAGGCCTTGATGCTGAGACGTTGAGAACGCTCCTCGACTGCGATACGGACTCTCCAGTTGCCTTAAACTATAGTCTTACTGGTAAGCCCCCTCTTCTAATATTTCGCATATGTTTTATCTGGGGAGCAAGGTCTTGGATAGTATTACTGACGCTGCGCAGCATCCTCAAACTCTACGCTCGTCCGGCCGAAGTTGACAGTATTCATTCATTTGCACGATGGCAATATTGTCGACGCCTCTTTGGCGCCGACCACTCGTCAGTTTTTTGAGAAAATCTCCTCGGGATCAGTAGTTAGCCACGCTTTCAATGAAAAGGAAGCTGGGTTGGCAAATATTTCACGTCTCAAGGCGACAGACAAGACAGCAGACAAGACAGCAGACAAGACGACGGACGAGACGACGGACGAGACGACGGACGAGACGACGGACAAAGGAACGGACAATACGACAAGCGCAGCGTCACAAACAGAGGCAAACCACCATGAAGAAGACAGTTACGAAAGAATAGAGGTGCCTCTTGTCTTTGACAGTGTCTTCTTTGACATGCTTCTGAGTGATGTCAGCAACTTGGATGCCTTGCAAGCCACGGAGGAGGATCACTTACAAGAAGAAGTTAAAGAGCTGGGAAAACAAGTATCGCAAGTATCACGGCCGACTCGCTTCTCTAAGAGTGATATGGACCGCTGGAGACGTATCTTCGAACTGTACTTGGATGCAGAGATCTTCTTTGCAACACACGAGCGTGAACACGGGGCTCGTTCCAGTCAGAAAGCTCTCAAGCAGCTGCAGTGGTTTCAGGGAGAAGTCAACAAGCAACAGCTTGTTAGCTCATTCAAACTGCCAGAAAGCCGAACTGCCTTCTCGAAATTCCTCGAATTAAACCTTGATCTCTTAAAACATTTGCAGTTCCAAGAATTGAACGTATTGGCAATCTCCAAAATATTGAAGAGTATGAACCATACTTCCCCCCCTTCCAACTTTTGTCTCCCCAAATCATCAGTTAACAGTAGGCATAGAATTTGATAAGAGAACAGCGTTGGGCGTTTCTCGTGCTTTACCACCAGCAATCAGCTCCCGAAAATTATTATCCGACCATATTGCTAAAGCAGTGTGCGCTCGAATTTCGGATGAGCTAGTGTCTATTATACCCCAAATTAATGATTATCTTTGTCCGATATGCTATTCATTAGCATATCAACCAGTTCGCTTGGACTGCCAACACGTTTTTTGCATTCGTTGTATTATCAAAATCCAGCGGCGCAAAGAGGAGAGCTGCCCCTTATGCCGAGCTCCCGTGGTCATGAATGCTTCCATTGGTAAGTGAAACTACCTGGTGAACTTGGAACAAAGAAACAAGGGTGGTTTTCTAACATCGTATAGACAATCTTGATGCGGAATTAGAAAAATTTATGAAAAAATATTTTATGAAGGAGGTAAAGGAGAAACAGCGCGCTAATGAAATAGAACGGGGAATAGAAGAGTTTGGTCCAGGCTATACACGATCTGAATGTAGCGTTATGTAAGAGATGGGAACGGCGAGCATGAGATTTTTAGAGCCTTGTTTTATACTATTGACCTCTGCGGTCCTATGATACCAGCAAACGCGCATCAACTGCAAATATTCTTTACATGTAGTGTTTATATATATACAAATATTTTAATTCTAGGTTTTTGTTTTTGTATCATGTTTTCAGCCTAGTACTTAATATCTGCTAAACATAACCATACATAGACTGTATGTGGTTTCACACGGAATCCAAAGGGCATAACGCATTTAGACTTTGCATGCCGTCTCGTATCACTATCACCTATATTAACGCTTTTATTTACTGCATCAACCTTTCCAGCGTTATTGTTACTGGCGGATCTCGAGTAAAACCTGGACTAACTAGATTCAAGCAATGCTTACGGCCTCAGCTGCTGCCAGAGCCTTTTGGAAGAGTAGCTGCAGCTCTTCAGTCTCCTCTAATCCTACGCTGACACGAACAAGATCCGGGTCTACGCCATACTGAGCCGCCCAATCCAATTCCTGAAAGTGTGCTAATAAGACATAGGGAGAGCAGAGGGTGAAGTTGGTGCCCAAGCTTGGTCCTTTTGCAGTGTCCATGTTATTATAAAATTCTTGAGCTTGTTGTGGATGAGTGAATACGATGGAGAGCAAACCTCCATAACCACCATCGGGAAGGCGAACCGCCTCGTAATTGGGCTTTGATGGATTATACTTTGGATAGTATACGTCTTTGACGACAGGATTGGCTCGCAGAATTTCGCATATCGCCTCGGAATTGGTGTTGATGCGTTTCACTCTGTTGGCAAAATCGCGGCTATTTCTCTCCATAAAGAGTATATCCTCGGGCCAGTACGTGTTTTCGTAGATCTGTTCCTCAAAGACTTGCTTGAGCAAGCGGTAGTGTCTGCCTTCTGGGTTCAGGACGGTACACCCGCCCATAACGTTTGAGCCGCCCGAAAAGATCTTTGTAAGGCTGCTGACGACAATGTCGGCGTACTGAAGAACATTGACGTTTGCAAACGTCCCTATTGTCTCGTCGATGACAACGGCAAAGTTGAATTCGTCGGCCAGTTTGCGAATACGTTTTAGATCGGGGCAGGTGAGCAGCGGGTTTCCTGGGAACTCAACAAAGAGTGCCAGGAAGCGCTGTCCATCCTTTAGGAGGCGCTCGAGTTCATCGAGCTCCTCTGACGATGCATGACCATAAAAGACGCAACCAGGTCCAAACTTTTGTATGATTTTGAGCGTATCGACGTAAGGAAATCCAAAACTTATACTCTTGTATGAACCCAAGGTGGCTAGGAGCGCACGGTGAGCGTTGAAAATGGCGTTCATGCCGCAAGGGTATAGCAGAACATCGGTCTCGTCGAGGGACTCCATGCCACGGCTGTTTGATTTGGCTTGCGACGTTGATTCATCGTTCATATCAGTCTCACCCGAGAGAGAGCCCGCAATTCTCCTGCGGATGGCTGATCTCGCCTTGGCCACTTGAGTGAGGTCCAGGTTTCTGCCGAAGCGCTCTTCAAGGAAACGAGAGCTTTCACTTGCTTCCTCCGGATTCTCAGAAGAAGAAACGGTCTTGGCTTCTGAACCGTTTGTGCGGGCGCTACCGGCGGCGGCGGCGGCGGCGGCGGCCGTACGCGAATACCGCTTTGGGCCACGAATTAATTTCTCCGGCGGTGTATGTGATTGCTCTTCTTTGATTGCAATAAGCTGCCCGTGCTTAAAAAGCCCATGAGAAAACTCAGCGCGCCGACTTGAAACACCATCGCCGGTGTGCTGCCAATACTGCTTTGCGACAGAGAACGACGCCTGCGGGAAGATGACGGCAGAAATGGTGGGCGACAGCTGCTTCAGCAGTGGAGAAATGTCCTTGGACGTATCCAGAGCAAGGTCAACTACAGAGAGCCGTTCAGAGACTTGAGGAGACACCCGCTGGCGCATGAATTCGAGACATCTTCGAGCAGCGCTGGCAGTAGCAAAGAGCATAGCCTGCTGGTCTGGCCGGCCGAAAGCGGCGGCAACGTCTCGAGCAAAGGCATCAATGCTCTTGTGAATGAAGAAACTAGAACAAGTCAGAGGCATGGAACAAGCATCGTCTTGATGGCCGTTACTCACCGAGGGTACCCTGTGACCATGAGGCCCATCACCCAATCCTGGCCTTCTTCATAGCCGATGTTGGCTTGCCATGTGGGTAGCGAGACACTCACTGCCTGTAATCGCGGCTGCAGTGTCAGTTGCTTGTCTCACCAATGCAACATATATATGAAAACATGAACATGCAAGGCCCAAGAGCAACTCACATGAGCAGTGTCCTGGGGTATAGATTCGCCCAGCGGAATTACAGGCATTGTGAATAGGACAGGCGCCTCTAAGGTCTGGCCAATTCCAAAAATTCCAGGAGCACAGTTTGGCTGCAATCTGAATTTACAGCTATGAGTTGAGGTAGTTAAAATTGATCACTTGAGACACGGCCTTCTATATAACTCACTCGGCCTAAAGATCGGAAAAAAGTTGATGTGACTGTATGAAATGAGTCATTAGATTTACATTACAGCCTCGCTGCCCACTCTACGATTTCATTCCGTCTTCCAATGGCTTGAACAGTTCAATTAGGATAATAAACTCGTGTCATATCAATACATGCAACACATGCATCATTTTATCAGTCTCGTTGCTCTGCTGCATGCGCCATGTTGTTAAAGTTTTTATGACTGTCACTCATCTTAGTACTTACTATGTAGTTACGCCGCTCCGGTCCTGGCACCAGTGAATGCTAAAGCGAGATAGTACTATCAAACTTTATACTTCCTACACACCTTAGGTAAGTGGTTGAACTAAAATACGCGTAGCTACAGCATGCAGCACCCTGTAGATCGAGATCGAGGCGTCTGCAGCACCTGTTGCCATTGTTCCTCCCGGCGCAAGATCCAAGGCACCTCCCCAGGCTGAACCGCCATGTTGCGCATGGAGGGGCGGAGCAGCACCTTGTGATGTCATTTGCCAACCCCACCGTGGTATTTAAGCTAGCCATCGCCAACTGCGCGACAGCCTTGCCTCGCAAAACGGGTGTCCCATTTACAGCCTGCAAACAACAGCACAGCCCATATCGATTCAGCCATGTCGAGCTACAGAAACACCCCCCTCTACGGCGGAGCCATTGCCTGCGACCTGCCAAAACACTTCGCAGACGTAAGGTGCGCAAAGCTTGCGACTCTTTTCCCCCGCGGCGCATCGCATTTCGCATATCGATGATGGCCCTGTACTGACAAACACCTCATTTCGCAGCAAGCTGAGACAGGTTCCCGACAACCAGGAAGTATGGATCGATAAGGATGGGTTTACAAGCATCATCTTCGATATTTCAGAGCGCGTTGGCGGCCCCGGTTCCAGCCCAGAGATCGACGGCCGTGCCATGACCACGCATCTGGAAGACATGGTTGGAGCAGACATCGACACAGTCAAGATCTGGAACACTGCCGAGACCGAATTCACAAAAATGAGCGAGTATGTCAGATTTTTTTGGGGCGCGCTCCATTTCTCTCCATCTGCTGCGAAACAGTACCCCGCTAACAGAATACCTGACGATGCAGCTTGAAACTCCCCGCATATACCCTCATCGCGACGCAGACACCCAAGACCCATTCCAGCAGCTCAAACTCTGCGCCCGACTTCACGGCCATCACCATGACGCTACTTCGCCTTGAAGAGCAGAAGACCGACATCCTCATCACCATCAACGTCCCCCACATTCGAGGTGAATACGATGCTGACGAAGTCGATCTTGAGCTGGGCAAGCAGGGCAAGCTCATCGGAGACGCTGTGGAGATTGCAGCGCGCATTTGGGAAACTTTCGTGATCAAGGACTGGGGGCTGTTTCACGAAGCTTGAAGCATTTAATGAAAATGAATAGTATACCAAAGACATGCATGGGCTTGAACGAACAAAGTCGCCATGCGCATCTATCTATCTATATGCTTGTGTTTTTTTTTAAAACGAATAAGTAAGCGCTGTCATTTTAGTTTTAGACCTATCCATGAACGCTTGGGACTTTTTATATACGGAGCATTCACAGCCATGTACAATCGCTAGTAGATGCAATGTTCTTATACTATCACATCTGGTACGATCGCATTATCGAAATGCGTGAGCTTATCTCGCTGCACCCACTTTAACCCGCCACATCGAGCTTGGGGTATTCTATTTGCTGATTGGGCAGAGTTATCGGATCTACCTCGGCAGTCCATTCCTTGCACCTTGACATTTTATTGAGCGCCAATCGCAAACTTTTAGTACAGCAGCGAGACACGCCGAGACCCACCCAGTAATGATTTTCGAGACAGCGATGGTTAGGAATCGTCTGCCAATTGTTCACATCGCCTTAGCCGTATCAAAATGTCCTCACAGGTTGCAAAGGCCGCCCGTCGGGTGACCCATGAGCTTCATGGTATAGTTGTATCTGCTGGTCTGATGCAAAAGACCGTCAAGGTTCGAGTTGGTGGCCAAAGATGGAATAAAGTCATCAACAAGGTGTGTATATATGTGAGTCTGCTACAGTTCATGCTTTTAACTAACCGGCCAAAAGTGGTTTGCAGACCCCAAGCACTATCTCGTACACGACCCCAACTCCTCCCTGCGTACTGGCGACGTTGTTTCTATTGTTCCCGGCTGGCCGACATCAAAACACAAGCGTCACGTTGTCAAGAAGATCATCGCGCCGTACGGAACTCCAGCCGAGGAGAGGCCGCCGATTCCTACATTAGAAGAGCGTATTGCTGAACGGGAAGCCCAGCAAGCTGCCAAAAGAGAACGTAGGGCACGCAACGAGGGAGACCAGAAGGAGTAACATGACAAAGGGGCACCACACGATAAAGACACCACACACAAGATGAATAAACCACAAATCCGAATTGGCAAAATGCGACAAGGCTGTATGAATAGATCGGGCGGCTTCTTTCCTGGAGGCGCCCTCACATTGTTTAATAGCAAAGAGACACCCAAAAGCTGCTCCCAAAAAATGAGTTAGAGTCTAGCAATATAGAACTCATAATGAACTCCCGCGCTTCGATCGTCGAAAAGATTTGACGAAGCTCGCACGCCGTAGCCGCTACTTGATAATGTTTCGATCTTGTATCGCTGTAATTTGCATGTATCGCTCAAAAGCAGAAAAGGGCTGTCTGTATCTGGATGCGCATGTGCAGCTCAGCTCAGTTTAGCCCAGCTCAGATTAACCACCGCGTTCTCCAAATTTTTCGGCCCATTCTTCATATTCTCGTATGCCTTTCTCGTCCACACTTGGTCGAATGGATTTCAAGCTTAGCTCAAAATCTGAGACATCAATGGGTCGTATTTCTTCCTTTGCCATGTACAAAAGAGCTTCCCCGAGAGATCTCAAAGGCCCCATGGCTGCGTCTTTAGCAAGAGATGTAATATCAGATCCCGAAAATCCTATCGAGCAGCTGTTAACTAAGCGTCCAGAAAAGCAACAGTTGTCTCTAGACAATGCTTACCATCTGTTTCCTGCACGAGTTTTTCTATATCCGTGTCCGACAAGCTGTGATTTTGTTGCCGCAGCAATGTCCTCAATTGTGTCTCTCGTGTCTGTGGTTCTGGTAGTGGAATGTATTGTCGACGCACAAATCGCCGCCGTGCAGCCTCATCTATTGCCCATGGTAAATTCGTAGCAGCCAGCACCAAGACCCGCTGGGCATCGCTGCGTTTATTCCCTTTACCAGTCGTCTCTCGACCAGCGGCAGCCTGTTGGAGCTCACTCCACTGGATGAGGAACTCCGTCTTGATTCTTCTTGTAGATTCGTGTTCACCAGACCCAGATCGTTGAGATAACAGGGAATCGATTTCGTCGACGAATATAATACTGGGGGCAAGCGCTTTGGCAAGACCAAAAAGGGCCCTGACTAGTTTCTCCGACTCTCCTAGATATTTGCTCGTTAAGCTACTAGCAGATATAGAGAAGAAGGTAGATTTAGATTCAGTGGCTACTGCGCGTGCCAGCATTGTCTTTCCAGTACCTGGCGGTCCGAACAGCAGCATTCCACGAGCTGGTTCACGTAGGCCCATAAACAGATCAGGTCGTAGAAATGGATAGACAACTGTCTCCCGTAACGAATTCTTAGCCACTTCCAAGCCCGCGATATCGTCCCAGTGAACTTCGTCTCCTTGGACAACAATGTCGTTGAGAATTTGTTTCGCGGCACCTTCATCTATACCGGGCGGCAAGTTCTTCAGAATTTCTGACTTGGTCTTTGCACCGACCGTTTTATCGTTTGGACGTTCTCTCGCTATACTGGAATTTCGTTGTCCTCCAGGGGTCCCAGTATTGTTACTAGTGGAAGCTTTGACGCTGCCTCTTTTACTCTGAACTGACATTTCTTCGGAAACTGGGGGCTTCCGAGGCGTCACATACTGCTCTGATTTACTCGGTGATTGGTACAATATGGAAGGTTCTTGGTAGGCTGATGAAGATGTCAGGGCGCTTGATGCTGCGCTGATAGACAGACCTGAAGGCTGTGGGAGACGTGATTCATCATATGGAGGAACCACGCTCCATTTCTTGGGCGACGTACGTGGAGTTTTCACGTCATATGATAGTACTGATTTTTGCGAATTAGGTGAACTTCGCTCAAGTGATTGACGCGGAGATGGGCGTGGGGAAGGGCGTGGGGAAGGGCTTGATTTTGAGCGCCCTTCAATGGGATAAGGCCGGAGGAGGTTATCTCTGGCTCCTGAGGATCCTGAGGATCCCCATGCTATAGTTGCAGCCAAGCTCGATCCATCTACCGCGGGCTTGCTCGACCGGCGAGCAGTGGGAGATTGGTCATTTTGCTTCTTTGATCGCAGTGTAGTCCTCAAAGTGCGCTTTTCGGGACTTTGGGCACGGCTTGACCTGTCGCCTCTCGTGTCTGATAAATCTAGGGATCTCCCATCAAGACGCGAACGTGCAGACTCGGCAGGGGTGCTATGAATTCTCCGAATCACTTCTTCAGATGACGTCATTGCATCAAGAGAGGCTCTTGATGGGAAGACGGGACGTGAAAGCTCGGAATATGTTACAGCTGGAATGGTGCCGTCTCCAATGGTCCCTGTGGCCTGGCTGGTGCTGCCGCTGGCTTCTCCGGTGGCAATGGCGTCGTTATAATAAGTCGAGGCAAAACTGTCTTCCCGGGACAGTTTTAGTGCTTCTAAGAGATCAATTCGTTCTTTGCATTGTAGCTCTAGTTCTTTCAGCGCATCTATCAAGACAGTGTCCGAGCCGGTATATGATTCAGAGACCCTCGGTGCGCTGGACGACGCGTAGTATTCGTTTATGCGTCGAAGAGCGGCTTTCCAATATCGAGTGGCTTCACCTTCATCGCCCTAAGTCAAATTAATGAGCACGAGTCGAAAATTAAAGCCAGGATAAGTGTGTGAAGCTGGCGAGGATAATCCATCATCTTACCTGGCCCTCATAGTAAACCGCTGTTGAGCAACTGAGGTAGCTGTGATCATAGGTCTTCTGAAGGGCAGTAATATCTTTGTTGCTGAGCATTGCATGAGTGGAGCGTCGAAATCCCAGGTGCGTGCTGAATCGGCTAAATGTGATTGTCGTGCTTGGGTTGTAACAAACGGCGTCGCAGAAATACGGCGGTCCAACTAATGTTGCACCGAATATACTAGGCTAGGTTAGAATTTAAGTGACATGCGACAGGCCTTACGCAGCACCTACGCAGGCGTTTCCCAGGCGGCGTATTTGGGGATGGGTCTTATCCAAGCGCCCTTCCTTATCTTAGTGCTGGGCTATGCAGAACTCCGCGAATGACACTGCCAGCCTTAGTGCGTACAGCGCGACTAACTTGCTGCTAGTAGTAGTGGCTGTACCCATTTGATGTCCTTGGTATCACCTAAGCGTCTATCAATTCAAAGCGTATGCTACATATTAGTGAAGTATTGTCTATGATAATTAACTAACGGCAAGATCTAGGATATTCCAGTTATTTTTGTTTTTCTCTTTATTTTGTGTAACAGCGTTGGAATCAGTCGTAAGCAGCAAAAGCTACCTATATAAACCCAGTATATAATAGAGCTTCAAATTTCCCGGCATTGGGTATACCGTTTTCTGTGAATGTTTTAACCAACCATCAGGTGAGCGTAGAATTTAAATGCCCAACCCAAACAACGCTTAATATACATCCAAATGAGGCTCTTCTCGATAAAATCATGTCTATATCAAGAGCTGCCTCCGACTCCTCCTACGAGCTCTATCGGTGCGGATCCTGCTCCACGATTGCTGGTGGGCAAAACGCCAAATCTTCCATATGTCTTCTGATCAACGCTAACGTAGTGCGGTAATATCGCAAGAAGGTTCAAGCGAGACTCGACCCATCGAAGGGCCCATTCCGGAGGGGCAAGCAGCTTTACATAGCCAAGACCAGCTATAAAAAAAAAGACATGTGTTAGCAGTCAAATCAATGGCACACGGGTGGTTTCACTATACCAATATAGCCAACTCCAAGGCCGCAGAGATGTCCCAGTAAACTGGTGCTTGGCATCAATGCGGCGACAACCACTATCATAAGCAATGGAGTAGTCCAGGTAGGGAGCTGATATGTTCCAATAACCAGATACGGATTCGACTTATACGTCCGGATCGCCTCTATGCCTAAAAGCAAAAATACCCAGATGCTACACAGAAAATAATATGATTAGCAGCCAATTTCAAGACCAGGAATATCTGAATGGCTATTTCTCACCTAGCGCCCATAACAGCATTATTAGCTCGAAGGATGACAATCTCAATCAGGAGATATAAAATCGCAGGAATCGTGGTTAGAGCTGCTTCCGTTAGATCAATGGCACACAGGTGGAATGCAAATTGTTATCCATACGTCCAAAGAAGAGTGCCAGTGTAGTCAGGGTTCCATATTCGCTTTCGAATCGTTCCATTAACGGCGTCAATGCAATAGCGTTAAGGAGGGCGTGGATGAAGTTCAGGTGAATGAGAGGAAAGGTGTTGAGCCGGTATCCTAAAACATCCATTAGATCATCCGCAAGCCAGCTCGTAATGTGCTCGGGGAACATTGATTACCTGACGCAAAGGAGATCTTGTCCGGGATCAGAGAGCCCCAGACCCTGACATCCCAGAAGCCGGGCAGGCTAGCCAGCCAGAAACATGCTATGCTAAGTAGGATGGCACGTGTGAATAAAGGCAAGCGAAGGATATATGATCTTGCCCTCTGGGTGCTAAAGCCTTGGATACTCGGCATCGCTGCTCATGCGCCGGTCAATTAGTCCCCAGCATCCGGCACTTGGAAGACGGTACAGAGTTAGCACAATTGCGCCCAGAAAGTCACCTAGTAAATACCTGGCAAAGATCAGGTAAGCCAAAATGCGCTACACTGGGTTAAGGCAGCATCAGTTCAGCGCTACCCAATTTGATATATATGGTATATACCAATAATAACAAAAGAGAGTAAATGATAATATGAGTTTATTTTTATTTTTTTTTTTTTTTTTAATAATATAGTGTGTATACTGAGTTATGTGGAATTTAAAAGGTATATTCTAAATAAAATAATTAAATAAAATGCAAGTAGTATTTTATAATAAAATTAATATTAATATTTAAATATATCAAATATATAATTTATAAAAAGAAATATTATTTATAATTGTGAAAACTTTACTTATAAAAGATTTTATTTAATAAATCTTGCTATATTTGCCTTTTTATTAATAAAGAGACCATGTGGCCATTCGTAGTCCCCTTGATGCCTTAGAAAGTTGGCGTAGCGTAAGGCAGAAAATACCACTTCCGGACCTGGTCGTTAGCCAATTGGAGATCTACTATCAATCGCACCCAAGGTCTTTTCCAAGGCGACAATCTATCCAACATGACGACGCGACAAGCTGCTCTGTTAGTGTTTACACCAATCAGGCTCACGGCCGTTTGCGAATTCGATTCTGACCACTAGCCTCTCGTTTCTAGGTCGCTGTACCGTCGCTCGTTGAAGCTTGCGTTGGACTGGGCTGTCCATCGCCATCTATGGCGAGGCCAAGCGCTCTATATTCGATCTCTGTTTGAGGCCAACAGGAAAGTCTCAGACCCTCGGCAACAGAGAGTTAGTGCACGCTCCTTTCACATCGATCGATAACCGGCATTAATTGTCCCACAGGCTTTATTGGCAGAGACAGAAAAGTTACTAGAGAGCTGGAAGCACCCAGACCCGTATATTCCGCCAACAGCCCCGGGAGGTGAGACAACACATACAATCCGCATTGGACGGCAGAAGCTAACTGATCAGGCTCCAAATTCGAACGAAACCTTCCTTCTCCGATTTTAGACCGTGAGTCAACGTCCATCCGCGACTGCTACGCCTGTTACGCCTGCTAATCGTTTTGATAGCCCCCCCTCATCGAGCAAACCACCATTAAGGTCTCATGTTGCACCAAATATAGACCTCCAGTACATAGCAAAATATAATAAAATTTGGCAATAAAAAAAAGTTCAAGCTTGAAGAAGGGTGAATGTGCTATGTGAATGAATGAAAAGTTCAAAGATGCATACTCATATCAGGACGTACAGGACTGTAATCTAGAATTTTCTGAAGACAATAAGAGGAGTTTTTTTTTTTTTTCCTTCATTCGAAAAAAAAGTCATAATTTATTCCTAATTTTATCAAATTAGTAGTAAAATCCTATATTGTTATTCCTGGCAGTATTTAGCTACTGAGTACTTGGCGAGGCGTGATGTAATAAGGCGCATAACAGAGCCCCTCCTACAAAATGTCACTAATACTTCTTATACCGGCTGCCGCTGTTCTGACTCTTCAACCAAGACGCTTACTCTCGCAACCCCAATCCATAGCCTGCATTCCTCATTATTAAATTCCCAGCTTATCGCCGTGGCAATGGCATCGTGTATTTTCTGTCGAATTATCAAAGGTTTGTAGTCCAGGGAAGGCGTTTGCCAATCCATGCAGCCACTTAGACAAGAAAAGCTACCCCTCTCTCACACTCTCACAGCTCCTGCAGACTTGCCAGTATGCTAACGGCGTGTTATACCAGGCGAGATTCCGTCTTTTAAGCTGTTTGAAAGCGATAAGACGCTGGCTTTCCTCGATGTCGGGCCCCTCAGCAAGGGCCACGCTGTAAATCCACTCTTACCCAGAGGATTACTCTAGATTTCTGACATTCTGACTCTCATCCAGCTTGTCATCCCCAAGTTTCACGGCGCAAAGCTAGCTGATATCCCCGATGATCAGCTCTCTGAAATTCTGGTAACACGCCCGTGCTGCTCTGTTGCTTAGTTTGGCTTGGTTGTCCCTACTAACCAGATATGCCATCCAACAGCCTACTCTCAAGAAGCTAGCGATAGCTTCTGGAGCAACCGATTACAACATTCTTCAAAACAACGGAACCCTTGCTCACCAGCAGGTGCACCATGTAAGTTTGACTGCACCTCTAGATTCAAGATGAACTCAAAGCTAAACTTGAATGAAAACAGGTTCACTTTCACATGGTATGATAGTCTCCGTTGGCCACAGCAAAGCATCTTAGCCCTCATACTAACTCTTCATTAGATCCCGAAGCCAAATGAGACAGAGGGCCTTGGCATCAGCTGGCCTACGACTTCTGGCGATATGGAAAAACTCAAAGCACTTGCCGAGGAGATCAAATCTAGGATGTAAACAGCAGCTATATGATATCACTGGTTTAACCTGCTCACCGGCTTGAATTTGGACTGGCGGGAACATGATGCTGTGGTTTATTTACCCAAGATACATGGGAAGTGAACGCATTGTGCAATATGTCTATCCTCCAATAGATACCATATACAGTACCCCAGTCTATCCAAATAGTATTATCTTGGCATCCATAACTGTCTCTTTAATCTACATCATCTGCCGATGTTTCTAGATTTCCATTCCCGTCAGAGGCTGGGGCATCATACCATCTCGCCGCAGCCGCACCTTGCAATATCCGCTGTCTATCGTAAAGAGATCGCGCACGCACATACGGGTCAAGCTGCCAGTAGTTTTCTCTGAGCTGTGTCGCCAGCTGATCCCTCTTGTCGGTGATTTCTTTGCTGTCGCCCTTGTGTATCCACTGCACAGTCGCTTCTTCGTATTCCTTCATAAGCTTTTCCCTAATTCCGACGAGTTTTCCCCTGGTCTCGGTATCCTTCATCGCCTCATTTTCGCCAATGATGGGCTCTTCATATTTATATTCCCAGTCTTCGTCGCCTCCAAGCTCCTTGAGGATATGCTCAGGCTCTATGAATTCTTGCAAATCATTCTTGTTATTTGTGAAATGAACTTTCGCCGCCACAACCGGATCTAACCAGCCGCGGATAATCTTCCAAATTCCTGCGCCCAAAGTTAGTTTCTTATTCTCGTCGATGAGCAGTTCATATTCATACCTTGAAATAACCAGGGAGCGTTGTGGACGAGGACAGCTCCAAGAGATTCAGGGTAGTTGGCTTCAAAGCATTTAATCATAAACTTGACAGGGGTATAATCCATGTTCGCCATGGAAAACCCTGTCATATCAAAGACGACAGTCTACCCAGCACAGTTAGTAGAGTTCCCCAAAGTACATTCAGCGCGGTCAGCCTAGAGAATAGAGTGGCTTACAGCTGTGTCCACAGGTGGTCTCAACACCATTCTCGCAGTCTCGATTAGGAAGACAGTGCATCGCTCCAGACTCTCTTCGCACTGCTCTCCTTGTCGATGAAGGCGAACTCTGACAACACAAATTGGCCGGCCCTGCTTGTCCACTCCGTGCAAGAAACTCTTGCCCATTCGGAGCTGCGCCAGGAAGTCTTCTCCAACCTTCTTGGCGTCGCCCTTGCCATTCTGCGCATCCAAAGCGGCCCCCTCCTCTCCGTTCTTCATGATGTCCTCGTCCACTTTCATTTCGGTGTGCCGCCAGCTCATCGTAGAGACCAGCATAACCAGAGCCTTCTCCACATCCCACTTCCGGGCTCGAAGGAACCGCAAGGCGAGAGCATCGGGGTGATCATGCTTCACCATAGTCCAGTACGTCTCGCGAATGACTTCAGGGCTGTGATTCGCCAGAACCTCTTGGAAGTGCTTGTTTTGGCCATACTTGTCGTCTTCAGCCTCGCTCGGCGCAGGGGACTTATCATTTCCCTTCCTCTTGAAGACGCCAAAGCGCTTCTTCTTCTGTCCGTCTGCTTCCGCTGCTTCCGGCTTTCCACGGGATGCCGCATCAGCGCCGGCAGAGCCATTATCTTCAGCAACGCCGCAGACCTGGAATAAAGCGTGCCACAGCTGGCGCAGCTTCTCTTCCTGCTCTGGGGTGAGGTTGCCCACGTGCCCCGGTGCGATATGGGTTGACATGCTGCCGGCAAGCGAGGCGATGGCCAGAGTATCGTCCGAATCAGCAGTAGTCGTCGTATTCGTAGCCGCAGTCTGTCCGCGCAAATCTACTGTCGCAGCGCAAGAAACGACGACAACAGCCAGAAGAACTACGACGCCGGTAGTATATGTGAAGCCACTACGAAGGTTGACGCTGCGGCTCGTCCGGGTCGTTTTGCGCAAAGGTGAATGGACGGCGCTATGACGGTCTTGTGAGGCTGTTCCTGGAGCCGGGTGATCGCAGGTGTAAGTGCTTGAGGCGGCCTGCTTAACAATCTCACGTGCCTGCGATGTGAACGCGCGAGAGTCAATTGCAAGCGCAGGCGAGGCTGTAATCGACCGGCACGGCGTGGGGAATTTCGTGCACTTGTGCGATGCTAGTGCGAAAAACCGCGATGCGCCAGATGTCACTTCCAAGCACTGCCTTGCGGGAGGCCTCATGTGCGAATCCGTGATTTGCTCGCAGCTGTGCGGACTTGTGAGAAGGACTGCGGGAGGATCATTAATCCCGAGATCCAGCTCAATGCGGAGCAAATAACATTAGAGTCGTATTCTGCAGTCTAAACCGCTAATGCCTGCTAGGTACCTCGCAGATCGCCAATAGACACCTTGGCAGTAAGTACCGTGGAGATTTAGCATATTTTAGACCTTAAGTCAGCCTCAAGCAGTTGCCTGGGGATTCCAGACCAGGTAATATTCGAAGCAACGCTTCTTTTCCAATCCTTTCACCTCAGTAAACGGTTTTTTTTTTTTAATGGAATAGAAATAAAATGTAAAAATAAACACATCTAGAGCATTTTTTTTTCCTCTAGGCTCTAGGCTCTAGTATTATATATTCTCCCTCATAAATACATATGTGCCTAGCAAAATATTTATAGCTCATCCAGGACGTGGATGTACTTCTTGTCTTCCCTCTTCTCCTTCTCTGTGGCAGGGGGTAGATCGTAGTAGTTGGAGCTTCGGAATCCTTGCTATACCGGAAGTTAGATACCTAGTCGCCTGTCATATATCATTGGCATCACTTACCAAGTAGTGGTACGTAAAGTTGGCGATGTCGCCAGGTTCGATACCAAGATCGCTGAATGTGCTGGCTTCAGGGTCAATCACCTGATCAATAAACTCTCGCTCGACCTCGTCCGCAGAGATGGTATGCCACCACAAGGCGTTGTTGAGAAGTCCTGCTACTGGCTTGAGAATTGCCTTGGGCACATTAATGTGTCGCCTCTTCTTGTAGATTTCCTTATCCACCAAAGCTGCAATCTCTGCTAAGCTGTATTGCTTAGGTCCATAGAGCTCGAATGTCTTGCCAGCTGTGGAGTCATCGTACAGCATCTTCTCCAGAGCAGTGCCTACGTCGATAGACTGCAAATATGTCAGTGAGATTACTAAACAACCATGTTTGACCGCATCTTTCTAGAAACTTACGTGGACTGGCCAGAACTTCTCCTGCATGTTGTTGGCCGTAAACAGGTTCAACACTGAAGCAAGCTTCAACAGGAGGTTATCTTCGAATCCAAAAACAGGTGCTGGTCGAACAATTGTTGTCTCGGGGAAAATGCTTCTGGCAACAAGTTCGCCTCGTCCCTATAGCAAGATGTCTTAGCACTATCCGGCACTATTCCTACAAAATTCTAGCTCCGGGCATACCTTGGTCGCAAAGAACTCAGATGGTGAGTTGACGTTGGCATTGTGTGATGACACGTGAATATATCGGTCAACATCGTACTTTGCAACAGCTTCAGCGATACGCTCGGTTCCCTCCACATGTACGTCCTCCAGAGTAAAGTTCCTATCAAGGTTTAGTGTCATTCTTCAAGATAGAGATTATTGATATGTCGCCCGTACTTCGTAGGGTAATCTCGCCCAACCAGGTTGTACACAACGTCCGAGTGCCTAACGCTTGCTTCAATAGAAGCAGTATTGCGAAGATCGTACTCCTACAGCTAGATCAGAATCAACTCATCGGGTATATCTGAGGCCAGCCATACAACAAAAATAACGCGGCCGAGGTCACCAGTGAGCTTCAGGTGTCGCTTCGTCATTTCTTCGCGGAAAGGGACAACAACGGTGCATCCTTGGCGGGCTGTAGAAAGAAAATTAGGTCGGCCGTACGCATTCCAACAATTCAATTTGCCGAAAACATACCAAGGCGGTTCACAATGTATCGACCCAGTTGACCCGTTGCGCCGAATACCGTCGCGGTATGGCCTGTATCGGTTAGCTCTCTGGCTTTGAGCGGGCAGTTCTGCGTTCGTACCTCCAAGGGAAGATCTAACAAGAATAAAGTTAATTGGTTTCTCCATATATCAGCTGCAAGCATCGCTTACCGGCCACCCTCTGATCGTAGAATAGTTTTGCCAGTTCGTGTGATAGCAACATCTGATAGGGATCGTTTGCCGCTGGCGCCGACGCAGACAGAGCTGCGGAGAGCTCTCCGAGAGAGCAGAGTGAGCATCATTCTGGCTGATTCAACAGCAGGGAGCGGCTGGCGAGGTCGTTGAGCTGGCCAATTCAAGATCTTGCTGATGCTATCTCTTGTCCCTGCCCACCAAGACCATACAGTGAAGCGGCATGCCGAAATAGTGCATTTCATTACTTTGCGAACTAGTCCAAATACAGACTAGAGCAGCCTAGGTACACTTCGTACTTTGGTTTTTCCGCTAAGCACAGTCTGCGAATGGATAAGATACGGAGTACGTATAGCCGCAGCGGAGCAAACCGAAATTGGCACTGTGGTTTGCAGCAGTCATAAAGACGGAGCTGTGACTATGACTCCATGAGTTGATAGACTTGTGTGGATATATACGGTAGGGAAAACATTTTATTGTATTTTCCATCTGTCCTCCCCCTTCATTTGAATGCTGACAGTTTCGTCAGCACCGATACAAAAGCAGCTGAGATCCAGGTAAGAAAGTATCTGGGCAGTTGCTTTTAAATGGATACCCAGCATCGCATCCAAGACCCAAATGCTGACTTTCCAATAGCACTAATACGTGTACGGAGTACATCCCAGCGTCATCTAACGAATATTTTTTGGCCAGTGCCCGTTATCCTTAGCATTTCAGTCTACTGGCCGGTGGTAGATGCAATCCTACCCGCAGCATACCATGCACACCGTTGGCGCTGACTGATTGCAATCAGTTCCAAGATGAAGCCACGCAAGCGTGCCTTGCAGAAGCAACGGAATAATTGGCAACAGTCGCCTGGTAGCAGACATTCCACGCCATCTAACAACGGTATGTCATCTTGAAGAATCAATCCCGTATCAGTTGGGCGTATAATTGATTAGTCTCTTCCGACAGTTGCTTTCACCCTCATCGATGAGGCTCGACAGACATCAAGCCATGATACCTCATTCTGGAGCCAAAATACACAACTTCGAAAGAAACCCGTGGTATTCGTTAGCTCTGGCTCCCACGATCCGTTGACATCGCCGCAAATCCAAGCAGAGGAAACGGAAGATTCAAAAACGTCTACCGAAACGCCTGTTGCCGCAACTGAAGAACAACCACAACCAGATGATGGCAGCTCTAGCGATGAAGTAATCGTTTTTAAAGGCCGAAATCACATGAAGCGGAAACCCCAAGCGCCTGAGATAGCCCCAACAGTTCCTAAGATTGTTCAGACTCCTGAGGCAACGAAAATCCCCGAGGAAACGCAGGCTCCTGAGGAAGCACAGGCTGTTGAGGCAGCGCAGGTTGTTGAGGCAGCGCAGGTTGTTGAGGCAGCGCAGGTTGTTGAGGCAGCGCAGGTTGTTGAGGCAGCGCAGGTTGTTGAGGCAACGCAAACTCCTGAGGCAACGCACGCTCCTGAGGCGACCCAGGCTCCTCGAATAGCCTGTACCCCTGAATCAACACATATTCCTGAGGCATCCTACAATCTCGAGGTAACACAGGCTGCGGAAATTACACTCACGTCCATACAAACCGAGATTCGAGCCGTTGAGAGAGAGCTATCGAGTGAACCTAGAGAACCTCGTACCCAGTACACAGAAGCAAGCAAAAAGGAAGATAGGGATAACGATGGGGAAGATTCTGATGATCTTTTTTGGCCAAAGAAGAAGTCAAATAAGTCCCGGAGACGACAGAAATGGGGAGAAGACTCCGAGGAGGACGCCATACTCGCCGATTACATTGCCAATATGCGTCAAAATGGAGAGATGATGGGCGAGACATCTGAAGAAGATTCGGATAGCTCAAGCAGTGACGACGCTGGAGACCACCCGTCGGCACCTTCAGGCCTCAAAGTTGAGGAAAATGTCGATATATATTCGGAGGCAGACTATCAGCCTCAGAAGTCACTCTTCGATGAACCCGTTGACGATCTAGATAAGCATGAATCACACACCATCTCTCATCCATCGTCACGAGAGAAACTCAGGGGGAAAGCTATAATGAAAGGCTCCACAGGCACTTTCATGCACTCTTTCACTGAGGTTGAGTATCTTGAGGAACAGGGGGATTTCGACTTCATGGACTGGGAACGACCTAGCGTAAGGCGAAAGAAAAGCAAAGCGAGGCGTCTTTTACTAGGCTCAGATATTGATTCGGATCTGGAAGAGAAACTCCAAGCCGCCTACAGCAATGATCGGCAGAGGAAGGCTCAACGTAAGAGGGAGAGGGAAGAGTTGCGAGCGACAGGAATGCTTGGCAAGAGAAGCCAGCCAGACCTACAAGCAAAGTACCGGACAGGCATCACCGCGAGCGAGGTTGTCGATGAAATAAAAACGTTCCTAGCCGGACCTCAACAAATGCGCGTATAGTACAACCCTGTCGAAAGATACCCACTTTACTGACTATTTACCAGATTAAATCTACCGCCGATGGATAAGCGAACAAGGAAAATGGTCCATGAGCTGGCAAACAAATTTAGCATCAAATCTAAGTCGGTTGGGGCTGAAAATCAACGTCGGCCGGTGCTACACAAGACAAAAAAGACGTCATATAGAGAAGCTACTTTTGACCAGGCAGTGTCACGAATTAAACGGCAATATTCCTCTCAATCAGGGGGAGGATCCAAAAACAAACAGCAATCATCATCGGGTCGGCATAATTTGGCCAGTTACCGGGATGGTGAGATCATCGGCGCATCCGCCCCAGAATTGGGAACAGAAAATCGTGGTCGGACAATGTTAGAAAAAATGGGTTGGAGTACCGGAACGGCTTTAGGAGCCAGTGATAATCAGGGTATACTGCATCCTGTAAGCCAGACAATGAAACGAACTCGAGCAGGTCTTGGACAGTAGACATAGATGTTTTAGGAGATTCTGTAATTGTTGATGCAGAAAATTTAAAATAGCATAATGTGCAGAAACCATTGCTTCGAGATATCCTCGATAGCTATTGTACAACCGCGAACCCCATTGACCGTGAAGACATTGCCCCCATAAAGCAAACCATCCGTAACGCATTAAGAGATCCCAAAGGCGAAACACAATCACCTGTAGTCTCGAATAAAGACACTAAAGTCACGCAAACAAAAACCCAAGTTTTTCAGATACGAAATCAGAACTAGCCATCATGACCCCTCTTATTTCGTCGATGAAGAGTACTTGGTAACGGCCTTGGTGCCCTCAGAGACGGCGTGCTTGGCCAGTTCACCCGGCAGGATCAGTCGGACGGATGTCTGGATCTCTCGGGAAGAGATTGTGGACTTCTTGTTGTAGGCAGCCAGCTTGGAAGCCTCGGAAGCAACACGCTCGAAAATATCTATTAAAGTCAGACAAAGAAAAACTTGAGGAAAGGGGACGCGATTGAGGCTTACCGTTGACGAACGAGTTCAGGATGGACATGGCACGGTTGGAGATACCAGTGTCGGGGTGGACCTGCTTGAGGACTAGAAACGGAAAGTTAATATCAGAAAGAAAAAAAAAAATAAGAGAAAAAAATGCAAGTCAGGTAAACAAACCCTTGTAGATGTAGGAGCTGTAGGTCTCCTTGCGAGTCTTTGATCGCTTCTTCTTGTCACCAGAAGCGGCGGTCTTCTTGCCGGCATCCTTCTTCTCGGGAGCCTTGCTGGCAGTTGAGGGGGCCTTGGCGGCGGGCTTCTTGTCGGCAGCTTTGGGAGGCATTTTTGATGAAAGTTGATAAAACCGAGTGAAATCTAAAAAGGTTGATAATCAAAAGGGCAAAATGGCGGGCTGGCAGCGGGTGATGGTGGAAAAAGTGAATGGTGCGGGAAAGAGGTCTTGGGGATGAGCTGGGCTTTTGTAGCTGGGAACGCGTTGGTGCAAGTGGATTACTGATTTGGCTGGGAGCAAGTCCAGGCGTGGCGCGAGCAAAAGGGTCGCGCGTGCACGCCCCTCTATGGGTTGTTTCTGCTGCTTTTTGGTGCTGGCGGCGCTAGGCCTCTGGGAAAAAAAAAAAGGTTGGCTGTCTACAGGTACAGGTAGCGCGGTACCTTGGGCACGTTCCAGGTACTGGCGAAGTACACCCTGCTCCAGCACAGCTATGTCGCGCTAGTCGTTTAACGGCAAGGTGTGCTCAGTCGCAATCACGCACGCTGAACCAAGTGCTACGGGGCCGAGGGCCTGCGATTGCCTCGCCGGGCCAGGGTCTGTATTGTGGCTCCCAGTCGCGTCGATTTTTTTTGTTATTCTTTTTTTTCTGCCATTTCTTTTTGCCCAGCGCGACATGTGATTGGCCAGATCTGTGGTCTTTTTTATCGCTGCCAGCCTTCCACTCCACCAAGTCCCTTCCAGCTGAAGACCGGTACGTACAGTACCCTTTTCCCTCCTGCGCTTGGGCGGCTTATGATGTACCTCCCGCCTTTTGCCTTGCGCGTTGTGCCACCACACCGCCGCCCGTTCGTTGTATGAGCGCCTTGAGCCTCGCCTGCCAGGCTTCAGCGCAGCCTACCCTGTAATGTAGAACAGAATCACATTTTGAAAACGATTCCGGCGTAAATTTCTGTACACCTTCAAGCTGTGAATGTCTTTTATTTTCTTTTGCGTTTTTGATGATGATTCTAGCACAATGAATTGCATCTTGTGGAGGAATAGAATAAAGTGTGGTGTTTTATGCGTATTTGTTACTTTGTTACCATTGTGTACACGCTTTGCGTTTGGGCTGAGAGGAGAAAATAAGAACGATGTATCTAGCACAGCTGAAACAATACAATTCTAGCCCTAAACTACGGCCTCATATTACCCACTGTGAACACTACTAAGCAAAAATACAGTGGGTATTAAAATGCTTGTTGCATCCGCACGATCTGCGCGTATCTTCCAAGCTATGTGGTGATGGCTGGATACTGAATACACAAGATTACATAACCCGGATTAGAGCAATGAAGCTCAGTATTCTGCTACGTGGTGCGCGCCACAATCACTAGGTACAGAGCTACATACCCGCAGTAGCATAGCCTTATCATCCAATAGACAGGCCTCATTTAAATCAAGGCAGTACCCTCACAGGCAGCATCCCATCCTGCACCGTGATGCAGAAATTGGACCAATCAAAGTGAACACATTGAAAGATGCACATGTTGCCTCTCTACAAGGGTGAATACTACCAAAGTACCACGCAGTGTAGTTGATGCAGCGCAGTTGCTGGGTAGTTATTTGAGATCCAAGAGTGAGGCACTAGGAAAATAAAACAAAATCCAGCGCGTTGCTGCCTCCCAAAATGAGTGGCGTGCTCAGCAGCAGCCACAGTGAGGCTTTCATGCAGCGCGGATATGGAAGCGAGCGTGGAGACGAGCAGGAGAAGACGCTGAGTGCCGGCTCCAAAAGGGATGTACCGCGTAGGTACCTGGAGCGAGCACTTAGCTGCATGAGCCTTGTATCCATTTTCGCTGTACTTCGCTTGTTCACACCCCCCCGCAATTGCGATAGCAGTTTGTTGTCGTCGGAACACGTCCAATTTTCCAAAATAGGACTAGCGTCTGAGCTGCCGCAGAGGGAGGGTGATTGGTGATCTCGCGCGCCGAGCACCAAAAACTACTTAACTGAGATTCCCCCCGCCGAATTCAACCCTCTTCATTTACACTGTCTCTCAACTATCCACGCTGCGCGATTATAATTCCAACGTTTACCTCTCTTCTCGTCCAACCTTCCGAGTTTTTTCTCGTTAATTTCCACAAAAAAACTATTTCAAAATGACTGGCGGCGGCAAATCTGGTGGCAAGGCCTCTGGCTCCAAGAACTCCCAGTCGTAAGTTGACTCGATTGACGCGATTCACGCGTTTGTATCCATCACCTGGACATCCAAGTCTGACTCTATCTCAGCCGTTCATCCAAGGCGGGTCTTGCTTTCCCCGTTGGTCGTGTCCACCGTCTTCTGCGAAAGGGCAACTACGCTCAGCGTGTCGGTGCCGGCGCTCCCGTCTACCTGGCCGCTGTCCTCGAGTATCTCGCTGCCGAAATTCTGGAGTTGGCTGGCAACGCCGCTCGTGACAACAAGAAGACCCGTATCATCCCCCGTCACCTTCAGCTCGCCATCCGAAACGATGAGGAGTTGAACAAGCTGCTGGGACACGTCACCATCGCACAGGGTGGTGTTCTGCCCAACATTCACCAGAGTAAGACGCGTGGCAAATCAAAACAAAGTACATGGACGCTAACAGTTTATAGACCTGCTCCCCAAGAAGACATCGGGCAAGGCTGGCAAGGGCTCCAGCCAAGAATTGTAATTTCTGTTGGTCGTTTTTGCTGCTTTCTTTCGAGGTCGTTTTGGTTGTCATAAAGGGGTCCAGGGATAAGGTTTACGGTTGCTTTTGTACGTCTGGGTTGTACATTAATCCCCCACGGCTATGATCAATGAATCAATTAGGGTTTTTTCGATGCACTTCAAAAACATTTAACCATTTATTTTACATATTGTTCCATTTGCAAGTGAGATATCAATGTACAACCATCGAGTGACGCATCCAAAGTCGGGATTCTATGATGCAATACAGTCCAGCTCCAATGGAGCTTGACCAATGCTATGTTTTTTCTTTCTCACTGAATCTTTCCATACTAATGTGGTAGAAAAATGATCAAAACATTTTCAAAAAAATCCTAATTTCCTATTCATTTTTTTTTTCTTTTCTCAATTTAATATATATTCGCCATATATGTCATTTTGAGTTCATATATATATATCCAATATTTTGCGTCTACTTTGTCTTAGATGAAGCTCCGCACGTCTTTTTGCTCCGTAGCTGTTCAATGCTCCAGTATTTCTTAGCAATATTTGCATTAGCTAATACTAGCACTGAAACTGCCTATAAATAGCCTTTTGCTACCAGCCTCAGTCTAACACCTCGAAGTGGCTGGCGCAGCTGCCCAGCATATGTATGCTTGTACCTTAAATCGTCCTACCTCCATCAAAGTCGTTCGACAATACCTGAGCGGCTTGCGTGGCTTTGGGCGGTGAATTCGCGACGAAGCATATTTCCGTCCCAACCAAATTTCACACTTCTGACATCTCTCGACAACTGACCTTCGCTCTGATTGATTTTTTTTTTTTTTTTTTTTTTTAAAAGAAAACAGGTTTCGAAACCTGGTATCCTCTCTTTGTGCACGGCTTGTTATGCCTTAAGCACCATGATGGCCACCGACGATTATTCCCGCCAACAGGCGCAGGATGTAAACGGAAGCAAGACCCTGCCTTTGATGTCCCGCGATGAAATCGAGGACTTGATTGCCAACGGACGACACATCGTCATTTACCGCGAATATGTCTTGAAGCTTGATGCATGGCTCAAATACCACCCGGGAGGTGCCAAGTCCATCATGCACTTGGTTGGTCGAGACGGAACTGACTGGGTGGATGTGTACGTGAACCACGTCTCTGGTACGCATGCATGCATTGGACACACTGCTAATGCTTCCTTGTTACAGTCTGCATTCCGACGAGGCAAAACAGAAAATGCCGCGGTACCGCATCGGACGAATTGAGGGCTCCTGGCTAAATTTCAGACCACCTATCCAGGGTGGTGTCTTTCGGACCATGGCAGAGATCGAAGCGGATCGTAGCAAAGGCAAGTACGAGGTCACGACTGGAGACGATGCTAGCTCGCCAAGCTCTCGAGCTCCTTCACCGGTATTTGATGTCGATGCGGGAGCGCTGCGGGGTCGAAAGAATGCCTCTGGAACTGGATCGGCGAGATCAGGGTCAATATCATCGAATTCGACTACAGACAAGACGCCGCTTGACGGCATGTCTTATCTAGACACTGTCACCCGCGAGCACATTCGGCTTGATCTGGAGACCTACCCTGCTGTCGATGAAGCGACGCAGACCAACATCGCCGTCAAATACCGTGAATTGCACCAAAGGATCATCGATGCTGGCCTCTACAAGACCAGCTATTCTGCGTACGGCTGGGAATGCCTGCGGTACTTTTGTCTCTTCTCTACGATGCTAATCACTCTTCACTATGGCTATTATTTCATCAGTGCCTTGTCTCTTGGCTTCCTATGGCACCAGCTGGTTTTCACAGCTCACGATGCTGCCCACATGGGTATTACGCACAAATACTATATCGACACGTCTATTGGAATATTTATTGCCAATTTTATCGGCGGCCTCTCCCTCGGCTGGTGGAAGCACAACCACAACGTCCACCACATTGTGACGAATGCTCCTGAGCACGACCCTGATATTGAGCACATGCCCATTTTTGCCGTTTCGCACCGGCTTTTGGGTGATTTACGCTCTACTTTTTATGAGCGGGTTATGAAGTATGATGCTGTTGCGAAAGTCCTCTTGCGTATCCAACCTTGGACCTACTACCCGTTCTTGGCACTCGGCCGTTTCAACCTCTACGTTTTATCATGGGATTTTATCCTTAATGGAAAGGGACCCCGGAAAGGCCCGGCCGCAAATCATCGGTGGATTGAGCTAGTAGGGCAAGTATTCTTCTGGATCTGGTTTGGCTATGGCATTTTGTACAAATCGATACCTGATAACTGGTCGCGTTTTGTCTTCGTCATGGTGAGCCATATTGCGTCGTCTCCCCTGCATGTGCAAATTGTGCTATCTCATTTTGCCATGAGCACCGCCGACTTGGGGCCGCAAGAGTCATTCGCGCAGATGATGCTTAGGACGACAATGGACGTTGATTGCCCTCCCTGGCTGGACTTTGTTCACGGAGGCCTGCAGTTTCAAGCCATTCACCACATGTTCCCTCGGCTGCCACGACATAACCTACGCAAGGCACAGGGACTGATTATTGAATTTTGCAAAGATGTGGACATCCCGTACGCATTTTATGGATTCTCAAGAGCCAATGGCCAAGTCATTGGCAAGCTTGCAGAGGTCGCTCAACAAGCCGCGATTTTTTCCAAGTGTCAAGAAACTATCACAAAGACAAAGAATTTTGATATATAGATGTTAAAGCGCTCATAGATATATAGAATTATATACCTAGCATGGATAAAAGACAAGGGGACGGATGCACAGATATAATGAATACCGGGGAAAATAATTTGGGATATTTTTTGCGGCTTGCTTGAGATGTTATGCTATTTGAGAGATTAAAATGAAAAAAAAAAAAAAAAAAAAATTATCTATCGTGTTATATTGCAACAGATATTACCTCTAGGACTTTTTCTATCACAGCTGCTTTTAAGCCAAGACGTATAACCTCTGTAGGAGCAAGTGGTGTTGGGAGCGAACTAGCCGGCGATTTTACCAGCAGCGAATGTACTTTTAAGGTACTTTGGGGCTAGGTATACATGCTGGTTTCTAAGTGGCTCATATACGCATTAGCCTACTCACTGCGATGTACTGTTTAGAAAAACTGATGCGCCGTGCTATATTCACATCACGAAGTGAGTGCATATTTTTTTTTTCTTTTGCTATTTTCTTTACGTGCTCCTGCCCTCTGCCCCAATCTTGACGAATAAAACGACTTAAAGAAAAGAAAAAGGAAGAAAAGAAAGAATATTAGGGATTTAGATAAAGATAAAGATGTCTGACAGCGATGACGAACCTATGTAAAGATGCCTCTTTGCAACCTTCTATTCCTCTCGGGTTTCATTTTCAACGCTGACTCTAGAACACCACGCCAGCACTCTTTCGGCCCACGCCTTGGCTGCATTGAAGTCTTTTGAAGCCGAAAAAGACGAGCATCAGGCCAAATTCCAGAAACTGAAGGCCGAGGCAGAGAGCAATGCCCTTTTGTCCATTGATGCCTTTTCAGAAGATTGGAATGAGTCTCAGTTTTGGGTACGTTGAACGCTCTCTCTTCTCTCTCTCTCTCTCTTCAGATGTATCTTTTTTTCCCATGCGCATCTTACGTCTACTTCCGGGAAAAGGGGGAAAAAAAAATAATTTTTTTTTTGTCTTTGCGTCTTTTCACACGAAGGATGAACTGTAATCTTTGATTCTTTTAAATTACCCTGTTCACTCTTCATCTCTTGAGTACTACAAAGCTTAACAATGAAACCCGCTTCAAACCGCAGTATTCAGATGACACCGCAAATAAGCTGGCGACAGAACTTCTCAGAGATGCCACAAGTGACATGACAATCGGCGTTGTCTCAGCCCCGAGCGTTTTCGTTGCACTCAAGAATATCCTGGTAAGCAAATTCCACATCAGCCTGAACTTTGGGAGCATAGAACCCTCATAATAGCTTTTTTTTGGAAAAAAAAAAAGGAAAGTGGCTGACACGACCCATTCTATTCATTTTTATTCTAGCGAGACCGAAGTGATGACGAAAAGCCAAAATTGGTCCTCCTGGAGCACGACAACCGGTTTGGCGTCTTCTCCGAGTTTTACTTCTATGACTTTCAACAACCAGTTAGACTGCCAGGTATGAAAAGCTAACCTCCCCATGTATTATTCTGTATCTTTGAACGATACATATATATATATATCCAAGACTTGAGAACCTTATACTAACCTGAACGTGCACGCAGGTCATCTAAAGGGCTCTATTGACAGAATCATTTGTGATCCGCCCTTCCTGAGTGAGGATTGCCAGACCAAAGGTATAAAATCATTCTTATGCACTAGCAATTCGCCATCTCTCCTTGTAATTCTGTAAACTAATGCTAGCCATGTCTCTCTATAGCCGCATTGACCGTACGCTGGCTCCTCAAGCCAACCAATACCGGGACGCTACCTAGGCTCATTGTCTGTACCGGAGAGCGAATGGAGGACCTGATTCTTAAGCTCTACAAGGCACTGGGCGTGAAGACAACTGCTTTTGAGCCCAAGCATACAAGGGGTCTCAGCAACGAGTTCTACTGTTACGCCAATTTTGAGTGCCCAAATTGGAACTGGCGATAAAGCGATAAAGCGAGGAAGGCGTGGAAAATATCCCTAAAAAATATAGTCGTTTCGAACAAAACTGGTGCACGCATATTCGGGGTGTGATTTTGGGCAGCCCCAATAGGACGAATGCCGTACTGGCTTTGCCGCAAAACTCGATGGAGAGATGGGCTGCCGTCTATTTGCTTCATTGTATACGAATTCATCAATCATCCTGTACCCTAAGGTGGTAGGTATCGTGTAACGTATTTCTTCTTTTGATATATTATACAACAATGCTCGGCTTAAGCGAGTGATCGAATTATATAGAACAGTAAATATGCCTGGGCTCCAAGCACATCTGATACCTTGGCCAGCTCTACCTTGTGATCGTTGAATTTGAACCACTGACATTGTTAGTCGAAAAGAAAATACACAGATTATAGAATGAGAGATGCTAGCCATACCTGATCTCCAACTCGACAATATGACACATAGTGTCCGGTCTCAATCTCTCCAACATGAACAACGACACTCAAAAGGTCATATGTGCACGATCTCTCCAATTCCATGTTCTCGCGACTATCACGACTGCGAGCACGATTGGTGTAGGGAAGCATATTTAGCTGTAGCGGGAAACGGACAGTGTTGTCAATCTTAGAAGCAGATCGGTCGTGTTTCCCCTGTTTAAACTCAAATCTCTGTCATGCTGTATTAATACCAGAACCCAGCCTTTTTGACCTTCTCATCGATGCATCAAGGGATAGACAACTTACTTTTAGTTGAATAGACAGTACGTTTGGTAGGCGTTTAATGTTGGTATATCTTCGTGCCTGCTGTATTGATGCGCAGCTGTGGCATCTGTATTCGCACTTGTCCGACTTGACATACTCCTCGTCCAAGCAATCGTTCAGTGTAAGCGCAGGCAGCTTCTGTCCCGTCTTCTTGGCTCGCCTCTGTGCTAAAGTGTCGACACCTAGACTGAGATCTAGGAACGATTGGACGGCGTTGGTCTGTCCACCGCAATTCTGACATGCTGTAGTTGTTTGCATTTTGCCGTAGAATGTTTGATGGATAATGCAGCTGCATGTATGCTCACTCCCACTCTGTGGCCTTTTGCCGTCGCCATTTCGCTCATGCAATTCTTCAGCCAGAAATTGGAAAAATTCATGAGCATCCTGCTCTTTCGTTGTCACGAGATTCTCAAAAGCTTTCTTCTCTGAAATCCAGAATCCAGACAGGATGCTGGCCGCTGTATAACCGTTAGTGCTCTCCAGAGCATAGAAATCCTGGAACATGTCATCCATAGCACAGCTCAGGCAGTATGGGATGCTACAGTCGCTGCTCTGATGTCCGTCGCTGAGATAAAAGTTGCGCAGGAGGGGATTGTGGAGGAAGCTCTGAAGCACAACGTTCTGGTAGCAGGTTGCCCCTGCGTTGTAGATGCCACGAAGTCCACTGGCCCGGCATGATGCAGCGACTGTGTTGGCTGAGATGAGGCGAGGATCGTCTTTTCCTGAGTCTGCAAATAGTTCGTCGTGCTTTCGTTTTCGGTTCGCTGGGATGGTGTGTTAGGTAAAGGAAGATTATCAATTGACGGTTAGGTAGAGGAAGAAAGAGGGACAAAAGGTGAAATAAAGGCTTTCTTAACGAGCTGAGCTCAACATGTACGTACTTGAAAATGTTCCAGTCCCTATCTTTCGCACTCTGAGTTCCTCAAACGTAGGATCCCAAACAAAGTCATCGCATATTTGGCAATAGAGCGAGCCGTTGCGAGAATCAACGTCTGTAATTATAAGTAAGTAAACAAAAGCGCAATGGCAGTATCAAGACAGCCAAAGCAAAAGCCATCACATACAGAATCGATGTAGTTTTTCGGTCCCATGGTCCAAACGATCGGCTTCCTCCACCGTTACGGGACATTGTAGGCATAGATAATTCGAGGTGAGCGAGGTAACGGGACGGCCTTCTGGGTTCGTTGACGTCTGGGGAATAATGGGGCTTGTATCGAAGATTCCTCGAAGTATCATCTTGTAGTGCGCTATAGAGCTGTTCATGACCTCTTGGCTCTGCGAAAGAAGTAGTTGGACATGCTCTGCAAGGAAGTCGGTCAGCATAGAGTCTCGTTGGTTTACTTGATGCATCACACGCACCGCAGCCGAATACTGGATTCCCCGGCGAGGGAGATTTGATCTTGGCATTTTTGGGCGATGCGGGAGTCGCCGGTCGAGCGGACATGGCGACTGTGTGGGAATGGATATGATCTCTCTCTGTTCGACGCGCCAATCGATGTAGGGCTAGAATACCGGCTGCAAACGGCTGAAGAGTTGGGAGCCTCTGCGTCCTGTGCGGATCGTCGTAAAGTAGAATCGTGAAGTATTGGTATGAATTGCTGGAATAAGGTGGCTGCTGAGGAGGGAAAAGGGTATCAGTGCAGGCAAAGACGTAATAATCCAAGACTGGATCCGGGGTCGCACGCGCTGTGCCTTGGGAAGTGCCGCTGTAGCGTATCTGCAGATCGCATCAGGTAGCTTGCGCTATAATAGAGTGCGTGCCTTGCCTTAGTAGCCTGCTTTATAGTTCACTAGCGGCCAATAACAGGGTCTGCATTGGCACTCTCGGGGGATTTTTCATGGAGGCACGGGTGCTTGCGTGGATGTCTTGAAATAGATAATTACTATGCACGAATATATATCCTGTCTAAATGCACGGATTCTCAGCGTGTAGCCGTGGTAGCGGCACTGCTATCGGGAACATACTTGCGCCAACATGAGGTGGTCCTTTGTCCCCAGCGCTACCCCGGCCCAGTAATCCGCCTTTGTCATCATGCTTAGGCACATTCGAGTGCGGCTGCTAGCGGCAGAGAGACTATCTCGCAGCCTTATCTTGTAAACTCTCCCAAGCCCATGCTTTTTTCGTTTATTAGTCAAAGTCAACCCGAGTTCTCTCTCTTTTCCAGTAAACAAACAAACAAACAATGCCCCAAAACTCAAACCAAAGCCAGCAGGCTTCCTTCTCGGCGCTCTACCTGCAGAGAGCCACACAAGAGCTCTCGGAGGACCTGGATAAAATTCGCAACGCCGATGACTTCAAGGTCGAATCCGTGCCGTTTCTTGTGCACGCGCTGCAGCAGGGCGCCCAGCAGTTCTCTGCCTCGCAGCAAAATGCAGTCCTCAAGACCTCCGAGAACCGCCAAGGCTGAATTGGTGGTGCAGAAATAATATTTGCTGTCACTCTTAAACACAATACACTTTCGTCATGGTAAATTTCCTTGCAACGCGGTATCTTATCGGCGATAAGTTTTCATTCGCAACTGACTCCTGGCTGCAAGATACCCTATAGAGCCGGGAAAGCTCACCCATTCATTCATCGCATAGTGTGTCTTACCTGCTTGAACAACATGGGATAATATAAGGAGCATCGGTTATTGGCTATTGGATATTGTACTTAAAAAACATAATGGGTAATGAATCTTTATATGTGCTAAACTCCAACTTTTCAACATACTGCTTTATAGGAGAGAACTTACGCTGGGAAAAATGATAGGGAAAAATAAATTTACCATAAAAAAATCGTATCTTTTCGACAAAATAACGGATTTAAATCATCATCTCTGTGCATTTGATTGAAAGTCTAAGCCAAATGCTTCGTCATCAAATTCATTACATCTCTGCTTCTCCTGTCGTAAAACTATCTACTATATCTAAAAACGAACGTGTGGTGGTATCATCAAAGCTAAAGGTATCCGATTCGCCTCCAAGTATATGTATGAAAGGGTATCTATAATTAAGAAAGAAAAAAAAAATAAAAAAAATAAAATAAAATAAAAAGCAGCCGTCGCATCAATGTCGTATAGAATGAGAATTTTTGCTTTCCCAAGCACTGGGAATTTAGGGTCGGATTGATCAACCAAAAATAAGGATCGTTTCAGTACCGAAAACTGGTATTGCGTCTCGGTGCTATTTCGTGTTGAACGTCAACACTGTGATCAGCGAGTAGGATTGGAATTTCCCTTGATGAGAGAAACTTGAAACTAGGCAAAGGCAGGTGCCCGAGACTTGCGCTCCTTACGAATTGCCCATCCCTTGAGAGCCAAAACGAGAAGCTCCCAAGCCATAAACAAGCCTGTTGCGCCCAACACCATCGTGTAGAGGGGCATAGCATCGATCTTGTAATGAAGCATGCCCTTGACGGTATCGGCGCTCTGCTACAGTTAGCCTCCACCTATAAAAAAGAAGAGAACTATCGCCACACTTACACTATACATGAAAATAATGCCACCGGCAATGAGGCCAAACGATGCCAGAAGCTCAGTCGGGGGTCGCGATGGGTGAATCGACTTGGGCGGCTTTAGCCACATGATGACATATGTGAGCATTCTGGCACACGCAGCGCCAAATAGCAAATCGCCCCACTGCTTGTGAACCATGGTGCCTGTCGCTGATGTTTGAGTGTGTCCGCCCATCATGATACCGAGGAAGAGGATGATCAGAGCCGGAAGGGGATTGCTGGAGAACTCATAAGTTGCAGGAGACTCGAGGGCAGCGCGCTCTTCGTCGGAAGGCTCCACTTGGCTTGGGATTGTCACCATGGTGTTTAGCAGGTCTCTCATTCGTGTAGATTCAACAAGCAAACCGGCCTATTGCAATATCAGTAAACAAGACTATCTGAGGGAGACAAAATTAGTCGCAATTGAGTGAGGCTTACCGAACCGCCTCCAAGGAAAAGGACGGTGATGGAGAGATGCTCCAGGTCACTGGGTCTCCAGACGCCATCTTGGCTGCCCAGGTGCTCCAGGAAGATATTGGTGGCGCCGTAGAAGGCAATCAGACCGCTCTCAACGAATTCCGCGGAGGGAACCCAGCGCTGGCCAGCTTTCCTCTGACGACGCAGATTCCACGACCACCCCGATTCGTAGAAGCTTCCCGCCCAGCGACCCAGCGTAAGAAGACCCATCCAGAAGAAGATTCCTCCCTTGATCCAGTGAGCGAGTCCATTAAAAATTGCAGGGCCCTCCTAGAAAAAAAAAACGTCAGTTAAGTTTTTTTTTTTTTTTTTTTTTCAGATGGTTAAAAAAAAAGGGTAAAACGCACAAAAAGTCGTCCATAGGTGGCGATGCCAGAAGTATACGCAATAAAGCCAAAGGGCAGGATGATGCGATCCACAGCCTTGTATCCAAAATCGATATACTTCCAGACCTTGGAAGACAACACCTTGATCGCCATCAAAGTCGTCTTGCTCTGCGGCTTCACCTCGGGCATGGGCATAATTGGGCCATCGAAGTCATCCTCCTCCTCCTCGTCCAATTCCTTGTTGAAAGTGGACATGGGCTGGTGCTCATGGTCGCCCAGCGTTGAGATGGAATTGCTGCGCAGGGACTCAGTGGTCGGCTCCGAGCCCTGGCCGCTGTCGTTGGACAGGCGATCGCCGTAGTAGTTGCTTCTAGCTTCCGGGGCGTCCGTGGCAAGTGGGATGAAGGAGCGGCGCTCTTCGGCTAGCTCGCTGTCGGAGCCCTTGAAGGCCCCGCCAACGCGCCGGAGCAGGCTCACCACGACCTGCGCTGAGACGACCCAGGTGATGACCCAGCCAACGCGGTGGTGGGCGTTGTTGGGGAACAGATCCGGCGTTGAAGCGTTGTAGATAGTTCCCAGGATCAGGCCCAGCGCATTGGTGCCCAGGAAGACGAACTGCGACGGGAGAACGTAGCGAGACTTGGCCAGCGACAAGAAGACGGCTTTGTTAAAGGCCGTGTTAGTATATACAAGCTCTGCTTTTTGATTGCTCCATCAACTGGGGCCAGGCAAGGATATGACATACCAACGGGAAGGAAAATCACCCAAGCCAGTGTCATGAGGGCAATGTGAGCAAACATGAGCTGGCGATGCTCCGGATGGGCAAAGTAGGTGGGAGGATATTCTGTGTCGTCCGGCGGAGCATCGTCCATCTCCATCCCCCCTCCATGGCGGCGGCCATTGGCAGCTATCACGGGAAGCGCAAAGCTCAAGCCAAGCACCGCAATGCCGGCGAGTCTACTGCCGAACGCAGCTGATTTCATAGGGGACGTTGGCTGTGCAGCTCGATTCTCCCAAACGATATTCAAGAATGTAGGATCTAGGAATGAGCGATAGAGAGTCGTTTAAACGGCAGCGCCGTGTGGCGAGCTCTACAATCAACCGGCAGCAAAGGCTCCGCGCGCGCAGAGGCCTCAGAGTGACAATCAAGGAGTATAGACAGAATACATATATGGACACCTCACTCAGCGACCGGGGTGAGATATGGCTTCGACAGGAGATGAAATACGCAAACTACTGCGAACAAAAGGAGATCATATGCAAGAACAACTCCAGCTTCATCTACGAGTGTCATAGGCGGGTGGGTGGCTGGCTTTAAAAAGAAGACGAGACGGCAGCTTACACAAAGCCGCTCCATCCCGCCGCCAGCGGGACCTGAGCGGCATTGATCTCGGGCTGTGATTGACAATCGTCATGGCAGCTGTCAAGGTCGAGTTACCTCGTTTGTGGGCTGTTGCTGTTGCTGGAAGATGAGGTCGAGCTCCGAGGCTTCCGAGCCTCGCGCCTTGTGTGTACTGCTACTTGTGTGCAGATGCGGTCAGGAAGCGTACCCAGGCCTGCCAAGGTAGGTAGTAGTGAGAAGCAGCAGAGCTCAAGTGGACATGACAAGAAGAAAAAAAAAGAGCCATCTCCACTAATGGATGCGCCGAGTGGGGGCTTTGTTTCCTCTTTGAGCGGTTTCGGGAGGCTGATGATTGATGTACTGCCGGGTCGCGCCTAAAGAAACTTCCCATCCAGCTGTGTAAGTCCGATGGTGTAAGTGGTTGGGTCGTCTTGCCTTGCCCCTAGCTACTCGAGATATCAGCTGTGAGTCAGTCCGGCTAGCCTGCCTGGAACTATTACTGATCTACTGCCTAGGGAGCTTTAGGCCATCACATGTCTCTCCGCTGCAGCGACTGGCTCCTGGCTACTGGGCGTTTGAAGCTGAATGTGCCAAACAGAGCTTGAGAGCTACGGGAATAGGCAATGGCGGCGGCGGCGCCAGCTCAGACGCAGTGCGATGACGCACTGTTTCCTGGAGAACCCTGGCGCGACGTGCGGCGCTTCGGCTGTCTGCTACAAGCGACTGCTACCACAGCCAAGCTATGATATATGGGTGTTGACATGGCAGCGGTAGGAGTACCCAGTTGTCGTAGCCTTGCTAGCGATCATACGAACACCCAAGCCGGCTCCTGCTGGGTCTTGCATCCGGACTTTTTCAGGCAACTAGCACTACTACTGCTCCAGATGGTTTGGTCGTTATTACGGAGCCGACCCTCCTTGACTAACAGTGTAGGATCATGCAGCGATCGCGATGCGCTTCATCGACATGTACAAGTACTCACGCAAGTATGGTCTCGCGCTCTGGTGTCTCTGCACCTCAGAACTCGTACAGTACTCCAAGGACGCAGTGCCATAGCGTTCGGCCGGGTATGGTAGCCGAGATAACGGCGCTCAGAGTTGTCGTTCTTGAACGCGTGTAAGTGAGGTCCCAGTTAATACGCATACCTACGCAATACGCACAACATGGAAGTATACGCCCTGCGGTGAGGAAGTACCCGATACTTGATGCTTCCACCAACGAGTAAGAAATCTCCATCTCCACAAACATGGCCTTTTTTCCCTCTCTTTTTCTTTCTTTTCTTCTTCTCTTTTTTCCCATCGCAACCTCTTCGCCGGTGATTCCGGAGCAGAGATCGGACAACGGAGCGCGACCATCGGCTGAGTCCCCACAAACGACGTGACGAAATGGCTGGAAAGCTGCAAGCTCCCCACTTTAGGCCTCTTGGCGCGCTGGGATCCGTGATTGATTTGCTGCAGGTGGGTTTGGTTTATCTAAGAGGGAGAGAAAAAAAAAGAAAAAGAAAAAGAAAGAAGAATTTGCAACCCTTGTCGCCCACATCGGGTCATATGACGGTATTGTATTTTGTATTTTGTATCATGTACTTTTATGCTTATGGCAACTCCTCCTCTTACTGCTGCTGTTGCTACTGCTGATCTCTTATCCTTTCCTATTTTCTCCTGGTGTTTTATCACCCACTGGCCGAACATCGGAAGCGAAAGACATATGTAATAGATACCCAGTGTTTCGTGCCTTGGTAGTAGTATCTCAGTCAAGTAATATGTCTATTACTTAGGCCTACTATACAGCGGGTGAGAAAACGGCTTGCGCGCAGATGCTAGTGGTAACGGTAGTTACAAGATCTCACAGCAACGCCGCCACCTCTTTTTATTTTTTATTTTTTTACTAGATACTTACCCCTCCAACCCACCTGTTTTCTCCCCCTCTCGTTCTGCTGCGTACCTTGCCTGTCTTTTCTTACCCCATCAAGTCCTGCTTATTCCTCCGCACGTTTGTTCTCCGCTCTTACAACCCGAAATCCTTCACCCACTGCCGGGATGGTGGCGTGACCCCTACCAACGTGGAAAGCCGTGTCGGCATCGATTGGTGCAATGTGATGGACAGCCTCCCCACCCGCCTGTAGGCTACGATTGGCATAGCCAGCATCTGCTAATTCTAACGACTAGCCATATCCTGCAAGCTTCAGTGTTCTCGCGGCCCCACGAGCAAATTTCAACTCGCGCCCGGCATCCCCTGGCCCGCGAGTGAGAGTGCCGTAATACTGCCTATTGCTGCCAGAGGGCGCCGAAACCCGCGGACATTGTCAGATTTCGCCCGATAATCTCCGTTTCGCTCTCTGTGACCGGATTACTAAGTACTAGGTAATTGATCTTGCGGCTTCATGATGGATTTGGTCATCAATCAAGAGGTACATGGTTTCTAATAATTCGGAATTACAATATACAAAGATTATCAGTCTAATGGAAAACGAAAGAGTAATCAAGCTCTATCAGCCGCCCTTGAAAGAGAACAGGTTTTTGACGCTGTAGAAATGATGTGATTTTCTTCGCTTTTTCTTGTCACTTCTTTTCTCTCTTTTCCTCTTTAGGAGCTGGATTCAACCACCGTATTGCCGTATTGTCTAATTTTAGACAGTAGAATACAACCTTCAATGATACACGCATATACATACAAAACGCTGGTGGAACGCTGAGAGGGGGAAAAGAATGACATTGTGCGCTCCAATCACATCAACCTGCTACATGGACCATATTATACAAATATTTAGCTGTTGATATTAATCCTACCACTTTGGATAATGTTTACTCTATTATGTACTAGCATATCCTAATTCGTAATTACTCTGACATTAGCTAATGTTAATGGTGAACTCCTAAGTGATTAGAGGAAAGGAAGCTTTACATTGCAGATGAAGAGTTTAATCTCCTTGAACAGCCAACATATATATTATTTACAGGGTATAATTTTTTTTAATTACGCAAGACAAGGCTTGTCTGTCTTTTGCCTTTTATATATGTAAATACAGTAGTTTATCTTACATTATGGTACTTTAAGCGGGCAGAAGCTTACAAATTTATATAGCAAATGGAACTAACTACCTCTACAGATATGGAGATTATCCCCTTAGATGGCAAAAGAGTAAAAAAATACGTTGTTTGAATAGCGCAACTTTTTAACTGCGCAAGATATTGTGTCTTTCTCTCTGCCTCATGTATAAGGATATAACTCATCCTGCAAGGTGGCGCTTTAGCAGATTTTGCATGATGGTATATACCTTGGCTTTTATAATATTCGAAATGAAACATCGGCACTGCATGCACGGAATGAAAATGAATTTATGGTTGTTTCTGGCACCATACAACTCCATGGAAATCCGGTAAATAAATGACCCGGTTGGCCTGGGTCTTCTAGATGGCTTTGATCTGCTAAATGGCCTTGATCTAGCTACATCCTAGGGCACTCTCGAGCAATTCTCCGAATACACTAGCGGATATGCCAAGGTAGACAAAGGGATTGCTATCAAAGACGAACAAGTTGGCGCTGCCCCAGAAGGCTGCTCGCTCAAACAAATGGAGGTTCGATGTCGCTTCTGCCTTAAAGTTAAGGCCAAGATGCAGCCTTGCAAAACTCAGCCTTGCATTATTATAGTGCTAAAGTCTACTATTACTCACTGAAAATAAAACATACTACTAGTAGTCTGTCTACTGTGTATCCACTGCGGGCTTTATATATAAACGAGGTTTGTGCACCTGGATGCAAAGCAAATCTGCCTGTCTAATTTACCACTGCAATCCTGCACCCGACTGCACTCGCCCACCATGCTGTCTCGAAGTATAGTTACCATCGCTCGCATGGCGCCGATGCGCCAAATGCGCCCATCTTTCCGACAGGGACTTCCAAGCTTGATACGGCACTATGCAGACAAGATTATCCAGGTCCCGGTGATGGCCGAATCGATATCCGAGGGCACTCTCAAGCAGTTCTCCAAGTCAATTGGCGATTATGTCGAAGTGGACGAAGAGATTGCCACCATCGAGACGGACAAGGTATGCTTGCTATTGACCCTAGCTATGGCTTCTACTCTTCTCACCACCGCTTGTGCCTACAGATCGACGTGGCCGTCAACGCGACAGAAGCCGGTATTATCAAGGAATTTTTCGTCAACGAGGAGGATACCGTTACAGTTGGCCAGGATTTGGTTCGTGTTGAGCTTGGTGGCGAGAAGCCGGCGTCTTCAGGAGAGGCAGAGGCAGAGAAGCCCAAGGAGTCTACCCCTGCAGCCTCCGAATCAAAACCCGCTGCAGAGCCAGAACAGCCGAAGTCACAACCTGCGCCCAGCGAGAGCGAGAAGCCTGCGCCGCCGCCCCAGAAACCTGCGGAAAAGCCTTCAGGGGCAGCGGCGCCTCCAAAGGTTGAGCCAGTAGGCGGAAACCGCGAAGAGCGCCGGGTAAGTTACCTCTCAGTTCCGATACTTTCTCTAGCTTGTCTAATTGAGGAATTTAGGTCAAAATGAACCGTATGCGATTACGTATTGCTGAGCGCCTCAAGCAGTCCCAGAACACTGCTGCATCACTGACGACTTTCAATGAGGTTGACATGTCCGGCATTATGGAATTCCGAAAGCTTTACAAGGACGAAATCTTGAAGAAGACTGGCGTGAAGCTGGGTTTCATGAGCGCCTTTTCTCGCGCCGCGGTTTTAGCGATGCGGGATATTCCGGCGGTCAATGCTTCCATTGAAGGCCCTAACGGAGGTGACACTATCGTATACCGCGATTATGTCGATATCAGCGTCGCCGTTGCTACGGAGAAGGGCCTGGTTACTCCCGTGGTGCGGAATGTGGAGTCTCTGGACATGGTTAGCATCGAGAAGGCTATTGCCGAGATGGGCAAAAAGGTTGGTAGCAGCAGCACCACATGTCGAGTTGGTGGCATTGCTAACGTTAAATAGGCTCGTGACAACAAGCTCACGATTGAGGATATGGCTGGTGGTACATTTACTATCAGCAACGGCGGCATCTTTGGCTCCCTGATGGGAACCCCGATCATTAACCTGCCCCAGAGTGCTGTCCTGGGTCTCCACGCCATCAAGGATCGTGCCGTGGTTGTCAACGGAAAAGTGGAGGTTCGCCCGATGATGTATCTGGCGCTTACATATGACCACCGTCTGCTCGACGGAAGGGAAGCGGTCCAGTTCCTTGTCAAGATCAAGGAATACATTGAGGACCCCAGGAAAATGCTTCTATAAGAACCTTTCCTTTCCCTTTCCTAGTATTGCGTACCTGAAGATAGCGGTAAACTCTTTAATCCGAGAATGTCGTACCTACAAGGCAACGGAGGGTTTTGGTAAGGGGCTTGGTGATAGCCACGCTGGACGTAATAGTCACGGGCCGTATGAGATAATAGATCCTTTAACAGAGGAAAATAGTGACTGATTGTAATAGATGGTATAGCGAATGTAATAATTTTGCCTGCTCATAGCCTAAAGTAAAAATATAGAGGCAGAGGCAGTAGAGGCGGTAGAGACAGTGTAAACCTAGGTACGGAGTATAGCTACCAGAGTTATAGCATTTTTCAATCCTTAGGTATGTTATTGCCAATTCCAATTCAAGCGTTTAAAATTAATCTAGTAGTCACAATTGAAATATTGTATAAGTGTGTGCAACGGAAATGGAAAAAGTCAAAAATGTGCATTCATGTTGCAGCGATTAAGTTCGTTCTTTTTTTTTTTCTACTCCAAAGAAATTCTTCTCATAGAGTCCTTTTAAATGGGAGTTTATTACTGCTTATACTACTACTAATAACCGTTAGTGGGGAAGGGACCCCGTAGGTTAGTACGTCATTCCGTATTTTTTTTTTTTTTTTTTTTTTNAAAAAAAAAAAAAAAAAAAAAAAAAAAAAAAAATTCGCTGTATAATTTTGGTGCTTTGCGCTCTCCTCCCGCCGCCATGCCGTCCACTGACGTTGCAGAGATTCAAAAAAAGCTCTTCAAGCGCATGGGCCTGAGTGTACCAGAAGACAAACAAAAAGCACCAAGGCGCCCGTTCAAACAAACCAAGGGAAATTTCAGTCAAGTGTCGCGTCGCAAAGCTGAAAGAGCGCAAAAAAGGACACAGCATCACCCAAGGCAGGCTCTTCCTGCTAGAAAACAAGCCAATGGCATCAATTCTACTCGCCCAGAGAGAACCTCACAACGCCCGAAAGGTCCTCCGGCAAAATCATTACCAAGTGACGACAGCCAGAGTGACAGCGATGGCTCTGAAGTACCGGTTGACGAGGAAGAGGATGACTTCTCGCGAGAATTCGACGACGGCGAAAGCGAAGGCTCTGAAATCGAAGACGGAGACGACTTTGGCTTAGAGGACGAGAGCGAAAGCGAGAGCGATGCTGAGGGCGATGCGGATAGCGATGCCGAGAGCGATGAGGCACAGTCATCATCGAAATACGAGGGGATTTCTTCAAGAGTTCGCGAGCAATTGGCTCAAGATGATAAGGAAATCGAGGAACTCGAAAAGAAACTACGCATCAAGAAGGGATCTTCATCGCTGCCGAAGTCTTTTAGAGATGATGGGCTCGACGAAATTTTAGGCGATGTTGGGGCGGAGTCTGAAACGAAAGAAGCTGATGATAGTCTCAAAAGAAAGCGGCAGTATGACGACTGGCTAGCTTCGAAAAGGAGGAAAGCTGAAGGCGCTTCAGCTGCCCAGGGCGACTCTGCTATATTAGATGGCTCAGAAGATGAGGACGAGTTCGATTTTTCAGACGATGAAAGCGACAACCACGACCGAGAGGAAGGCTCATCAAATCATAAACAGGCCAAAGTGAAAGAAAATCCATATGTGGCCCCGACCGCAGGAGCAGTAGTCGCCAAATATGTGCCCCCATCGTTGCGAAAAGCTGCCAATTCAGATTCAGAAATCAAGATGCGGCTGCAAAAACAGATCCAGGGTCTGGTGAATCGTTTGACAGAGGCAAACATCCTACAAATTGTCAAATCTGTCGAGGATCTTTACCAAAACAATGCTCGCGGTGACATCACCGAGATTCTTACGAGTACACTTTTGGCGCAAATGTACAAGTCTTCAAGTGTTCCGGACCAATTCTTGGTTCTCACAGGTGGCTTTTCCGCCGCGGTTTACAAAGTGATTGGATCTAGCTTTGGATCCCACCTGACGCAACAGGTGGTTGTGAGCTTCCAAGGCTCATACAAGAGTATCACGCAGGAAGGGGTTGACTTGTCAGAAATTCCAAAAGAAGCGTCAAATATTCTTGGATATCTCACACAATTATACCTATTCGAAGTTGTGAGCTGCAAGATCATCTTTGATTATATGGAGAGGCTTCTCACCGAGTTGAACGAGCTAAATGTTGAGCTTCTTCTACGTATCTGCCGCATGGCGGGCCGCCTTCTCCGGCGTGATGATCCAAATGCGCTCAAGCACGTTACATCCATTTTGAACAAGGCAGTTGGCGAAATTGGGCCCGCTAACCTGTCTGTACGTACAAAGTTCATGGTTGAGACGATTAATGATCTTGGCAAGAGCAAGCCAAAGGCTCGAGGATTGGACTCTGGTATTGTATCAGATCACGTTCTCCGCATTAGAAAGAAGCTTGGTGAGCTCAAGTCACAGTCTCGGAGACTCGATGGTCTCGCACCCATGGGCTTGAGCCTGCAAGACATAGAAAAAGCAGATACTCGAGGCAAATGGTGGCTGGTGGGCGCAAGTGTCCCAGCAAAAGAGACTTATCAGGATTTGGAAAAAGAGTCAACATCCGCACCGCAAAAGAATGGCAGGGATCTGACAGACGACGAGGATATGGATATTGTACTGCCCGATTACTCGAAGAAAGCTCGCGGCCAAGGCTTCCACACCTCAGCACAAATAGCTATATTTACTGCTCTCATGTCCGCGACAGACTATGAACATGGGTATCGACAATATGCTAGCCTCAAGCTGAGAAAAGACGATCAAAACGAGATTGCACGCGTTCTCGTACAGTGCGTCGGGAGTGAAGCAAACTACAATGAATACTACGCACTCGTGGGCAAGCAGGCCTGCATAAACAACAAAATTAGGTTTGCCTTTCAAGACAGGCTTTGGAGGATATTCCGGAGTCTTGGCGAGCTTATGTTCGGCGAAGAAGCAGAAGAGGAAGAGACTGCCGACAGTGAAAAGATGAAGGACGAGCGGCGCCTTGGCCATGTGGCGCGCTTCTACGCGACTCTGATATCTAACGGGGCCCTAAACATCAATATATTGAAGCCTTTACATCTTTCTAGGCTGAATTCATGGACGCTCATGTTTATTGAGCAGCTCATAGTCAGCCTCCTGCAGGCCTGTCGAGGTAGCAATGAAGACAAGGAGAGCGCCCGGGTGGCCAAGATCTTTGGCGCGGTGGCAGATATGCCGTCACTTGTGGCGGGCTTGGAGTGGTTTCTTCGGAAGAAGATCCGGAAAAGCAAGCTGTTAACGCCAAAGGAGGCGAAGAGGCTGGAAAGGGTCAGGGGAAAGGCTGAGGCTGTTGTACAAGCTCAAGCGGCCAGAGAAGTCTAGGGAAGCCAAGAAAAACTGGCCTCAGAGAGGTGTTTCCTAAACGACACCCAGAACATATATATAAACCACAGATATAGATATAGAATACGTAGATTGGTAGCTGCTTGGACGTGCAAGCGGAGCATAATGCCCCTTTTGAAACGAGGTTGCCGAGGATAATGACGCTCTACGAAAACTGCCAGGAACCGGCGTGACAATAAAAAAGGGATACTAATTTTGTCATCGTATTGCCCCGGTCTGCCCGGCGAATCCTCGTCCAGCAGCGGCAATTCGCCAAAGGGCAAGGATCTGTCAGCCTTGGTTCCCCTTCCATGGCTGTTGATATAGTCTTGCTCGGGATAAATGTACTGAGACAGCTAATTGTTCCTTTGTTCCTCTGTTAGGCAACTTCAGCTCTCCGGGGGGCGTCCCGCCTCTAAGCGAGAGAGGCCGATTTACAGCGCTGAACAAGAGGGGTACGTAGCGATACCTCGTGACGACATGTCGAGGGGCAAAAAAATTGAGAGTAAAAAGCTGGAGTCGCGGGGCTGCTCTGCTCGCCCAGCAGCATTGGCCGCCGCCCAGCACCCAGCACGGAGTACCGAGCTAGTATCCTGCTAGTACCTTTTGCCAGTCCCCATTGTTCAGGTAATCAAGCAGTGGCCAGCGCGCTGGGACTCAGCGGAGCTTCCCTAAAACCGGCCGGCTATGCTATAGGCCCAAGCCGATGCACTTCTTTTCGATCTCCAAACCGTCTACAATCTTCTCCATCAATTCATCATATCGCTCCCAGTAACGGCTGCCCAGCATGCTCGCGAGCCGCCTGATACCCCGAAGTGCCATCCGCACGCTGCCGAGCAGGCAATTGGCGTGAGTGCCCAGCTCCCCTCTAGCAGTCGCCATCTGCCATTGTGGAAAATCTCTCGCGCAGCTAACCCGCATCTTTTTTTGAGCAGGTCTCCCGTCGCCGCGCCAGTCCTGTCACGATGGGCCCGAGGATTCGCCTCTGCTTCTGGTTCGTAGCCGTATCCTGCCTACTCTGGCTTGCGCAAGATTTATACACATGCTAACGGGGGGGTTTAGAGGAGAAGGACCTGATTATCATCGGTGGTGGTGTTGCCGGATATGTTGCAGCTATCAAGGCTGGACAGGAGGGCATGAAGGTGAGAAAAAAAGAAAAACAAAATAAAAAAAACCTCCGAGGCTTTTCTTTCTCTGCCCTGAGCAGTTGATATTCAGAAACTAACTGATTTCTGCGAATAGGTTGCGTGCATTGAGAAGCGAGGCACCCTTGGTGGCACCTGTCTGAACGTCGGCTGCATTCCCTCAAAATCTCTGCTCAACAACTCACATCTGTACCACCAAATCCTTCACGACTCAAAAAACCGAGGTATTGAGGTCGGCGAGGTCAAGCTGAACCTCCAGAACTTCATGAAAGCCAAGGAGACCGCCGTCACTGGCCTGACTAAGGGCGTTGAGTTCCTCCTGAAGAAGAATGGCGCAGAGTATATCAAGGGCACTGGTTCTTTCATCAACGAGCACGAAATCAAGGTCAACCTCAACGACGGCGGTGAGTCCGTCCTTCGTGGCAAGAACATCCTCATCGCTACCGGTTCTGAGGCTACCCCCTTCCCTGGCCTCACCGTCGACGAGAAGCGCGTCGTCACCAGCACTGGCGCTATTGCTCTCGAGAAGGTCCCCGAGACTATGACCGTTATCGGAGGTGGTATCATTGGTCTCGAGATGGCCTCAGTTTGGTCACGATTGGGAGCCAAGGTCACCGTCGTTGAGTTCCTCGGCCAGATCGGCGGACCTGGCATGGATACCGAGATTTCCAAGGCTACCCAGAAGATTCTCAAGAAGCAGGGCATCGAGTTCAAGCTCAACACTAAGGTTGTCAGCGGAGACACCACCGGCGAGCTTGTCAAGCTCGATATTGATGCTGCCAAGGGCGGCAAGCCTGAGAGCGTAAGTAACCAACCAGATGGCAATCACAATATTTTCGGGTAGCATCGGTGCTAACGTGCATCACAGATTGACTCTGAGGTGGTTTTGGTCGCCATTGGCCGAAGACCCTACACCCAGGGCCTGGGCCTTGAGAACATCGGACTTGAGCTGGACGAGCGAGGTCGCGTCATCATCGACTCTGAATACCGAACCAAGATCCCCCACATCCGCTGCATCGGTGATGTTACATTTGGACCCATGCTGGCCCACAAGGCTGAGGAGGAGGCCGTTGCCGTCGTCGAGTACATGGCCAAGGGTCACGGCCACGTCAACTACGGATGCATCCCGTCCGTCATGTACACTCACCCCGAAGTCGCCTGGGTTGGCCAGTCAGAGCAGGACCTCAAGAGCCAGAACATCCCCTACAAGATCGGCACTTTCCCCTTCAGCGCCAACTCCCGAGCCAAGACCAACCTCGACTCTGAGGGTCTCGTCAAGATTCTTGCCGACCCTGAGACCGACCGTCTTCTCGGCGCCCACATCGTTGGACCTGGCGCCGGTGAGATGATTGCTGAGGCTACTCTGGCTCTCGAGTACGGTGCCTCCAGCGAGGACATTGCCCGAACCTGCCACGCCCACCCCACGCTGTCTGAGGCTTTCAAGGAGGCTGCCATGGCCACCTACGCCAAGGCCGTGCACTTCTAAGCTGCGTCGTTCTGGTCTAAAGCCTGGTGTGGCATAGGGCTGATGAATGATCTGGCATTGTTGGAGGGAAGCTGTCTTCCAGCCGATTTGGCTATTCGTAGCGACAAAACGAGAAAAGGAAAGAAAATTAGATAGAAATTGGGGATGTAGTGAAGCATGGCTGCATACCCCAGGGTTGCTAGGGAGGTGAAGCGTCAAACTTAAGCTGAATCTATTTGTAGAGTCGCCGAGTTTGCTCATGAGTTGTATAATATTATAAAATAATAAAGCTACAAAGACGCAATATTTATGATTTAGATAACTAGAGATTGTGCTCGTAGCGCAATGCCAGAGTAGTACCGCCCCAGTATAGCATAGAAACTGTGATTGATTGATTGATTGATTGATTGATTGATTGAATGATTTGTACTAAACCCAAGCAGAACCTCTTTGTCTTGTAGTACCAGCAAGCAACGCTTTGTTGCTGTGGGAGCAGCGCTTGGCTATCAACACGATGGAGAAAAAAATCTAATGCTTTAATATCCATGCCTAACCGGTCGTGTTTCCCATTATAATAAACACCACCGATAGAACGCCCAAAATTCCAACCATCCAGAATCCAAATTCTAAATTCCGAATTCTCCAAAAAAAAAAAAAAAAAAAAAAAAAAAAGAAGAGCAAGAGACTCCTTCTCCCCTTGTAATATCTAAAAGACTCCTCCCCGGCGGTGATGCTGTGCCTGCCGAAACTGGTTAATCAGCCCAAGCACACCAGCTTCTGGCTCGTTAGAGTTGGCCATGCTGTTCTCCTTGCTGAGCTCCCGGCCTGGCGACGTCTGCCACATGGATTCTCCGAGCATGGCTCCCGCTTCGGAGCTGTCTCCTCCCAGCCCAGCTGCATCCGCCTCAGCCTCATATGGCTCCTCAGGGATTTGTATATCAGCACGGTGAGCTCCTCGAGATGGCCGCGGTTTATGTGGTCCTCTTGCTCCAAAGTTTGTGATTGATGGCTGGTGGCGAGGATCTAACAGCATAGACGCCATAGGAGATGGCTGCGTAATGCTGTGTCCTCCTCTGGGAAATGTGCCCAGCCCTGCTGTTCGGCTTCTGTTTCTTCCTGTTTCTGTATTTCCCACCTGAGAAGCCTGCATATCCGCTGCAAGAGTAGGTGAATTGAGATTTGGAAACGCAGGCGGAGGATGGAATGGCTGCTGTGATCCAGGAGGCATATGCCCAGGGATGCCAGTCTTTGGATTAATAACATAATTGTCAAGGAATCCATAATAAGACGCAGCCATCTTCCCGTGCTTGGTTGCATAGTAATCCTCACGAACATCCTGAGTTATTCTTTGACGATCGGCGTGGCCTGGTCCCTTTTTGAAGTCAAATACAGCAAACGAGCAGACGTAGCCCAGGCCGTCTACATGCACCGTAAATTCCCGAAAGAAGTCCACAATCTGATCACTGCACTTAGGTAGTGACAGAAGCAGCAGTAAGGGAGTAGTTATGATGCCCAGGACTTCTTCCAAGAAGATGACTACTTTCATCTTGTAGAGTTCGGAGAACTCCTGCTTAATTTCGAAACTATGCAGTCTTCCTTGCCAGTGGTCGGGCATATAGTGTGTATACTCAACCACATTCCTCAGGGCATACTCGGGATTGAATACTGTAGACTCTTCAGACACCATCCCTCGAGTAATTGCCCATATACCTCCAAATATTCCCAGATAGAACAAAGCGGTTCGATCTTTTGTAATCTCAAATGATAGGAATAGTTCCGAATCGAGCAGCGTACACACCGCAAGGATAGCAGTAAGAGCCCCAGACATGAATGCGATGCTCCGCGCAATTTCCTCTGTCATACGTTTTGGAAATTGATCGATGTAACGAGTCGCAAATGGAAATGACATATGAAGTCTTTCGTAAAATATATGAGGAAGCTCGTTGAATTCGCGAAATTTCCATTCAGCAAGTGAAGTATATTTGCGAGCTGCAGCGAGCTTAGGGTCCTTTTGATACTCCTGCACATTGCCATTTAGCGATAATCATACGAGTTGTGTTGTGTCAAGCATAGTAGTACTCACATTGTAATATGTAAAGAAGTAAACGATGATGACATACGCAAGGACAATGGGAGCGAATAGGAGATTCAGGAAGCCGGCAAAATAAAACCGCTGCTTCAATTTTTGGCTTAAAATCCCCCTTCGTTCAGCACGCAGAAAGTCCTGCTGGACTTGGCCCAGTTCATTAAAAGCCATGTCAAGAATGCAGTAGTGCAGATACCATTCCATAGTCTTTGAAAATAATTGACGGCCTCGAAGAAACGGAAACGGAAGCGACAAGTCTAGCAGATCTTTGTTGATCATGGCGATCAAGTAATTCTCCTTGCGCATCAGTCGGTTAGCGATATCGTGAGCGTCCAATCGTTCCTTCGATTGACTGCCAATAAAGCGCCGTAGGTTTTGCGGTATATCTGCTGCCGTCCTAGGATTCTGATCCCGCAAAGTCATGATTCGAGCAACGACATCCTGCCAAGAGATGGTCTGCATATCTTGTTCGGGAATCTCGAGAAGTACAATGAAAAATTCGCGAACGAAGAGTAGACGGCGGATTTCGAAGAAGTACTGCACAGACTTCCATATGAAGAAGAAGGAGTAGAACCATATTCCCAATGCCCACCATCCCGACATTTTCTGGGTGCAACGAGGTATGACGACTTTGCTCAGCGAGTGGCTGTGCGGTATGCTGCTGTAATTGACGCACTGGGTCAGAAAAGTCAATAAGACGGCCACGAACAAAGTCTCCCTGCCTCTCCGTGTTAGTTATTACTTGGTTTTATAGCAGCAGGTCAAAGTTGATGGGTGTAACTCACAGCAGCCACAGAGCATTTGCACACATGATACACCACATCCCGCCTCCTTCATAATAGTCGTAAACATCTCTCATGAAGCTATCGAGATTCGTAATATTCACCCATTTCCACAGCGCCGTATTCTTTCGGTTGAACGATGCCCCGGCGTTTATTGAAGGTCTGTAAGGCGCGGTGGCTGGTCGTGTGCTTGGCCTCGGAGCTTCGTGCCTTCTTTCATCAGCCGGCGGTCGCCATGGGGCGTGGCTATGGCTTGACGAAAGATTAGGGCTGTCGTAATGTTGAGATTCATGCGGTGCTTCTGTTCGAGCTAGGCCTGGATTTGCCGTCACCAGTTTGTTAGGCTCCACGAGGAGAGAAGCAGGCACGTCATCATCGCCTTCGTCGTCGTGTGGCCATCCTAGAGAAGAGGTTCGGCCATCGGCAGCTGTTCTCCGGATGCCATCGTGTACGCTGTTCGCCTCTGGGGACAACATGCTGTCGGTGTTGTTGCGGCGCCTGGCCGTGGGCATAAAATCGTGGTCTTCGAGTGATGGCCCCGCCTCCGGGTCCAAGTCTGCTTCATCGTCGTCGCCTCGTAGCTGTTCGTAAAACGATCGACCGCCTCGCGTAGACGCGGAAAGTCGTCCAAAAATCTTGGGTGCCATGCTGGAAGCTCAGTTACAGAGCTCTGTTATGGCCAAGCTCAGCCAACCATGATCATCGGGAATCGCTCGTAAGACGGAGAGGAGGAACAGGCCAAAGACCGTAAACGTCAGATGTGCCAGCGATGTGCATATCAATAACACGCCCGAGCCAAAAAAAGAAGGGATCCTGTTGGAGGAAGCGTGATGCGAAGACAGTCAGCTGGTGCTGGATTTCCGGTTTGTTACTGCCTGCAAGTCAGGTGGCTGCTGGTGGATAGCAGAGGCGTCACCGGATGAGTAACCACGAGCTATGATCTAAGCCCTGCCGGTACCAAGATCTCAACTAGGGAAAGCTAAAGACAGGGAGGGGGGAAAAGAGGGCCGCTGCCTTATTCACTGCTACGCATGAGCACCCGCTAAACACTGCACAGTGCCGTGCCATCGTAACTGATCTCACAACACTTCATAGCTTAGAAAAACAGTTCTATCCATCTAATTAATAGGTATGTACAATCCCCATGAAGGAACTGACTACAGTTAATATTGATCTGAAAATACTATATTCAAACATCATCTATTTACTTTAATTTTTTTTTGTTAAAATGGGTAATTATAGCTTATGGCTCTGTACTCCTGATAATCTCTATAATTACTATTTATCGCAAATATTCTTTACAAATTGTCGTTTCGTTTAATGAAATACGCTCTAAGGAAGCAAGAAAAGTCAGCATAAATGGTTTCTTCTTGATTTTTTTTTTTTTTTTTTTTTTTACTTTCTTTTTTCCCCCTTACGCTCGGCTACGTTCGGCACGATGCGTATGAGAGAGAGAGAGGGGGAGAGAGAGAGGTGGCGACTTACTTGGAAAATTCATAGGCGGACCAGCAAATAGCAGTACTTGGCATCGTTGTGACAACTCTGGGCCTGACGCCCTTGAAAAAGCCCCTGAAGCCCTCTCTTCTATACAGCAGCTTGCAACCCTCTAGGAAGCCGCTAACATTTCTGACTTGCGGATCGGAGGATGTGCCTCTTGTTTGTAGGATCGTCTTGATAACGTCCATGGGTGTGGTGAGACCAGCGGCAAAGCCACCGGCAACGGCTCCGGCAAGGCAGTGAGTGACAGGGTCGTAAGCCTTCTGCGGGTTCATCGCGGTTGAGATGGATTCGTATGCGAGGAATTGTAGCGCGGTGAAGGGAACGGTCATGGAGAGCGTGGTTGGGTAGGAGATGTAAAAGGCGCCCAGGCCTTCGTTTCGGTAAACGTACTTGGCGCAGTCGACCATGGAGCGATACATCTTTCGAGATTCCTGCATCTGCATACGTTGCTTGATGACTATAGAGACATTCATCGGTAAGCTTTGCGCACACCCCTCACACAGAAACAATAATGTCGGTAATGATCACGTACCATCGAATGGATTCATGAAAGCATCGCTAGCAATCGTAGCTGCGGCACCGCTTGTGGCTGCATGGCATTGGGTTAGTCATGAGGAGAGCAGCAAGAGGTTCCGCAGCAAGAAGAAGCTTACCGGCAGCAAGAGGGTGGTGGACGCCCGCCTGATTGCCACCCATGGCATGTTTGACGGCTTCATACGTCGCAAAGTAGACAGCGTGGGCAGGACCTGTTATGAATCATAAATCGGTAAGAAAATAGGCAACACGACGAAAGGGAAAAGGGACAGGATTGGAGCAGCCTGAATGCATGAGATGTACGTACCAGCTCCCACTATGACGCTGGACATGCCGCGCCATAAACTGAATACACCCTCGGTTCGCGCGATGTGAAATGTATTTCGGATAACGCTGTTATGTGCTGTCGTTCCATGTGGTTGCAGAACTTGCATTCGCGTCTACATCGTTGGAAGCCTCGGCATTAGTATCAGGTTCGAACAAGGTAGCGAGCGTTGCCGAGGGTTGCGGCGGGGGGGCAACCGCCAGGCGGGCATTACCTTTATCGCATCAATTGGATACATGACGGTGTGTTCCTTGAATCCTCGTCAGCAGACATTCACCTATGAGTCAACAGCAGCGCTGGCAGCCCGGCACGGCAACAGCAGATCAGTCACTTACAGCAATGCCAGCAAATGCTCCCGCAGCCATGTTCTGCAGCAGAGAGAAGTTTGGCGGGAGAGATTCATAGCTACGCAAGTCAGAAGAGATCCAAAGAGACAACCTCGGTTTTTGAGCATCGCATCATGCAGAGTATCACTCACTCGTAGTCTTCTTCCTCCTCCACCACAGGCTTGCCACTTGCTGGCTGGGCCATGTCGGCCACAGCGTCAGAAGCTACGCCAAAAGTCTTGGAATTGATGGCAGCCAGGTTGGCAGATGCAGCGTGCTGAGACAGCACGGCCAGCGTAGAAATGTGAGTCGGTATCGAGTTGGAGTTGGGAGAGGGAGAGGAGAGCGACAGAGAGCGCGGCGGCTTTGCGGGCTATCGGCGACGGAGGGCGCAATTCACAGTTCAAAGCCGATGGAGCTGATGTGGCCGGTGAGAGCTTCGTGCGGAGAAGGTCGCAGAGTCGCAAACGGAACAAACAAGAGTCGGATCAATGGGCAGGCAGGGTCGTCGTCGAGCAATCGGCTGCTGGGGCGTCGAGGAGAAACGAGTTGCTGGAGAGAGGAATGAGGGAGTAGGATGGATGTTTTCCTGTCGCAGAATCCCACGAGCCGGGCAGCTTCTGAGCGGAGCCTATTAAACCGGTCTATAAAAATTTCCCAGCTCGTCTCCGTTGACGGCCTCGGAGTCCGGGAGGCAATTGCGAGGTGCGTGTGGGAGCCCCACCATGCGCTGCTGCGGAGTAATCCCGGGATATCAGAGATGAGATACGTTCAGCCATGCCGACTCCCGAGTGGCCGAAAAAAAATCTGATAAGCCCGCGGCTTGGATGAGCCTCCAAATACCCACGGACATATATTCCAAATCCCCACGGATATTTAAGCTGTATTTGGCCAAAAGCACGTTAGTGTCGCTTTGTGGCGTACCAGTACCTTGCACCTACACATGAAGCATTACCACTACGCGTAAAGCGCTGGCCTGAGTGCGTATTAGCTGCAAGTGTTGCGCAACAGCAGAGGGTGAAGAGAACTACCCAAGGCTCAAGAGGGATCTGAGAGATGTACCTCTACCTGGAGAAAATCGCCATTGAAATGACCTAGGCTGAATACAGCTTAGATGTCCGTGGGTATTTGGGGATTCGGCTTGGGTAGGTAGCCTATTTGCTCTTTTCTCTGGGAATTATTTCGTCATCTTACTTGAGAAGACTTTGGGGAAATGGATAGTCAAGAACAAAAAGGGCCAAACAACTGCCTGCTTTATTTGTACATACGCTACGCATAGTAGTATAATCATATGATGAAACCGAGAATGATGTATACTCATCTCTCGCTCTCTCTCACTGTCTAGAAAAAGGAAAAGCAAAGGAAAACAACCCATACAAACTATACCTCTTTTAAAATCCAAATGGCCCGTTGTTGAAGTGAAATTTGAATTGCTGTCCTCCACCTCCGCCTGGCTGCTGGAATGCCCAGTGCTGGCCACCAAACGGCGAGCCTTGAAATGGGTTCCCTCTCTCGTTGGAGTTGGGGTCGTCTCCTCTGTCAAACCGGGCGCGCAACTCAGGGTCGCTCAGCACCTCGTACGCCTCATTGATAGCTTGCATCTTCTTCTCCGCTTCCTCTTTGGTGATACCTTGCTTGTGGGCTTTATCTGGATGGTACTGCTTAGATGCCTTGCGATATGCAGACTTTATCTGTCTTTCATCAGCATCGTTGGCCACACCAAGAACCTTGTAGTAGTCCTTTGTCTTGCTTCGTTTTAGTTCGATCTGTGCCTTGTTAAGAATTGGGTTGACCTTGTCTCTTTTATCAGGATGCGCTTTTGCTGCACTTTCTAAAGCTTGAATGGCTGCCTCAAACTCTTCCTTCTTGAGGAGCGTCTTGCCGCGATGTAGAAGAGCCCAGAAAGAGTCTTCATTTAGCTCAATTGCCTCATTACAATACTTATCGGCATGTTTGCTAGCTGACTGTTACACAACAGTGTTAGCATGTGGTCAGGTAGCAGCATTGAAGAGAAGAAAAGCAAAAGGGGGGGAAAAAGACATAGGAGGCAAAAGGAAAGAGAAAGAAATGGGCTGTGTGTTAGCATATCTTACCTCAACATATGCCTGGCAAACCATCTCGACCAGTTGTTCGTACAAGGCAACCTTTCCTTTGGCAGGTATTCTCCCTTCCTCGCGCAGCTCATTGACCTGTCCCTGTACCATTGCGAGAAGCCCCGGCTCCTCTTCCGTTCCGACCAGCCCTCTGCTTGTAGTGGTGAATTGTCCCTTGGTTAGCTGACCAGTCGCCTTGTTGAAGGCTTTTGTAACGGCCTTCTCTTGTTTGTGTAGCTTTTTGCAGATTTTCGAGTCTGGGTCAGAATGAAGACACTTCCGAATTTGCCCGACACCGGCGTCAAGATCTCCCAAATTGTAGAACGAAACAGCTGAGATGACGACATGGGGAGAGATGTCTCCAGGTCGCATCTGTAGCACGTGGCGGAGATCGCCAATGCCTTCTTCCAGCTCGCCGCGCTCAAAGCGACAGTGCGACCGCGCTTCCCGTAACGGCGCATATCTCGAGGCGACGACGATGGCATCGCCTGCATGATTGACGCACTCCTCCCAATTCCCCTCCTTCTCGGCAGCCAGCGCAAGCTTCATTGCCTCTTCCGCCGCTGTCAAGGCCAGAACCTCGGGGGAATCAGGCCCTTCGCCCGCCGCAGCGTAGTCTGCCTTGGCGCCATCCCATTCAGCAGCCTTGGCCTTGATTTTGGCGAGCTGAATGTGCGCACCCGGGAAGTTGGGTCTCAGGGCGAGCACCTTGTTGAAGTCCTCAGTTGCCAAGTTTGCGCGACCGAGTGACAGATACGTGGTGGCTCGCTTGAAGAAGGACAGGTAGTTGGTAGGATCTCGAGCGATGGCGGCATCGTAATAGGCTAGCGCTTCGTTGGTCTCGCCCTTTGCGAGATGCTCCTGCGCTGAAGTCAAGAGCGCTGATACGGGCACATCGGTGGGAATGTCTTGCGCCAACACAGCACCCGCCGATATAAGTGCGGCCGTCACAAGCAGGTTTGGCAAGCGAAGGCGCATCTTGGGCGGCTAGAGGTGCTGGACCTGGAGAACAAGAGCAGCTCGCTAGAGAGAAGAGAAGTTGGTCATGGAACCTCGTCGCGGGACAGTGAGCGCTGGGAAGTTGGCGAGCAGGATTCGAATTAACGGAAGAGTGAGACGTGTCAAGAAAGCCGCAATCTATATACTCTGTTCTTTAGCTAGGCGTGACATGTGGGGAGAGTTGCAAAAACGGAAGCCGAACTCCAGCGCTGGGAACGGCAGGGGACGAAAAAAAGAGGGTATGCTGTCCTTTACGGAGTAGCATGGGCACGGATCTCACAACTTACAGGGGCTAGGGTGCATTAGCCTCGCTGTGCTACTCGCATGTACCTGCTTGGTGGCAGCAGTGCTTCGATACAAGGCATGCGCCTGGAGAGTTTAGCCAAGGCCGCCAGCAGCCTCTCTGGCAAACTCTGCAATTTGTACTTTTCAGTATGCATTAGTGCATTAGGGAACCGATTTTATTGAAGTGATACCACGGTATGTATTTTATATGGCGAAGTACAACCTCGAAAGTTGAAATAGAGTCTGGAGTGGAGCTTTTTCCATAGGGTCCATTAGTATTATTACACAGCAGCAAGTAATGCCTAGGTGAATAACCAAGCACCAAGTGTCTGTATGTAATCTTCAACTTTTGACAATGGTTAATGCCGCTTTATTACATCTTCTTCCGCAATATGCACGACTTGAATCCCACAAACAACAACCCTTCAATGTTTGCTAAATTAGTACTCAGGACTATCGTAGACTATCGCGCCAGCAGACCAAGTATTCCGCGCTAACGTCACCCGCTCTCTTATCGATATCTACCTAGGTACTCCAGAATAGATGATCCATACCTCAAACTAGCGACATCCCACTTTCAACGGCAGCCTCGCCAAACCGCCAGCAAAACTCCGCCTCCAGGATGAGTTCAGGGCATCTCAGCCAAGACGAGGTGGGCCTCTCTCCCTCTATCGCCATCATACACAAGGATGCTCCATCCATCACGCCGTAACACGCGCAAATGTACTGACCCTTGCGCCGCAACCCCCCCCTCTCTAGTTCTTCGACAAGCTCGGCCGTCTGTTCAACCACAGAAAGAGCAGCGACCATGGCGCCATCTATCTAACACAAAAGCGACGTAAGGCATCACACAACTATCAATTGGTTACACATCATCTGGCGCTTGGCTTTGGACCTCTCTCTAACTAGCTCTCTCTTCTCTCCTCCATCTAGTCGCATACGACCCCAGCGAGCAGTCAACAACCGCCAAGCTCTTCCCCGACCTCCTCCCCGACAAGCCCCTACCAATCATCATCAAGGCCACAAACGGCAAGTCGAAGCGCGACAGATCTGACAAGGAGAAGCTCTCAACCATTGTTCAGCCGCACGAGCTGGAAGCTTTCTACGTCCGGTATGCTGATGTCTGCAAGGCGGGAATGACACTGTTGAAGCCGAGAGACAAGAGCAAGAAGAAGGCGAAGGCGAAGAAGAAGAAGGCCACTTCATAGGGGTAGAAGGAGGAAAAAGGAATGAAATGAAACATATATCCGTACAGGAGAATCATACAGGGTTATAACGGCGAAGAGCGTGCATGGCGGTAGCCCAAAATCTGCCTTACTCTACGGGGTGACAGTGCTATGACGACAGCCCCGGCAGCAAAGAATCTCATTGTCAGTCGCAAAACAGCTTCAAGATTTCAAGTTTATGGTGTTATATCTTGCCATGACCGCCCCGTCTCCTAGACATGCATTTGTTCAATGTTTAACGAACCGTGTGTACCAAAAGCTCGATACGACGACATCCGTTTGAACGTCTGTATCTCTCTATTCCTCAGCGTCCTACTCTGTATTATCTTGGTGAATGATAATGTTATCAGGTACTATTGAACGAAGGAGAAGGTATACATAATTTGATATTTGATACTAGTATGTTGAGCCATAGCCTCTTCTATGTAGGTCTGCAGGCGGATTTGTTCCATATCTTCTATGCTCGGTTGATTTTCTAATCCATCTCCAAGCCATTATTTTGCACCATTTGCGTATACATCATGTGCACCACTATGTCACCTAAAGTCGCCCTTTTATCTTACCCTCAAGTTTCAAACCCCAGGCTAGAGAATGCCACGGCAATTATGTTCTATGCGGCAGCCTCCTTTGCCACCTATCCAGTCCGCAAATCACGTCATATTTAAAATTCGTACCTTCACCACGCGCTCCTACGCACCGTTTCGAGATCAAGAGGGGAAAAACAAAATAAGCAAGTCAATAGCAAACGTTTCGCCTCATCTCCTTTCCAGACTTTATACGTCAGAAAACAAATCAAGTTCCCCTTTTCCCCATCTTCCATAAGTGACATTCAAATCCGGACAGCTGAAGCCTAGGCTATGGCCTGCAGCGTGAAAGGATTCCCCGTGATGTTGAGTAAAATAAAGTCTCCCACGATTTTGGATGTAGCTTCCCGCAAATCAATTTTTAGTAGTCCTAGACGAATATGCGAACGCAATGGAAAACAAAAACAGAAGTAACTCATAATGAAAAAGAAAACAGAAAAAAAGAAAAGAGAAAAAAGCTGTCAAAGAACAGAGTCCAACCGAGGCAATGGCCAAGAGCCATATCCCAAGCAACAGTGGGCCAAGTTTTGGGTGCCTCAGACCGAAAATGAATTACATGATCTGGTCTTGTGTCAGTCCAGCGTGAGGATCGGTTTCCATGCTGTCGCCGCCAGGTTGGTTCAGATATTTGACGAAGCTCAGGTGCAACGGTCGGCCACCATACTGATAGCCCTGGAACTTTGCGATTGCCGTCTCGGCGGTTTCAACTGAGTCAAAACGGACAACACCGCTGCCTCGAGATCTGCCGCTGGGCTCATATTGAATCTCTGCTTGTTCGACCTTGCCAATTGTGGTGAACAATTCAACCAGATCGTCGTTGCTGGTTGACCATGGCAGCTATTGCATGCAAGTTAGTCACCGCCTTGCATAGTAAGAGCCAACTGATAGACTCTAAGAGGGTCGCTCAAAACTTACATTTCGAACATAAATGATCTCACTTCGTTCCGTTCCTGCAGCTGCATTGTCGGTGAAGGGATTCGGGGCAACTGCCGGCGCGGCAGAAGCATCAAAACTTCCACCGGGAGGACCGCCTCCAGGGCCGCCTCCAGGGCCACCTCCAGGGGCGCCACCGCCGAAACCCCCACGTCCGCCGAAGCCGAAGCCTCCACGGCCGCCACCAAAACCGAAGCCTCCACGGCCGCCAAAGCCACCGCGCATTCCACCACCGTATCCTCCACGACCGCCGAAGCCCATGCCGCCGCCGCCGGCAAAGCGATCTTCGCGAACTTCAAGTAGACGACCTTGCCAGTCGTAGCCGTTGAACTGTTGGATGGCGTTTCGTGCGTCCTCGGGATTCTCAAAAACGACAATTCCGGAGCCCTTGGGTCTACCATCAGCTCCGAGATGCACATCGGCACGCATCACTCCGCCGATTCGGGCTGCAGTAAGGAGTTAGTAACGAGGAACTGTATGGAAAGTTGTACCTCTCGATGAAACAGCGGTTACTTGCCTGCTTGTCGGAAGAGGTCTTTTAGATCCTGCCAACCGACGGTATATGGGAGCTAAAGGAGGATTAGTTGATGGCATCCCCTGATGGAAATTTGGAACAGAGTAAACAAACGTTGGCAACGTAAATTTGACGGCCGCCACCGCCGCCGCCGCCGCCTCCACCACCAGGAGGACCGCCTGCATACCCATGATTAAATCCGGGCATGCCGCCACCACCACCACCACCGAATCCGCCACGGCTGGCACCGGTGGCACCGATGAATCGAGGCTCGGCCTCGCGGTCCTGGAGAAAAACGTTCAGGTCAGTATCTCTTTGCCTTGGGCTAGAATAAGGTGTTGACCAACCTCTCGAACGTAAACAAGGCGACCCATCAGGTTCTGATTGCTGAGCTGAGCAACCGCCTGCTGCGCTTGCTCCCTTGTAGCATATTCCACAATTCTGTAATACACGAGTTAGCCACAGGAAATAGACATGAGACTGTAAGAGAGGAAACTTACCCGCATCCCTACAATTATGCCCAGGACATCGTCCCAACCCGTCAACCCAACCATTCCATCAAAACCAGAAAGGGAAGAAGACTACAAAAGAAAGCCAACCAAAGCTACGCGATGAAGCCCACCTTCGACATTCCATTTGGAAGTAATAATACATCGGCAAAGAGTACCTCTCCAGCTATGTCGAGATAGTTTTACGTCAGTATCCGTCTGCGACCTTGTCCACGTTGATAGAATCCCGTTCTTACCCTGTCTCATGAAATCCTTGAGGTGGTGCCACTTGACATCGTAGGAGAGGTTGCCGACATAGACTCGGCGGTCCTGCTGCGAGGTCTCGCGGATGTTGCTCATCATCTGTTCTCGGGCAGCGGCCCGGTCTTCGTAAGATCGATGGGGTGCCTGTCCCCCGTAATTGCCAGTGTTGCCACCGGCGGGCGCCTGTCCTGATCCAGTCATTGGGGAGCGATCACGGCCCCGTCGATAGTCGTCTCGACTATTTGATCTGCTGCGAGGCGAGTAGGACCGCCGACGAGACTGTCGGCCTGGACTCCTAGAACGTCGTCGAGGTGATCGAGACCTCTCACGCTGTGGATTGATCAGCATATGTCATCTCAGTATCGTTTCAGCAGAAGTATGTGAGAGGTGATGACGGTAAGGGCCGGGTTGGATGGATGGATGCAGTTGAGCCACGAGTTGCCTAAAGTGGCACTTGTTATGGCGGTTGGTCATTTCCCTCTCTCTCTCTCTCTCTCTCTCTCTCTCTCTTTCCCCATAGCAGAGTATAGAGAATCCCGCAGAGAGGCACAACGCATCTAGACTGAGCCAGTCATCCGCCATGAGCCGAGCAATTGAGTAGACGGCCTCGCAGTTCAAGGACAGCCTCGCATGATATGTTTGATACATGCCAGTGACGTCTCCACGGGTTACAACGTAGTGAACAAGGTGGCCTCTGCGGGGTGGCGTTGTAGAATTTGCTCCTCCACGTCAAGCCCAAGAGCACCAAGGCGGGTATGGCGAATGCGCGTGTAGTAGATGGAAAATCAGAGGTCAAGCAAATGAGGTGAAACTTACTGGTCGGTAGTTATCGCCGGAGTCAGCTAAAAAGAAAATGTTAGAAAACTGGCGCTGAACGAGCCCTCCTGCGAAGTAAAGGAAAATTGTGTGAAATTGTGCCAAAGGAGATGGATGGACAAGGCAGGCTTGATTGAAATAGAATAACAGTCATGTACCCAGGTAGTGGTGGGGTGTATAGAGATGAGAGGCCGGCGGAGTAGCAAGGCGGGAGGACATGCAAGTAAGGGGGGTCAATGATAATGCAGTGTACAGAGAGAGGTGAGTCGAAGAGAAGCGCCCAGGAGGACGTATCGGCCGGCAACGGCGCAATAAGTTACATCCAAAGTGGTATCACGGTGGATGAAGTAAAAAGGCGACTCTGCTTCCCTCTCTCTCTTTCTCTCTCTCTTCTGCGGAAGAGGGCGGCTTCAAAGGAAGAAAGAATGAGTGGAAGGGGAGGAGAAAAAGTCAAGGCAGGACTGCTCGGCGAGAGAGGATGAGTTGGCGCCGCAGCACGCGTCTTGTCGGCCAGAAACAATGACTCTGGGAGCAATATGCTGGGTGCAAAACTCGAGAGCCGAATTGGCTGCAGATGGACGCAGAGACAGAGGTTGAGGTGGACAAAGCGCGAGAGACAGAATGAAATGGAAGAGAAGACGTACCCATGGCGGTTTATGCGATACAAAGGAGGAGAAAGGCTCTGTGCCTTGTGCCTTGAGCCTTGTCGCGCGTGCAGTCAGAGGCAAAGCGGGTGTCTCAACAGATTGGAGGGCAGCTCGAGCCAGGTCGCGACGACGGCAGGATTATGGGCGACTTCTGGAGAGAGGGCAAGCCACGGCACAGCAGTCAGCAACAGCACAGGACGGATCTCGCATGGAACGGGCTGCAGTACCAGCAGGTCGCAATTGGGCAATTAGAGGGAGGGGGTAGCACAATGGAGGCGCATGGCATGCTGTCAAGCCTGGTGGTGAGAAGGGGAAAAAGAACGCGCGCACTGGTGGGAGGGGAGCAGGCGGCGAATGAGCGTGCAGAGAGGCTGAAGGCGACGTGGGGTGGGTGCAGAGGCAGGCTGTCGCAGCGACTACGAGGACCGCAAACCGGGGAGTACCTACGTGTACCGAATACCTTGGGTCTACAGAGAGGCCCGGAGAGGCCCAGCGAGAGGCTCGCAGGTGCCATGCCATGCTAGCAGCACACTGCATGGCAGTAGGCAGCAGTAGCAGCAGGTACTACTAGCTTCCAAACAGCGCCGATCAAAGTTCCCGTTCTCTCGCGCCAGAACCAACAAGGTGCCCAGTCCTGCTAACCCATGGAATACCGGCAGTCAGGTAACGCAGGTACGGGAGGGCAGTGCGACTAGGTGCCTACCTAGTAGGTAGGTAAAGGCATAAATGGGTAAGGCGGCAAAGTAGCAGCACGGCGCACCTACAGCGCAGTTTCAAGTGGCTTTGGCAAGGCCGGAGGTACTGGCAGGTACTTGGGAGGGATGGTCAGAGCGGGTGCTGGATGCAGCATAGAGCCCGTACAAGGCTAAGGTAAGGTACTGCTACTAGCAGTAGGTAGTGCGAGTGCGAATACCACTAACCGCGTAAGCTGCGTTTGAGCTCATGGGGCCGAGCAGGAGCATCCAGCAAGAAAACAGCACGAGAAAAAACAAGAGCAAAATCTAAAACAGCCAAGCAGAGTGATGATTTGCAGGGGGGTCGGGTCCGGAGGGAAGTTCGCGCAGCATGTGGTGGCAGCAGCTGCATGCACGTCGCTCATTGCGTCCAGTCTGCAGTGGGAACGGGGAGAGCTTGCGGCGCTGGTACTGGATGCTGGCGAAGGTGATGGTGGCCACCAACAGTGACGAGGGACGTACGTGGGTTTTAGCGTGGATTGAAGCCGGGAAAAAATGCTCGTCGATGATGGCGCCGTTCGGTTCCGAGGCGAAGGAGAGGCAGCGGTCACAAAAGTGCTCCTTGTCTTGCGTGCGTCAAGGGGGAAGCTCCTCACGCCAGCCTTGGAGTATTTTGGGGATTTGAATTTTTTTCTGGCTCCGGATGATGCGAGGCCGGGGTCACGGGGAGGATCCTATTGGAGGGTCTTAAGGTTGCGCTGGGCCGGTGTGATGCCTCTAGGTTTCGAGTCGTAGCAGCACTACTACTCCGTGGGGGATGGGCGACGGACGGTGCCTGCAATGGAATGGAGGGAGAGGGAAGAGGGAAGAGAGCGAAGGCGGAGAAGCCAAGGAGCCAGAAAGGCTTGCAAAGCTATGCCGCTGTAGGGACCAAGCTCCAATTGGGGTCTGCCAGCACGTGTGAGCTGGGCAAGAAGAGCAGCAGAAGCAATTCGATGCCACAGATATCGACTGCTTGCAGCGAGTGCCCAAGGCAGTCACTTCAATCAAGTACATGTAGTAGTATCTACCGCAGAACCGCTAGACACACACACATTTCGTGCTACTGCACAGCGGAAGCAGCAGCAGAGCCCGGAAGTGGAAGTGGATCGCATCGAGTTCCGCCCAAGCACTAACCTCATGCTAAGGTGCCTTACCCGAGAAGATCGGTGAGGGCCAGCCTCTCCAGGAGCTGAGGCTCCGCGCATCTCAATGGCCCATGCCATGTGAGTGATGGCCAGCAAGGTGCATGGACTCCATGGACTTCTGACAGCTTTGCTGTGCCTGGCCGGGTGCCGCCAAAAAGCTCGTGTGATGAGCATACAAATACATGTCTAGCAAGGACGTACGTACATACATGCCCGGCAGAGCAGGCACCGGATCCTCCCATCTGCTGCTGCTGCGACTGGGTAGGTATGCAAGTATGGCGCTGGGGGCCTGGCTCGTATTGACGGGGCCAGCATCAGGAGCACAGAAAACAATCCTGCCACTTGGTATACATGTACGGAGCGTGTCCCGGCCCTCAGCACTGGGATTGGCTGTCCAACGGGCCTATGCCAGCTGTTGTGCCCGATTGGAGGAACGCAAGTCGTCTGCCAGGATCCGCCTTTGAAGCCCAGCAGCAGTTTGTTGAGTTGTCCTCTTAAGATGCATGCATGAGTCTATGTATGATGCAATGCTAGGATCCCAGACAGGGTTCCAGCATGGGCAAGCACACATCAGTGCAGACGCCGAGCCAATTGGAGCCACAGGGCTGACTAACGAGGTCGAACGATTTGACATACTGATGCCGCATCACTGCTACATACAAGTCAGCCAGCAGCAACGCCGTATCCAAGTTGCAGTAGTTATACAGCGCATGCTGCGTTGGCAACAGTTGACAAGGTAGAAGAGAGTGCGAGTGTCTTTGATCTGGCGCATCACCGGCCCGCAAAGTTCGCCGTACCTTGGCCTAGCTTAGAGGCTCCCGCCGGGATCCACTCTCCGGGCTGATCCAGAGCTTCGAATTTGCAGACCCCTCGTGGCGCAAGACGACAACGCATTATCAGCAGCCAGCATCCGTCACAGCTGCAGCGGCGCAGTCTGAGAGTCACATATCCGGCCACCATGTCCTCGCCTTCTCTGTCCAGGACCGCGGCCCGTCTGGCGAGATCGGCACGCCGCCCAATTGCCCGCCACTCGACGCCGACGTCCTCATCCCGCATCTGCCAAAAGAGCTGCTACCACTCTTACGACCACCCTCCTCCGCCGGGACCCTTCGGCACCGTCGACAGGTCTATACTAGCCGCTGCCTACAAGCACATCCCCGAGCATGGCTTCTCTCTGCGCGCCATTGGTCTCGGCGCCCGCGATGCCGGATACCCAGACATCAGCTCCAGCATCCTGCCCGATGGCCAGTTCAGCCTGATACACTACCACCTCGTCATGCAGCGAGAGAGACTGGCTGAGAAAAGCCAGGAGCTGCTGAAAGATGCGTCCCTGGCAAGCGTCAATGACAAAGTCGCCGCCTTGACGTGGGAGCGGCTGATGGGCAACAGGGAGACTATACACAGATGGCAAGAGGTCTGTTTATTTATCTCGGGCTCGGTTGAGTCGCAATTCGCTGATGGAGATACTGTATTAACAATCTACATAGGCCCTAGCCATCATGGCTCAGCCAAGCCATCTGCCTACGTCGCTAGCAGAGCTGGCTACTTTGTCAGACGATATCTGGTTCCTGGCCGGCGACAAGGCTGTCGACCCTTCATGGTATACCAAGCGGGCAGCCCTCTCCATGGTCTACAGCTCCAGCGAGCTGTTCATGACCAATGACACATCACCTTCCTTTTTGGAGACTAGAAAGTTTCTGGATAGAAGGCTGGAGGAGGTCCAGTCTGTTGGTGGAACCATAGCATCTATGGGACAGTGGGCTGGCTTCACTCTCAATGCGGGTATCAATGTCCTGAGAAGCAAAGGGGTTCCTGTCTGATGATATAAGGCGATATATGTTGTCTCCCACAGCCTTGACCTGTTGTCTTCTACAGAACAAAAAAAAATCGCAAAACGTCATGTACACTATTATCAGCCTTTATGTATATACCATTGTCTACTATATGTATATTTTCTTCTGGTCCGCCCACAAATGAATGGCGTCCTGGCATCAATGCGCAAACTCCTAGTTAATGCTCCTCGCTAATTTTCCTTCGAGTACGGCGCCTGGTTCACAAAAAGTAGATGTGATTTTAGATGAGAGTTCGTTGGCGGGGATCAGTCAGACTGTAGAGGTGAGAATCAATCAGTAGTGGAACTTGGATATTAGTAGGAAAGAGAATGTCTAATGAAACTGACCGGATAATCTTGACGTCTTTATCAAGTTTGGCTCGGCCTTCAATGGCATTCGGCGTAATCAAAATATACTGTCGAGACACTGATCGACGAGCGGCATCCACCTATGTGTTAAATTAGCTTCCATCCTACTCGTTTCTATGAATCACCAGAAATGACCTACCAGCATATTTGTACTGATTGCTCGATTCACATTGTCCATGAAGACGTCAAACTCATCCAAGCATCGAATCGGTGAACCAATGGCTTCCCATACAGAAAGAAGCATACAAATCGATGAGAACGACTTCTCACCTCCGGACAGTGTCTTGGTGTTGCGTCCTGAAGAGTGTTTCCGAGTCTTGTCGGGCTCAATCTGGATGTTGACACGTCTAGCCCTGTGATCGAGATCTATCTTGCCTCTGAATCCACGCTCGCTGAGAAGGTAGCTAAACTGGATGCGTATTCGAGCGCTAATCTGCCTCTGGAACTGTCGCCACAGGTGAAGTCGGTGCTCGATTGCTTGCTTCAAGCTTGAGATGGTTTCATCAACGTCCCTCGTCTTCTTCATAACATCATCATATCTCGTTTTAGCCTCAATGGCTCGGTCATAAATTTGCTGATCTGTGGCCCCTTGCCGAGCTTCTCGCTGCGCAAGTTGTTCACAAACCCTCTGGTATTTTATCTCCAAACTTTCATACGTTTCATCCTCAGGGATGTGAACACGATTTGGTGATGCTTGTTGAGCTTGCTGGATAAAATCGGCTACCTCTGCGACTTTCTGATCGCGCCTGGCCTCTGCTCGTCTTCTTTCATTTCGCTCAATATCTAGCCTCTCAAAGGCGGCATTCTTTTCAGCGAGCTGAATTTTCCGCATTGCCTCGTACTTCTTGACCTTATCGTCCGCTTTCGCGACGCGACTTTGGTGATCCTTACGCACATCTTTTTCCGCGTCGAGACGTGCCTTGGCCAGTTCTGCTTTTTGGCTCAGATCTCGCTTTTCAAGTCTCAGGTTACCATACTGCAGGCCGAGTTGTTCCTCTTCGGTGCGCTTTGCTTCTCGTTCTTCCCGTAGTGCAACCAGCCGTCCATCAACGCCCTCAAAAGCATCCAGGTCGAGTGATATCCTCTGGATATCCGCTTGGATTCGGCGATACTCGCTTTCTAGTGTCTTGACTGCACTCTGGTGCGATGCAAGCTCCGATTCATAGTCTTTTAGTCGCTGACGTGCCTGACGTTCCTCGGCCATGAGTTCCTTTACCTCCAAACCTAGCTGTCTGAGGTTCTCCTTTTGCACAAGCAATCGCTCGGCCGAGTCTGAGCGCATACGAGGCCGCAAGCCAGATGGCGTAACAGGGGCGGCGCCGATGTTTCCAGATCGATTAGTAATTCTTAGGCCATGACCACGCTTCCCTTTGCCGTCATGGAAACAAAGGCACGCCGTCACGTTTCGAGGGGGACCATCGTTATCAATCATGACTCGCTCCGCTTCTAAGCGCTCCTTGATTAGAATGATCTTTTCAATCTGGTGATTGATGACAAGTTGTGTCCGAATGAGATCATTGTCGAATTCTAACACTCTGAGAATGGTATCGAACTGGGCATCTGGCTCCTGAGCCCTAGTATCAATTGAGCTCCCATAAGCAATATAGATGGGTGGCTGCCTTCTCAAACCCAACCGCTGGATGATATTTGATAATCTTGAGTGATCTCTTTTGCTCTTCACAACAAATGCGTTCAAAGTCTCGCCGAGGGTCTTCTCGAGAAGGCCAGACCACTCTGGCTTTCGGAGGGTGATGTGAGTGCCAAGGGGGCCCAGCGGTTTGCTTTCAAAACCGCTATCCTTCTCAATTTGTTTGGCGAGATTAACAAGGTCTTGGTCGTATCCATCAAATGCTGAACCGCTACTTTGCTCTAGATCCTTGACGCCCTTTTGCGCTATAACCACCTCCTTACGTTTGTCTTGCACAATACGATCTGCATTGCGAGACGTTTCTTTGGCTTGCTCAATCTTTTGATAGAAAGCCGGCGTCTTAGCCTTGGCTTCAGCAATCTGCTCATTTATATTTTTCTCTTGCGCTTGTGCCTCGGAAAGCTCTTGATCTTTCTGGGCCCGCGCTGAGCCGGTCGATCCGTCCAAACGGTTTTCTTCCTCTTTGATCTTGTTTTCACATGATTGTATGTCTGTCCGCAGGGTTTTGAGTCGCATATGAGCATCTCGCTCTTCACGCTGCAGTTCTGTCTGTTTTCTCTTGGCATCATTCCATGCGGTCTCTGCCGCCACCATTTTCTCTTCGAAAGTCTCTTCTTCACTGTTGAGAGCTTCTCGGGCTTCTTGAGCACGAGCTAGCTTCTCGTCAGCTTCATCAAGTTTGCCTGACATCTTCACGGTGTCCCTTTCCAAAGCAATGAGTTGTTCATCTCGCCTGGCCAAATCAGCGTTACGCTGTTCTAATTCTCTCTCTCGCTCGACTACTTGGGACCAGACAAGCTGGTTCCTATAGTGCCTTGCTTTCTCACGAAGACCTTGATTCTTCTGGGCTATTTCGGCAAGCCTCTGAGCATCGTCCATCTCCTTCTTGACAACATCTATCTTCTCGTCAAGATCATCGCGGAGAATAAGAGTCTTATCTAACGTATCCTGAGACATTTTATAATCATTGTCCAGTTGCTCGAGTTGGACGCCAGAAACAAAGTACTTATACTTCTGTGCCGGGCTGGCGGCATTCAGAAATTGTCTCGCATTATCCTGAGAGAGAACCGTGAGAGGATTCCCTATCTGCAGGGCATACCATTCGGATATTTCCTCAACTTCCTGCTTCTTGGTTGAGACAACTTTGCCTTGATCGTTCTTGATCTTGAAGCCACTGGCGCCTGATTTGGTAAAGTGGCGCTCAATGGTGATTGATGAACCGTATGTATCGGGCTGGTAGGCATCGGATCCAGCGTTCTTGATCTTGACAACAAGACTTCCATGTTCACGCCCCTCTTTAACAAACGACTTTAAGCTACCACCTCTGTTGGTATCACTAGCCTTGCCTCCAAAACACAGGGTCAGGGCCGTTAAAACAGCACTCTTGCCACTGCCGTTCTCTCCAACGATGAAGTTGATCAGAGGGCCAAGCTCCACATGCAATCGCTCGTGGCACATGAAGTTGAAACATGTAATGCTTTCGATGATTCCGCTCTCAGCAACCATGTTATCAAATGTTTGCGTCGTGGTGCGGCGCTTCAGTTTTTGCGTAGCTTGCTGGTCGTCCCAGTCGGTGTTCTCGAGATGTCGGAAGCCATTGTCTCTCATCAGTTCGTACTGAGTCTGGGGAGGGGACGCGGGGAGGTCGTTATCGTCGTCATCGTCGCCATTCTCATTTTCACTGTCGGACCCAGAGCTCGATGAGACATCGTCTTGTTCTGCACCTGCTGCTCTGCTGCCTGAAGCTTCCGCCGAATACCGCACTTTTTTTCTCTATCACCGCCAGGGTCAGCCAGATGCCATTTTGCTTCAGCACGTAAACAAAGCAGTTACCGGCTGTGTATCGTTCGTTAATGATGCCTGGGCCTCAACAACGTCGGTAATATCTTCGTCGTCTTCCAGGCCTGGTGCCCTTCGTGATCGCTTGCGTGGGGCCATGGCTGCCGGAGTAACGAGCAGCGATATGTGTGGAAAAGCGTAATGGAGGAGGGGCTGGCGACAGTCAGAGGAGCGTGGCTGTCGAGATTTGTGAGGTATCAGCAGAGTCACATCCCATCATCGTCATGGGCATCTTGCATGCCCCTCTGGCTGATAAGCGATACGCCAGCACTGGCTTCTCGGATTCCATTAAACAGTTCCTTTGATAGCGCGTTGACCGCGACGGGCGCGTCGTGGGGTCAGTGAACTAGTGGCTGCATGACTAAGGCACATACTGGACTTTGCACGTCTGATATCGAGTGTATGAAATCACGGCACCACGAAACTCTAGTTACGAGCGACCTGAAATATTACAATTCATGCGTCTTTAATAAATTAAAATTCGAAAGAAGGAAGCATTAAATGCATCTTTATGGTATACCTTAGTACACATGCCAACAATAAGAATAGAATGCTGTAGGAGTGGCTGTTTAGCAAGTGGCCGTGTAAGTGCAGCGAGTTTTACAGCGTGGGGCGTCTAGGCCTACTAGGCACTTCTCTGGGAAAGAACTGCCTAAGATGTGACACTTACACTTCTCAAACTTGCATCTGTTGCAAGTCTCAACATTTCGCCATGCCGACGACTTCCAGTAATCACATGTGACTTTTATCACAGCGAGCATGTCTACAGACAGCAACGTCGGCGAGGCGGAGGCTGCCGCCGTGGAGCAGCTACCGGAAAACACTGTCGAGTACATGCTTTTTGTGATGGACAGCCGGCAAACTGAAGCTCGCAGAACCCGTCCTCGCCTTGAAACTATCCGAAAAGCAGCGAACGAGCTCGTTCAGTCCCTCACGAAGGATTATATTTGGCAACGCGAGGGCTTCGAGCTCTCATTTGTGAGCCAAAATGGTGAGTATGGTGCATGAAACCCGATACCGCTGAAGCCTTCGATTCAGTTTTAACAAGTATCTTCTAGGACTGCTATTTTTGCATGGTACTACTGATTATGGAGATGCCATAGAAGACGAGTGGCTTATTGTCTATATGCTTTGTGAACTATCCAAAGCCCATCCCGATCTTTGGGTGAGAGCCGGAGACTCTGATGGGGAGTTTCTCTTGGTAGAAGCCGCCAACGTCCTTCCCAAGTGGTTAAGTCCGGAGACTGATCGCTATCGTGTGTGGATTCACCTCGGAAAGATCTTTCTCATACCTCTGAATTCCAAGAGCAAAGATGGTCTTGCTATGCATTCCCAGGCAGAGGAACAGCTGTCGCTCTTGCAAGCCGTTACGTTTCTACGGTCAAACACAGACGCGCTTATTCATCTCCCTGCCATCGATTCTGAGGCGTTTCATAGACTGAATAAATACCCCGAGCAAATACCCAACTCCATCCACCATTCTCTAGTCACGATTCCCCGAGCAGTAGCCTACATTCTGCATGCCCTTCCAAAATCTATAGCTCCCGCTGTTGAGAGCTTCTATCTGAGAGACGCCAACTCTCTAAAGCCTATCTTATCTTCATCGGCACCACTACAATTCCCTCCAGAAGACCTTGTCACGGCCAGCGTGAGATTCAGTAAGACTCTTTACGCTCAACTTAAATCTCAAAGATTCGACACACCGCCGAGATGGGAATCCATATTTCGAAATACTAAAAATGAGAATATATCATCAAATGAAGAACAGAAAAGAGTTGAACGCTTAGAGACTGGCATGAAACTCACATGCGGTTTTGAGATGCTTGCCAAGGATGCGGAGAATAGCAAGAGCAGGGTCGTCCGTGAGATGGCCATTATGCTGGAAGACCTCCAAGAAGATGGAAGCTCAGTCTTGCCATCTGATGACGACATCAAGCTGTGGGATCACGCTGGTCGAGACGACGACGATTCATGGCTTGATATTAATTATGAAGATTTCGAGCGCGAACTGGAGGGGAAACAAGCTCAAGGATCTTCGAAGGGGGCATCCGGCTTTGGCGAGACGCAGACTCAGGAGAATCTGAGAAAGATCGTCTCACGTTTTGAAGCTTTCCTCAATGACGATAGTGCAGGATTAGACGGCGCTGAGCTTGACAGCATGGATGTTGACAATGATGATGATGAAGAGGATGTTGATGATGACCAAGACGAGGAGGTGAACTTTGACGAGGAGGCCTTTTCTAGGATGATGAGAGAGATGATGGGATTCACAACAGCAATCTCTGAGAAAGGAGCACCAAGTAATACCAAGGTTACAGAGGACCACTCTGACAGCGATAATGACAGCGATAACGACAGCGACGCAGAAGAGGATAGAGATATACAGGATCTAGCCTCTCGCATGGAAGCAGAGCTCAAGGAATACGGCACCCTTCATCTTGACCCACCAACCACTGCGCGTGCTATAAAGCCAAAGGAAAGCTCAAAGAAGAAAGGCAAAGAGAAGGAGCAGCCAGTGCAAGGATGGAGCGGCCCTTCAGTTGACGATTCCGACAATGACGACGAGGAAGTCGATATTGATTATAACCTGGCTAAGAATTTGCTTGAGAGCTTCAAGAGCCAGGGCGGCATGGCTGGTCCGGCGGGAAATCTAATGGGGCTTATGGGCTTCCAGTTGCCGCGCGATGAGGATAGCGGGAGCGAAGGGGACAAAGAAGAGAGGTCCTAAGCTCGACTACGACTTCTTCCAAGTGTTTATGGGTATGGATTTTAGATAGCCGAAACTATCAGATCTTGGGAGATTCTGCGTTTGTATATTAAAGGAGGCACATCCGCCAATATGATGTAACAATTTGGATGAATAAAAAAGAAAGTTATATAAAGCTAATTGTACCGTATACTCCTTGCTCGTCCAATGTAATGCTTCTCTTCTTTTCTAATGAAACCAAGATGCCAACGCCCAAGCAACAAGCAGCGACTACCCCCGTCGATCAACTCGAATCTGGTTTACTCCTCTTTCGTGGCCTTCCCCGGATTGCCACTCTTCTGCTCGCCCGTCATGTCATAGAGCGCGTTGATGTTATAGCGCTTCAGCTCCTCCCACTCCTTGCCATCGACTACAGAGATTCCACAGAACATCTAGCATTCGCATTGTCAGCCTTACTCTACCTGATTCCGATCGCGCCTTGGCCAACAAATGGATGGAGAGGATAGGGGGGGAAAGACGCCACATACCTGGAATATCTCGACGAGGATGACCTTGTCTGGGGTTCTGAGATTGACTTTGTGCTCGGGCTTGACCATACCAGCAATCATCTTGATGACTGCTTCTGATTTTAGAATGGTGTGATTCCTCATAGTGTGTCGGATAGCGTACTGCTCAGTCGTACGTCAGTCACAACCAATCACGTCTAAGAAGAAGAACTTCTCTCAATCCAGATCAAACTCACAGTAAAAGCAGAAGACGCCTCAGCTTGCTGAGCTTCTGCCACTGACTCAGCCGCTCGAGCCGCCTCTTCGGTCTTCTCATCTGATCCCTCCGTCGGTTTCTTCTCTCCTTCTCCTTCTCCTTCTCCTTCTTCTTCGTCCCCTCCCTCCTTTTCTTCCTCATTCAAACTAAAAAACGACGGGAGAACCTTCCGCGCCACCCGCTGAATCCCCTTCTCCGTCGCCTTATCCGTGTCCATCACAGGCGTCAGCCGATTAATGTACTTGCACTTACGATCCTTTGGGCTGGGACACTCCTGCGCGTCTCTGCAGATCTGAAGGACCAGCTGGTACGGATCGACCGGCTTCATCGTCTTCATGAAGAAGACACACTCGATCCCGACTGACACTGGCGAGAAGACCCTTCTCTCCTTGGGCTTTCGAGACTCCTTCATTGCGTCAAGCTCTTTCTGGATGGACGCCTCGATGTCTTCTGTTTCATCTCCTGACTGGGCCTGTGCCTCTGATGCGTCGACTGGTGGCTTGATGCCGTACATCTTTTCACCATACTATTCATTGATTAGTACCCATCAAGCAGCAAAACATGATACTTCCATCCAGAAAAAAAAAAAAAAAAAAAAAGGCAAATAGCCTACCTCTTCACACATAGCTGTGAATTCTCGGACCGCTTTGCCCTTCATGCCCCTCGCGTAGGTGACCCAGATGCCTTCATCGCCCACGTCAAGCGCGGTGCCCATTTCCACTCTATCAGCATACTTTGCCTTTTGAGCCGGTGTCTTCCATCTTCCAGCGGTGCCCTCCTATTTCAGTAGCCTTGATGTTAGCCTTAATCTGTATAAAAGACTTTATATGGTGGCGCTACAAAAACACAGCAGGACGAGATAGAGATTTTTCTCATAAAATGCATACCTTTCTCTTCTTAAATGCAGAGCCTTCGGCGCCCCCAGGGCCCTGTTTTCTTTTTGAAGCAGCGTCTGCCATCTCAATTGATACCTTGGAGCCAAATATTGCTGAATAAAATGCCTTGAAATGCTTTATATACGATGCAGTATGAGATCGCAAGAATCAGTGCACTTTATTTTGAAGTTGAAGATTAGATACGGTCAGAGTATCTGGTACTTGTGGTTTGGAGTAAATTTATAGTAAGAGAGCAGTACCCAAAACTTACTCTCGACGTATTTGATATCTCATCACGTGATCATCTCATTCATAAACGAAGCAAGCTTTCACGGTGGAATAGTACAGGTTGAAAATATATATATATATATAAACTTCAAATTGATAGGTATTTTATATAATGTCCAGTTAATCCATATATCGTTGCATCGTTTTCTTCATTTCTTTTTAAGAAAAATCGTCCCCGTCCAAAGCCTGCTTCATTAAAGATCGGTACCTGCCTTGATCAATTTTTACCAGGTCTATTACAATTCATAAGGTGATAATTAGCCATCATGGCGGTCCTTTTTAGTCTGTCTTGGCATTATTCCTTGCACTGGCTTCTGCCGTCATGATCAGTGCTCGAGGAGCATCTTCTTTAGGCATATATAGCTCGACAAACTGGAGACACTCTGCTGCGTTGAAGGTAGGATCGGTGAGGAGACTGTCCAGCTCGTCCTTGGTCTTGACGGCGAACTTCTTGGCAGTCTTGGATCCGCCAAAGACATCAACCAGAGCCTTGAAGTCCCAGTTTGCAATGTCGTTGTACTCGGCTTCCATACCGTGAATGAATCGTTCAATGGTAAAGCCATCGTTGCAGATGACGAAGCTGAAAAAGAAAGAGTCAGTTATACGGGACAGCTAACAATAGGGTATTCGTACTGATATATACTCACATAATAGGCTTTAGCTTGAGACGAATCATTGTGCTCAATTCTTGGGCGGTGAGCTGGAATGAGCCATCACCAACGAAGAGAATAGTTCTGCGGTCGCTATTGTCATCGGCAGCCGCAAGAACAGCTCCTTGGCAGGCACCCACGGACCAGCCAATGCTTCCCCAAAGGACCTGAGAAAGCGCAGTGACGCCTGAAGGGAATTTCGTATCCCAGATACCAAAGTTGGCTGTTCCAGTCTCGGTAATGACAATATCATTCTTCTTCAGGAATTCTCCAACGCGTGGCCAGAAGAAAGCCTGTGTAATAATGGGTGAGCTATCTCGGTTCTTGGCAACTTCATTCTCGACGACTGGTGCTGGTTGGACATTGATCTCAGATGCACTAATTTGCTTAATCACCTGCCGCAGCACACCCCGCATCTGAACACCTGGATATGTCGAATATTTGACAATACAGTGGTCGCTGTGGAGATCGATCGTGTTCAGCTGTGAGGTGCGGTAAGAAAATCCGGCAGTGTTGAAATCACTCTATAAGAGAAAGATGGGTTAGATATTTAGTAAATAAGTGGAGGGCAAACAGCATTGGAGATATATACATACCTTGAGGGCACCGATTGTCAAAATCAAGTCAGAAGACTCAACAATGTCCTTAACTTGAGGTGGGTGGGATCCGTCGCCGGCATAGACACCACCATATGTTGGGTGTTCTTCGTTAACAGCACCTTTACCCATAGGAGTGACAAAGACGGGGAGATTTGTCTTTTCGATGAGATCATGAACTTCGTCAAGGACACGATGACGAATGGCGCAAGCATCGACAAGGACGACAGGGTTCTTTGCGGCACGGAGGTACTTGAGAACGACGTCAACGACGTATGCTTCGCTCTCGGGATCATTTGGAGGCTCCGACAAGTCAATTGGCTCCTTGAGCCTGGCACCTTCTACCTTGGCCTGGACCATATCGGTGGGAAGCATGATGTAGACGGGTCGAGAACGGATGAAGCAAACTCGGAGGGCATGGTCGATCTGAGTAGCGATTTCGGCAGGGTTGGTGAGCTTGGCCACTTCACAGGAGATTTGGGCGCTCATGTTGGCGAAGATGTTGAAATCACCGTTTCCGAGGGTGTGGTGAAGCAGCATGCCGTTTCGCTGCGAGACGGTGGAAGGGCAGCCGACAATGTGAACGACTGGCACGTGTTCCGAAAAGGCACCGGCAACGCCATTGATGGCTGAGAGCTCTCCCACGCCAAAGGTGGTGATGAGAGCTCCCATATTCTTGACACGAGCATAGCCATCAGCAGCGTAAGCTGGAGGAGGGGTTGCACCAGTTAGTAAATTGGTCTTTCTAGGGGGATAGACATGCAGATATGCAGATAGCTGCCTGCGTATTCACATCAAGTCTCATCAAACCAAGTCAATTGGAATCAAAACTCACCAGCATTGAGTTCGTTGACGCTGCCAACCCATCTCAGGCCACATGATGGCAGATAGTCGAGGGCAAGAAGGTTGTAGTCGCCTGGAAGACCGTGGATGGAGCGAATGCCAATTTCATGGAGACGTCGAAAGAGATATTCGGCAACGTCCATGGGCTGCTCGAGATTCTGCACCCTGATGTTGATGCCGGCCATGATGAACGAACGGGCGGGGCTTCTTTGTTGCTGTTTGTTATGGCGTATAGGTGGTGCTGCGACAATTTATCAGAAAGGAGGGGCCGATGACGATGACGATGATGCTGCTCCTCAAAAAAAGGTTCAAATAATAAGGTAGGCAAGTCGATTGTAGGACGGATATAGTTGATGCAGTATTCCCGGGGGAATTGTTGTCTGTGGGTATACGAGAGACAAAGCAGCATCAATCCAGCAGCGGCCAAATGGCGATATATATTTCCCCGTCTCGCTGTTCACAACACCCAAACGAAGCTTCTCACTGGCCGCGAAGCTGTCCCAAAACAGCAATCGGCATCCAACGCCGCAGAAAAAAAAGACCCCACCATGCGCGCACGTTTTGCTCGTGCCATCGGCAAGCATGGGCTGACCTTCAGACGCAGTGCTGTGGTGATAGTGATGTAATCGAGCAGGAGGCCCGCGATAAGGCCATTTACAGTTGGCCCAGGCAGCCGCTAGTGCCGCCGCCAATCGCCTAGTGGACAGCTGCAGGACCTAGGGGGGGAGGCTTTTGGCCATCTAGATCCAGCGGAAGCTGCTCGGCAGCCGCCCGGTCAATTACCACGGACAGCCCCCGTCGGTCTGTTTCAACCACCGATCAGATCACGGTACTCTGGAAACTTTGATGAGGTGCAGAATAGTGGAATTGATAAGTTGACTGGCTTCGATAGGCCACGCCCGTCCCAGGCATTGAGTGAAGAGTTTTCTCCCAGACGCAGTGGCATGCTTTGCCCTTGGAGGCTCTCACCACCATGCCATGCGCGCGCACACTGACACGCCTGCATGATAACGCATCCCGTCCTCGTACCATGCTCAACACGACACCCCGTCTGTCTATCTATTTTGCCCCTATTCCCAACGATTTTCGAAAATAACGCCGTCGGTATATGCTGCCAATTAATTGAGTTGAAGCGACCTCGCTCACAATCGTACACTGCTGCATGCACTTGCTGCAGACTTCGCCTCTTGTTGTGTTTTTGTCTTCTTCTTCTTCTTCTTCTTCCTTGCCGTCTAATCATAGGTACTCGTACAGTCAAAACCAACATCGCCGCCGCCGCCGCCGCCGCCGCCTCTCCATCAGTCGCAGCGGCCGTCCTTCCAGCCCGTCCTCCAGCGCTCATCCCAGCGTGAACAGTCAAACTGGGGCTTGCCCAGCTTCTTGTTCACGTCGTTGTGCGCGCGGCAGAGCCACTGCGAGAACTCCTCGCGGGAATTCACCTGTGGTTTCTGCCGCGCCATGTAGCCCTGGAAGTCCTCGGCGCAGACCCAGCACGGATACAGCTTAGAGAACAGTCCCACGAAGCTCAACAGGTCAGAACGCTGCGTCTGCGAGGGCGTCTCCGGGTACGAGGCCGCTATGGAATGAAGAAGCGTCCAGGTGCTCCGTCCAAGGGTCTCGACGTCTGGCGGACAGTCGGCTGGAGGGCCCGAGGCGACAGCCGTTGTGGATACGGCTCTGCTGCCGGCAGTTGCGTCTTTCTTGGTCTGATCCTTGGCCTGCGTGGCCCATGCAGCAAATGAGGTGCAGCTTCGGCATCTGTAGAGACAGAGTTGCGCTTTGTTAATGCCAGACTCGATCCATCTGTCAAACTGTACTTCTGCTACTCCCACTCTCGAGCAACAAGCACAGACGCAGTCAGAATATAGGGCACTTACGGCTTGCCATCTTTGCCCAGCACGACTCCCTTGGGAAACTTCTTTGGCTGCTGGTCGCTGGCATCGGAAGCAGCCGAGGGCGCCGAAGTTGGCAGCGCCGTTGCAGCGTCACGAAATGAAGCTTCAGCCATTGTCTAGAAGTTCCCTCTCACAGTATAACAACGCTCTTCGCAAGCCCCGAATAAGCACCAAGCGGCCGTAAACAAAAGCTCGTAAAAAGAAAGGCTGAAAGATGGAATAGAAATGTATAAAAATGGCCACACCAAACACACACTTAGTTCATTGAGTGAATGTCATTTGTCAGCCCACGTTCTTTGGAGGCTTTCGCTAGCGCCGGGACACTTTTTTCTCTTATCGATATGCCCCTCCAAGCCCATTGCGCTAACAGCCCCACGTTCTAATTCGGGATCTCGTCTGAACTATGATGCCAGCTGCTTTTCATATGCCATCCCAAGTCGAGCATCTTGTAAACTAAAAGACAGTGTACCCGACAATCTTCCTAATTAAACTCACTCGCGCAGATACCAGCACCGATAGCTCATCATTCAAATGCCCTCTACCACAGCACCTACTACCATCCCATATTAACTTTGCCACAATCATGCCATCAGCTTCAAGTCTCGTTCCAGTCCTGCTGCTCAAGACGAAATCCAGCCCGACCGACGCATACGAAGAGCTCTTTTCAAGAGCGCCCGACAACAACAACAACAACAATGATCCCTCCTTTGAACCAACATTCGTGCCAGTCCTACAACACAAGTTTGACGACGCCGGGTTAGACAAGCTCCGAAACCTGCTCCGCCAGAAACGCATCGGCACGAGCCCGGATTGCGAATTCGGCGGCCTCATATTTACATCTCAGAGGGCAGTGGAGGCGTTTGCACATGTCGTTCGCGAAGACGAATCAGCAAAAGGTTAGTTTTGACGGCATTTATTTCTACTCTACCAATTGCCAGGGACTAATGCCTTTCTATCCAAAACAAAAGACTCCCCCGAATGGCCTCACCTGCAGCACATCCCCATCTACAGCGTCGGCCCCGCCACCACCCGCGCCCTCGCCGCCGTCTCTCAACAACCCCCCCTCCAAATCTTCGGCAGCCACACGGGTAACGGCGACGCCCTCGCGCACTTCATCCTCGACCACTACGCCGAGTGGTACGCCAAAGGCGGCCGTCCCAGCCTGCCCCCGCTGCTCTTCCTCGTCGGCGAGCAGCGCAGAGACATCATCCCGCGCACCCTGATGGACCCTTCCCTGCCCGACAACAAAAGGATCCCCGTCGTCGAGGAGGTCGTCTACGGCACCGGAGAGATGGAATCGTTCCCGCAGGACTTCGCGGCCGTCCTGGACAAGACGCAGTCAAGCCCTTCCCGGTGGGTCATTGTCTTCTCGCCGACGGGCTGCGACAGCATGCTCCGCGGCCTCGGCGTGCTGGATGCCTCTACGGGGAAACTCGTGCCCGGGCGGCGAGATGGCCGGACATTTGTGGCCACGATTGGTCCTACGACTAGGAGCCACCTGGTCAAGAATTTCGACTTTGAGCCTGATGTCTGCGCTGAGACGCCGACGCCAGAGGGGTTGTTGGAGGGGATAGTGGCATTTCGGGAGAAGGCTTCATGAAAAACTTGTATGAAGAGGTAAAATTCAAGCAAGAGGAGGATGCAAAAGTTTGGGAAAGCCAATGCTGGACATGGCACATTTGATTCTAGTACTAGTATAGCATTGTAAGAGTAGACGTTAAGAGAGGGCATAGATGGTGGGGAATAGCGCTCATTCAATTTGGTTTCTGGGTATCATAGTATAAATCGTCTGTCTGTCTGTCTGTCTAAGCATCAAGCATTGTTATTACCCTTTCTCATCCCCTTCTGGTCTTTCTGAGCCTCCCGTGCCTTTCTCTCTCTCTCTCTCCGTTTCTCTCAACATCGTGTCTGACATGAATTCTGGCTTGGTATATACAAGGATTTGGCGTAGATCCTATGATATGAAGCACTCCCTCAATGCGTTTGATTCTGTCGATTCATTATTGTTTTCTTTGAATTGTGCGCTTATTCCGCTTTTGAAAAGTTGACAAGTCATCCGAGTATAAATAAGATGGAGTGAAGATGAAGAAGAAGAAGAATTCCGGGAGATGTAGAAAGAGCACCAGCTCCTTCAAAATTATGTTTCCATCTTCAGAGCCGTAAATCAGATTAGATCAGATATTATAAAAGAAGCCGCTCCCTTTCTTCATGCGCCAATCACCCAAAGCTCAACGCCTATGACGCTAAACTTGGGCCCAGCATCGCTAAGCGGTTCATTTCCAAACGTTTCACAAGTCGCGCTGTGTCCCACATCGAGCGAGTCGTCCAGCCACAGGCCGTAATGCCCGCCACCAGACCCCACGCTCAGGAACCCTGTCTCGCAGTTGATGTAAAAGTCATTGAGGCCGCTGTATGGAAACGCCTTGAAGCGAATTCCAGGCGTCGTATCTATCGATCGCGGTGTCGAAGCCCCAGATCGCGGTGGAGGGGCAAGCGTCGTGCTGCGCGTCAAATGGGTCGTGTCGGCCGACGGTGGCAGCGGAAGAGATGTCAGGGTCGAGGCACGCCACAGGAAACACTCTCCATTGCCAAAATAGGATGGAGCCGGATGAGGGTACTCGGAGAGATAGGCACCAAATGTCTGTTTGGGATGGCTTTTCGTCAGCAATTATGCTTCAACGTGCAATCAGGGTCGATGAAGAGATGGATAAAGAACAACACATGGAACAATTCTTTCGACTTCAGCTGCCAGGTTCTAAGAAAACTTACCCCGCCCTCTTGATCTTTCACAACCAACACAAAGCCCACCCTCATGCCCTCATACTGCCTGCACCTCTGGTACAGAGTCGCCAGGCTCGTGCCGTGCTGCTCAATGCTGTACACCAAGCGCCAGTCTTCGGTGATGCGCAGCCGCTCCGGCACCATGGTTCGAATCTCCTCGGCCACCACCGTCGTCAGTAGCCTCGATCCAGCGGGCGTGCTGTCCTTGTAGCCATGGAGCACAACGGGATCCAGCGGCGGGGGGCGGAAGGGACTCAGTGTGCGGATCATGGGCGTGTAGACATCGTTAATGCCATCTTTCAGGGTCGCCGCGCGGTGAGGCTTGTTGTCTTCATCTTCGTCAAGATGGCTGGGGACGTGGGTGTCCTCTGTCGACCAGCGCCGCATCAAACTCCACATTGCTGCCAGATTTGATGTTCGGTTTCCGACGTTGGAGTTTTCCCGTGCAGCCGCCTCTTGAATAAGTCTCCAAGTATATATAGCTCCCCCTTCTATTGCAAGGTAGCACTACTATGGTAGTGGTGATGATGGTATTAAGAAACTGATAATTGGCTGGTGGCGGTATGGGGGAAACACGAGCTTCCGCACTCTATTTAGCGGTCCAAATGTTATGACGTATCCAAGGATGAGACCCGCCAGCGGTGGAATAAACGCTGGACGGCCATGGAAAGAGAAGAAGAAAAAAGGCCAAGGCGATCTGATGCTGCCCAGGATGGTGATGGCGATCAGAATCCAAAGCGCGGGTGCTACATGTACCTACGCAAAAGGTGCCTGGGGCGGTTGTGCTGGATTGAGTGATGACCGAGCTTGGTGGTGGCTGGAAAGAATGGGAAAACAGACCACTAAAATGTTAACAAGTTGACGGATGACGGCGCTGCCTTGCTGCAGTGGGACCTGCCACAAGGAGCAAGGCCTGCGCTAGCGGCAGTACCCTGTGCGCTGCTATAAATACCCAATGCCTACAGATATACAAGCATGGGTGTTCAATTTGAATCAATCTTTGAATTTTAACACATGATGAACATTGGCTGAGGGTTTCTTCATATCTAGAGCATAAGTATATCCACCAAGTAGCAGGGATGCTCAAGATGCTCGAGTCTCTTTGTCTAGATGCGGCGCAAACACTTGGTCTCGCACTGTCATTACCTACTACTAAGGCAGATAGGCCGGCCTACCTACTAACCATTCCGCAAACATACCTTATGCAACACAATATGCTCTTCACTTCGACTGTCGCATCGAGGCAATATTGACTGCATGCATGTATTGAACCAGAATACGTAGGCCACATATATATATACTTATACTAAAACAGAAAAACAAGAAAAAAGTAGAGGCACCCGAAGCCAGTGTATTTATTCATTTCATATCTCGTCCCATTCCTCCACTTTCTTGGCTTAGCCAAGATATATATTTCCTTTCTTTGCCAGCCTCATTGCTCTATATCCTCCAAAAAATGCTTCCGCTTTAATTCAGTTTCTTAACCCATCTCGGCAACATCTTTCAACCATATGCTTCATCAGTTCCCTATTATTTTGTTTCTTGTTTTACCGCATAATCTCTTGGTAAATCAGCTGCTTCAGTTGCTCCTTGCTCAAGGTATCTTTGTGCTTGTCGAAATCGAAAAATTCCTCCGGGATCGGGGGCGCAGTGGGCTCGTCATCAGGGTCGTGGTAAGGCTCCAGGTATGGGTGCTTGAGGGCATCCTCCACCGTGATTCGCTTCACGGGGTTGAATGCAAGCAGCTTCTCCAGGAGGTCGAGTGCCAGATCAGACGTCTTGGGGAACAGGGTGCGGAATGGCACCTTCTTCTTGAAAGGCAGAGAGCGGATGTACTCTCGTGCTCGTCGAGACTTGATGCCGTAGTAGTCCTCCATGGTTGGTGTACCGAGCACATCCAGAATCAGAGTCAGCTGGTGGTGGTCTAGAAGAGGCTTTGTATTAGCGCATTATTCATACAGTTGAGTCTTCAACTCAAAGCATCCGTCTCTTCTTCCCAGATAAGGGTGTCGGTGAATCGGCACTTACAATCTTTGCCAGGGAACAGAGGCTTGCCGCTGAGCATCTCAGCCAGGATGCAGCCAACAGACCAAACATCAATAGCCTTGGTGTACTCCTTAAAGGTCAACATAATCTCGGGTGCGCGGTACCATCGCGTGGCGACATATTCCGTCATGAAACCCGAGTTATCTTCCTGAGAGGCGGCAGATCTGGCCAGACCGAAATCGCAGACTTTCAGATCACAGTTGGCATTTAACAGTAGGTTGGAGGGCTTGAGATCTCGGTGAAGAACGTTGGCCGAGTGCATGGCCTTGAGAGCACGCAGCGTCTGGTAAATAAAGTACTGGCAGTGGTCGTCGGATAGGTCCTGGGTACGGATAACTCTGTGCATATCTGTCTCCATGAGTTCCTACGCGAAAATTGATGGTGAGCACAGGTATCAAACGCAAAGGAGGGAAAAGAAAAGAAGCAGAGAGAAGCTTGCAGCGCCTTCCGGAGCTTCAAAGGAGGGGAAATACCTGAATGAGGTAGACCTCGTTAAAGCTGTCATAGCTTCGAGGCTTCTGGATGTCAAGGATGGAGATGATGTTTTCGTGGTTGAAATAGCGCAGCAGCTTCATCTCTCGCAGGGTTCTCAGACAGAACATGGAGTGGTCGAAGGGGGTGATTTTCTTGATGGCAACCTTCTGTCCTGACGGCTTGTGAATTGCAGAGCTGTCCAAGTCAAATCGCTGTTAGAAACGGGACGCTAGCTACACCAGAAAGACGAGAACTAGGCCAAAAGCTTACCAAACAACGCCGTAGGCTCCTTCGCCGACAACGTCCTGAATGTCATACTGCTCGCTGACATTGAACGAGATCTTGCGCGACGCTGACGCATTGGGGGCGTTCGACCGAGACATGATGGTCGGGCTGGCGACTTGGGCCTGAATCCGCTGTCGTTGTGGCTTTGTGGTTGTGAAGAAGTGAGGGCGATTCCGAATGCTTGCTTGCACAAAAGCTCTGGGGAAAAAAGAGCGGCAAACAGAGAAACGAAAGACGCAAAGCACACCAAAGGTCAGAAAAGGGTGACAAAGGCCTTTCGCGGTGGGCTGTCTGTTTGTAGATTCTCGTCGATGCCCGCAGGCTAATGTGCGGATAGCGGTCGATGGCCCAGGCAATCTAAAGCGCAACTCCACTCAGCGAACTAATGCGGTCAGTCGACGTCTCTCGCATCGACGACGTGAATCGTGTGATGCAGCTACTAACAGGACGGGGGAGCTTGGCGCGCAGAGATACGGCGGGCGAAAAGGCGGTTGTTGGAGGAATAATGCTGCCCGTTGGTTGGCGAAAGGGTGAGATTTTGGGGAGCTATAAGAGCGGCTCTCTGGCGCTGTGTAAGGCGGTCTTGGATGGAACTCTCGGTGTTGAGCCAAAAAGCTGCTTGGCTGCGGGGTCGAAGGGTGCGTGCTGGGCCAAGTGGGGGGGGATGGTGGCAGGTCTTTGTATTCAAGCTCCCTCAGCTGAGTGGTGGTCAGTGTTTTGTACCTTACGGTCCTTACCGCTGCTCGTATACGGCAGAGGCAGAAGGCGATACCTGTAATTCAGGAGCGCCGGCGGGGACGAACTAGGAGGCTTCTCCAGGCCAGGGGATTTTGACGGCCCTGAGCAGAGGAAACAAACGGACGAGCTGGACGTCGCTGGCACCGCAAGGCTTCTTCCCTGTCTCCAGCCTTTGGGAAGCTGGTGATGTTTGGAATGGCAAGGTAGGCAGAAGAGAGAGAGTTACAGGTTCGTACGGTGGGGATCCGCTCGGGAGGCCCCTTGCAACCTGACCTGTGACAACCTGCCGATCCTGGTAGGCCAGACTCAGCAGCAGCAATAGTGCCAGGGCTCTTTTTGCAGGCGACTGGCTCTATTCGGACGTCTAGAGGCTCAACAAGGGACCAAGACAATGATGGTGATGATAATGATGATGATGATGACGATGATGATGATGCTTGAGGAAGGTTTGGTTTGCAGCGAGGGGAGGGATGACGGGGGACATGCCGGAGGTCTTTGCCTTGCCTCTAGTGCAACATGCCTTATTGATCTTTTGTTGAAACGAAACCCCGTGCAGAACGAGGCCGGATTGGGTCGCTGAAGAAATGCAGCCCATCTATAGCTGCAGCTCACCTTTGGAAACGGTTGGTTGAGGGTTTGCGCAAGGCAGCAGGAGGACGAAGGACGAAGGACGAAGTAGGGAGCTATAGCAGCACTCTAGCTAACACAAGGACAGAACAATAGCCATCTGCCATTGGCCATCAAAGATGAATAGGCTCGATAACTAAATGAAAACCTATTCTACAATATGTGCAACCAACTGTCGATACGCTCCGTCTCTCTATCCCACCTCGATTCTCGATTCGTAAAACACAACGATCCATCCCTACAGCACTGTAAGCATCTCGCAAATATAGAGTAAAGCTCTCGGCCCAGAACCCTGCGGCCTATTCCTCGCCGCCCCGTCCCTTCACACCAGAAACCTCAGTAATAGCGCCGCCCACTAGCGAACTAGAGCCCGCTAAAGCGTTCCATAGCGCAGGAGGCTCGGGTGGGACTTGGGGAGGGGGGGTCATGGCCCAGGGGCGTTTGAGCCCTCTTACAGGCTGAGCGGCGCAGGGCCAGCGGTCCAATGGTGCTTCCAGGACCGTCACAATCGCGCATGCATGCATGCATGGCGTCGGTATTTCTTCATGCTCGTGCTGCGAGATTATATCGTCTCGTACAGTGCGATGTACAGTATTCGCAGCTGTCCAGGCATGCAGTTAAAACAAAACATTTTCTCAGCAAATCCGTCCATCAACTATCCCAGAAATGCCGATGCCAAGCTAACCGCCAAAACAAAACCTTCTCCCAAGCCAAAACACCATTCCCCTACGTTTCACCTTTTTTTTTTTTGCCCTTCCCGCTATCCGAGCCTCAAAGTTCGCCTCTTTCGCCTTCACTGTGCCAAGCGCCTAATCTCCATCGCCATTGGCCCGTCAAGCGTCCCCCCTCGCCTGTTTCATCACAAGAATCCGCTCCCCACCCTTGCGGCGCAAATCACAAGGAGAAGGGGGGCGCGCCGACCAACCTCAAACGTGGACGTTAGAAGTCCTTCTCCAAGCGTCGTTTCAAAATTCGGAGAGCTTGTTTGTGCTTCCGGGCCTTTATGGTCTCTTTTCGGCATTCTCGCTTGTGGCATCCTCCTGTGGTAGAAAAGAACTCGTAGCATGCTAAATCGCATTGCAGCGGACTATTAGTGCCTCGAAAAAGACAAAAGAATCCCTTGCTAGCTGTAATACGCCCGCTGTGAATGTGACGAAAACGAGCCGCACATGCCTTAGCGTTGCTGTGATGCCAACGCCCATGCCTCCTCCATCACAAGCTTTGCAGCTGCCCTCTGGAGCTTCGCATTGGTCGTCAAATAGTCGCATTCACAAGATGGAGCAACGCAACCAGCCGGTCAAAAACACGCCACCACTCTATCCCATGCCCTGAATACTGCGCTTCGGAATCGCTACTGCTATTAACGGCCGTCGAGCGGGCCTATATCGCCGCCCCTCCACGCACTCGAGTCTCAGAACATGTCAAAATTCAAGATGACATAAAAGTAAGCCGGATAAAGGTTTTTAAATTCGTCAATGCTTCATTTTTTTTTTTTCATCGATATTTTTTTTGGAAATATTGCTTGTATAGTACCATAAAGCCACAAGTCCATCTCCTCACTCCTATCCTCATTTTGTCTTTTTACTCCAGGCCAGCCACCATGTAAATCCCCCATCACTACCCTAGTCTATACAATTAGAATTGCAACACCATAATACGTTCTCATAAGTGCGGGTGCTCCTCAACATTACTGCACAACCTAGATTAATGTCCATGTCAGTTCCGCGTTTCTTTAGTTATATATATATAGAGAGTCAGGGTGCCAGTCAACATACCTTCTCTCGCAGAGTGCCAAGCCACTGTGCCGCACTCACCCCCTGATCCGCCCGGTCCTCCACGAGCAGTGTCTGCGCCCACAGCTTGAGAGATGGCTCGCCATCTTCTCGCACAATATACAAGTGAGGCACCGTGATGCTTCCCACTCCAAGAGCGCGGTGATCCCGGCTCTTCTGGATCACAGCTCGGACACGCTCGTTGAAGTCATTCTCAAGCTCGGGAACCCGTCCCTTGCCGACGTGAACCTGGGTACGGTCCTCTACTCCAAAGACATCGGCAATCAGTTGGGGGACAGTGTCCCGGCCCACCCACAGGAATTGAACCTGGCCATCATCAATCAGGTAGAGACCGTATGATACTAATCTCTCCGAAGACAGATTGTGAGCTGGAGGAAGCGTAATCTGGCCAGTGGTCTCATCGGGCACGCCAGCGTTGTCAGGCATGTCGTGAAGAGAGTAAAGCTTGGGGTAGATGTATCGGATTAACAGCGGGAGCGGGAGCGTGGACAAAAGACACAGGGCAGCTGATCTGATGTCAGAAGGAATCTGCGTTGACTTTCGTAGTCCGACATTCTTTGTGAGGCCGAGGAACAGAAGAGGCAGTGCGCGGAGGTTGGCTGGGAATTGCAGGCCTCCACCCATGCTGCCGCCGGCCAGCTCCTTCTTGAAGGTCTGGAGGAGCTCGGTAACCTTGGCCGACAGAGCATCCCGAGCCGCGTCGAGGCCGCTGCTGAGCGCTCTTTCGACAGCCTTGTGGCTGAAGTAGGTTGTGATGGCGGCCTGGTCTGCAGATGCATACAGATCCGACAGATTCGTCGTCGTGGGCAAGGCGAGGGTCAACACTCTGATGCGACGCTCGCCGTTGCATGTCGTGTGTAGTACGGCTGCTTGAAGGCACACCACGTTCTTAGTGAGATTCTCATCAATGGCAACTTCGACAACGTAGGCCTGATCGCGGGGGAAAGCTGGGAATGCGCAAAGATCCGAGCTACGGTTGAAAAAGTTTCCGTAGAAGGCGTTCATGCGCAGACCCGTAGTAGCACGAACTCGGAGAACGGCTTCCAGTCCGATTTCAGACGACAAGTAATCGCTAAACTCGGAGGCAAACTTCAGCGCATCTTCCGGCCGTGAGGCATGCCAGCCAGGGTAGAACCAGGTCTGACCACCAGTGTATCTCGGCAAGTTGCTCAGCGAGGCCACGTCTTGATACTGGGACGAGAACAGGAACATGTCGATGGAAACCTGGTTCTTGGAGCACTCGACGGCAAAGCTCTTGTAAAAACTGTTTGACGTTTGCAGGAGACTGCTCTCCTTGGAAGTTCCCAAAAGCTTCTTGTCCTCCCTCATATCCAGCTTTCCGACACCGATATTGGGCAGGGAGGCGGTAAGGACGACAATTTTACCACCAAGAGCGGAAATGAGCTTGTGTCCCGCACGCAGGGCTGATCCCATGCACGAACCGTTGCTCTGGTTGTTCTGGAACATATCCGGCAACTTCTGGAGGAATTTCTCGATGCTCTGGCGGCTCTCGGTCAGGGGAACCAGGAGATCATGGGGCACCGGTAGGAAAGGCTCATCGAGGTCGCTAACCACCAGCATGCTGGTCTCACCATTCTCATCCGAGTCCTTGGGGATAGAGAAGTAGTGAAGGCTAGAGTCAACTGCAAGGAAACCAAGACGAGTTCGGCGATCGGCATTAGGTATCCTGTTCAAGCTGTCGAGGATGGTTCGGGCGCTCGTGGCCAGGAGACCGTTGGAAACGGCTGCATAACTGACATCGAAGCAGAACAGATACACCAGAGGCTGGGGTGGTCGGACCATGTACTCCTGAGGAGCAACAAACTCGACAACGGCGTGGTTGAGCTCGTGGCGTCGCCATCTGTCGGCCGCTTGCTGGGCTGCGACATCCCAATCAAAGGCCTGGGGCACATCGTTGCTCAGATTGCACATGTTGCACCTCCAGCGGTGGCCATGATCCAAAAAGGTAACAAAAGGGTTGATATATGTCCTGCATCTTCGGCAGCGAGAAATGACCTGGTCTTGGACAACCGGTATGGGGTCCTCGTCGTCGTGAAGCGCTCCGTAGGGCTGGATTATTAGTGCAAATGGCAGCTTAGACTTCTTGAGCAGCGAGTTGGATGTGGGGATGGCGTTAATCGTGGAGCGGATGTATCGCGAAGGGCAGTTGGCATCTGGCGAGTCGGTCACGCTGGTCTGTACGCGAAAGACGAAGAAACGCTGGTTAGTCAAGGCCGCGCGTATCAGTAAAATAGCATGTCTTCACTCACATTTTGCGGGAGGATAATTGGAGGAGGGGGGAGGTCCAGCTCCGTTGCATTGAACGGCTGAGTCAAGAGATCGGTAGGATACAGCTGGTTGAGGACAGCGGGTCTGGCTGCTTGGGCCATCTGAGGCGGTTGAGGCTGGCCGCCCATCTGCATGCCAGCCATGCCTTGGGTGATGCCAGCGACGCCAGCGGCAGGTCCCTGGCCTCCTGGCGGCTGGTATCCCTGATCCGGAGCCTGGTAGCCGCCATAGACGGGCTGCGATGCTGCGACGGGTTGCTGCCCGCCATAACCGGCCTGGGGATACTGATATCCAGGAGCCGCAGGGCCACCAGCGACGGGTTGGGGCTCGGCCTGGGGGTATGATCCGTAGGGAGCGGCACCGCCTTGAATGGGTGCGCCGGCGAATGGCTGTCCGCCTGGTACCTGGCCGCCTGCCAGAGCATTGGCTCCTGTGCCGACCTCGAAAGCTTGCGCCGCATATCCTCGCTTCTTCTTCTTGCCCGCAGCGGCTCCCTCCTGGTGCGCTGGGTGCGTGGCTTGGCCATCATATGGCTGCTCCTGTGCTTGGTCAAGCGGTTGGCCGTAGCCATCGTTGGGCGGCGCCGACATGATGATATTGGGCCGATGGAGGGCGTCGCTATGTGCGCGGCTGAAAGGGAAAGGATGTTGATGTAGGTCAGATCGGGTCGGTGGGGGGTTCTCAACAAAGAGAGCTCTACCTTGGAGCTCGGGCGAGGGAATGGGAAACGCCTAGTTGCAGTCCGACAATCAAAATATGGGGGATTTGGACGTCGAAGCCAGCCGGCCGGGTGGATTGGGAGGCTGGAGATGGAAGAAGTTTCGTCAGTCGTCGGCAGAGCCAGCTGTCACTGCTGGTCCAGTACCTCGATGGATTCAGTAGTGTGTCCTCTTTGGATCAACAAGTTATTACGGAGTAGACACCGCCTCTACGCCACACCGAGAGGGGCGCTGTGGCTGGGGCAGGGAGGCTTTCGCGCCAGCTCAGTGCAGCTCTGGGACACGGACAATGCGGCAGATGGTGGTTTTATAGCTTGGCAAACACATGATAATTCCAATAGGAAGCGAGGATCCTACTTCTGAGGCTGTTGTAAGGACACGTTACCGCATACCTCCTCATCGACATGATGTAAATGCAGCCTGAAAAGTAGTTATGGCCACGATACCAGTACATAGAACTACAAGTACCTTGATACTTTAGTACCTGTTGGCATGCTCGGCTAAGCCACATTGCTTTGTTCGGGTTCCCTAATAGCTGAAAGTCAAAACCGCATGCTCTGCAACACACAACCAGTTGGTTGTATTTAGACTAGCTATTTCGAATGATGGAGTTGTTTTGGTAGAGATTCAAGTGCTCGCACAGACAAGATGAGCAAAACGATTCATTTACATGAACCTGCTTTACTATATATGAGAAGCAAATTTTATTCATCTTGCTGAGCAACGAGTCACCTCCCAGGGTAGGTAGAAATAATCATAACACCACATAGGCCTACGGAGCAGCAAGAGTTGAAGACTGCGCGGAATCCGGCAAGCGAAATGAAACTAACGCCCCTGTTGAATCATCGCCACTGCAGTGACCCGATTAGGGCGTTGCCTGCTGCGGGGATTTCACTCCATGGAGACGGGATTGATTAAACGACTGGCTGCCTGGTTGCCGGTATAGACTTGGGCCGAGTGCAATACACGTGTTGATACTATCGCTGTTCCTTTTCCTTTGCCGTAATGAGCTCTATAGAACGTAGTCTCAATACACCTCCGCAATAGCATCAATAGGTAGAAGAGTTGCAATCTCTCCCTCATTCCACTCCCTGATACAGGCCTTGAATGGCCACTAAACCAGAATCCTCCAAAGCTCAGCAATATCTATATACTCTTACAAAAAAAAAGAGAAAAAAAAAGGAAAAGAAAAAAAAAAGAAAAGAAAAAACAAGGAATAGGAATAGGCAGTCCATCGCTCCAGGCCCTGGAAAACAATAAATAGACGGCATGCAGTAATACTGACATGCAACATACAATACCCCGTCGGTACCACCTCCATTCGACCTACCTGAGCTGCTGAACCCACCGCCACGCCCACAGCGCATTAGCGCTTCTCCAGAGCCCACTAAAACAGCTCCCCTCCCGTCCCCTGGCCGCAACAACAGGCGCAGGTACCTGAACCTCCCAGTAATAAAAAAAAAAAAGCGGCCAGCTTTGACAAAACTGCCATCAAGGACCCTCGATTTTAGGTCTNAAAAAGAAGATTGAGGCGCTTTCTCCCTCCATCCCTCCCCTCTAAAAAGGCGTGTGTGCGCGCCGTCTCATGGAATTATGCTTGTTCCGACCCTAATTCCACAGCCCGGCGCCTCTAGTGCTGGCAGCCCAACCGCAGCAGCACGCAAGGCACATGCAAACCATGTAACGCAGACCCTGCGTGCGTGCGTCGCTTCATAGTGCTATTTCTGGTAGGTATAGTTCGTAGCCTCTGTACCTACTTACTAAGGTAATTAACTGAGGCTGGTTCCGTATTTTCTCCATGCCTGTAGGCGCAAAAAGAGAGCAGAGGCCTCCTCCATTTTGGCATCCCATATCTTGTACATACATGTACCTACTAAGTGCTAAGGACTATCTGATCCCAGCATTCCCTTGCCCGCCCCCCTCCAAAACATCAACCCTTTCAGCTTTCAGCTTCGCCTCTTTAAATCTTTAAAACCTTCCAATTCCTCTCTTTTTCTATTCAGGCACGCCACGGAAATTTTCTTTCTTCTTAATCTCGTCGCGCTTTACTTCTTCTTTTTTTACTCTTACTTCTATTTCTCTATTTCTCTTATTTTTCGTCGCGGCTGCCATTCCTTCAGCTTGACCACGCCTTCGATTTGAACACCACATTGACATCATCCCGTCGCGCGCCACAAGATCAAATCTCCAAAATCTGTGTCACAATAAGATCGCCTCAGTAAACCAAGATACCACTTTTCGTGCCAAGACCATCTTCTCCATCTTCTATCTCCTCTTTTAAACCATATACCCGTTTTTATTTATTTTTACCAAATCTCTCATCTCATCTCATCTCACCTCACCTCATACCAACTTCCTCACCATCAGCCATCATGCCTTCAATAATTCGGTAGGCCATACTTTTACTATCCGCATCTCTCTACCACGAGCAAGCAAGCACACTAACAAGCAGCTGCGCGCGCGTGCAGCCAAGTCGTCCCCCTCGTCATCGCCATCGCCCTCATCAGCGGCATCGCCTGGGTCCTCTACCAAGTCTACCTCTCATTCACCAAAATCCGCGAGAGCGCGTCCGAGCGCATGGGCAAGAAGAACGTCGTCTTCACAAAGGACGGCGTGCGCGTCGGCGTCAGGCACATGCAGAACGAAAAATACGTCGACAAGACGCAGAGCTACGTCGTCAAGGCCTGGAATCTTGCCAGCGCCCAGAAGGACGAGGAGATGTGAGTAAACCCAACGTACCCAGCGGGATTCTCGTGCCATTTTAGATATGGCGTTTTCAAAAGGACAAGTTTTAACATGCTTTTTTTGTGTTTGCTTATAGGAAGAGAAAAGGATCGAGATAGCGAAGCTCAAAAAAGGGCTACTATCAAACCAGCTCTGGGATCTAAATGACATGTGAAAGGCCGTACACGAAATTCCAAGGGGAAGTAAGCCTTAGTAACGGCTTCAGAAAGGGGAGATGGGGAACCATTATTTTCGCCATTATGCTCATGGATACGATGTACATGTTAAGAGTAATACGGAGGAACTACCCAGTAATCGCCAGAGGAACGGTGGTGTATGCGTTGTCGCTGAGCCGAACAAGGTATCTAAACAGTCATCATGCATATCCTATCATGTGTAACCCTATCTGAACAATCGCGCTGATATCCCTCCCCTCTCCATAAATAATCAATATGATACGGTGACAGTATCCAAAAAAGAAAAAGCCAGAATCCGGACGACACCATCTCGCAAGTCTGCGAGCGTGTCTGCCTTTTTGCGCCTGATTACAACCCCCCCCCTGCCTTGTAGCTTGGCCTCGTGCATGCGTCTTCAGACTCTATGCTTTGCTCTCTTGACCTGCGTGGCTCCTTAAAGTTCAGTCACCCTCTGGACTCGTATCGTCATATGTAGAGATAACTGTATGCTGCGGTAACTGTAGTAGTGTGTCTTTAGCAACCTAGCCATCAAATGACGTCCGAGCTACCTGCTGCCTCACTTACCAGTACGGTTGGCTGGCCCTGAAAGTTCTGTCTGTAGAACTGCTGTGGCATAGGGCTTGTGGATAAGATCCCAGATGGCTTCGCGACTTTCATAGAGAGGAGCTTCTCGACGTTGGGGGAAGTATTGGTGGCCATCAGGCCGTCCATCCTGATGAGCATGGAGGGAGTTCGATAGTTGAGCTGTATTGTGATTTAATGGTTAGCTAATAGACATGTACTATAGACAAATAACTAGGGGATGGAATAGACTTAAGAGCTAATAAAGGAAGATGAGTTCATACCTGAGTTAGCATCAGAGCATAGGATACGCCGAGCTCCCTCCCAATGTAAGTGAGTCGTCCCTTGGCCCATGTCCTCTGGTTATCAGTTATGTAGTCTTGGCCCTGGATACAGGCTAATGGCCATGTTAGAAAGTATCCTGCAAGACTTTTGGAGCTGTCCTCGTCTCCGCAGGCGAATGCGACGAGGCTTTCTTGCTGGTGGAACAGGTGCTTGCGTGTTGAAAACCACCCGAGCTGATAGGGTACTGATGCTATTACATCCGTAATGTTCTCTACGCATATTCTCCTCGCAGTGGCATACTCTGGCGCCGTGCGATAGTCAACCGGTGAGTACACCCAGGCGGCGCACCGGATGACGAGGGACGCCAAGATGATTCGTGATACCCGCATCATGCCCCATAAGCTGGCTACCCATAAATCTGGATAGGCGTCGACGCGGCCTGGAAACACCTCTAGCTGAGAATAGTCTGCATCCGGGATATCGTCCTGCCAGAGGATCGTCCGATATCTGAAATTCTCCGGCAGCGATTCTGCCCAACGAACGCATTCAAAATCGACTTCCTGGGCTTGCCTGATCATGTCTCGGATAGCCTCAACGCTCTCCATGTTTCGAGGCAGTTGGCTCATGAGCCGATTTACTTCTGCCCTGATTTCTCCAGCGCGGAGACTGAGCTTCTGGCACTGAGAGGCAAGCGGGTCTCGTATGGCATCTGAATTAACCCACCACTCTGACTGCATTAGAGGGGGCTTCGCGGTGCTGAGCGTGTGGACAATCTACAGAAACACGGTTAGACAGAAAGAGAGAGAAAAAAAAAAAAGAAAGAAGAGATATAGATAAAATATGTGCTAACCATACCATTTGAGTTCGCACAGCTATGAATAATGCCACGCCGATCTTGGTCCGGAGTTGCTTGCGGCCTCGCTTCCTAACAAGCTGGATCGCCGCCCGAATGTGAGGGCCCCAAGCCAGCATGCCAAGGTTTCGGGTTGTAATATTTTCGAAAAGTCCCAGGAGGAGGATTGCCGCCAAAGTCGAGTCCTGTTTGATAGTGTCTGGATTATTCAATGCTATGTTGATAGCCCCCAGAGCCTTGGAGTGCGTGCGGAGGGCGCGCTCAACAAGATGCGGACTTCCTTGCGAATTGGCAAAGCTGGCCATTGCACAGGCGTCGAATGCGGCCTTGAACTGAGGAGCAACATCCTCTGCTCTCAGCAGTGGTACAATGTACTCGAGAAATCCGCGTCCGTTACCCGCTCGAGGAATGAGGACGTAGTTGGACAGAAAATGACAGCTGGCTTGCCCCTCTAGGTCCATCTGAGGTTTCTGCAGCAGGGCATGCAGACCGGTCCAGGGAGTCTGCTGATTCTTTCGACCATACGAGGCCAGATGCTCGGCGGTGTTAAAGGGGGGCGCTGAGAATGCCTCGTTTGGAGAGGGCGATTCTGACGAGGACGCAGCGGTGAACTTGCTCATCCTCTGGGCCAAGGCCTTTTTCGAGGCGCGCTGTGCTCTCTTCTCTGTTGCCTGGGTCTCGTTACGAAACACTAGGTCGAACTCATCTCTGTATCCGGGGCACTGCCGGCGAGACTTGGCACACTGCTTGCATGTGGGCTTTGTCTCGTCACACTAGTAGATGATGAGTTTCGACGCCGAGCTTCATAACCGGACCGAAGAGCAGAGGACATACCTTGATGCGGCGCGTACGGCACATCTGACAGCCCCTCGAAGGCTTGCCTTGATAGACCATGGTGGGTGTTGGTTTATATCAAACGTTGTATCTTGCGTGGAGATGCCGTGCTGCCGAAACCATGATATTTGATCATGTAGATGTGGGAATCTGAAATTCTCGACAGGCTGAATATATGATGGATGGCGAGTCTCTGTCCAGAACGGACGATGCAACTCCTTATCAAGTGGAGAGAGGAGACGCGGCGAAATTGCTGGTGCCAGTCAAATTGCCGAATTGGGACGAGGTCGAATATGGGGAATACTGCAGCGTATGCAACCAGGAGTCTCGCAGTCTTGGCCCGCGTCTAAACCCAGAGAAAAAGGAAGTGAAAGGAAGAAAAAAGGTGAAGATGAAAATTGCGGAGCAAATCAGGGAAACGAAGAAGTTGAGAGCTGGAAGAATTTGCAGCGGGGGTTCAAAAGGATGAGCTCCTACGTAGCCTGTGCTTTCTCGACATGAAAGTAAAAAGAAAAGAAGACTGCGAGCCAAGAATTTGAGGGCAGCAACCAACTCCCAAGATGTTGGGTGGGCAAAGGGAGGGGCCCGTAAACAAGAGGCCACGAAAGGAAATGTTTGCTCAACCTGTCACAAGGCAGGCAGGTGGATGACGGTGCAACAGTGAGTGACGAGGAATGCCGAAGCGTTGGAAGGTAGGCGAGCGGCGATGTATTTTCTCTCGGGATGAGGAGAGCAGCGAAGGTTTCGTGAGATGGACGTGTGATTTGCCGAGGCTCAGCTAAGCAGGTGAGGTATGCCGTAGTCTAGTATGTAGTCTATGTATGGTAGGTAATATAACATAGCAATGTTCCCTCCCTCCCAGATAAAGTGGCGAATATATCAGCAGAGTAGCAAAATATGCCCGTGTTGATTGGGCCACGGACGCGGCACAGAGCAGATGGCGCACGATGCCGTTGATAATTATACAGAGCATCAGCGTGCTAGAAGAGCGCAAGAGCAGTCACTGGCCTGGTCGTCTACTAAACGAGCCCACCCGGACCCTTGAGGGAGGATTCCTGGCAAGCCGGGGGGATGCTGTTGGCGATTCGGTAGCGTGGAAGCAGGGGAAGCTCCCGATCGCCTTATGTCACCTTTTTCCGTCGGCCTAACAGGATGGACAAGACGGAAAACGAGACGCCGCTTGGGGCGGGAGCAAGGAGAAGAAAAGAGACAATTCAGACAAGGCGTGGGCCCTGGGACTATAGATTATAGGCAGAAAATAAGTGAAAAGAGAGGGAGACTTGGAGAGTAAGGAACAGTAGGAGGCTGCGAGGGTAAATGGCAATCCAAGACGGGGAACAGGACCGGGTCTCGATGGCAGATGCGGGCGAGAATCGGGGGCCTAGCCAGAGGATGTGAGCAGGATGGCCTTTCGGAGAAGAGTGGAAAAAAAAAAGAAAGAGAGAAAAGAAAAGGGAAGAGAGAGAAAAAAAAGAAAAAGACAAACCGGATAATAGAGAAACGAATAAACGGGATGGCATGGGAACGATGGAGCAGACGTTGATGTGGAGGATGGAGAGGGGGAGGGGGATGGACGGCAGAGAGGGTGAAGTTGAGAAGTTTCGTTTCACCTCATCGGCGACAGGAGCGATGCCAAGACGGGGGAAAAAAAAAGAGGAAGAGGAAGAGAAGAATTACAACGAGGCAGAGAAAGCCAACAAAAACTAGGTCATTCGATACTAGTAGATGCTTTCCAGTCCAGGGCACATCCCAAGACCTATGTAGGCATTGTCATTACTTCCTCCCAGGCCATGTCTGCTCAGTTCTGTTCTGCTCAGGTCAGTTCTGGCACTCGCACCACCCCTGCAACGCAGCTCGCTGCCCGCCGTAGGAACTCGCCAAGGTAACCTGACGAGTCGGGCATCGCTTGTCGCCGCGGTGGACAATGGCGTCGACGCCTCAGACACTGGCAACTGACAGGTGCCAGGGGGCAGCTTCAGGTGGCGGGTAGCATCAACCGCTAATGCTCAATGCTTGGGGCTCTGGGTCTAGGGAGGCCCTAAACGGGCTTTCGCTCCATCGAATTAGCGCGGATGGGGAGCTGGTCTCAGCCATTTACGGCATGCGGGACGCGTGCATGTACCTTTTTGTGCCTGTGGCAGGGTCTCGATCGCGCACCTCTTCATGCTGTTAGATGCAGAGAGCGTCATCCTGGTCGGTGTTGCTAAAGGTTGCCATAACAAGAGGCTTTATCTATATTTTGTTTATTATTATTATTATTATTATTATTATTATTATTAGTATTATTATTATTATTATTATTCATAGTTGTTTTTTTCTCTTCTATTTTTTCTATTTTTCCGTCTTCTTTCTTTCTTCTTTGCTTTCCATTCATTCTTCAGTCAAGCCGGCGCAAAAGCTCTGGTGTTACCGCTGCTGCAGCTATCCGAGATTGCTCGCCGCCACTCAGCTCCGCCCTGTGATATAAAGAGCCCTGGAAAAGGAAGGACTAAGGACTCTTGCTGCCATTAGCCTGCATATGGGGGCTACTCCGGGCGGCAGCAGCCAAAGCTCAAGCTACTAGAGGCGCCTGACCTACACAAGGTAACATGAAGATGAAGTATTAGTATTCCATTACGGGCTTTGAATTTAACGCAACCGGCATGGGCCCATGTTCTTTCTTTCTCTAAGTTCTTATGCGAAAATAATATACCTTGGTCCTTGACTTGCATGTAGACGTAGGCCTGGGCCTTGCAGGCACTAATACAAATCAGTGCCATCAACCTTGCAACCTGGGCTATTATTAGCTGCGACAAGCCAAACGCTTTTGTTTGACGAGCGTCATGGGTACATTGCCGAGCTCCAGCACTGCGACCACCTCTAGGCTGCGGAGCGCTTGCAGCCGCCTGTACGAGCAACCTTGGTAACACGGCACCTCATGCTCTACTACAACATCAAGTTATCAGCGGTACCTACCCCGTCCTCGGGAGGCAGATGGCGAAAAGAGAAACGCACAAGAAGCCAATCGATTGTGCACATCCGCTCAAAAAGGCGATGTGCAGGTCCGAACGGGATTGAGGCTCCCAGCAGCAGCTGGCCCCCCTTAAGAGGCGCAACAGCAACCAACAGCCGCGACGGCTGATAATGATGACGATGGCGATGGATGATGCTAGCAATGATACGCACTACCAAATCTGTACGTTGGTGCATCCATCCACAATCGGTGGCATGCTCCCCGCCGCGCCAGAGCTTCCGAATCTCCCCGGAAACAGAAAACCCTGAACAGAGGCAGAGCAGGCATCTTGTGAAATTGGCAGTAGGTACGGCTGAGGATATGATGGTGCATATATTTGGTGCTATATCAATCTAGGTACCTAGGTAGGCAGCATGCCAACCTGTCATAATCTGATCTCATACCATCCGTATCATATAACAAGTGGTGTTTGTACCTCGATGGATGATACGATACAATTGGTAGAGTAAGTACCTTAGTAGTATAATACATTTATCTACCTAGTACTTGGTATAAACCTGTAGTTGCTCGCAGCTCTCACGGACAACCTTCCAGCCCTTCTCAAGCCCATTGCCCAAGCAAAACCCTGCCTGCCCGTTGCCGAACGGCTCTCCGCGCCGGTAGGCCAAAACACGCGAAGCGAGACGGAGCACAGCCTGTGCATGTGTGACCCTCCTCAGCCCCCTCGTCGCAAACGTCGTACCCGGGTATTGGGCGAGTATGCAATGGAAGCCAGCAGATTGCTTTGTGATTCTCTCTTTCAACCGCTTTGTAATGCTCTCCTTTAACCATATGCTGTCGAGTTTAGCTATACATCACCTCTGCTCCGTTATGTGTGTTTCACCACAGATGGGATATGATGCTGACATTTCTAGCTTCTAGATGGGCAGCTCCTATTAAATACACCACGTACTTGAACCCGTCAGCCGGACCCCCGAAACTATACATCCTTTGTGATTGATTCAATACTGCTAGGATTCGCAGAAGATCAAACAGTTGCTGACTTACACACAATAACCAACCACACGGAAAAGAAACAGAGGCCCAACCACGAAGCATCGTCGTCTTCGGAACATATTGTGACATGTACTAGTCAGGGGAGATGCCAAGCCATATACGTACATGGTCCTCTGGTCCTGGGTGTGTCATAGCCTGCAGTGCCAGCGAAAGACTGAGAGAGAAAGATGGATAGAGAAGGGCGTTGATGTCCGCTGTGGTATATCAGATAGCCACTGCTGCCACTGTTGGCATTAGCAGTTACGATGAGTTCTCCTCCTTTCAATGCTCTACCTAACTATTTACCTATATCTTCCCTATGCTTGTGGCTCCCCAGGACAGAATAATCATCTTGTCCGAATGTCAAGTAAATCCCCCGTAACAAACAACCTCTTACATGACGTACTTTGGTGTAACTGCTCCGAACTTCCACAGCAAATCTCCATTACTCGGCAGATGCCCTCTCCATATTTTTTCGTTTCCTTTTTTTCCCCCCTCGTATCTCTCTCGCGGCTCTTGCACCACCCTATCTAGAAGAAAGAAGCTAAATTTAGAAGAAATAAGAACAGTATACGACAACAGGGGAAAAAGTAAACTCCCGTTGCGCCCCATTGTCACCATGTAATCCTAAAGGCCGACTCTGTCAGCGCTTCATCAATCCAAAACACGATTCGAAGAATTTTTTATTGCATCTCCCTCCACTTTTTTTCTTTTTTAACTCTCAAACAGATTAGAAATGCCTTCTAAGCCATCAGGTGTGGCTCTATCTCCCGCTGCATCTCCTCTTTTGCGGTTCGCAGTATCGGATGTTGCTGGAGCGCTCGTCATGAATCCCTGAGCCATCTTGCTACGAGTTGGACGCTTGGAGTGGCTTGAACCGTCGAAGCCGGCGCTCTTGTTTAGCTTTCCCATCTCTGAGACGCTCACTCCCTTGAGGTCTTTCAAAAACTCCAGGACGATTGCCCTCTGCTGCCGCGTGTGCGATCCCGGCTTGGCCACATATGCGTTTAGACGCTCTAGCTCTCCGCGATTCACGTTTGGCAGCGCCAAAAGGACATCTGTGGGCGTCGATGTAATTGGGCTGTAGTAAACTACGATTGCCGCAATGAGTGCCGCCAACTCCTTCTGGACATCCACAAAGTATGGTTCATGGAATGACGTGATACATGCTCTCATCACATCCGATGATATGTACTCCCGAACAGCCGAAGCAATCTCTGTAGGGATAGGAGATGAGTCGGCGGGTATACTGGCCCCATGTCCGTCGGCAGCTTGTTGTGCCTGGCTCCTCTTAGATGATGCCGCGCCAAATTCTGGTACTAATGATATGAAAAGCCGCAGCAGCATTCCACAACATCTAATGTCCCGCATCCGAATTCCATGCATGCAGAAAAGCAAGAGCGGTTCAATTATTTGCTGATGGGTCAAGCAAAACTTTCGAAGAGATGGATATGCCGCCCCAGAGTCGTTCTGGGCATCCGGGTTCTGCGTCTGTGACTCCAAAGTCGGAGAATCTAAACAGAAAAAAGGTGAGTAAATGAGCAGAGCTGAAGAGTAGAAAAGGGGTCATCTTACTTGGTTTGGTCGGATCTAAAAAGTCTGCTACCATCACTACAGCAGTGTATGTTACTTGACGGAGGATACTCTCGGATTTCATCTCCTCTTTGAGCTCAGCGTCGCCGTCTACTGACACAGTCTGCTGCTGTTCAAGCTTTGCCCACTCTGAGTTGATCTTCGTGTCCATTTGCCGGAAACACGAGGATAAAAGCTCAGGTAAGAAGTTTTCACGGCAGTCAACCGGACAATCGTCAACCAGGTGCCTAACCAGGCCCAGTAAGTTGCTTTGCTGGTGAGTAGATAGCCAAATGGAGTCTGAAAAGAAAGCCTCAGACAAGGGAGCAGCGAGTCCGCTGAATCCGTAAAATTGTGCATGAAGCTTACTCATACAGTAAAGAACTCCATACGACGTTTCACGAACAAATCGCACCGACCCCCGAATCGTTGAGGCAAGACCTTCTATCGTGTTCTTCTTGTCAAACACTCTGGCATAGAAGTCATCTTTACTTCCTTCTGAAATACCAGCCTGCCAAAATCGATCGCTTAGAACTTTGTCTACTATGTTGCGCATATCGTCTGGGAAGCCTGTCCAGTTATGTGGGTTATGTGATGCGTGGGCATAGCTATAATCAGGTCAGAAAACCAAAACCGTGGAAGCTTAGTCAGTGCTACGACAAACCTTAAGAGACGTAGTAGGTCTGCTAGGATGTTGGGAAATCCCTCTTTCCAGATTTCGCATGAAGCTTGGTATGGGGTAGATGATTTCTCAACCCTATCTACAGACAGGGCCAGGAGGGTTTTCATCGAACGGAGAGGCAGTTGCTTTTGTGTTGTGTTAGCGAATATTATTATAGGCCAAGTAAAAGGCTGTAAGGGGATTGTGAGTTTCCTCCATACCTTGAGTCGCTCTTCCAACTCGTTCTGAAGCGCCAGTCCCTCTGCATCAAGCTCACACGAGCCCCAGTCTTGAATTTTGTGCGCCTGGCGGCTGGCTAGGTAGGCTTGAGCCTTGTCTAGCGCAAGAAGTTCGCAGAAGCCAGAATACGACTTCACGGCAGATTTGATGTTCTCTTCTTGCCATTGCGCTTTGACAGGCTCTACAAACTCTCGCAGTTTCTGGACTTTGGTTGGAGTGTCGATGTTTTTCGCTCGATGTCTGTAATCCGGATTAGAGCCCGCGTGAAATCCTTAGAAACCCCATGCTGCGACTTACATAATTAAGAACAAAAAGCTTTTGTAAGCAAGGGTTCGTCTATCATCTAACTTTCCGGTAGACATCATTTCATTCACACGGGCCTCGATTTGGTCGTAAACCCCCTGGCGATCGGCCATAGTTAGCGCTTCCGTAGGTATTTTTTTTTTTTTTTTTTTTTTTTTCGGTGGAAAAGGAAACCTTACCAAGAGGTGGTCGGGCATTCCGACAGCAAGGCGATGCAACTCGAGCATGCTTTCGACTTGAAAGTCTTTAATGGCGTCGTTGTACGCGCGGTATTCTGGTTCTAAAACTGGCCATGTAAGAATGATATGCTCTAGCACCTTGAGCATAAAATTCGCGTTCTTATTAAGAGCATTTGTTGAGAAATAGACCAGCAACTGGAGAGTTCGCTTTCGAATAAGAGGATCCTGTAGAGCACCTAGATGTTAGCTTTCAAGAAAGGAGTTACAAAGTACATGTCTGTAAGCAAAGGGCATACCTCAAAGCTCATATCAAGAAGTCTTGTACACCAACCCTCGAGACTGGATTCAAGCTCGGCGATTTGTTGTTGCTACCAAAACAGAAAAGCAAGTCAAGTTAGCATAGCCATATAAACCAGAAGCGAGTATATTACGTACGTTGTTGTGTGAGTGTGCCCTTTTCCACTTGGCGTAACCTTTTAATGACGCTTCAATCAACGTAAAATTAGAATCTACCTGTAAGACAGGCATCGAGTGCTTGAAATAATTTTGCTCTGACCGTGTTAGCTTCTCATTTCAATCGGAAAAATGATGGTAGTTAATGCTAATTCTTACTGTTGAACGGAGGCTGTCCATCGTATAAATGCTGCAAAACTTGCTCAGTCTGTCCTAGAATATAGGATACTGCATCGACGAGCTTGAGCTGTACAATAGCTTCTACAATCTGTGAGCTATAGCGGCGATAATTGCCCAGAAAGGCGTGACGCTCGGGAATGGTATCGGTATCCTCCATTAGGAAGATAAACGTTGGATTGGAGGTGTCATGAGGAAGATTTTCATATCGCACTAGTCTGGAGCTGCAGACCTCAAGGAGAGGTCCAATCATAGGTGTAACAAGATCGCTTGGGCCAATGAGCTTGTTCGCAAGGAGCTTCGTCCAAGTTACTAAGACCGGGATTGAGACCATGAGGCTTTGATTCTGTACGACTTGGAGCAAAAGCTGCAAGAAAGCTGCAGGATTTGCATCGTGAGGGACCTGGGAATGCTTTCTCTCAAAGTAATCACCCAAGCTCGATAGCATCTATTGTCAAATTACTTGTAAGGAAGGGATCCAATATGTGTATGGGGGTGATATTGTGGGCATACCTCAGATAGCTTCTTCAAGATCTGGTATTTGTCTTCGTCGATATCGTCTGCATCGACGGCTGACCGTTCAATGAGGTCTTTGAAGAGTTGAATGGACGCGCTGGTATACATGGGAGCAACGATCTCCCTGAATTCATCATCTGTGAAGCTGGTTCGCATATACAGCATGTGCAGGGCATCTACAGCAACCTATGCGGAGGACTTGTTAGCATGAAGCAGAGGAAAAACCGCCTTAGTGGTATCATAGGGTTACCTTTTGAATTTCAATTGATTGGGATGCTAGGCCGGCTGTCAAGATGTCCACACAACGAGCAGATGAGATGGCTTTTGGAATAGCCCAGGCCAGGAGCGATAGGAGAGCTGAGAATCCCTTTACAATACATGTCTTGATTTCATCATTCTGAGTGTCAGAGCCGAAGCACATGCCTAGGAACTCTGAGAGACGGGCGAGCCAGCCCTCGTGACCACACCGAACGTCTGGGCCGGGCTGGCGGTTGGGGAAAGCCTCAACCAGAACCGCAGTGGGAGTGAAGATCTCGACACACGCTTTGCTTAAGACACCTTCTCTCATCGCAACAACAGGGTCATCTCCGGAGAAAACCTCGTCTGAGAGAGATTCTAGAATAGACATGACGAGCTCCTTGTGGACGGCTGAGTTGGGAATCTTCCATAGCCCAACAAGCATATCGTCCATGTCTGTCCACTCGGAGCCCCAGCTTCTCTTAGCCACTTCCACCCAAAGCTGGGCCGTTTTGTTTCTCAAGTATGACGGGTCCTCCTTCGAAACGGCCTGGCTGAGCTCCAGCACCCAGTTTCGGAGTGTCTGGGCTTGCTCTTCGGTATAGGTAGCCCATCGATATCGTATAGCGTGCTCGAGAAGCGACAGGGCATAATGGCGAACAACGGGCGATTGGGTCTTGTCGGATGCTAGCTGGTAGCCCTGGAAAGGAGCTTCGGGGATGTCCTTGACTTCCTCGAGGAAGGATTGGGCTTCCCTACGCGCGTCATTGGTCGAGAGCGGGCTATGAACCACCTCGAGCGCCAGGTGAATCTTGGCGAGCACATCTGCATCTCCGCCGTTTCTCGCGTCTCCGCCGTTGGTAGCCATGATTGATAATCAGCCGCAGTGGCGAGCAGGAACGCTGCAGGATGGACGGTTTCTGTCGCGGCTGCACGCGGCGCAAGACGGAGATGCTGTGTCCCACGAAACAGCCTCGAGTTGTAAAGTCAGAAGTCGGTCGGCTTGGGCACGATCATCGAGGTTGGCTGCCGTTCACTAAAAATAAAAAGAGCAGGGGTTTAAAATATTGCGTCCGGGTATTTGGGGGTGACAGCTTTTCGGCAGCAACAGGCTAGCGGGGCTCGACTCGCCAGGACTGAGGTGTGCGGATATGACTCAACTGCTGCCATGCATGAAGAAGGAAAAGGCAGAGGAATTGACAGATTGGCGAGAGGCTGCGTCAATGGGCAAACAGCGAAGGCGGTCAGCAGGCAGAAAGACTGAGTGAGGATCACGCCGCGTCGGTTGCAAGCAACTACAGGTACTGTTGAAGCTCTGGCCTTCTTGGGCTTGGGCAGGTACCTAAGGGAGGTGGCTTTTCAGGGGACCTCAACCTCGTCTCTAGGCCGGAGCTGGCGGTTGATGGAGCCTCGAGCCTCTGCGAATCACTAACGGTGTCACTCGGCGCCAATTCGCTACGGCAGCAAGGCCTCGTCAGCCTCGATCTTTGTCTCTACAAGGTATGCGGCTGCGGTACCACAGTGCTGCAAGGCTGAGAGCAAGCAATGGATACAATCGCGGGTGCGGAATACGCGCGCCAGGCAACGGTGGAGCCTGTGCTAGCACCACTGTATTTTGTCCCCAGTGGAACCGCTGCAGCCCAGTGGAGGGGCGTGCAGTGCGCGATGCAGCGGTCGATATCCATCTGGCTTATTCCTCCGGACCATGTCTGGCTGATCAGCAAAGTAGTAGCACCTCTGCCGAATGCACCCCGCGCCGGACGCTGGTTGATTTAACCGAAACTGATGTCTAGCTTCCTTGGCTTCTCCCTGTCTTCTAGAAGGAGGCCGAAGATGGTGCTACTATTATTTAATCACAGGCCCAATGCGGCAAATCGCCCACTTACCTGTTGGTTGAGCCAAGTAAGGATTTATCATCTAGTATCACAATAATGTTGGATCGCCCGCAATTCATTCTCGTCTCATATTATCGTCGTGGCTCATAATCCCACATGCAGAGCAGCTTATCATAGAAGCTGGTCGAGACAATGCGTATCCTCCCGTCCGCCGTGGGATACAAGCTTGAAATGTCCGAGGCATAATTCATACTTTTATGCTCCTCGAACCGGGCCAAGACTACGCAGGCCCAGCTCTGGCCGCTGTTGTCCGTCACGATCTCGGCAAGCCTAGCCCCAGCGTACATGCAAGAGGCCAGGATCCGAATCCTCGTCGAACCTCCCACGGTCTGGATATCGATCAGCTTTAGTCTCCACACACCGCCTCCAAGATTTGCGTCTGTCAGCAGCTGCACACGCTTTAAGCCATATGATTCATGAAGATCATGAATGGCAAAGACCCGGAGATGGTCATCGTAGCTACCAGTGACAACTAATCTAGCATGATCCTGGGTTGCTAGCGGTAGAGGCAGAATTGCAGTTACTCCTGCATCATGCTGCCCCTTTATTGTTATGGGCCCAAACGGCACATTTAGGATTGATGATGGATCGTTTTCTTCACTGCCCTCCCAGTGACAAGTCGTATATCGAAGCGTGGAGTCGTCTCCCCCGCAATAGACTGAGATTGGCTGGTTTGTCGCAGTTGAGGTAGCATCTGCTGGAGAGAAAGCTATGCACCAAGCTTCAAGAGAGTTCTCAATGTCCACATCAGCTGATTTGGCAATTTTCCACTCGTCATCTAGCAGTAACAGTCTTGCCAGGCCGGTGGAGGTGGTGACCCCGAGGACCCTGTTGGCAACTGGGTGCCAATTGCATTGCAGAAAGAGGACATCGTCATCCAGGTCATCACATCTGCTGGTGGCAAGATGCTGCAATGGTGCGCTGGCATCTGCAAGAGGGTCGAACTTGAACATGGCAAGGGTTCCAGTACTCGATACCACCGCCAAGATATTGTGAAATTCTGGGACGTTTTGGTAGAAACGAAGGTCTAGCAGAGCAGAGGGCTGCATGACGGTCTGCACTATCGATCTATTTTCCCCATCAGCAGTTAGTGGGCCGGCAATCTCATAACTGTCCTGGGCAGACATGTCATATTTGCAGCCTTACATGTCGTCGCCTTCGGTCTTGAGAACGACAAGGCTGCCATTCCGGCTCTGGGGCTTGGGAGCTGCCCGAGCGTTACCCTCCTCTTGATCCTCCGATGCTGCAGCCTCAGCATTATCGTCCTTTTGCAAATTGTACGTGCCCACAACCAAATACTCGGGATGCGCCGGGCAAAACTCAGCACAACTCGGCGGCAGATCCAGTATCAGTGACCGCAGTGAGGTGATGGGAGTTAATTCCTCCATGCCTAGCAGCTGATCCGCTAGTGTGAGAGATAAGGAAATAGCAGAAGAGCGGGAAATAGTAATGGCTCAAGCTGAATACATGTACGTCATTCGCCTTCAGGTCGCCTTTGGGAGCCTAGAAAAATGAAATTCGCAGGCAAAGTTGCATGGCATAAAAAGGCTTCCAGCAGCTTGTGGCGTGCGGTGGAGCTTATCGGATGGCTTCCCGCCAGCCCGCGCAGCATTAACTGGGGACTGAGGTGGCAGGGGAGGCTCGTTGTAAACCATCAGCAAGCGTTTAGCATGGAGGGAGGGATTACAATATCACATATAGCAAACGATCCCCGCGTCAAGGTTTTCATCTTTCGTCTCTTCTCCCCCAGCCGTTCTTCGCCCTGTTCACTTGTTTTTCTGGTTAAGCTGCCATCGTCTTGACATCGTATCTTGACCTTTGATAGCGTCGCCAGCCACCTACAAGCTCTGGTACCTGTACCTTGGGTACCCTACTCTGGGCGACACGCACACGCTGGCAACAACGCGACCGGCTCATTGTTTTTCTCGTGCCAGCTCTAATATTTTTGGACTGCATACCAGCATTAGCCACGCCTAGTGGCGGATAGGGCCTCGATTTGCTGTGGCGGCGGTGCCGGGTGCCAGCTAAACTACGGCGCGGGTAGCTCAACGCCGCCATGGATACTGATGAATCCGATTTTTATGGTTGGTGTCTCCGACCTCGCTTCATGAAAATATACAACATGTGAATATTCTGACCACAAGCCTTAGGCGATGATGAAACCACATCACATCTCTTACAGCGGGTAGCAGATTTTGACGTGGATGACTGGGCTCAGCAGCAACGGCTGCATCCGGGCCGGCCTCTACTACAGGCGGATTTCATCGAGGAGGCTTCTCACTTACACAACCCGTATTCCGGGATTCCCTACGCCTGGCAACTCACGGAGACGATAGATCATTTCCTCTCACGGCTGCCACCATCAACGACTGATCAGACGCCAGAGGTACCATGGATTTTTATTTGCAACCCCTATATCCCAAGGGTCCACAAGCTGGAGAGCCAGGGTCAGTTCTCCAAAGGGAATGAGGACGAGGCACCAGAGGAGGATGGCAGTAAGACAGCGATAGTCGCTCAAGGAGGCCTAGAGAGGCTTCATTTGGTCAGCAAGTTCATCGAAGGAATGCAGAGATCGGGAAAAGCAAAGGCCGTTGTGGACAAGGAGATTAGAAAAGAGCAGAGGCAGGCTATCGATGACATTCTAAACTTGGCCCACCTCGCCAAGGTTCGAACAGGCAAGGTACGACTGATGCCCTTAATGTGCCAGCTCGTTCATAATATGGCAGCTTCCATACTGACCATGTAACATTTTTCAGTGGTTGCTCTTCTGCCCTGTGTCGGAGGTAAACGAAATGTGGGAGATCGTTGCAAAAGCTACTGCAAACAACGAGCTTGGGATCGCTTCCAAGGTTGCGCCGCGATCGCCATTGGAAGATCCTCGCAAAGATCGTCTCCTTTGTATATACACGGCAGACTTTAGGGACAAGGCCGACGTTGGGCGTGTCTTGCAAAAGCTCCGGGAGCTAAAACTGGTCGAATCTAGAGGCCGTCCCATCTACTACAAACCAGGCAAGTTCTCTGCTCTACATTACCTGGTGCGAGGCTGATCTAATTGACCTTGTAACATAGATGCGTTCACATATATTGGCATCTCTCATGGCAATGCCTGGGGCGTAAGGGCCTCAATTTACAGCTCCACTGACGTGTTTCCGCGCCGAACATAAGCATAACATCGATCGGATAAAAATATTGGCGCAAGTTGTATGCTAGCTAACAAGTTTGAGAGAAGATGCTACGTACGCACGGGTATAAGCAATGGGAAATGGCCATCAGTAACTGTCAATATCATTGGAAAAACATACAGTATGCTATAAGGTAAATACCTAGTATCGTAAATGCTAAAAAAAAAAAAAAAACGCCAGTTTTGAGTGATGCCTCGTCATAAACCGCACACTATACCAGATCACGCCGTCCCATATGCCGCGTCTCTATAACAGCCCAATATACCTCATCTATTTATGCCGCCGGCGATTCAGCAGATAGACCGTGACACGATGATAGCACCCCAAGCCCACGTTATGTGATTTGACTCTCATCGTAGATGGGGCTTCGATCCGGGTCTACTGCTTTCAAGAGGAGGACTAATCGATAAGCACTGTTCCCGTTAAGATAGTACCGATGCAGCTTCTTCGATCGTATGAAGCCAAGCTGTTCGTATAGCTTCATGGCAGGCGTGTTCGTTTCTTCCGTCTCCAGCACAATCTCATCTGCATTGCGGTTGACCATGGCCTCGATTGCCTTTTTCACCAGGGCGGTGGCAACCCCTCGCCCACGGAAGTGTGAGGCCACAGCCAGCATGGCAATGTATCCACGGCGGGTTGGGGGTGAGTGAGATGAGTGAACTTCAAGCTTGCAGATAATGACGCCGATGAGTGAATCGTCTTCGGGGTCCAGGGCCTGATGCACATTTGGTCAGCTGCCGCATGCGTAGGCGAGGCTTCACAGACGCGACTTACCATGAAGCATAGATGAGACCACTGGTAGAGAAAGTACCGGTAGACGTAGATGCTGTATGGCTCACTCAGATCTTTGGAGATGAGCGACCGGATGGCTGGGAGGTACTGGCCTTCAAGCCGGTGTTCATACTGCACATACTCCAGGTCGGCGGGCAGCTGTTTGCCCGATGAGACGGCCATGATATCTGCCCGAGTCTGCTGGTTTGCGATGAAATCTGAAATCTGGCTTAAAAGCGGTCTGTACGCCAACAGCTTCCTATGCCCTCCTCTTTATGTTTAATTTTCTCTCCCCCAGAATCTTCCCCTCACCGACGAATGACTCAACCGTCGACTGATGAGTCGACAATACGAATAAATAGCCAAGGTGGCAGCCAACCAGGCAGCCCGGTCAGCATCGGGCGGAAAGAATAAAAGACAGAGAATCCTTCGACAGATCGGCCAGAAGAGGAAAAAGGCGCTGCTGGGCTGACAGGCACTTTTGGCGCTGTCTTTGCGTCTGACTAAAGACGCGAACCTTGGGTGGATCGCTCGTCGGGCGACTGCTTGTGTCGATCACATGCTAGGCTGCCAAGCTAGATTCTCAGATCGGGCCACCACTGCGCTGAAGGGGACAAAAAGCCACCTGCAGTACTTGAAACCGGGCTTCAGCAACCCGCCGCAGCCAATGGGACGGGCTGCTACAGCGCCCCGGAGGCGACTCGGGATGCCGGTATTGATCCTAGCACTTTAATTTATTTTATAGCTACTATAAATTTGTTTATTTACTGCCTTCAGCTCGACCACCCTCTCTTTCTGGTCCCTTCTAGACTATATAAAGACGCGAGAGCGAGCACTACGAAGTTCCTGTTAGTGGCCCTTTCACAGCGCCGGCCAGCCACTAATAACAGCGGATCCCTTCCCGTGCTGCTGGATTAATGCGGCGGAACACTGGAGGGATTGACGTCAGTCAGCCGCCACATGCATTCTGGGACCTGGGCCTATCTAAAACGGTCTCACGTCTGTTTTGTTTTCAAATCTGCGCGGCCTCATCCTTGAGAAGCCGAGATTCCCTCCCCCTTTCAACAAGAGAGAATTACATTTGCGCAGCTCCTCTTCGCCTGCCTACAGTTCGGATCCTGGTGCTCGCGGCTTGTCTCCCAGGCCTCCATCATGGCCACAACTCTTCGACGGCGCATCCCGCCGGAGACCAGCCCGGCCGAAACCCCCGACGACTCGAAAGAAGACTCTCCGCCGATTCAACCAACATCTCACGTCCATGTGATTGAACGGGGTCCCAAGGCGCGCAAGCGTCGCAATACCTTTATTTTCTTGCTCGGCAGCCTATGTGGCCTCCTTGCGGCGGGTTTCTTCGCAAAGACCAATGACTTGATCGACCTACCCGAACTGACGGATCTCACCATGGACAGTTTGCTTGATGTTATACCTGCCGGCTTGATCAAAGACATGCGAGATCTTGCACAAGGAGAGCGTGACGTCGCGTCTTCCTATGACTCTTTTTCTGTAGGCCTGAAGGCTCGGGCTGAGGGCCTGGAAGCCCACCATCCCATGATAATGATACCTGGTGTTATCTCGACAGGCCTCGAATCCTGGGGGACAGCAAATATCTCGAGGCCCTATTTCCGGAAGAGGCTTTGGGGGAGTTGGACAATGATGAAGGCGTTGGTTCTGGACAAGGAGGTTTGGAAGAAGCACATTATGCTCGATAAACGAACCGGGCTAGATCCACCTTTGGTGAAGCTACGTGCAGCACAGGGCTTTGACGCAACAGACTTCTTCATTACGGGCTATTGGATATGGAGCAAAATCTTCGAAAACTTGGCCACCATAGGATACGATCCCACAAACTCGTTCACTGCCGCGTATGATTGGAGACTGTCTTATCCCAATCTCGAAGTCAGGGACCAGTATTTCTCCAGGCTAAAGGCGTACATCGAAACCGCTGTCGAGTTCGAAGGGCGAAAAGTCGTCCTGGCTTCGCACAGCATGGGAAGCCAAGTCATCTTTTATTTTTTCCACTGGGTTGAATCCGATCAAGGCGGTCGTGGTGGAGGAGACTGGGTAGACCGTCATGTCGACTCTTGGATCAATATCAGCGGCTGTATGCTGGGCGCAGTAAAGGATCTGACGGCCGTGCTCTCTGGAGAGATGCGCGACACGGCGCAGCTGAACGCGCTGGCAATCTATGGCCTGGAGAAATTTTTGAGCAAAGATGAGAGAGCTGAGATTTTTAGAGCCATGCCGGGGATTTCCTCGATGCTGCCTCTCGGAGGCGACGCTATTTGGGGAGATCTGAACGGAGCACCTGATGACCAGCCCGAACAAGGACTCTCTTACGGATCCTTTCTCAATTTCCGGGTCGGCGCAAACTGGACGACTCCAGATCGAAACTTTACCGTCAAAGATTCTATGGGCTATCTTTTCAACACGGCCGAGGATTGGTACACAGATCAGATAAAGCGCAGCTATTCCCATGGAGTTGCGCACACCACCGCGGAGGTTGAGGCAAACGAGAAGGATCCTAAAAAATGGATTAATCCGCTTGAGACTAGGCTTCCACGAGCACCAAACCTAAAGATATACTGCTTCTATGGCGTTGGAAAGCCTACAGAGAGATCCTATTATTACCGAGCACCTGATCAGCCGACTATGACCAATCTCAACATCACCATCGACGTTGGTTACACCGAAGGGACGGTTGATCATGGTGTTATTCTAGGCGAGGGAGATGGAACCGTTAATCTCTTGAGCACCGGGTACATGTGCAACCGTGGTTGGCACATGAAGCGGTATAATCCTGCCGGAGCCCAGATCACCGTGGTAGAGATGCCTCACGAGCCCGATCGGTTTAGCCCGCGAGGAGGCCCCAATACTGCTGACCATGTTGACATCCTGGGAAGACAGACCCTGAACGAGCTGATATTGAGAGTCGCAGCAGGCAAGGGTGAAACCATCACGGATTACGTGGTCAGTAAGATTGGAGAATATGCAGACAAGGTGAAAGTTTACGAAGAAGAAGATGAAAGCAAGAAGAAAAAGAAGAGCTCATAGTATGATCTCTTTGGCTTGATGTCTTGGGCATTCTGCTCGGCAAGCCTACCCGGGATGGGATGGGCGATTTGGCGTCTGGCGTGGGGAGCTGTGCATATGCAAAAGAAAGAGAAAGAGAGAGAGAAAGAGAAGAAGAAGAAGAAGCCGGCGGAGTGCCGGTTTCATGATAGAGCAATACCCCCTGACATTACAAATGCACATACTGCAGGCAAAATAGTAGATACGATAAAATATGGATAAAATAAGACGGCCGCGATGGTGGGCTCCTAAAAATAAAGTTAATGTTTCCCTTGGCTGTAAGAGCCTTCTCCTGATGAGCGATGCCCAGGGGCTCGACCGGTTTGTGTGTCTTATCTATGCTGGGGACAAGGGATGGATGGAGATGGAGCCTCTGCGGAAATGATAACCAAAGAGGAGAAACTTGTTCGTACTTCAAATCAAAAGAAACAATGAAGGTGATGGGTGTGTGAACAGCTGGAGAATTAATTGAATATACTATTTGAAACTCCCACATAGATAAGACAGCCGGCCATCAATGACGCTCATATCTCTAATCCCGAGTAATATACGGTTCATATGCCGTTGCGGCGGTCTTGCATATGTGCCTATTTAAACGGGCGCGTTCCCTGCAGATGGCCAACGGGAGCCCCCGACCATTAATTTAGCAGCGCGCAACGTTAGTGGTCCATAGCCCTGAAATTTTTTCTGTCCAGCGCCACCGTGCATGCGCTACGCCTGTTGAGTGACATCAGCTAAGTCAGTCGAATCAATCCCGAACCATCGCCTTCTTTTCCTCACTCGCTACCCCACACATTCAACTGGGGCCTGCATTCCGCTCGCATCCCGAGCAAGACACACCTGGTCAGAATCAGGAGCCCCTTCTGGGTCGCGGCTCTGGTCGACGGGCGCGCTGTTGCTTTTCTCGACCTGCCATTCTCCGGAATCTTGGGCTGCTGCTTGATTTCTGGCTTTTGCTGCGTCATCGTCAGCCGTTTCGCCATCACCAGCCCGTCTGCGCAAAGGGCCCAGATGCAGTCGCAGCCACGAGCTGCGGGACCTGGCAGCCATGGCGGATACCGAAGAGATGGTGCCCTCTCCTCTCTCTGTGGAGGAAGAGGATGAGCTGTGGACGGGTAAGTTGATTTTGCTGAAACGGTGGAAATGACGGATCTGGGCGAATCTAGAGAACAGACACTGACCACGTGCCATCGTTTTGCGTTTCTCTCTAGAACTCGACAAGTGCGTCTCGGAACATTGCGACAGCCACGAATCCATTGACGATGCCCTCCGTTCCTGGCTGAGCCTGACAACCCAGCTCCGCGACCAGCAACCTCAGTCGCAGGAGGAGGTCATCATGTGCGCGCAGATCCTATTGAACAGCGACATATTCCGACAGCACAAAGAGTATGTCCGCAAGCAGCTCATCTACAGCCTGCTGCAGGAGGACGAGGCCGGGCCCCTGCACGCGATAGTCTCTTTGCTTCTGCTGGACGGCCACAAGGACGAGGCGACGTTTCCGCACATGATACGCGAGGCCTGCTTCCCCCGCCTTCTTGAGCTGATCAGGCAAGAGAAGGATGGCGACCCGCGACTCCATCGCTTTCTATTGCAGCTGATGTATGAGATGTCGCGTGTGGAGCGGCTGACACCGGAAGACTTGGCGCTGGTCGACGATGATTTTATTCACTTTCTGTTTGGCCTAATCGAGGGCGTGTCTAGCGATGTGAATGATCCATACCATTACCCAACCATTAGAGTATTGGTAAGTGTTTTTTTTTTATTTCTACATCAAGCTGGCCATCTGGTCGTCATCTCATCTTCATAGGCGCTGACAATTAGTGATAGCTTGTCCTGAATGAACAGTACATGCTTGCGTCCACAGACACTGTTACGATTCCCGGATCGGCCCCCGAACCGCTGACAAACCGTATTGTCAAATGCCTGAGCCTCCACGGGCCATTGTTCCGAACATTTGGAGAGAATATCATTCTGCTTCTGAATCGAGAGACCGAGACGTCTCTGCAGCTGTTGATCCTTAAACTTCTATATCTTCTATTCACCACTAAAGCGACGTATGAATACTTTTATACCAACGATTTGCGAGTGTTATTGGACGTCATTATTCGAAATTTGATGGATCTTCCTGACGAAAGGATGTCTCTTCGGCATACGTACTTGCGAATTTTATATCCCTTGTTGGCGCATACCCAGATGAACCAGCCACCACACTATAAGAAGGACGAAATTTTACGCCTACTTAAAATTCTGAGGGGCTCACAGAACGCCCACTTTGCCCCTGCCGATCCGACCACTCTACGACTTGTAGACCGAGTATCCAAGGTCAAATGGTTGGTAGATGAAGAAGACGTAGATTCCGAAGCATCAGGACAGGCAGAGGTTGCTCGAAAGCTCCTGGGCATGAGCTTATCGACAAGGCATTCATCCAGCAGTGTTAGTGTCACTGATGTGGCCGAAGTCAAGGAGAAGCCAGGCGTGCAGACGCCGAGTCGAAACGACACGAAGCCAGCTGCCGAACCGGTGGAGCATGATGGTGCGAGCAAATCCAAGAAGCCTGTACCAGCAGTGCCCAAGCACAGACACGGCATTCCCTTTAAGCATTCAGCTGCAGCAATTAAGCATTCTGCTACAGTACATATCAGCAGCGTTACGTCGAAAAAGGTACCGCCAAAGGCACCACCCCCTAGACGACATGGCAAAGTGAGGATGGCAGAAACGTCATCGGATGAACACCTGGCAGGCGCCGTAAACTAAGGGACCCTGACAGGCATTCATACCGGAAATATGTCATACTATTTTTAATGATGGTGCTTTTACTTCGAATCCTTTTTTTGCTTTTCTTCTATTTTCTTGTCTTGTCTGTCTGTCTATTTGTTCATTTATTTCCTTGTTTACTTGTTTCTGTAATGGTCTTTTGGAAATGGGCCTCAAAGAGCAGAACTAGAGCTCACAGACGCTAACCATGGCGTGAATTCGCACCTTGGAAGCGCGTCACCAATGCCTTTCCGGAGTTTTTGGAGTACATGTGCAGAGTATCACGGGGTTTTCAGCTCTCGAACTTGATCAGCGACAGGCCGGCCAATTGTTTGACACGAGAAACATGAGTAAATGGGAATACCTCGCAGCATAGACAAGATGGTGTTATCGATCAGGCTTTTACTTGTCTTTGTTATACATATACACGTACATAACAATGTCTTACTACTACCTAGTAGGTATAATGCCTAGGACAAGAGGCAAACAGGCAACGGGGCATTTTGGTGCATTTTGGTGCATTTTGCTACTTTGGGCGAATAGAATTTTTGTTCCTTTTGTTCTAGGCTTTGGATTAGGGTGTTGTCGTATCGCAACGTGACCTTTCGCCTTTTGCTTTGTGCTTGTATATCTTAAACTCTGTCTTGAATCGAAAATGGAATTAGAGGCGCAAATTCGGGCTTGACCACTCGTTTGGAAGCTGATGATCCAACAAGCCGTCCAAGTTCATAAGGTACCTGCCAGTACTACCATTTCGTTCTACTGTCTAATGTACATGACATTTCAAAGTGGGTCGGAATGGGGCAAAGACAGTGTGTTTCGGGCAAGCCTTAGTGGCACTGGAAGCCGCGTTTAGCTCATACTCTCCAACTTAAAATCAGGTGGTCTTTTCAATTACCGCTAAGCTTCTGGCCACTAACATGGGCAGTACAATTATAGGAAAACTTCTACCATCTTGCAAATTCTCTAAATTATCTAGGCATTTTCATATAAGATAAACCCTGCAAATGGAGCATAGGTACTAACACTAGGTAGTAATACTATCTAACTCGAACATTAAATCACATTTTGGCACGTGACAATAGCTCAGGCTCACAGGTCCAATAAGGATTCTTCTTTCAAGCCGCAAGACATGAAGTGCCATCCTCGACCAATGGCATAAACTCGGTGAGCTGGGCGCGCTAAGGGGGCGCTCACGAGGACCAGGCTCCGTGATAGTGACCATGTCAAGACAAATTCGAGTTGTCCAATATCCACGATCCAGCCTTTCGACCTGCTCACGACGCTCACCAAGCTCCCTATTCCCATATGCTAACTTCTAAAGACCGACCCCTACTACAATTATACACTGCTAAAATCAGCAATCTCGCTGACTTGAGCGGTCCACGATGTCCTCCGAATTTGACAAATACTTTCAAGAATTCCTTTCTGATGGCCTAGATACTTTCGATTTCGACGCTTACTTCAACACTGGCGATGGTTTGAGCGGCAGTGGCTTTGACTCAACCACTTTGACCGACGTGCCCTCGAAACACGCCCTGGAGGGCGACCAGTCCAAAGGCATATCTCTGGCTGAAGGGCAACCGGCGACGCTGACCAATCCTGGCCAATCGGAGTGAGCCCTTTTTTTTTAGCCGACGCTAAAAGGGCGTTCAGTGTCTGCGAAAATCATCACCGTTGCACTGAGCCGAACTGTCATTCCAAGGTGGAGTTTAAAACCCTTTCGCAGCTTAGGCAGCACGTCCAAAATATCCATCGGCATCCCTTACTCTGTACCGTCTCAGGCTGCACCTATCGCAGGCCGTTTGGTAGAACGTCCGACCTCACTCGTCACGTGAGAAGTGTTCATGAAGCGGCGTGTGGTCATATTTGCCCATATGAGTCCTGCCCAGCACACACGGATGGCTTTAAGAGACAGGACAAACTGCGGAAACACCTGAGAGAATATCACCCCCGCGTACAATGCCAACAGGCTCACTGCTGTGCTATTATCTCTGGCGCTGAGCAGCAGTCGCATATCGAGGAAGCTCACGGCCCGTACGAGTGTGCTATTGGTCTGTGCCCAGTTCTCCCCAGCCTCGCACTTCGGTATAGATCAACTGAAACATTTACAAGTCCATCACAAGATGAGCTGGGATGCGTGTGCTTGTGTAATCGTTAGATTGTGGAGGTCTGGCTCTACAACAGTCCGATCTGAGCACTTATCCAACAGCAACAGGAAGGCTGAGTGGGAGAAATGCTCCGTCTGCGTTCCACAGCAGATGACTGAGGTGATGGAACCCATTGGTGATGCCTAGTCTCACTTGGAGCGAGATGCTGTTTCCTGCGCCGCGCTGGCTGCTGTATCGGTTTGATTCATTTCATAGCTATATTTTGGGAGTTTGACGGTACGTGCCAACAACAAGGGGAATTGGGCATTGCGCGCGTCAGTATCTTCAATACCAAAATAGACTCCGTTGAAAAGAATAGCATAGCAAGTTTTGGAGGTTATACTTGAGACAAGAGCCCCCTCGTTCCTTTAAAAAATAGCCCGAGCTTCTGGACACTGAACCCATCCTGACAAGTCTATACAACCACGCTTAATGAAGCGATAAGGTAGTACTATCAACACATCACTTGCCCCGGTTGAATGGATGCTGTAGACTTGCAAGGTAGACTCTGCTAGAAGCAGGACAGCAGGCCACCAATGCTGCAGCTTATAGACTTAGATAAAGCAAGATGGGCGATTAGGTGGTACTAATGCAACAAAAACCTGCAAGTTTGTTCAATGGACACTGCCGCAACCTCGTGCGGTGCGGGGAAATGCAAATGTACACCCGGATTCCATGTTTTTTTCCCAATTCCAGAGAACGATGGCCAGAAAAAGAGCCATTCAGAGCAGAGCTGTCTACAACTAGGAATCTTGGAGTGGAGAGGAGACAGTCTGGGCGGTGGGGCGTGGCTTGTGCTGGGGGCGCCTGGGGGACCAACTAATACGTCATTTCTCGATTTAGTGGGAGCAGAGAGGCAGCCCGGCTGGACGAAAGCAGCTGGCGAAAGGCTGAGTTTGATTTGAAGTCTAGTTTGGCAGAAGCTAAAAGCCGCTGGAGCCCACTCGAGATGCGATCAAGGGACTGCCCTGTAAGCGACGATGATGATGGGCGCGGGTTTGTGCATTGGCGAGAGCGGCATTGGAGCTCCTCTCACCGATCTGGCTGGCCCATGTTAGGGGACAGTAGCGGAGCTTAGCCATTGGGGGGGGGAGAAGAGGGGAAGTACCTACGTAGTAGAGTAGATGGAGCAGAGACACATGACGGCGATAATGACAGAGTGAGACGCGGGGGGTTGCTGAGCCCCTTGGGCCGGGACGCTCCGTAAGGGGGACTGATGACTGAATGGAATTAACAAGAATTACACTGCTGACGGAGTGCTAGCCATGGCACGTACCTTGATGGATCAGTAGCCTCAGAGAGGTTGTATTCAGCGATTCTCATGCATGTGTGGGCTCCTCATCTCCCGCAGAGGCTGCAGCCTTGGCCTGCCTGTCACGGCGCTGTCATGCAGTTTCAGCAGCTTGCACCGCGTGCCTAGCTCTACTTGCCAGTGACCCCCGTCGCCAATGCAAGCACTACAGCGGGTGCAGGTATCGACCAGGTTCCTGCGCTAGCGCCCCCTCTTTTGCCATCTTCTACGGCGCGCAAGTCAGATTCCACCTTGAGTGTCTTTGGGGCTGGTTTGCGAAGTTAGATACGGGTGCATGCGCCGATGTGCGGGGCGAAGCAGGTACCTAAGTGTGTAGTGCAGCAAACCTGGAAGTGCTTTCGATACGGCGATTCCGGCAATTGAAAACGAGGTCATGCATGCTGCCACCACGAATTAATACATACTCCAGCAAAGTACTGTTTTTGACCGTTCTCCCCGTGCAGCACGAGTCATCTCACTCTCTGTCCATACGGTATTTACGCAGTGCTTGGGCCTCTTGCACAGTCTTATACACCTTCCACTTACATTGATTGCACAGCCGGGGACAAGCACGCGCTGGTTTGTTTCGCGGCCCGTGGCTCAGCAGCACCAGAAACTCGCAATTGCACAAAAAGCGCAAAAGAAACAAAAAGAAACACAGCAGTACCTTGTATTAACTAGCTCTTTCATTTTCTCCTTTTCTTTTTTCTTTTTTAATTGTGGCGTTGCCCAGCTGCTGGGACCCAGAAGCGCCTTTTTTAGCAGCTCGTCATTGCGTCAACCACATCTGTTGACGTTAGAGTGTCTCTGATCTCTTTCCCCTCCCCACCACCCAGAAACGCCATCTCCCTGTGCCTCTGTGATCGTCCGCCAAGGTCTGTCGTCACTCGCTAAAAAGGGTTGTGCGAGGTTGTGCGAGGCGAAACCTTGGCCAGGCGCGAGCTTGGCTTCACATCCATATTAGGAGCAAACTATAATTATTTGGCTTGCTTGACTTTTTCTTCTTCTGGCTTTGGCTGTTGCTCTCTTACCCTGATTTTTTGCTCTGCTCTGCGCTGCTCTACTAAGCTCAGCTCAGCTCAACTCAGCTCTTCTCTCTTCCTCCTCCTCCTCCTCCTCCTCCCATATCGTCATGGATCTCCCGCCTCAGACTCAGGGATTGACACCTCATCCCGTTGATCTGAATTCGCCTCCCCTGCTCAATTCCTACCAACAGCCGCTGCACTCGCAATCGCAGCGCCATCTGTCCGGCTCGCCCTATTCCCAGAGATCACGACGACCGCTGTCTTACCAGCAGCAACCCACGTACCTCGACGCCGGCAGACGCTCGAATACTTCATCACCTCACAGACGGCAGAGCCCCATTCCCGGCCGCTTCACCGAAGAGTGGGACGCCAGCCAGCGCGGCAGCTCGATCCTCGACAACCGCCGCGGCCGCGATTCTCCTGTCATGTCAGCGTCTGGAGCAGGGCCGGCTGCCATTGGAACTACTGCCATGCAGCGCTCCAACTCGGTCAACAGCTATGCAGCCGGTGATGATCGCGCTCTTCCGCAGAGGGGCAATACGCTGAAGAAGAAGGCCTCGCTGCGACGAAGCGGCACTGGCAGCATGGTACGATCCAGCAGCCGGCGCAGCGCACGAGCGGGCAGCGTCAAGAGCCTCATGCTCCAAACTGCCGATGCCGACGAGCTTCATAGCGCATTCTACTGCCCTGTGCCGACGACCGGCAATCCTACCGACGTGCTTGCCGCCAGATTTCAGAGTATGTTGTCCCCCATCTTCTCCCCTCCTCTCATGTCTTGCATTGGGCCTTGGCGCATTGCCATTGCTACAATGTAAGCAGCGTGTGTCATCTGACGCTAATATCATGCGACACCAATAGCATGGAGGAAAATCCTGAAAGATCTCATTGCCTACTACCGCGAAATTCAATCCCACTACGAGCAAAAGGCGAAGTCAATCTCCAAACTCACCAGCGTCTCCAACAATATAGCGACCCCGGCTTCATTTCTCCAAACTGCCGGAATCGACGATGCCCTTCAAATCATTCGCAATTATAACAAGATAGCCCTCCAAGAGGCTACAAAGGCCAAGGAGATTGAGGAAGACGTCATCTTGGCTCTCACAGGCTTGAGGAGTGATCTACAGCAGAAGATTAAGGAAATCAAGCACCTAGCTGGCGACTTCAAAAACAATGTTGACAAGGAGAAAGAGGCTACTGGTAGAGCAGTCAAGGCTCTGTCCGACGTGCTCGGAAAGAACGAGATGGACTCTTCTAACACGACCGGCAAGCAGGATCCGTATCTCCTTAGACTAGCTGTCGATCGCCAGATCGAACGTCAAATCGAAGAAGAAAACTACTTGCATCAGGCATATCTCAACCTCGAGGGCTCTGGTCGCGAGCTGGAGTCCATCATTGTGGGCGAGATTCAAAAAGCATACAATGCCTACGCCGGCATTCTCAAGCGCGAAGCAGAAAATGCTCTCGACATTGTCGGGGAGCTGCGTGATGGACCCATTTCCATGCCCAAAGATCAAGAATGGGAGCATTTTGTTTCCAACGACAACCGAGTGGTTAATCCTAATATCCCTTTGCGCTCCGTCGAACAGATTCATTATCCCGGACAGGACCATTTCTCTGCACAAGAAATCCGCGCCGGACTATTGGAGCGTAAGAGTAAATACCTGAAGAGTTATACAGCTGGATGGTAAGTTTGAATTTTTGTGCGCTCATGCAGATACTTCCTATCATTGGCTCTAACATAAGTATGATGTTAGGTATGTGCTCTCAACAACGCATCTGCACGAATTTAAATCGGCAGACAAAGCGCAAGCTCCCATCATGTCCCTCTACCTGCCGGAGCAGAAGCTAGGATCCCGCTCAAGCGAAGGGGGCCCGTCGAATAAATTCCTCCTCAAGGGTCGACAAACTGGATCCATGCACCGAGGGCATACCTGGGTATTTCGAGCCGAGAGCCATGATACGATGATGGCCTGGTACGACGACATAAAAGCCCTGACAGAGACATCGTCGGAAGAACGGATAGCATTTGTACGATCTCATTCGCGGAGGAGTACGAGCCAGTCGTCACATCGATCAGCCAGCAGCAACGAACTCGATGAGGAAGACGAGCCGCCCTTCCAAGCAACCGAGCAAGATGTTCTCGCAGAACCCCGATCAGAATCGCGGCGACCCCAACCAGGTGGGCGGTTCCCATCTGACATTCAAGTCAATGCCCAACGAGGCTTACAGGTGCCTCACTCTCCCTCTAGTGCCGGATCCAGCCAGGAAGCGTCGCCAAATGCACAGGTAATTGCTGCCGCAACTGCCATACCAGGAACGGCCACTACTGCCTATTCCCCAGAATATCATACGCACCACGACGAGAATCATCCCGATTACGGCCAGAGAGGCGAGACTCACATGAACGAAATGCACGCACAGGCCGTCATTGCCAACCATGAGGCTCAAGTCGACGGCGTCAACCCTTACACCAGCGAGCCACTAGGCCAGGGCCAAGGCAACCAACGAAATGTCTACGGAGGACTAGCTTTTATTCCCGGTACTCGCCAGCCAGTAATCCCTAATGGTGTTCCTGACGAAAAGTCTGTCAACCCTGGCCGTCAGGCTGTAGGGGGAACACATGATGCTACTAGGGTTAATGGCGCCGTAGGAGGTGAAGAGATGCAAGAGATCAACGGCGGCCACTACACCAATGTTGGAGGCGCTGGAGGTGGACATGTCAACAGCGCCGCTGTCAACCCGAATACAATCCCTAGGTCTGAGGCTCAAACAGACGCTGGCGGCTTGCAAGTTCTTCCTGGCCAGGGAGATGGGGCCGCGCCAGCCGCTGCTAATCCCGCGGTCCGAGCACTGAATGATATGTCAGTATCAAGCCTACCGATGCCAGGCAGCTTCCCATGAGATGAAAAGCGAAGGTCTCTTTGGTTTTCGTTTTGTTTTCCTTTATCCGTCCAAAAACCAAAAATTGGGTACACTTCATTTTATTTGGATACCATTTCTTTTTCTTTCTTTCATTTTTCTTGAGATGTGTTTTATGTTTTGTGCCAGTACTTTGGATGCTGGATCTGTGAAAGAGAGGTATGGCGGGAACAAAGCAACGCTGTTGCGTGAGACGTGGGCGTTTCCTCACGTTTTTCATTTCGTCTTTGGACGTGTTATATTGATGCGATTTGGTTTTTGTCTTGTCTTGTATGTGTTTATTTGGACGGCATCACTCTTTATCATTCGTTAGGTATATCCGTAGCTCACCATGCGTGGTCTAGCTAGCACTTTATGTTTTTCTGACAGTTAATGGAACGATTTCTGTTTCAGCGAAAATGAAATACCACTGTATTTTCTATCCATATTTTACTAATTTTTCACTAATACTAATTTTGACTCCAAATATAATGATAAAACGGCAAAGTGCAGCCAGAACGTGCTACTACTGTAAATATGGAGCAATTCGCGAAATCGCAGGTTCATGTACCAAAGTATCCCAGCCCCACGCCGTAGAATCCCCGCTCAAACGTTATTCCGCACCACCCAATCAGACGCCCCCAATCGAACAAGCTTCTTTGACCAAAGCCTGGCTTCGGAAAATTTCAACGAAGAAAAAAAAAAAGTTCTACGACGAAGAGAGAGAGGAAAACGGACGAGCGTCACTCCAAACGACAATTGGCCTCCCTTCCGACCCGCGCATATTTCTTTCCCCTCCTTTTCAGTCCCTCATTCGCCGACCGATAAAAAAAAAAGGAAATTCAACAATCAATTTTCATAAAACCGCAAACATGTCATTCCGAGGAGGGTCTCGAGGTGGTGGTCGTGGAGGAGCTGGTGGCTTTCGAGGTGGACGCGGAGGAGGTTTCCAGCAGAGGGATATGGGCCCGCCTGCGCAGGTTCTAGGTATGGCATGAATTTTTTTTTTTTCTTTCCCTCGGTTTCTTTCTTCGTTGTGTGTTTCGCTCAATTGGGGTTGGGAGAAGGTATTGCGAATTGCTCTTATTTGTGTGGCCCTTCTATCGAAGGATTGGAATTGGAGCACTTGAAAAGAGCAGAAGGGAAACAAAAGAAAATTATTGAAATTTCTCCTAAAAGAGAGAGAGAGCAGGAAATATAGAAAAGCAAATGCTAACCAAAACATAACCACACAGAAATGGGCAAATTCGTCCACGCCTGCGAGGGCGAAATGGTCTGCGAATCCATCAACCCCAAAGTCCCCCACTTCAACGCCCAAATCTTCCTCGAGAACAAGACCGCCGTCGGCAAGGTCGACGAGGTCCTCGGCCCCATCAACCAGGTCTTCTTCACCATCAAGCCCTCCGAGGGCATCCAGGCCGCCTCCTTCAAGGAGGGCGACAAGTTCTACATTGCCCCGGAGAAGCTGCTGCCCCTCGAAAAGTTCCTGCCCAAGCCCAAGCCTCCTCCCGGAGCGCCTAAGCCCAAGCGCGCTGGCGGTGCGTCCCGCGGCGGTCCTCGCGGCGGCGGTCGCGGAGGCTTCTCCCGCGGTGGACGGGGCGGTGCTGGCGGTTTCGGCGGCCGTGGCGGCCGTGGTGGAAGCGGCGGCTTCTCTCGCGGCGGCGGTCGTGGTGGCCCTCGTGGTGGAAGCGGTGGCTTCTCCAGGGGCGGTGCCGGCGGCAGAGGACGCGGCGGCTTCAGCAGAGGTGGCAGCTGGTAAAGCAATAAAAGATGTGGACAAAAATTAGAAAGGCAGTCATACCAATGCCATTTTTTCCCTCCCTCTTTTCCAGCTTAGCAGCAGGGGAAAACCACTCCCCTTTCTCTACGAATGGAAAGAAAAGGGGAAAAAAAAAAAAGAAAAGGGCGGCGGGGATCGATCTTCGGTTTGGAGAAAGGGGGAGGGAAAGAAGATGTTTTATATGTACAAAGGGCTTTTTTCACGGCGTTTTTTTAATGGCTCGGTTTATTCCTCCGTCGTACCTGAATTTAGTTTTTTCTCGTCATTTCTTCGGTTTCCTTCCCCTTTTCTTCCTTTCCCGCTCGTCAAGACAATTGCCACTTTCAAAAGGTCTTTTGTTTGTTGGCAAATCTCAACTCAGTAGCCTCAAAACGAGTCTACTATCAACTTAGGGATAACGAAGAATTTATATACGAGAAAAAATTAAGTTTTTTAACAAACGATTATAAATGCAACACAAGTGCAGGCAAATATCACATGTAATCACTCAAATACTTCCACGGTAACATCGAGAAACAACAAGATTATCGGGGGGGGGTATCATAATCTCTGTTACTAGGCCATATAGACCATATTCTCCTCCTCAAGACTATCAATTGGTCCAAATCTTCAATCGTATGGGGAATCAATTAATGGAAATAGAAAAAGAAACAAGGAAAGCCCATCCCTTAAAGTATAAGTATAATGCGTATCTTTATGCGAGGCGCTCGCCAAAATGATTACCCAACTGAACGAGTCTAAACAATTTCGTGATGCGCCAACTCATCGATCATAGAACCATACAAGACCATTAGCCCTCTAACCCCATTTGTCACAACCGAATATCCAGTGAGACCAAGTATGAAAAAAGTAAAGCCACAGCTCACGACGGCCAATTCCGTTGCTAATTTAGGGCTTTGGTATGCGTATCGTCTTGCTAGTCATGGTGCAGCCGTGAATGACGAACAAGAGCACGACGGGGTGGAACTCGAGCGATGTACCAGTGAAGATGGTGCCAAAGGGGATGCTGTCCAAGATCCAGCCGTGCTGCAGCCAGTAAGCCATAAGGGCATCCAAACCCAGCGATGTCGGAATGGGAGTGCCCTCGAAGAATGTGCTCTTGCCAGTAGCATCCTTGGGCAAAACGGCGACAGTGACGTTGAAGCGGGCCAGTCTGGTCAATCCACACAGAACAAAAAAGGCGAGGCCGAGTTTATCGGCAGCAGTTCGAAGGCCAATGGAAAAGGCAACCATGGCGGGAGCGACACCGAAAGAGATCTGCAAGACATGAGGCGTTAGTTTAAACTCTGTCGGCTTCAACTGACGGTTAGGCATCAGCAGGTGTAGCAAAGGAGCGACGTACCAAGTCGGCAAGGGAATCCAGCTCTTGTCCCATCAGGCTGCTCTTCTTCCTCCATCGAGCCACCCTGCCATCAAGAAAATCGAAGAACAAGCCAAACGGCAAGAATGTCAGCGCCCACCACAGGTGGTGGTCTCTGTTGGCGGGTTCCAGGCAGGACTGTAGGGACGAGAATATCGACATGACACCGCAAGCGCCTATGCGAGAATCACATGCATCGTTAGCCCATCTTGGTCCGTCTCGCCAGTCAAAAGTCGCCAAAGGAACAAGGGATAGGGGAAACCCACCATTCATAAGAGTAATGAGATCTGCGAGGTGCATGGCTCGCACCAGCGAGAAGTGGCCCACGTCTGCAGAGAGAAGCGTCTTTTGCTTGTCAATTGCTGTAAAGAGAGAGGAGAAGGAGAGATCCGTTAGCATCTGATTTGTCCTTTGCCCCAACAACTACCTAGCCGTCTTTGCATCGCAGCTAAGAAAAACCTCGTACCTGGTTGGTTCTGGGGCGACAACTCTCTCGAAGTCGGGCCATTGGTGGCCGCCGAGGCAGCGCTGGTTCGTCTTGACATGGCTGATGGCTGCGGATCGAAGCTCAGCAGGAGAGACTTTTCGGCTGTTGACTCGGTTCTTGGATGCGGAAATAGTCGTGACGGATAGGTATAGAAAACGCGAGCAGAAAAAACTCGACCGCAGTGGAGATAAGACAGAAAGGAAGAATATAAAGTTAATCCGTTTCAAAAAAAAAAAAAAAAAAGACACCCAGCCGTCTGATTGCGAGTATTTGGTGCCTATGCTGGCAGCGGTGATGGTGTCTGAGAACAAAGCCAGGAAGAGAAAAAAAGAAGACACGAGGGGCTGTAGCTCGCTACGAGATGCTTGAATTACACTGGACATGGGAGGTACATTTTAGCTTAACCTGTCTTTTTTTTTTTCCTTGGGGTGGCGCTGCCGCCGTTAATGCACAGCCTACTAGCCAACCTCTGTGTGGCCTTTTTTTTTTTTTTTTTTCCTCTTCATTGTCCAGCTACTGTAAATGCCGAGCTGCCATTTGATGTTACAGCAGCATTGTATAAGGTGTACCAGTATCTGTATATACCGCAGGTAGGTAACTGTCATGTATAATACTCTTCAAGTCCGTTGCATCTATACACAAGATCTGCTACTCCTCCAGGTATCTTTTCTGTACTTGTTTAGTACCTGCTACCAGGCGGGTGCCTGTGGTCAAAATGTCTGATGTCAGTGATGCACGCACTGCGCGACTGACTGCTGCACAGCTCCAGCTGCTTCGTGAGTGGACAGCCTTAGTAAGGTGACAGGATGACGATGACATGCTACAAGCTTTAATCTCCCCGACAGCAGCACTACGTAGTGGTTGGGTGGGGATGCCGTCATCGCTTCTTTGATCGTTGCCCTGTTTTGGGGGCTGAAGCAGAGGAGCGATTCACAGCGAATCTCGCTCTCCAGCTCAGCTGGCAGTACTGTAGGCATATATGTTCACGTGATGGTTCACACAGCTGACCCTGGAGTTGCATCACATGGAAATGTTCACGGCCAATGTCTCCAAGACTCTATTTCATGCCTTTTGGGACATACATGTGATTAAAAAACTAGGCAGACGCAACAACGCTGGGTTTTCGTTGCTCCTGTTTCTACACGAAAGTAGCTGTGAGGGAGTGCAGCGACATGCCACAGTTGAACAGTTCATATAAGCTACATGTAGTTAGTTGAGAGCTGCGTAAACAAAATAAGCCTCTGTAGTCTGACCTCTATAGTTAGATCAGACTGGATGAAACTGTACCGAGTAACTAGATTGGAATACACAGGTACTTTTATAATCTTTGGGTTTCTCAGCTTATACTCTGACTACCTACGTAATTACACGCACATAGCGAGGCCGAACTTCAACGATCCGCCACTGACAACTATTATCATCACAGTACACTCGGTTACGTCGTATGTTCTCAGTGCAACGTAAAGCAGGAGTTCACAGAACTGGGGAAGAGAATTTACATGTTTTTTTCACTCTCCTTCTGGCAATTTGAATGTAACGGGCAGGACAAATCCGCACATAGTCTATAATTCCATCTCCATTAAACGTCCACCACCAGACGTGAGTTGATAATATAAATGACTACCAATATACACACTTTTCCCTTCCAGTTTCACAGCTGAGACTCCCAAAATATCGCACCCGCACCTTTGCTGCTTGACTTTGGCCTCCCCACAACTTGTGCTGATTAGTTTTTCCAGCGGATATCTTTAGACCAATCCTACAAACATAAAACAAATTTAAGGAAAGAGAGAAAAGAAAGGTACCCCAAAAAACGCCAGGCAGGGGTTCGTCATCGAGTCTGTCTCTTCCTGAATATCCTTTTTTTTAGTAGGCAGTGCAGAATTGCCAATTTTGCTAGGATTTTCATCCCCCACTCTCCTCACCGTCATCAATTAGTTGTGTTTGGTTAAGTGCAGCAACTGAAAACCCAAAAAAAAAACCGTCCAAGGCAAGCTAGGTCCAAATGCTTGGTTAAACCATAAATGAGATTGAAAATGCTTGAAGTATGTTTCTTCACTGTTGAGAAAGGTAGAGTAGTCTTAATGTTTGATAAGGATCGAGAAGCCATCAAGCCATGCGCCACATGTACCGGCAACACCGCAGATCGAATAGCCTCGAGGTGGTAGCAGTGTGTGTCTGTGACGATAAAATTAGTATAGTCTCGTCGAATGTAACTGATTGTGGAGCAAACTTACGCAGAACCACCATGAGCTTTTCCAAACATGGCCGATTTTCTGCCGAGACTGGTCAAGAGCTGAATGCCGTCGATCCAAAAGCCAGCTCTCACAACGAAACCAGTAAGATACTCTCCACGCCGAATATCTGTCGCAGTTTGGGCGGTTAGTATAGGGATCGTGATGCTCTCGCCGTGTTGTCGTAAAAATGTACTCACCAAATTCAAATGTATCGCCCCCCTCTTTGCCCCCCCTCTTGCCAAACAGCTGCGTCGAATTATCATCGTATATAAATTCCAATCCGTCCAACGCTGAGCCGTGGTATACAATAACACGAGACATTATTCTGTCCTGCTTCACAGCACTGGTAAAAATAGCCTCTTGGGGCTCACTGCCTTGCATCTTTGACTCTCCGAGGCTCTTGCATCGATAGGCCACTTTTCCACCAGGCAATTTCACTGACGACTCTTTTGATGCAAATGCTTTAAAGTCATCGATATCCAAAGATCCTCCGCCATGAGTTTTAATAGACACCTTTACACGCCCCTTTCTCTTGGCATCAGGTAGGCGAGCCCGCAAGTCTTGATCAATCAAGGTTACCTGCCGCTGGATGGGATTATTGCTGTCCGGTATATACTCGATCCACGCACGGCATACATCATCTCCCTCTCCAAAAATTTCTATGAAAGAGATTCCAGTTTGTGCTACAACCAGAACATTGCCTCCGTCAATAGCAAAGGCTTGGACGCTTTCATCGGGATTCATCGGAGCATCGTTGGGCAGCCGGAAAGCGGGATGAGCTCGGAAACGAAGGCAGTCTAAACGATGCCAGCCGCACTCATCAGCCTGTAGGGCCAGCCCTCCCTTGGATTTAGTTCGGGTAGAGTATGCCTCTCGAGAGACAAAACTTCGGTTAAGTACAACATAGTCTCTAAGCATGATTCCTCCTTCTTGGTGAGGACATCCAAATAAGTGTCCCACCTCGTGGAGATGTGCACCGATGCCAATATTTGCAGCCTCCCAGGAGCTCCCCGCTTCGTTGCAGTCATTAGCCACATGAGCAGTATCGGTTGGCGTGCAATCGGTGAATGCCGGCACTACTTCTTCGAAAGAACTAGGGTAGCTATGCATGCAGTGTGACCCGAAGATGCCCAATTGCAATTCACCGCTACCACCGCCGAGTGCGGCGTGGCCTCGAATCGTTTTGACATCCTTGTCCCAGTGGGCATCGAGTAAGAGAACCGCAACATACTGCTTCTGTCCAGGAAGAGGATTAAGATGCTTCTTTACCTCTTCACTAGCAATGTCGAAGAGGGCATTCTTATCCGTAGCCTTATCGTACTGTTGAGCCTTGTTGAGATCTTGCAGTTCCGCAACCGTCTTGTCGGATCGAATAATGTGAACTCGGGCTTCAGATCTCATAACCCCATTCTCTCTGTCGCGGTGGTTGGCGGTCCCAGACGTCCATTCCTCCTCAAATCGAAATGTTCGGCGCCCAAGTTTATGTCGCCACATCTGCTCCGCGGTGAAAGCTTGCCAGAGATATGCTGCCATTCGAAATTTCTTGACGGCAGTTTCTAACCCATTGCCTTCAATTTCGGCGCGCGATGGCGTGGCATCGAATGTTCCGGGAGAGTCTTTGCCTAACAGTATGGCAAGTTGCAGTGGAGGAGCGTTTAAAGTAGGCACCATGTGAAGAGTGAGATATGACACGTGGATAGGGTTAGAGGACGAGCTATTGGCGAGCTTGGGGCTGGAAAACTCGAGACGGATCTTGTTAGGCCCAGGTTGTAGATACACAAGAGCTTTAAAGTGAGAATTCCACACGGGCCAGCTGGTTGGTGGAAATGTATCGTCTAGTCTGCTGATAATGACGGTGCCATCTAGGTGATTCTGCATGGCCTCTCCAATCGTGCCATTCAATAGAAGTACTTTTTGATACACCTAATGCAAAGAAATTAGCGTTTTCAAGGGCGCAACACATAACAACCAAATGGAGAAGCAACTCTGGTGCCCAGATTATACTAACGTAAAGCTAGTGTAGGTAGAGGGACTGAATCAACCAAAAGAGGGAAATAAGCTATATAGTTGCACAACATACCCAAGCATTTTCTGAAATATTTTGGACGCGAGGGGCATACTTGGATACAGGCAGGCTACTCCTACCGTTGGACGAAGGAGCTCCAAGCCCAGACATGCCCGAGACGCTATATCGACTGGAGTTTCCGCCAGGTGCCAGAATGGGTCGGTTCTGGCTGGTCGCATTGCCGTCCTTGACCTGCAGGTGTAGCGCAGGGTCTGATTGATGATCCATGGATGGCGGCGTTAGCGAGCCGCTTGAAGGTGTGGTATCATGGGTATCGTGACTCAAAGCACCATCGCTGGACGTATCGGTTGAAGCCTCGGTCCGAAAGCTGGCCCTCGATTGACGCCGCAAGCTTTTGAGAGAGAGAAAAGTAGGAGCCATGGCTGCCAAGTCCGGGGTTGAAGTGGAGGCAAAAGTGAAGATGAAGGTGTGTTAAGTTATATATGCCAAGATATCCAGGCGGGGTGTTTTGCTTGGCAGGGAATTGCTGCTTGATTCTCTGTTTGTTTGTCTGCGTCCTAGGAGTGATTTGAATAGAGAGCGTTGTTCAAACGAATGGTGGCCGAATAGCTGCGATCGATATCTGACTCAATGATTTCCAGCCGCACCAAAATGAAGGGGTTGCGCCAAGCGCGATCGTTCAGCTGTGTGGGCCAAAAACGTCAAGACGAGCACAGACGGTGATTCGCAGATATCCTCTGGTGATGATTGCGGTAATCCGTGATATAGCGAGAGTAAAGGGTAAAGCAGATGCTGCAGTGTAGAGGCGTTGGATGCTCGTCCCTCAATTGCAACTGGGGCTGACGTGTGTGCGCCGGTGGACGGATGCTGACGTCCGGGGTAGAACCAAGCAGGTCTGATGCAGCGCCAGGAAATCGAAAACGTGAGATGGACCCCAAGACGGCGGTTTTCAGGCAAGGTCAGGTCCAAGATGTCGATTGTGAGAGAGAGCCAAGCAGGAGAAAAAGGCCGGCAGCAGCCTCGACCAGGCACAAATCTGTAAGAGCGAGCGAGTGGACGGTAGGCGCTTTTCTGCCCGCCTGCGTGAGCGATTGAGAAAGAGAAAGATCAGCAATCAGGCCAGACACGCGTCACCAATCAATGGGCGATAGCAGCCGCGCAGCACTATCTCGAGACTGGAGAGCCGTCGCAATATGGAGGAGGCAGAAATCAAGACGAAAAAGGGACCCGGACGAGATGGTCAGGAGAAGGACCAGGAGACGCTCCCCTACCGTGGCTCTCCAGACACGCCCCCCGAGCCACGACGGCATTCTCCATTATTACAGCTCATTCACCACTTGCAAGGCTGTTACGTAGCATGGCTGCCGTGCGGAGCAGTCCTCTCCAGCTCCCGTATCCGCCGGGCTGCAGGCAGGGCCAAAAGCGAGCATCTCGGCCAAATTGCACGGGAGGTTACAGCCGTATCGATGACGTCGCAGCGGGCTTGCGCGACCCAGTTTCGTTTGAAACCTTGAGCTTTTTGACGGGTCTGGGATGGTCAACGGAGCTGCTAGAGCCCGCCATCAATGCACGGTGGGGAGCAGCGCACGCCGTGCTATTAGACGATTGGCCAATTCGGAGGCAAGTGCCGTGGCCTGCCAGCAGAAGCACGAAGTAACTCGATGGCGAAGGTTCGAATGCGAAGAGCGGTCGCTAGCGCTGGTAAGCTGCAGCGGCTATTCATGTCAAACGAGCTCTTCTGCAGCGGGTTTTGCACTGAGAGGGTGTGCTGTTCCGTGCGGTTCGGTGCCTTGGGGGGAGCAGATCTTACATCTTACAGGCACCAGCCGCCATGGCGAAGATTTAGCCGCACCTTTCATTTCATGTTCTCATTGAACATGCATGCTAATAATAGCAACTACCTACATACTATTATACTCTTCCCCGTCTCTTGTCCAAGTTCATCTCCCGTGGTTGATAAGAGCTCGAGTCCCCGCAAAGAAATAAAAAATTTAAAAAAAAAAAAAAAAAAAAAATTAAAAGAAATAAAAAAAAATAAAAAATAAAGAGTTCAACTGACTGCTGTCACTAACTCGGCTAGCTTTGAACAAACAAAAGTGGCTGAGGAGAGAGAACAAGCTACATCCATACAACTGGCAGCTCCCCCAGCGTTGCTTCGTAGATCCAAACCTTCAAGAAGCAACTGCTGCGTGGCTGCGTGGGCTCGGCTTACGGCTTCTGGAGCCAACCCCCGCCGTTTTCAATCTTGGGATTTGCCGGTTCTGGAATCTCGAGGCAAATCGGGGCATGCATGCATGTGGCCGCACAAAATTGGCCATGGGCAAGTGATATTTCGCACAAAGCACATACACAGATACTGTAGTAATAGGGGGGCCGCTATCTACGACCTGCTGCCAGGTGTGTTGCATCGACGATGCGCGGAGCAATAAACAGCGTGCCAGCAAGATAAGAGATGAAATGCAGTCGTCATCAACTCCTTGGCCTCTTGGCTCTGGGTTCGTGACTCTTGGCGCCTGGAGGTTAGTACAGTGTGTATATAGGAGATACCGCATGCCACAATTACTTCTAGGTAGGCATTATGGGTGCGATACGAAAATACGGCGTAGTGCTGGGCGCATGCTGGACATAGCTTGGCTGCACGGTATTCGCTGAATTGCCATTTCTCGCTATCTGGCGCGCATCCATGCCTCTGTCCACTTTAGCGAGCGAGCAGCAGTTCCCCTGCCCCTCAACCGGCGCGGCTTGGCCGAGAGAGACGAGGCGACTATTTAAACGCTACCGCCAAGAGCGGCACATGGGTGAAGCTCGCGATCGCCGCAAAAGCTGTCTCCAGAGGACTGCGTATGCGTGGCGTCATTAGAGGCAGCGTCTTCATGCAGGCAGTTCTGGCGCCCTCGTACTGCAAAATCCGAGGTTGCATCTGGGCTGGAGATGGTGCGCATCAGAGCCGCATTGGGGCAAACGTCCTTGGCCAGCCGCCCAGTGGCAGTATTAGGATAAATTCTCCTCCGTACGTGCTCAATACGGGGTGGGATATAGGCAAATTAGCAACACCTCTAACCTCTATCTCAATTCGTTCTTGTCTCGATGCATCTCCCTCTACAACCACCCCGCCTATCCTGTCGCAGGCCCCGCCCCATGACCCTCAAGGCTCTCCTCTCAATCTCTTTCTTTTCTCTTCCCACGTCGAGGCTCTCTCTTTAGCATGCGGGCTCTTTCAGCCTCGGTCGCAGTTCCACGTTGCCCAGCCACGGCCAGTCAAAAAACACCTCCTGATCGCCGATTGGAGCCGCTAGCTTTAAGTGCCTGCAGAAACAGATCCACGATTGTCCAAGGTAGCGTGAAACGGAATCGTTAGACTCCAGTCGCTCTACCCAGAGGTCGGCGCTAAACTTCAAGGCACGCATTCCTGTCCTAGCCACAGACCCAAAAGATGGAAATATCAAGGCACCTGACTCTGCCAGAGAAAAGCCTTTTTGTGCTCTTTCACATCATGCCATGCGTCCCATCTCACCTCATCACATGTCTCTCTTTGCCGCCTAGCTCAGTGCTATAAAGTTCTCGTGGCATCACGCTCGCCTAAATCAGTGCTGGTCTCAAACTTAGACAGGATCTCGACTGTTGGCGAGAGATGAGCCCCAATGGAGCCTCCCTCACGTTTCAACTGTGTCATCTCAATCTGGACGTCACGCCAACCTCTAAGCTTGATTCCCTAGTGAAATTGCGGGCCTACCAACCACTTCACGCAGTCCGCATGCAGATGATCTAAAAAGCTTCTCTTTTTCTTCTTATTTCTATTCAATACGCGGAGAAGAAGGCAAAAGGCTCCATGGGTCTATCTATGTTCATCCGTCCAAAGCCTTTACCCTATGCTCAAGCTTACCATGCGCCTTACCCTATCTGATTACGCTACTGCTAACTTAGAGCGTGAAGGATGACCAGGGGGTGTTATAATCGACCGCATTGCAAGATATGTGCATATTCAGTAGCTACTCCGCATCAGCTCTAAGTAGCTCTTCTCGTTTCAGCTCGTTTTTGATAGTCGGAAAATAGAGAGCGTAGCATAGTAAACAGCACGGCCATCAAATATTTTCTTGGATCGAGAGGAAAAAAATTATCCACGACATCTATACTTGCAGATCCTTGCTCAAGCGCCTAAAACGTAAAAATAGTTGGCTAATGTCCATGTAGGTAGTTCTAGTGTTCCGCCTTGAGGATCTAAGAGGGGCGTCGCCGTGACTACATATGCACGATATCTCCTTTCTCGACGCCAGTGATTACGAAATATGATGGAGATGGGATGTGTCGTCACCGACCGTTGTGCCAGGGCAAAAGTTTTTTTTTTTTTTTTCTTGGTGTTTTCTTCTTCCTTTTTACTCTTCTTTATGAGATGGGCCTCACGATCACGCAGCTCATAATCTCTCAATTCCAGCTCTACTTCAAGAATACTCCATATAATGAATCGAAATTCAGAACCCGGGGCTAGCAAAGGCGATCATTTTGCCTTTCTTCCTATTTGATACCTGCGGAGAGCGCAAACAGCTCAGCTGTCGCATGATAATACTGGATATCGGATGGCTGGCCAGGGCCATTGTGCCAACCAGGAACAGGTCAGCGCTCAGCTCATGGCCCCGTCGTTGCCCAATGCCCTTCAAGAGCCCGTAAGACTAGCTGCCGTGGAGGAATGCGAGTAATTTGTTTAATGGACTCGGAACCACATGCCAAGTGCCTGAGTCTGATTCAAGGGCAGCAAGAAAAAAAAGGAAGGGGAGGAAAAAAATCCACATGTCTCGAAACTGCAGCAACGAGATTTGCAGCCCCTTTGTCTCTGTTCTAGCTTTTACAAACTATTCCGTCTTGTCTCCTTCTCTTCTCATCTCTTTACTAAGAGACGTAGCAATAGACCATCTCCATTGACAGTGACGGTGAAAGTAAATTACAAATTACGACCAAGATTATTACTATAGCAGAATTACCAACCACGCATTTCGTTGGCAGCCTCTCGACAAGCAACAGATAGACCGCCGCTCGATGCGCTGGCCGTGCACGACAGCCCGGGCAGTCAGCACCTTACCCAACGCTCCGTAGCGCCGGCTTAGCACCAGCTGGGCATCGCCCGCAGCAGCCTAGTTGGCCTTTCTAGGGACCGCCTGTACCGACTCACTGGTTGGCCAGGCTCCGCTGCCGCTCAAAAGCCCCCCCCCCAAGCGCATGGTGCTCGCTATTGCTGCCTCCCTCTTCCCTAAGCCACAGAGCCGCTCTTTTCGCGCTCCACAACCTTTCCATCTTCACGCACACACACTTTGCCTGGCCTTTTGTCTCCCTGCACATCCGCCAACTCCCTCCTTCTCCCACATTGAAAAAAGTCAAGGCAAAGGGGATATCTTCAGGAACAGAAGAAGAGTGCCAGCATATCCATCACTGGAAAAAAAGGGCCTCAGACGCAATAAAGCTTAGCTAGCCCCCCAAAGGCTGTATATGTTGAGAGTGTTCCTGCAAATTTTCGGCTTGCAATGATGACCTCGCCATTGAAGAAGCAGCCGCAGGATGTAGCCGACTGTGTCTTGAAGCGTGCAGAAGTTAGCAAGGTACGCATGCATCTCCTCTCCCATCATTTCCATCTTGTATTCTCTCTGGCATTGGCAATGGCGGTAACAATGCCATGCTGCCTCTTCTCTGCTGCCGAGTCATCCCAGTTTCACTAACAAAGGAGCTTTGACACACATACAGATTGCCCGCCGACTCCAGAACCGCCTCGCACTTGCGCAGTTCAAGACCAAGCATGGCTGGGAAGACCTTACACTCGACATCATCGAACCCAAGGTGGAGGAGGAGATACGCCGCAAGCGTCTTTACGAGGGCGATGTTCTGTCCGACTCGTCGTCGAGTGCATCCGACTTGCCTTACCCGACAAAGACTCTCATGAGCTCGCCGCTCAAGGCACCCTTGTTCTCCGATGCGGTCGGCTCCAGCAATGGCAGCTCCGGGCATCGTAAACGCACTTACTTTGCCTCGTTCGACAACGACGCCTCGAGTCCGACAAAGCGATTCCGCGGCTCTCCGACAATGCACAAATCGTTTGCCGGTCATACTCTATGGAAGGACGGTCATCAGCTCACTCACTCCTCTCCCATGAAGCCCCGCCGGCAGCAACACTTCACCACTTCGGCCGGGCCGGACGTCTCCTTTTTCCAGCAGCGAAGAATGACCAACGAGCTAAGCGCTCATCCGAATTTCACCGCTCCAGAAGAGGAGGATGATGACCTGCTGCCTGCGCACTCGTTTGCCGCCAACATTCGATCTTCTCCACCTCGCACGCCACCAATGCAATCCCGACCTTTGAGGAAGAGAGCAGATGGTACAGAGGCGGGTCAGGAGGGAGCGGATCTTCTGCTGTACCTGGCAGCCTCGCCGTCGCCAGCAGTTAAGCCAAACAGGGCTCGGATCGAGCGGCCGTCGACACCGCCCCCCAAGAACAGCAAACTGGACTTGCCCTCCGCCATGATGACCACACCTGGAGGAGGCAATCCATTTCCCAACACGCCGGGCCAGGGCTTTGACTTTGCCGACTTTGTCAACATCACCCCGAGCCCGGCTCAAAAAGTCTGGAGGACCCCGAATCCTCTTACAGGCACTCGCACTCCCCGAAGCGTTACCAGGAAGCGCCTTACGTTTGATGAGCCTCGACCTTAATGAACGAAGCAATTCCCCCTCTAATTGTGACTGGCGTCTCGGAATGCCTCACTGCCCCAACCTACTACTATTTGCTTCTTATACATGATACCACGACACTATATGCTTGCACCATATGCAGCTCTATTGCTTTTTTATTGCCCCCACTATATCCCGTTTTTCTTTTACTTCATGTTTTATCTATTTATTTCCGTTTATTCTTTTTTTGCTGTTGGCCAACCCCAGAGCTAATCTCTTGTTTGGATGTCTGGCCCCTTGGGCGTTTATGTGTTTTTGTTTAGATGGCCAGTGGGAACATGGGGCTTTGTTTGCAGTACTAAGATCTGCTACACCAGGGTTAAAAAGAAGGGCAGGGCGGGAAGCCGGCCGTTGAAGACAATTGATCCTCTTACAGTGGAACGGGCCGGAGGGAGCAAGGCGTTGAATTCTGTTTTTCTTCCTTTTTTCGATGTGTTTGTTTGTTTGTTTGTTGCTCCCTCTGGCGGTGTACAGCAGTGGATCTTTTGGTGGATGGTACGAACGGGATGGTTGGATGAAAGAAATACCTAATCCCTGGTATTATGCCAGGCAGGCCTTGATGTCTTTTTTCTGGCCAGAAACGAATTGTGACAGTAGTTAGTCGCGTCAATGATAGTGATTCTACCGTACCCAACTCTTTGCCTCTTTTTTCGTGTTGTGTTGTGTTTTGTTTGTAGTGGTCGTGTCCTGTTGACCCGGCGTCTTAATAATAACCGAGGTGTGCTTACTGCGTAAGTTGTGTATGGGAGGTTTTGGGCCATTTATCTTTTATGCGCGCATACCTGCATGCGCACAAGAAAACGCGGTTTAGCTGCATGAGTTTTACGCGTCCAGAGGCCGAAAACCGACTTAGCTAGCTCTAGCGTGGAACCTTTTTGCTTCAAGCCCGCGTCCTGGTCGCGTTTCTCTGGGGCGGGGACAGTTCGATTTACAGCCATGTTTGAAGATGTGATTGGATGGTGGGCGTGGCGCACTAGCAAGCTTCTAAGCCATGCTGGGGAAGCTCTAATGAAGTTGAGGGTGTGAAGAGGATGATGTTCTGTCCATTGAGGCGTGATGGGAGCGTGATGGCGATTTGCTGTTTTTTTCTTGAGCTGTTTGCACATGAATCTACAGACGTTAATTACTCACTATGAATTCCTTTTTCTCTCCTGTTTGTTGGTGTGAAAAAAAAAAGATTCACACGTTGGAGGATCGCTTACCCTGGAGGTCTTTTCGAATGCAGCGGTTCATCACCACGTTCCCCCCTGATGGGGTCTTTTACCATTTGGACTGATCTATATGCATCAATGCCACATGGGCTGTGGAGCCGATATATTATTTTTAGCTCGTCTCTTTTTTTGTCTTCGTCTAAGTCGTCTATATATATCGTTTACTGTGGGTATATGTCATACATGCTAGTATATACTTTGCATTACACGGCTCCCACTTCCACAGCCTGCCCATCTTCACTGAATATCTGCCAGCAGTGAACGAAGGACATGATGTGCCGGGTAGGGAAGCCTCTCCGCCGAAATGCCCTTTGCATTCTTTTTTTCCAAGAACATTGATCTTGTTATTTATATATATATATATGTTTTTTTGCCCCTATGACTTCCCGCGTCTCATATTCTCCAAGCCCTCACTGAAGTCGTCCATCATGAGAGTGTAGGGCTATCTCGCCTTCCCGTTGCCCCCCCTGCGCCAGCAGCGGGGTTGCCATTGGCCCAGTCGCCAAGACTAGAGCCGCTGATATATCTGGATGTATAGCTGTCACGGCTATCCTGCGGGCTCTGGTTATTGCTATACACAGAGCTAGCTCGGCTAGGCACCCCGTTTCTTTGAGGGACCAGTCGACTCTCCAGCTCCAAGTCAAAAGGATCAGACCGGAATTTATCACGACGTTGCGCAAATGAGTCGTTGCTCTGCAGTGACTCCCGGTGCACAGAGTGTGGTCGAGGAGGGACCGCAGGAGCCTGGAAGCTTTTGATGCCACCAAGTGATCGGCCTCTCGAGCGGCGGCGGTTCGCAGCAGAGACCGGAGGGGGCAAAACCATGTTGTCGTCGGTAAACGGATTTGCTAAGATGGAGCTGGAGGGCGGTGGTATCTTGCCGGACATCAAAGCATTGGCGTCTGAAAATGGGTTGAACAGCTTGCCATGGTCAAAGCTAAGACCTAGCTTACGTGGTTTTGATGGTTTTTTTGCGACTGCAGCAGAGTTTTGGGATTTAACATAGGTTGGCGTTTTCATCGGTTCAACTGTGACAGTTTCGAGGAACTGAGAGTTCCCTCTGTTCATATTGACGTTGCGATGGCCTGTTTTCCCACCAAAGTTCTGCTTGACAGCATCCAGGGTTGTCGCAATCCCAAGTTTTTGTGCCATTGGCTTGACGGAGCCCCCTTTGCTTGACCCTTGCGATTTGCGACTCGCCAATTTTCTTCTCAAGAGCCACAACAAAACAACAAGAAAAGCGGCAGCAGCTATACCACCCACAGTGCCGCCAACAATAGTGGCAGTTGATGGATTTGTGCTTGGGCTAACGGGGTCTGCTATTGTCTGCCCAGTAGGCTGGCTACCTCCCAATATGCCGCTTCCACTCAAGTCGCTTGGAGATGTATTGGTAGCTGTTGGAAGAGCCCCGATGCCATCTGTCGAATCTGATATTAGGGATGTGGCGTGTGTAATGGCATTGGATTGTGTTCCGCTTGGTATGGAGCCGCCTGCTACCCCGGTGGACGCGGAAAGTGATGTAGAAATCGGTGCAGCAATAGCTATAGAAGCCGGTACAGAAGTTGATATGGAGGAGGGCGCGGAGGCCACAGAGACTGGGACAGCAGGGGGCGCAGGGTTGGCCGCTGGGGTTGGTGTCGAAGCCGGCGAATTTGATACTGCGTTTCCTCCAGCTGCAGGCGCAGCTACATTTGTCGGCTGACTGACCTCCTGAGCCGAAAAATCATTGCTCCCCTGTATTGATGCTGTGGAAGAAGCTTTGGGAATAGAAGTAGAAGAAGAAGATGACAAAGGCTCGGAAGGCTGAGCCACCTCCGCGGCACTGAAAAGTTGTGGCCCTTGGACCGAATTGTCGGTAGGTTGAGCTGCTGGGGAAATTGATTGAGAATGAATGGTGGGTGAGGGCTGTTTGGGTGATGTTAGGGGTGAAGTTGGAAAGATAGCTTCAGTTTCAGGTGCCGCGGGAGCTTGAGAAGTAGAAGATTTGGGGGTAGGAATCTGATTCTGGCTTTGCGATGTCGTGATAGAAGGTACCTGAGTAGAAAGGGTAGCTGTAGGAATAACACTAGGCGAGACATCGGCCGTTGAGGAAAGCTGTGGAAAGATCTTTTCTGCCGATGATGAGGCTTGGGTGGTTACCGAAGAACTCGTTGGAATAAGAGATGTTGATGGAGTTAATGATGCTGCTTGGCTTGTGCTGCTTGTTGTTACAGGGAGTGAGGATGTAGGTGTCTCGCCATCAGCTGCCAAGCTTCCACCGGAAAGAGTTGCTGTTGGAGAATTCACAATAGTCTCTTTTGTCGTCATTTCTGAGGCCGTAGTGGTAGGGGTTCGAAGAGATGAAGTTGTGGCTGTATTAGGGACTGCTTCTATGGCAGCACCGCTCGATGTCAAAGGCTTCTGTGTTGAGTCGACGGGAAAGGCACTGGTAGATGAAGAAAGGGGGACATCGGAAGGCTTGATGGCAATAGAACTGGCGTTGCGAATGGCCGTTGATGAAAGAATCGGGGTATCGAGGGAAGTCGAATAAACTCCAATCAAAGAGCTCGACATTGCGATTAGGAATTGCTTGGAAGTTAGCCGCAGAGGAATAAAAGAGAATTAAGGCCTTGAGTATGGCATTCGCAAGAGTATCGAGCCAGTCGATTAATATCCTCCACTAGGCGAAGAAGGAGGACGCATTGCCAGCATTCACACAAGTTAAGAGTGGACTAGCCAAACGTGAACAGATAGAGAAAAATGTGAGATTTAGATGCCACAGAAAGATGGAACAACGATCACACTTGGACCAGTAGCAGACAAATGCGTATAGAAAGTTATTGATGCAAAATACAGGAGGCACGAGAATATGGCATCGTGCGCCTTTACTACTGACGCCTTGTAACAGCGTTTCGGCTGTGCCACCTAAAAATGGCAGCCGGATGAGGGGGCCACAGAAACAGAGCCCTGCTTAGCTCCTGCAAGGCAACGAAACACATTGCATCGCGCTGTGAAAGGCGAGCGTTATGCCGACAAGATCTTGCATTGGGGGAGGCGACACTCCGTATCAGGGGCTGAGACCCCCAGTCCTGCGACAAATCTGAAGCATCATGGCATCCTGGATGGGGCCGAAGTGCCACTTTTGCACTAGCTTGGCGAAGAGGCCCGTTTAGCACATGCTTGTATATTAAGAATGCCGAAAAGAATGAACAGAGAAGAACCACGAATAGAGAAGAGGAAGGCTGCTAAAATGGGATTGTGAACTGCATCATGTGGAGATGTCAGCTTGATGTGGTCCATAGGGGGTTTTATGCAGTTGGCTGAACGACGACGGACGAGTTGATTTCAGCCGCGTTGGCTCTAACGGCAAGCGAGACATTTGAAGTAGCTCTACCTGTGCAAATGTGGTGCATTCAATAAATTGCGTAGTCAGCATGAGCTGTATTTAGGCTGATATGATGGAGAAGATGAGTTTGACGCCTTTTTTATTCGGTACTGTTCTTCTGTCCGGGGGCATCAAAGCCATTCCCCCTCTAGGCTTGGATTTTGCTAGAGAAATGGAGCGCTCATGAAACTCTGCGTCTGCGCAGCATCGTTCCATTGAGCTTGAGCGAATATCCCCGATTAGGCGCCGTTTGCTGGCCTGACCAGCGCTAAGGGTTTAGGGGAAGCAGGGCGGCAGGGATAGCATGTTTTCGATTGGTACGAGGATTTGTGCGAAGTCGCTGCCGCGGATTCGCCTGGATCAGTGTTGAATGATACCTACTGTACTTGTGCTCTGTTATACAGTCTGCCTTGTATGCGGATTCCGGGCTTTGAGTATGTGAAACTTTCCGGGGACTTGGCGATCTGCACTAGGGTCGACTGTGTTAGCGAGGCACTGCGAATTCGACATGATAAAACGCAGCGTTTTGTAAGCTTGCTGGCGCAAGTGGCATCATGCAAGTCGATTGTCCACTTATAAGGCGTAGGCGCGACGTATGAACACATTCATGTCTCATATTTTGGACCCTTTTGTCGGCTAAGCCGTTCTGTAAAGTATGATACTGTCCAGGTTAATGTGTCTTGGCTACCACAGACGCCTCAGGTGCGGCGAGAGACGGAAAACTGGAGGTTGAATCACTCCTGGCTGAAGCATTGGCTTGGCGAGCAGCAACAGTGGTGTGTATATCAGGCGACACGACGGCAGCATTGGGCCTTAAAACAGTGGCGGGCGAAGTGAAACGCTTCTATAATAACCCTCTTCCGTATGCATAAATCCATGTAGCACGCTGTTGGTCAACGGTTGTGTTATTACGTGTGTTTCCCCATCGTTGTCTCACCCCAAATGTAATGTTGCGGCGCATCATGGGAGCAGTGCTTCGCTGGAGGAAAGTGCACTGCGGCCAACAACCAACACAGCATCATTTACGCACGGCAGGCAACGGAAGCCGGAAATGCAGTGCTCCGACGAGCCACCTACGATCATTTGTTCATTTGGTGCCTGGTGCTTAGGTAGCACCTACCTATTAGGCATTTACCACACAGTCATCGCCGTGATGTTCGTCTACCAGGCTTGCTCCTCTTCTTTCTCTTCGTCGACAGAGCATTGATCGTGTGCGCTGCATGCACGTACAGTATGCACGTATTACCTGACGTCTGATAGGCTAATACGTGTCCCAGCGGGTGTGCGGTAAGGCGGGGGAGCTGGCTTGCTTAGCTGTCGTTAGGACCAATGGGCCCTGTGCTAGCCAACTCGTCTGCGCCATGCCCCTGGATCACCAAAGCTGGCTGTCCCTCTTTGGGGTTGGGATTCTTTGACTCTGTCCTTGCAGCAAAAAGCACGTCTGCGGTACAGGTACAGGCACGGAGCACGGAGCACTGCAGCCGGCTGCTGGTTAACCCGCCATCTGCATTCATTGAAGACGCTCGCACTGCGTCGCTTCTCGCCAGCCCTTGGACAGCTCAGTCATCCGTCTCCGCCTCGGTCTGGGCTGTGGTGGCATCTCCCGTCATCGTCTAGCACGCGCGCGAAGAGGCCTTTTCCGAGCGCATTCCTGAGCCGCATCCCTCTGTGGACGACAGTGGACGACAGTGGACGACAGCCAGCAGCTCCCAGCCAGAGACTCGGGGCGCCTGACGCTTGCCTAGGCCCGCTCTCGCACCCGCACCCGCGTTTCTGACATCTCCGAGTCTCCATCATTCCGGCCGTTTTATTCCTCGCTTTTGCTGCCGAAACGGACGGCCAGCTCCTTGCTCTAGGTCCGCGCTCTACCCCCAGCCTGTGGTGGCGACGGTGCGATACGGCGCCCCTCTTCTGGGTTCGAATCTGGGCTTACGGTTGTGGTGCCGGGTCGATCTGACCCCATCCACTCTCTGCCCATCACTTCTCGCTCTATCGTGGCTTCACTAGAGTTACGAACCATGTTTGGATCATTTGGCCTGGGTAAGTTTAGCTGGTATCTCTCTTTGCCTTTTCTTTCATATCATATCTCTTCTACTCCATAACTTGACATGTGACCAACTTCTCATTTTGCCCCTCCCCCTTTCTTCGCCTGTTTATGCCAACCTTGGCTTATAGCCTCCTTGCTTTCAATATATTTTGGGTTCAGCTTCAAATATCTGCGTATCTATTCTTGTGCCTTACAATGCACCCTATCTAAACTGTAACTAGCAAATCTGCCGCCCAAGGTCAAGGTAGCCCCCGAAGATGTTCCGCCTCCTACGCCGATCAGTCTTCCTCGCTACCAGCCTTTCGTCCAAGATGATGCCCCAGTTGATCCACAGCAAGCCCTATCAAACTTACTCAAGTATACGGGCAGGGCTTCTGCTGCTTCGGGGTTAATTGGACTTTCCGCCATTGGATTTGATTTGAAGCTGGATGTTGAAGCAGAGGAACTTATCCCCGTTCCGTCTTTTATCCCCGATTTTGAGAAATGGGAGCGACTCACATCCGAGGAAGCTGGCGAGCAGAACCAAGCGGAGCGCCGGCCCATAAGAAACGGTAATCTTTCTCCTGGATGTCAAGTTTACGTTGAGCGTCGTAAAGAGCTCTCGAATAAGAACGAAGATGCATTTCACACAGTCCGCCGACTGCCCCCACCCAAAGGAAAGCAGCAGGCTCGGCTTGGAAACGCTTATGAGTTCTTCCGCTGCCTTGAATTCTTCACTACGTACTGGGATGACCCAACTCAGCCTCCGTCTCTCCCTCCATCTCCCGAATTGGCACCTGCTGAGAACGGTGAAACCAATACGACCAATACCCCTCTGGAATCCTCACGGTATGAGGCAACACGAACATCGGACGGTTGTTCAATGCCCCCTGAGTATCGACAAAACCTCATTTCAGCATTCATCAAGCTCGTCGCATATGATTTTGGCTGCAACGTTTCTATGGCTCGTTATGAACCTAGGTTACATTTAAGCTCTCCGGAAGGCCATCCAAGCCCGCGCAAATCATACAGCCCTTCCAACTGCCATTTTATTTTCCAGAGCCCAACTACAAGAGAAACAGCCCGTGCTGGTCTTGTATATGGCCCTCTGGGGGCGGTAAGTACACGTCCAGGCACAAATTTTACAACTCCAGATATCGAAACAGCACAGTCCACCGATCTTGCCCGGGAAGTACTAGCTGCTCTCGTTACTGCTCAGCATAGGGCTCGCGAAGGGAAAGTCGAAACGCGATTTGGTGAAGGCCAGTGGTGGACTTCTAAACCAAGATGGGGTGGTGGTACTGGGGGTCCCATTGGGAGAGAAATAGATACGGATATGCCGCTCGGAGACAAAGATGCCCTGCCCTCTGATTCAGACAAAGTGGTTCGACCTGCCAAAAAGCCTCGGAAGACCTTGTCAATATATGACGCCTATCGTATGGTCCGCCCGCCATCTTCTACATGGGACAAAAAGGCTCGCTACGAAGCAATTGGTAGACAGAAGGGTGTTGACTATGACGACATCTTTGTGATTAGCTCTATTTTCCACCATGTATCCATTCTTCGGGTGCGAATTCCCGACCGTCTCTTGGAGGTACTTGGAGGCTCTCCTGATCCAGATGTGACACAACGCAGCTGGGGCAGAGTGCAGGGCTGGAGAAGTCGATGGTTCGACCTATTCGACATTGAGCAGCGACTTACAGCTATGCGGATGCTTTGGGCTGTAATGGCTTATCAGATGAGGAAGGAGCCAGAGGATAAGGATGTCGCGATGGTTGAGAAGTGATGTACGAAAGAACAAGAAATCATGTTGCAGACAGGGATGATGAAGGGCTTGAGAAAGGGCGTCGGACAATGCCAATGATATGGAGAGAGAGCCTTTAAGATGTTTGTAAGACACATGATGGGGTAGTCTATTTTTAGGTAACATACGAGGATGTGTGCTGCTGTAGAATTTGGAAGCTGGGATAGTGCTGAACGGCTAGCCCCCTTATAAATTTTTGGGCCTTACTTTTTGCTAGAGGATTCATGGGCATTCGGCTCATTTAATAAACACAAAGAAGTAGCTGATATAGCCAAAAACAGATTACTGATTCGCCAAGACTTTTTTTTTTTTAATTTAAAGACGGGGGAGCTGTGGAACTTGGCGTACGAGAAGCTAAGGAAAGAAAATAAAAGACGTATTGAAGAGTAAGGGAAAAAACTCCAGGAGAGTGTGACGATCACCTTGGGCTCAGCACCAGATACGAAAGAACATAGGAGGGAATGGATGAATTCGGTGTTGAAAAATAAGATGGAACATGTCCAGAAAGAGGCTTGGAAAGTCATGTTTTTGGGCTCTGAGGTTCGGCTGGCTGAGATGGTAGAATCTGTGCTCAAAGCTATTAAACTGGTCAACGGCTCTGTCACGGAGGCTATTATCCCCAGCTCGTATGCCTCGCTTGCCTGGGCTGGTATAAGCTTTTTAGTTTCGGTAAGTTGAATTATGAGTCTTAGCATTTAGTGCTTCTAGTGTTAAATGACTCTTTAGGTTTGTTTAAATCCTAAGCGTCAAGAGGAGTCACTTGCAGAAGGACTGAGATATATCTCCTCGCTTATTCTGAAGTGCGGTATGAGAGAAGACCTTTATCATCGGCGCTATAAAGCTGGAGACAGAGCCAATCAGCCATTTACAACAGGACACGCAGAATATAAGGCTACACTGGGGCAATTGTACCAGCAAATATTAAAATTTGAGGTCGATTGATATTGTTCTTATGCTTGAGGCAATGCCTCTAGAGTTATCAGCGACTTTGCCAAAAAGTACGACTGGCATGGATTGATGGAAGAAATACGCCAGCAAGAGGCTCGAATAGCCGCCGTCGACAAGCTTTGGCGCGATCGAAAATACGACGAAGAATGTATCTCGGCTGAAAACCGGTATCAAGGAACTATACTGAATTTAAAGACAATTGGCGCGGACATTTGCGAGTTCCGAATGGCGGTAGAAGATGCCAATAGGGACCGAAATCATCAAGAGTTACTTCACTGGTTATGCGATATAGATCCATCAACCATGTATAATGCCGCTCGCAACAAACACAAGCACGGCACAAACGAATGGCTAATTAAAGGGAATGAAAAATTTAAATTATGAATGCGGAATCCCCATTCTCTCTTATGGCTTCATGGGAAAGGTGCGTTTCACTTTCTTCTGGTACTCAATTGCCCCCATCGCTTTATCTCTAGCTTCCGCTGCTGATATCTAGTAGTTGGTTCTGGAAAATCAGTTCTAAGCTCTTCAGTTATCCAATACCTGAAAACAGAGTATGATAACGACGCCTCTACAGCTATTATTTATTATTGCTTTGCCTTCAGCGATATTAAAACGTAGGACGGAGTTATCGATGCGCTCGATGAATGCACAGAGCTTAATGGAAAGCGAGAACAGCTTATGAAGGCATTACATTACATTCTTGCAGCTAAGTCTGACAATCTCCATAGTTTTGTACCAGTGGACTGGCAAGACACGGTGGATGGGCAAGATCCGCCTTCTGCTCGAAACGGTGCCGATGCGAATGTAAGAGGAGGAGAGTATGGTTTTCCTCTTTAGGCTGCATGTGCAATTCAATACGAATATGAATATGAATTCCACAATTCTTATCCCTTCTTTGATAGCCGGGGAGGTAGTTGGTTCTTGAGCGAGCTCGAAGAGAAAATCAGCAGGCAGACCGTCATCATGAATTTAGCGACTGAAGCAGTGAAAATGCTTCTGGATGAATGCCATACCATTGATATCAATGCACATGGTGGCATCTTTGGCACAGCTCTGCAAGCAGCAGCATACTCAGGTCAGGCCAAAACAGTGCAAATGTTATTGCGTCGAAAAGACCGAGTTATCTGTAACGAGCGCTGTGGGAAGTATGGCAGTGCGCTTAACGCAGCCGTCATCAGAGGTCACTGGGATATTGTTGAACTTTTGCTTGAAGCTGGGGAAAAGCCGGATTACCATATGCTACAAGAACCCGATGAAGAATTCCTTACACAGATCCGAGAAGAGCACGGTTGGGTTGCAGAAGAAAGGTATAGAAAGTTCTGGGAAGTGGAGAAGAGAAATTTTTAGACTTTTGTGGGATACAAGGCCAACTGCTACGTCTACTATCTCTACGTAGCAGAAGTAGGGGAAATCTATAAGAAAAGATTGATAGAATATCCAATAAAGTAATCAACATGTAGAAGAAAAGAGTATTTTGAGCGCGATTATGCACGATTCTAGTAAACAAAGAGAATACATTGCCTACAACCTCGGCTACCTACTACTCACTCGTTCCTACTGGATTGCGCAAAATCCGGACCTCTCTTTTGGTAATTGCATCGCCCAAAGGAAACCATTGTTTTGAGTAAGAATCGGTTATTATTGGCGTAATATCACCCAATTTCCGAACGAGGTCATCTCTAGGGGCTAAATGATGGCGAAGTATGCATAATCCATATCAAAAGACCAAGCTACATACATTCCTCCCTGATGTTTGCAGGGGCTCAATGTCGATGAATTATCAATATCACACCATGCATACAGTACACTTAGGTGGAAAGTCAAGACAATCAGAAAAAGCTATCAAATCTTATGGTAACTTCAAACAAATCTCTACAGCAATTTGCTCATTCATCACTTTGCTATAGAGTTGGTTTATTAAATTTATATCTATCGGCAGGAGCAAATTTCTATACAATCAATCTACATAATAACATCTTTTTAAGCAAACGGATACGGTATTGATGGAACGGGGTTATCCGAATAGCAAGAATACATAGGATCTGCGTCTCCAAGATATCCAACGCACTTCTTGCAGTTCAACAACGTGTCAGGGTCGTACCTTTGCTTAATCGCAAGCAACTTATCGTAGTTCCCACCAAAGAAGACATCCTGCCAGTCAGGCTCATCAGGGTCCGCCTCGTTGAGATACGAAGCCTGTACCGAGAGCGGCTTCTTAATCGCCTCCAAAGCGGAACGAGCGGCCGCAGCAGCTTGAGCGCCGTCTGCCATGCCGGGCAGCCAACCTGCGGCAGTGACGAGATGCCAGAGAGTGTTTCGCCATACGGGGTTGGCGCTGGTTGCGTTGTGCGTATCAGGCGTGTTGGTCGCTCCCGTCTTGAGGATGAGGAAGTTGACCACAGCGCCTGTGGTGTCGTTTGCCAGAATCTGGCGGGCATTTTCCATGCCTTGCAAAAAGGCAGTGACGAGGGCATCGATCTTGGCGGGAGTCTCGAAGTTGTCGGTGGTGATGAGACGGCTTGGAGCCAAGACGGAGATGCCGACAGTTCCAAACTGACTGAGGTAGTCCTCTTGGGCGGCGTAGAACTCCTTTTCAGTGTCGTATAAGACGTAGGAGTTGATCGTGATGTTGAGCCCTGGATAGCTGGTCAAGAAGGAATTGAACTTGGAAGTCAGCTGCTTTAAAGCTCCCAGAGGGTCTGAACCAATGGGCATCACTTCAAGGAGGTTGATGCCGGTCGCCGAAACGGTATCATAGCCAGAAGCGTTGTTTGCTGACCAGTTGGGCTGTTCATTGGACAGCTCTGTGAGAAAGTCACGCAAGAATGTGCTCTTTGTGAGGCCAGTCTCGCTATTGTTGAAGCCTGCCTGCAAGCGCCATGCGGCCCACCGGTTCTTGGGATACACCTGGAACTTGTAATTCACGAGGACAGCAAAGGATCCGCCCCCGCCGCCTCGCATGGCCCAGAACAGGTCGGGATCGTTGCACTCGTTGATGGTGCGGAAAACTCCATCGGGTGTGACAACGTCAAACTCAACGGCCTGGTCTACCATCAATCCATAAGCCGGTGTAAGAAGTCCGTGACCTGCTGCCTGGCCATATCCGCCGGCAATGCCCACAGTCGAACAACCGCCGACTGTAACCATGATGTTACGCTGTTCAAAGTAGTCCATCGCGTCTTGAGCATTGACACCGGCTCCGATGATGGCGATATTCTGCCTAGTCCCCGCAGAAGGGCAGTTATGAGCAGTGAATGAAGATTCAAATGATATGTTCTTCATGTTATGAGTATTGAGCGTCAGCGTATTAGCCGCGCTGCTCCGGCCAAGATAGTCATGGCCGGTGTTTTTTATCACCATCCGAATGCCATACTTTCTTACAAACGCCATGGTAGCCGTGATGTGTTCAGAGGTTGTAGCATGAACCTGTAACGCAGAATGTCTTCCCAGGGAACATGTCTGGCCTCGAGGTGCGAAGACGCCGGGAAAGCAATTCGCAGTGCCGCAAGATTCCCAGTTTGTGTCTTGCAGCGCTGCGGTGGATGATTCGCGAAAGGTGCCATTCATATAATTTGCCTGGACGATAGCACATAGACCGCTATCGTAATTGGGCGAACTTGGGAAGCAGACGCTCCCCATTGGCACTGTTACTTGTAGAGCTCCTGAGATGCTTTGGTTGAAAGCCTGCCACTCTGCAATGGTAGGCCAGCATGACTGTCCCGGTTGGCAGGAAAATGTCGAGCCATCAGCAACGGCAGTTTGAAGCAACCGAGCTACTATCAAGGATATCGTAGCGGCGCGCATGGTTAGCTGAGAAATAAGAGGATACTAATATAATAGAAGGTTGATATCCGGCCTGAACCTGCCGAAGAAGGATCCAGTTGTCTATAAATATGCATCCATAAGTCATATATCCCTTTAAAACTTCCTCAAAAGTCATCAGATACTGAGATAAATACAGGGGATATTGAAACACGGGATAGAAGCAAGGGGTATAAGACTGATTTTAGTATGACTTATATCAGCTCGGCAAGGGATATAGAAACTGAACCAGATAGCAACAAGCGCAAATGAAACCCTCTGACTAATATCGACAACTGCCCATGGATTTGGCTGTGATATACTCCGTAAAAGTTTCGCCTACACCGACATCGTATTTGAATAACCCATCTGGAAAGCTTCTAGCGTCCTCCATGCTCTGCTTGGAAAGGTAAGTTCTTACAAGGGTCAGAGATGCCAAGTAAGCACTAATAGCACAATGATGCTTTGGGGCTGAGCTGGTGTAGTGACTCAAGTTAAGATTTTATGTGTTGTAGCTTGAAAAAAAAAAAGAGATAACTCTACATAACTGGCGCCATGATAAAGACGCTTTAACTACCGGTATGGAGTACGTTGTGGATATACTGGGAGCAACAACCGATTCAGTTGTTTTAGACTTATTAGCAACTCAAGACAGTAGCATTCTATAAGATTAGTGATGTATAAAACAAGGGAGCTTGGTCTTGCTCGGGCGTATGTCGGACTGCTTAAACGTCTGTGCACAATCTCTGGGTTCGAGAAGCCGGGAAGGTTACTAGGATAGCGGGAGCATTTTTGCTGGCACCCGCCTTTGTAAGAATAAAGATTTCGTCCTATAAGTGGAAGATTGTGTCAACACTCAACCAGGGTCGGAATTGGCATAGACATTTTTTCTACCAGTAACCCAGTCTCCGGAGGAATTCGTTAGAATTGTATAGATACAATGGCTATCTTTTAAGGAGTAACAAGATGACCTACGCAATAGGCTACTCCAGGTTGATACATAATCCTTTTCGGGAGTTATTTCGCCCACTTCAAGAATTAGTAAACACGGATATTAACGTATTAACACAGCTTATCTTACCCAGGCAGGCAAGTTGAGCTAACACGGAGAAATAAGAGTCGATCAACCCAAAAAGAGGCAAGCCGCAAAAATACGTAGAACAATAAGCAAGATGATCTGACTTGACCGAAAAGTTGCTCTATACGATCCACCGAAAACAAGTGATTTTTAGGGATTTGGTCGATTATTAATTCGGCAGGTAAGTACGGACGAGTTACACTTTCGACATAAGCTTGAATTGTTTGCGGTCGGCACTCCTGGCTTTTATTTTCCTTAACTATCTGACCAGACATTGGAAATGCGTCGCATATTTGTATATAAAGCATGAGCTTGGCTAGAGTTCACCTGACTAGGGCAAATATGGACAGAGAGATTCGCTGGTATTTTGTCAACCTAGCTGCCCTTTTCATATTTGAATGAATACACAAGGTACAATAGCACCGTTGATGGGGTACCTAGGTAGGTAGACCTACAGCTACCCCAATCTTACACAATGCGGAAAAGTACAACATAATCACTGCGCTTCTTTTACTATAGCGCTTTATAATCAGCAATATATTATAACCTTACTTTCAAGGTTGTCTAAGTAGATTCAAGCCATCAGGATCAACCCACATCTGAGTTATCAAGGTGTATATATGTGTCAGCACATGCAGCTGTATTCACCACTAGACACAAGATCTCATCAAAAATTTTATGAATGATTTCTTCTGAGTTGCGCGCTTGAGCACAACAACTTCTGGCTCTTTCCCCTCTTCATTCCATCGCAAGATCTTATATATCCCTCACGACCTATGCTGTCTAATAAGAGGTATTTTCCACCGCCGAGAACCAACGCGGCTTGTCAGCACTGCCAAGACTTGAATCTTTCTCTCCCTACCATTGATGGTATATTGGGCATTCCTCTGGGTCTCTTACAAACATCTGCGGCGTCTGGTTGTCCTTACTGCGCGCTATTGATCAAGGCGTTAGAGCTACCTGGCCTTGAACCCCCAAACAATGAAGACCTATTTGGAGTTACGCTATTCTCTGGCGTGGACAGCACAAATGCGGAGCCTTTCCCTCTTATTGTGAGGTTGCAAACCGAGTATAGAAATTTCGCAGAAATAGAGCTGTATGTGGATGCAGGTAGGTTGAACTCTTGCCGATTTCAGTTGGATGCGATAGTTAATATTCATACTCACAGATTCATCATATCGTCTTCCAGCCATTGGTCGAGCTCGTAATATTGAAGCAAATGGACTTTCTGACCAATGTGTGGCGCTCATGAATTCATGGATGAAAGAGTGTTTGTCTCAACATAAGATGTGCCACCAGCCCCAATCAAGTATGATATTACCAGATAGGGTCTTGGATGTTCGACCTGGGAAAAACCCTCGATTGATACTCAATCAAAGCGCAGAAACGGGGGATTACGCCGCTCTCAGTCACAGTTGGGGTGGACAAGTTGCTCTTCAGCTTCGACAGAAGAACTTGGAGGACCTGCGGCGCGGCATATCGCTTCAAGGATTTCCCATGACTTTTCGGCACGCGATTGAGGTCTGTCGTGCCCTTGCGATACCATTTCTGTGGATAGACTCGCTTTGTATCATCCAAGATTCCGCTACAGACTGGGCCGTGCAGGGCTCAAAGATGGATGCTGTTTACTCAAACTGTCAAGTAGTCATTGCCGCTGATGGAGCTCACAATAGTGAGAAAGGCTTTTTGGAGGACCCTTGGCGACAAATTCCGGTTCTGAAACTCGTGTGCCCTCGACCAGCATCCGATGGCGGAACACCAAAGGCGAACAAAGATGAACCGCAGAGCAAATTCGTTGATGTCTACGCTCGAAAGAAAGGGACTGGAAATATGGATGTATTCATGCACCACTCCCGAGCGTCCAATTACCGCAGCAATCTCTCAAGTAGAGGCTGGATCCTGCAAGAGAGCGTCCTCGCATCCCGTATACTTCATTTCACTGCAGAGGAGATCACTTGGGAATGTCGAAGCGTTTCTCGATGCGAATGCCAGGTGAACCCTCATATTTTTACGCATGAAATGCCTATGAAATACAATCTTACGAGAGAATTGGACCATAAGGAGCACTGGGCAAAACTGGTGCAAGAATTTACCTGCCGCGATCTCACGTATCCGTCAGACCGTCTACCCGCCATGGCAGGAATAGCGTCTCACATGCATTCCAGAAATCCTTCAATCGAGTTTCATGCTGGATTATGGAGCGACTCGTTTGCTTCATCTCTGTTGTGGTTCTGTTTAGATCGCGGAATGAATTTGCATGGAGGGAAAAGGAAGAGTCGCCGCGTTCAGCCAGAATCTGCTCCAACGTGGTCTTGGGCGTCAGTTACAGGCCGAATCATGTTCTCACCATCTCAAAGTACTCTGGGAGCTTTGAAGAATTTGCACGTAAATTGTTCTCCTGCCGGTCCTAATATGTATGGTAGGGTGTCTTCGGCGACTCTGATGGCGACAGTTGATACATTCAGAGGAATTATAATCGCCCATAAAGATCATAGAGATGCCTTCCAATTGCAGCTTATCTCTGATGATGGAATTCATCGGTCTAATCTGATACCAGACGGAGAGATATTCCCTGACATTCTTGGGGATTCTACAGAAATGTGTGTTGGTGACGAAGTGATCTTGATGGATCCAGTGGGACATGATGATAAATACTTGATCTTGAAGCCCTCTAGCCATGGACCATCAACCTATAGACGACTTGGGTTGTATATGACGTTTCCATTGCGTGGTATCTGGCCAGCACGGCATGAGACTATAACACTTATTTGATAGCTTTCCTTTTGTTGTTTTTATTTATTTATTTATTTCTTATTATCATTATTTTGGTTCCATGTGTACCACCTCTTTAAAGTATGATGCTTAGATAAGGTCCACTTCCTTTAGCTTCACTCTTACATCAATCTTCTCTTTTAATAACAGCATACAATAAATACGACATACATAATGGCTGCCATCCACACCAATATGGTAAACCAGGACACTAAGGCAGATTCTCCGTATGAAACGGACATTGTCTTTCATGTGCGCTGTTGTCCATCTTTAGAATTGTCTTATAGTCTTCCAAGCATTCCCAGCAAAACTGATGTAAGCATTTGGAGCCTGTGATTTGATTATAGATTAGTATCTTATCTTTACGTAGCTACAAATGACATGTGTAATACCATTTCTCTGTTATCGGGATACTGAAATGGCTGGTTTTTTTTTTATTAACAGCTGCAGCTATGTGGACTCCATCGTCTCCTGCATTTCCAGCAGAACTGGTGGCCGCACCTGGAGCCTGTTTAAGACAATTTCGTTAAGAGTTCGCGTCAATTTCACAATAGAGTTTAATGTCACTCAACGGAGTTTGGTTATCGGTGGTTTGCGGATAACAAGCCTAGAATGGATGCAAACGAATGAGAAAGGAAAATAAACCCTTACAAGTCATATACGAACTAAATAGTATATTAGTGTACTTGATCAAAATGCCCATCGTAATAAATATTGGCGAATAAAAAAAAGGTATCAATACTCACCATCCTCCATTCTTCTCAATATGTGCCTTGCATTTTGGACAGGATTTTGTTACCTGTTTGATCGTTTTTGCACTGGCTTTATCCTCTTTTGTATGGCGTGCTGCCTCCTTTTCGTCGTACTGCTCGCATGTCAATCCTTTGTGCCAAGCTACTCTGTGTTGAGAACAAGTCAAGTTGCCGCAAGAGTTGCACTTCATGATTGGCTCGTCGCTGCCTCCCTCATGAAGCTGACCAGAGCCACAGTCAGAGGAGCACTAAGCAAAGCAAAAGAGAGTCAGTATTGCGGTTGCAGAGAAGTCAGGAGACTAGAGAAGAACATACCCATATGAAGTTGGGATCATCCTTGACCGCACGTTGTATTATCAGAGTGTCGTATTTCCCCTTTGTTTCATCGTCTGCGATCTTTTGTATGTCCTGGTATTTAAAAATGGCACTGCACTGCGGACACTTGATTGCCTCCCAGTGTTTCCGCTCCAGCTCAGATCTCAGAGCGCGTCTCAAACATTCTAAACATGTTGTGGGGAAATGTTTGCATTCTTGTGTAATCAGGGACGAAGAGAAGTCTTCCGGCTCCTTGAAGTCTCCGCAAACGATACACTCGATCTTCATTTTTGCTGTGACTTGTCATGCTGAGTTGTAACTTTAGTTTTATAAAATCCCAGAAAATTTCCAAGCATTTATGCAGCATAATCTCTGTATTACGCCAGAATCAGCATTTACCCGTGTTTAGGTGAATGTTGGGTATAACCGGCGGTCTTCGATAAAGCCGGGAAAATCTTGTTACTCGCGGCAGACATACGCACTCTCGCTGAAGATGTAATCGCTTTAATCACGGCTTGATTCACAAAGTTCTCCTTGTGTGGCGGCTTTAGCCCGCGGCTCATCCATGGCGCTGAATGTCGCTGCACACACAGTGAAGGGAGGTTTATGTGAGTATAGACTGGTACGCGACATCTGTAGCGAGGTGCTCAATACTTATAGCAGTATTCGAGACTTGGTAATGTATTCAACGGAGATTTTTATGATTGGAGGAAACAGCTTTGGGCAAGGAAAGATCAATCACATAGCTACGATAACAAAGGTTAAGAACAAAGACATTTCAACAACCAACGCTCAAAGTATCCAGAAGCAATTCAAGTGGCTCAAACTTCAACTAATAAAAGAAAAGGAAAAAAACAGTCAATGGTGTGGACATAAGCCGAAGAAGAAAAATTGAGCTCAAAGCCTTTGCTGTGTTTTCTGCTTTTTGTTCGAATTCAATGGATGGTTTAAATGCGAATAGCTTCATTTCGGCCAGACCAGGGGCCATTGAGTTACTGTACTGGCAATTCCGGTGTCGGAATTATAGTGCGTAACTACCTCCACCTTTAGATGGTATAGCGAGGTAATTTATTTAAGTAGCCTAACTCTAAGAAATAAACTCTCTATATTTAGAAGCATTTCGGGCGTCTGCGTCCCAACACTTACATACGTGGACCGGCAGATGTATAAGTTGGTACGTGGCTTTACTAGAGACGCATAGTGTGGAGGTTTTCTGGGGCTTTGTCTACGTATATTGTTGGGTTCGCTTTAGGTAGTAATGTGCGACCAATCTGTGGCTGAATCGGCTTACTGTAATACGGCACAGCGATTGGCACAGTACCGAGTATATGCTGGACCCTACATGTGCTATTATGTGTAATTGAAGTCAGTGTGGCGTTGGAGTTTCGTAAAAACGAATTGTATAGCTAAATAAACCTATACCCTGCTTCTAACAGGCACGCCAGATCATGTTGAATATCCGCTTTATTTTTGCATATGCGATATCATGAATATGGAAAGATGTGCAAGCTACGTCATCTCAACCTTATTCGCCATTCATCATCGAGCCTGATTTCTCTCTCTCCTCCCGGCTCTTTTCCTCCCATTCGCGATTAAACACCTTCTCAAGCAACATGAGCACGACGATCCCATCCCCCATTATGGATGCTTCTCAAGCCCATTCCCAAGACTGCCGCGCCTCCCCGTTTCTTTTATTGCCGTATCATATCCGCCATGAGATCTACATGTTTGTTCTCGAGTATCCGGACTTTCGCCCGATATTTGCACGTATGGAATATGACTGTGCGCGAGGGGAAGGGGAACACGACAGGAGGAGGCTGCCAAAGTGTGTCTTACCAACGCCTCACGTCCCGGCGCGGCTCAAAGTCACGCCCGGGATCTTTCTGTGTAATCGACAAATCGCCATGGAAGCGCGAGAAGCCATGAACTTCAAAGTATTTACTCTGCGGAGACCACCGCCTTATACGATCACATTGGGGAGGCCCATGGACATCACCGAGTTTATCAGCCAAGACACGTTGAAGAATATGCGGCGGGTCGAGTTGGTAATGAATCTGTTTGACGATGCCAGGGGATGGTGCAAGACGGTAGAGATCCTTTTGGACGTCTGGAGCACAGCAAACCACCTGAAGAAGATCGATATAAGTCTAGAGCAGCCGGAGGAACTGCCCTCTGGCACATTGTGGCACGAGAGATCTGCCAGACACGTAATCAAAATGCTATCCATGGTTCGTATACGGTTTCTTGATTTATGCTTCATTCGAGCTCTACGAGAATACAGCGGTGCTGACGCTGCTATTAGATTCAGAGTTTTGCTAGAGAGTGTGGCATTGAATTGACCGGAACACCACTCCCAGCACTTAACGTGAAGAAAGCAAATGTAGATTTGTAGAACAAACACTATACAAAACTCGTCCCACCATATAGAAGCGCCGCTATTTGGAAGCTGAACACGAGCATCTGCACTCGATGCACCGGTATCTTTTGGCGAAGCCATTTCTTGGGGCGCAATCATGTCATAATAACAACCAACTCTACCCTTGCCCATTTCAGCTTTCTGTACAATCTGTCCCACTTTGGACATCTTTGTCAAGGATATATAGAATCAAGATGGCATAGAACGATAAAAGCCAAAAAGTCAAAGTCATATTTCTAGGAGCACGTAGTCGTCTATCGTCTAATAAAGTCACCGAATAATATTCTTCTCTCCCCAATGCAGAAACCAACTATGCTTGCGACTTTTCACTAAGCTTCGTCTTCCTCGAGTTCATCCATTTTTTCGGCTTTTGCACAGCATCCACTATATCTTCATGAATGATCCAGAAAAGTAATCCAAGAGTGATGGGCACAGATATAATCCAGTAAACGTAAAACAGGCTCTCGCCAGCAGCAAAATCCCCACCCATGGAGAAGATGGAGGCCACAAACGTGCAGGGCACAATGATGGTAGCTATCTTGGTTAGCTGGCCGGAGCTTCGTGCCATCCGATTCGCGGCTGCGGTCTCCTTTGTTTGCCGCATTGATTCCCGCGATTGCATCTTGGCTTCGTACGTCTCTTCCATTGCAGAGCGATCATAGTACATCTTCGTGTGATTAGTGAGAGATTCCTCTACGTACTGAAGCTTTGCATCCAAAAACTTCCACGACTCAGCCCCTTCTGCCATGTGATTGTGAAATTCTGGCGCCTTTACTGACAAACAGCGTGTGTCTCGAAGGCGAAATTTATAAAGGATAAGTTGGAGTATGTATCTGTTATGCCTAGCAGATTCTTGCAGACTCATGAGTGTCTGATAGTCCTTCATGGCTTCGTTATCAATGGCCATTTTGTTTTCAAAATCCTCCAGTGGAGGAACCCTGTGGCTGATACGGTGATGCCACACATTTTGAGTCAGGTGCCTGCTGACTTGGTGTTCATCTCGCCAGATCATCTGCTCCCACGCCGCGCGAATACAATTGCGAACAAGGTGTGTTGCTGAAAATGGATCATCCATGATTTCCAAGTATAAATCCCTGTAAGCGTTTACGGCTGCATCGAAAATCGAACGCTCGTATGGTTGAGCGAATTCGTCATCTACGGAGTCGAGGACGGTTTCGTGCCACAGATTACCAACCGATGGCTCATAAGTTTGTAGAGGTATTATTTTTACGTGGCTTGGGTCAGAGCCAGAGACACGACGTGCTTGACTCTGGTGCGAATCGGCCACGACTACCGCTATAGTTCCGTTAATAATGTATGTTGATATCTGCAAAATACTGCAGGGCGACACACCTGTCCATGAGCCAGCTTCGTACGAGCTCGCTCAGTAAGATACGTAGCTGTTAAAGCCAATACTAACATCCCCTTTCTCAACCTTCTTTGTGTCGCGGCTAAAGGAGCCGCAGAAAACGTCATACCCCCCGCTGTCCATCATCGCTTGAGGGTAGCGGCGCAATTGAGGGACGGCGACCTTCCAGTACTTTGAGCCCCCTTGTTTGAACAGTTGTTTATTAACGACACTGAGCTCATTGAGCCTATTGCAGTGAGAGAGGAGGAAATCTGGAGGAATGTTTAGTAACACTCCTAGTAGTTCTGCTATTCTCGGACTGAAATCCTCAAGGAGTATTAGATGACGGCTTCTCTGATCCACAAGACCTTCTTTCTGTGTGCTCTCCCGGTGAAATAGGCGTAACAGCAGATCTCGCGCACTTTCGGATTCGTGTTCAGTTGATACCTCGCGGCAGCCCCTTTCCAGATCAAAGATTCGAAGTTTCCATGGGGCGTCATATGTTTTTTTCATCCATGGATGGTTTCCGTCTGTGCAGATTCCCTTGCTTGCAACGGCTTTTGCCCTCTTTGCATATGCTTTGGTATTTTACCTCATGTCCTCATTATCAGCCCAGAATGTCTCGTGGTCTGCATCTGTTAGTATCCTTCATTGACGAGTAGCGAATTGATTGAGGATACCTTCTTCCGTGTATGCTTGAGCCATGGAGTCGGAAATGTGTATGATCTATATGTGAATATATACATATATGTATATGTGTACACTGACATAGAAACAGCAACAACACTATGTCAAGAGTTCAAGGTGAAGAAGATTTATTCCGCTGCTACAATCGCTATTTATATATTTCCAGAATTCAAGGAATTGCCGAGAGGCAGTTTTCGTAGTGAGCTGGAAAATCTGCCTATCCAGCCACTTCACGATATTCTCTGCCGGCTTGCAGCATAATAGGCAGGCAGGGATTATATGCGGTGCTACCCCCTAAACAACCATAATACCTACAGCGCCACTAATTTGTGGTGCGTCTGCCTTGCGGACACCGCCTCCCTTCCAGAGAGCAAGCCTTTGGTTCACAGGGCGACTTCTAAAGAATACAAGCATTGAATGTGATATTGTGCATAGACAATTCCTACGTACTCATCATCAGAAACACCGCTCATAATTTCACCACCATCATATTCTTGCCGTCCGTTTATCGATGACCAATAAATTATACCACCAGCCCATCACATGCACATAACGTGGCGAATAGAATAGATTTCCCAGATATCCCAAAAGATTGTTCTAGCCGCAGCTCCTGGAGGCTTCGTGATTGGCTCTCCGTGAGCCACGATGTCCATGGCCATTGGATTGAGGAATTCTCACGTCACGTAATTCTGAATCGAAGCAGATTAGGCACTAATACTTCTTAAATAGTAGATAAAGGGTTGCAGGGGTGTACAAAGTATGGTATTTATCGGAAATGCTATGGTCGTCGCCGCGTCTTTTCGATACCGAACGTATTGAACGTAGGACATAACTCATATCCGAGTTCTGGAAGAGCTCGTTAATAAAAGTAATACAACAAATAGATCAGGTCTAATGTATAAAATGCTAAACATTTTTATCATATAATAGCATATCTGCTAAAATTATTCTTTCTTTAAACTTATTTAAATTTCCTATACCATTTTGAAATTACTCTGTTTTTAAAAGGTGGCGGTCTCAGGGCGAGGAAGAACTCCCCCAGGGAGACTCTATTGGCTGTATCAATGGCGATTTCCGGAGTGTACGCTCGATACTTGAGATAGCTAGGTGGCAGTTTCGCAATAATCTTGCCATCTAAATCAGCAGGCTTCCGACTATCTTTCTTATACCAAGGGACGCGTTTCTTGGGTCGGGTTCGCTTCATCATGATGCCATCATCGCTGGAATTGCTGTCATCGTTGTGAATATCACAGTCTTCCTCGTACGTGTAGTCGCCCGTTATATCGATAGCAATGCACTGCTCTACTAGCTCATTAAAATGAATATGTTTGAGTTTGGGAAAGGGGGAGGTTGTATTTGACAAGCCTCCCGAAGTCGCAAAAGAACTAGCGTCTTGGTTGCCTCTCTGGCTCTCCACAGGGTAGGCGACATCGTCTTCTCCACGCTTCAAAGACTCACAAGTTTCTTGAGCCGGGATTGTCGCTGTAGTTTGCTTCAACAGGGGCGCGCATTCCAGTGACCCTTGAGGAATGAATTCAGGCAGGTTGTTCCTCTTCAAAATTGGCTTCTTGTTTAGGTTAAAATCTGTTTTTGACAGAGCCACACTCGAAGCTTCATTGCAAGGTGGGTTCGCATTCTTGGAGCTGCACTGTAGAGGCCCAAAGAGCCAAGTGGTATCATAGTCTTTGAGCCTGTAATGCGTCGCTGTTAACCCGGATGTGACTAATTGAATACTAGTTAGGGAAGGATAACATGAATTTATATACGTACCAGTTCAATTCATCTGGCGATATTGTTTTGAGGTTGTTCTTAACCTTGACCCAGTTTCTCCAAGATGCGTTTTCCAGTCGAGCGCTGTTGGCGAATTCGTCTCTGTTGGAAATAATGTACCTCCAGCATGACCAAATATCCTCCTTGTTCCAGTCATGCGATAAGTAGTCTACGTTCTGCCGTGGCCTGGTTGATGCTGCAGTATCGTCTTTTGTTTGCTCGATGATGTCGGCAGATTCGACATGCAAAGTTTCGACGGATTTGGCCTGTCCATCCTGAGATTGTCTTTCAGCCATGGAGATGTGGAAGCTGATTCCTTTCGCCGAGTAATCAATATCCAGCATCTCTGCCACCATTTCCCCAAAGCGGACAAGAGATTTTTTCGCCTCTTTTATATCAGTTATGGATCCCAAAGTACAATAGGCATGATGCAACACCTTCACGAGAAGGTCATCGGCAGTTATACCGTAGTCAACAGCTATATCTGAGCTATCTTTCGCTAGACCATGCAAGGCATACACTTTATCCAGTATATTTGTGGCCTCGTGCTCACGATACAATTGCAGCAACGTTGTCAGAGGCTGGAGATTCCCACCCCATGCTGCCTTCGCCTTGGCAATAACAATAGCTGGGCTGGCGAGAATTAGAGATGCACAAGGCGTGTGGTGCTCTCTTCCTATATCGGATATTGCCTGAAGATCCTTGACTAGCTGCTCAAATGTATTCCAGCTAATATGTTTGGAGCCGCAGTAAATGGTAATCTCCTTTGCAAACATGATTTCTTGGATAATCCACACCCTCCGCCAGTAGTTCATTTCACAAAAGGCCAATATGGCTTTGGCCTGCCGCAGGCTCCAGAAGTTGTCAAAATTGAAGTTTCCAAGCTCACAGGATGTTCTTGTCGCCAACCATTGCATCGCCACGTCGCTGTCGGAGGAAGTATCGACTTTCCCCAGCCACACCGAGACCGATTGGGCGTTGCTGTAGATCTTCCGCATTATCTGCACTTGGTGATTTCGCTCCATGACGTTTGACTGGTCAATGCATATAGCGTCAATCCAAAAATTGATATACTGATTTCGCAACCGCATATGATGCAGAAACCACCAGAGGTTGTTCCCAACCGGGAACTGAGTTCCATTAAGCCTGATAACCTTGTCTCTCACATTTTGGCCCCATGCATAGGAGAGCGCGGTATATTCAGGATAGCTGCCATCGAGAGAATAGGAACATAAACTGCATTCAATATTCTCCGACTCAGCGCTCGGTGCCAATGCAATTAACCTGAATTCTCTCCGCTCAATCGGTGCAGTTGAATGGGGATTCTCCATGTCTTTGTTGATAGAATGATGTGCTCATCGCTGTGGTTTAAGGTGTCAAAGACGCGTTTTGCAAGAATTATGGGATCGGCTGTAAACACACATTAGTTGCAATGCTGAGCTGATCATATGTTCAGATAAAGTCTCCATATTCGCTGATGCCTATTTTCTCGTTGGGCTCCGCCGCATGCCCAACCAGCAGCACAGCCTGTCGCTATCACTCACGCCTTCATTCCTGCGAGCTACCATTGGACGAGGTTAGCACAAGGCATAACCACAATAATATCCCTATTGAGTTTTAGTGTTCAAGCATGCATACAGGTAGACTGTACACTATTTAGGAATTAGAAATCATGTCAAGTTTAAAAATGAACAGCCAAATCCTATATTTACCGTTAAGAGCTGTTTCTCGTTCTCTATCAAACTTTGTCTAGATGGTATCTCTTCTTTGCTGACGCAATGGTGATCTGGACATTTAAAGAGCTGTTATGCTGTATCACCTCTATGCGATCTCTATCTTTGGCATTACGTCTTCAAGGAGCTTGAGGATATTCCAGTGCAATATATCTCTTGCGGCAATGGAATCCTCCACGCTATCATGCCCTTTATGACTCATTTGAATGTCTCGTCCAAGTCTCTCTTTTGCGAGTGCTTTTAGAGATAGCCCTCCTCTCTGCCTTGGCTGGTTAGGGGGTTTCTGTTTCTCTTTCTGTTTCTCTTTCTCTTTCTCTTTCTCTTTATTGTTTGTTTGGCTGTCTTCATTGCCGCCGTTGAGTGGTACGTCACTGGTTAGGATCTCGGGGGTTTCTTCCATCTGCGTGTCGTCCTCTTTGCCCTTGCTCCCCCCTTTATTGTTATCCTTGTTGTTATCCTTATCCTCCTCTATTGGCCTGTTTTTCTTTTCGACAATGAACGTGTCGATAACGACTGGATGGATCCAGCGCAAAGAGGTGAGATCAGAGTTGCCGCCGTGCCCAATGACTATAGTGTTAGGGCCGACAAACTTCCATAGAGCTCTTCGTGCATTGGCACGACCAAATAGGCAAGATCGCGTACGCCGCGCATTCTCCATCTGTTGCCTGGTAATTCCAGAGTATCTCGTGTTATAATGGATCATCTTAACATCTGGATACACGAGGCTGTCTAGAAGAACAGCGCCAGAGAAGTAGTCGACGGCGGAGACTCGAATTAATTCAGTCTCTCCCGTCGAAGCCGTGCCCATCTCACAGTCAATGACAACTGCTACCGCTTTCTGGCCACCTGATTCAGCGGCGGGAGTTCCATAGTATCGCCACTCTCTTTCTAGCTCCCCAGCAGCGTAAATCTTTGGCGTATGGTCTTCCTGGCCCTGACACGGGGGCGCCCCAGGTGCACCATTACAACATGACCATTTCTGAGCGGTTGACATATCAGATAGCCGTTCCGTTTGTGCAAGTAATAAGAGTGGAAGGAAATAAACGAACCCTTTGGAAGATCCTCCCAGGATGATACTTGCAATGCATAACCGTCTGTTTCATTCTATTAAACTGCAGCTCTTCGCTATGTTCACCATCCCCCCCTTGAATAGGCGTCTTTGGCAGCCATTTGACCCTTTTGAAGGCATTTGGGAGATCTTAAAGTGTGTTAGATAAGCTACCGTTAAACGCAGACACACTATATATATAGCTTGCATCCATGCAGGACTTACGGCGACCACATCGATGACATCGCCTCTTGCGATCCAGGTCCTGCCCCGAAGGCTGGTAAATGATATAGCCGGATCTCTGGAGCTCGGAGAGAGAATGAACCAGGCTGCGTAATTGCTCAGTATATGCGTGAGACTGCTTGATTGGCTGTGGCCGACGGCTGTCTGAAGTGATGGCGAAGGACTTGATGGGAGCGGTCTCAGGGCGAGCCGCTGCGGATGACATGGCGAATTAAATAGGGCAAGGAAAGGGAAGAAGAAAATGAAAGAGTTATTGACTGAACTAATGCAAACGCTGGATGTGCTGGAGATTAAAGCTGGGGTATCTCTAGAGTAGGCGAAAGAATGATGTAGGGGGAAAGAACAAGAAGAAAGCGAAACGAGGTTGAGCGCGTAGGCCAGAACTGAAGAGAGGCTGACACGCTGAAGGAAGGCTACCTATTACTTGGGCGGCAATTGAATCGCCTTATCAGGCATCACCTGTAGCCGCTATAGAACGCGGCTAGGGAAAGTTGTAGGCCTCCCTTGAGAAGAAGAAAAAAAACACCGAGGCAGAGAAGCCTTGACCATTATACTTGCTTATTTATTTGGTTCAATGAATAATAGTTGACAGCTTTACTTTGCATTATTTTTTTGCCATTCCATTGCGGAAAGGCTTTGGTGGTTTTTCTTGCTGTGTTAATGCTTGTTATACGATTGTATAAGTGAAATATTGTACAAGTGAAATACACGCTAACCACTGTACCTCCCTATAGATACATAAGATAGCGACGACCTCACTTGTCAAGCTCTTTGACCTTGCAAAACAATGCCAATCCTAATTGATTCGCTCGATTATGTTTGCCATCACCAATCCATACCAAAGGCTTCATCCCATCTTCTACGGAGTAATGTATTGTGCCGTTCATATTCCCTTGGCCTCTAGGTTAGTCCGTGGCGTTGTATCAAGGCCCCTGTCGCGCCCTTAGGTCCACGGGCACATGCATGTCGAAATCCTATTGAAAGCAACGCCGCCCACAGTAGCGCAGTAACACAGCCGGCACCGTTGCACAGATAATTTGTCCGAGCTATATATATCTATATATATTATATCGGCATTAGGGAAGAAGACGAAACAGATAGAAAAGACAAGACAAAAGAGAGAACCATTCAGCAGCAATGGCAGTCATGGGCTCCTCCTCTACAGCCGCCTCCGGCGCAGGCAACTCCCGCCTCATTATCGAGTTCGCTCCCGCCTCAGCAGCCGAGAATCTGTCAGAGATTTCTGCCATCACAAAGCTCGCCAACGACGTATTCATCGAGGCAGAGGTCGGCATCTGGAACACTGGCTTTGTGCGTACTAATGACGCCGAAGTTGCAGAGTTGATTCGCAAAGGCGAACTAGCAGTTGCATATCTCGCTTCCCCATCCGATGGCCCAGAGGCGTTACAAAAGGGCCAGCTAGTAGGATGCGCGTGTGTCAAGCAACTTTCAGAATCTACATGCACATTGAGCATGCTTACTCTGGATACGAAGCACCAGGGCCTCGGGCTGGGTCGCGAGATATTCAAGTTTGTGGAGGATCACTGCTTATCGTTGGGATGTACTACTCTCGCACTGGATATTCTGGTTCCGACGAGTTACGCCCATCCACTGAAGACGAGAATGCAGGCCTGGTACATTCGGCTAGGATTTCAGGAAGTGAGGCTGGCAGACTTTGCGAAGGAGCATCCGTCTCTGGCGCCACTGTTAGCCGGACCTGTGGTGTACAGGGCATTTGAGAAGAGGTTGCGGTAGAATGGAAATGGGTCTCAACCGGACAGCTGAACTATCGCCGACAGTTTTGCAGTTCAGCTTTGGCATGTGATGCTGCCTACCTTGTTAGGTAATGTCACTGGCTGGTTGAAATGGAGGGACGGTGTGTTGATATCCATTTAGACAGCAAGATAACATTAGATTATATTATTACGACTTACACACCTACTTCATGGATATACAAGTAATGCTGAGATGTGCTATCGTAGGCCCGTAGGCATAGTCTCGGGTCCCTTGCAGAATTGTGCCTGCATCCATCTCCAGCTTCAAAGCCAGACCAGAAGCGGCTTGGGCTGAGCTACCTATGTTGAGATAAAGGCATTGGCAAATATTTCAAGCTGAAGTGGGAAACTTCTTTTCTTTTGTCTGTCCCTTTACAGTGACGCATTGGTCACTTCAGTTGCGTCTCCAGACTCATCTACCGGCATATCGTATGCTGATCACGGCCCTTGGAAATGTAACCAACCAGGGCTCTATCCCCAGGAATCTGCGAAGGTGATCTGCCAGTCAGCCTCCCATCTGATTCCATACTAGGCAACCAAATAGCGGAGTAATCCATGCTCTGTGGCTTTTCTCCCTCTCCCTCTCCCTCTCCCTCTCCCTCTTTTAACATCGTCTTTGACGTGAGTTGGTCATGTTCTTTTTTTCAAACCCGGGATGCGGCGAACGGACCTGAGCCGCAAGACTCGGATAATCAGCCCATTTCCGCAGCTGGCCTGTGCTGGAATGCGTTTAGCGATCGGCAGCCAAAAATTTCACTTGATTCCTTTGAGTTTAGAGAGAAGGAAGACACAACCTCGCGGGCTCTTTGTGGCTTAATCTCCCCGGACGGTTGGCGTCTGTGAGACATGATTGGTCGGTGGGGTCACGGACCTCAGCTCTTTTAGGAATCTTGCATGGGTTCTTAATGGCGGTTTAAGTGAGAGCTGGAAAGTGAAATTTTCACTTTTTGCTCTCGTATGCTGGCCGCTTCCTTGGGGGCTCACTCGGACTCTCGCTATTATCTTACTGGCTTGCCCAGGTTCCGGTGAGGATGCTGCGCTGTACTGGCTACTATCGGATCAGCCTTGCTGCTGCAGGTCACTGGACAACGGGACGGTGTTGCTGAGCATACATAGTAGATGGAGGTTGCATCTGGGATTTGGATGCTCTGCCGCACCAGCGGATAAGTCCGAGCGACAGAATTGGTTGGCTAAGCACAATTCGGGCAATTGCCGCGCGCCATCTGGCCAAAGAAGCTCAGGTCCCAGGCCAGGATCGATAGATTGATTAACATCACGCTGCCAAATATCACTAGTAGCCCCTTTTGACCTTTGTGTGTGGTGACGTGCATGCTCGGTGGTCAGAACAGGCGCCTAAGTTGGTGGTGAGGTTGCTGCTGCTTCTGTTGTCGTCACGGCCAAGCTTGCGAGATGAGATGGGTGGTAGCAGGTACCTAATCGCACGATCCATTTTGCTATGCTGGATGTACGGGCAGCTTAGGATTGAGCAGGTACCACATACAAGGGGGAGATCTAATAGACTGGAGCTTGACGACGGGTACAGCAGCACTGCCATGATGACCCGCATCGGGGTCTCCGTTTCAGCGAGGCAATGCCGCCTGCAGTGAAATGCGCCATGTGGCCGGCCGAAGCCCTTTTTCCGCGTCGATCGAGCCAATAGCGAAGCTAGTAAGGAATATGGCCCGAGCGTTTTTTTTTCTGTCTCATCGCAATCGGCTTTTGCATATGTTGTGGCTGGCGATTTGGAGAAGGGAAAAGAAACAGTCTATGGAGCAGCTCGTAGTAGCGCCGTCGACGGGGGCCCAGCAGCTATTGCGGCGAGGCGCAGGAGATGCATCTGATGGTGCTTTGCATATAGCTAACGGTATGGTCTGTACGCAGATTATGTCATAGACACAGTCGAAGATGGCGATGCCGTTGATGTTGATGTTGATATTGGTGTTGATGAGGATTCGCTTCGGCTAGAGAGTGATGCCATGATCTGTGAAGAGGCTATATTTCTCCATGCCGAGTCATTTGACCAACCCCAGCCCTCAACCGAGGTCCGTATGTCCTACGAGCATGTTATCAGTACCTACTAGTAGTTTTTTTTGTGGTTGTGCTATAGGATACTTGATGGATGTATGCCTACATGTACCTAGTAGGTAGGCATGCAAGCATCGCGTGTGTTAGTATTGGATTCACGACAGAAACAATCCATCTGCATCATTTCTCCTGCGCCTTGTCTTGCTTTCCTTGTCTTGCTTTGCCATGTCACTCCTAGAGTAAAACTACGTCAGAAACAGCACTTACACGCCCCAATGCTGCTACCATTTCTCCGGAAGAAGGGTCTCAAACCCCCCTAGGCGCCCAATTACTGTCGACCACGCAGCGGTCGGAGCCGCAGACCGAAATACAGCCCGAGCCTCTCACTGCAACCCTCATCCGTTAGCCTGGCTTGTACCCTGACCGGCTGGAACTGAACCCCGGCAAGCCATCGGACGTCTCGAATCTTCAATCGCAGGCCAAGTCGCCGTACCCCTGTCCATCGCTTGTTATACCCGGCACGACGAGCGCTCTAGTGCCAGCGCCACCGAGCACCCCGGACAGTGAGCGGTTCGTTCTGTATACAGGACCCATCCAAAGGATCAATATTGGCACGGCAGCCATTCGAAAGAAGCTGCTTCTCTGCTGCTGCTCTGCTGCGGCACTACTTAGTAGTACTTGCCGTTGATGATGGTACTGTTGTCTGTTGTTGTTCGCTAGTCACATGTACATGTACATGTACGTGCACTACGCACGGCTCTAGCCGTCGTCCAGGCTGCAGGCGCCGCCTTGATGTTTGCTGGCACTACCCCCCAGTACATCTTCTAGTGGACATTCGGTGCACTATCGAGCGCAGCGCGGCCCCAGAAAGACGCCAGACCCCGCCACCACCTCAACCCACCACCACCGCCAGCTCATCGTCACCCGACCTCCGCCCAACGGCTTATTGCGAATCGAAAAGAGACAAAAACCCTCCGTACGGGCCACTCTCGCCACCAGACTCAGCTTCACCAACCATCTCTCCTTCGCCCGGCGTTTGCTGTTGGACTTGCCTCGCGCTTGGTCTCAACCTGGTCGCTTTCTGCGCGTCTCGCTCAACGGCAGAGGGCCCATTTCCGCGGCCATAGCACTTTGTTCTTTTTCAATTTTTTCAGTCTTCTGCCCATTTTCCCTTACCAGCTTCAAGTGCTCGAAGTCTAGCTGGACAGACTCGCATCAATTGCTGGCATCTGCTGCCGCATCCCCCGCGTGTGCCTCCGCACCATCTGATCTGGACTTCACGTCTCCAAAACCTAAACGACGTCTACTAACAGCTGGCTGGTCTGCTGATTTGACTGACCGTAGAGCTGACCGCCCGCTACACGTGCTCTCGCCTAAGCTCGATAAGCTTGCCAGCGCATTGGACCAACGCCGATTGCCTTGTCAACAGCTGCTGGGCCACGCCGTGGACTGAAGAAGCTTCATCGCCCATCAAGCAATTTCCCGTTACCTGCGACTGCTAGACCGTTGCACGCCGCCTACGCCCATTTTAGTGCCCGCCGTCGCAATCCCGTCGTTTTTATAGCCACGGACCGCAGCCCGATTCGATTCGGCCAATCCTCGATCTTCAACCCACACAACCTTAGCCCCCAACGGCGCGCTCGCTTGCGCTGCCTTCGCCTGATCGCCCGACCAGAAGCTTCAACAACAAAGCTTCGCGCCGAATCCCTTTTCTACCATTCTTCATCTCTAAAATGTCCGGATATCCAGGCTACAACGGCGGCGGCTATGCCGCACCGCCGCAGCAACAATACCAGCAGGGCGGTTACTATCCGTACGAGCTCCCCCTAATATCCCGAATCTCAAATCTCATATCATGCCTACCTCCCTGAGCCCTGTCCAGCGCTGCCACGGTAGTTGTGGTCCCAAACCGTTACTCGCTCTCCTTCTTCTCCTTTTGTCGTCTCATCTAGGCACATGTCTCTTTGTAAATATGCTGTGTATTAATGCTTACGACTCAACGCTCCTCAGACCTCAACAGCCCGGTTACACCGGCGGCTATCCGTCTCAACCCTCTCCCCAGCCTGGCTACGGCTATCATCAAGCTCCTCCGCAACCGCAGTATGCTTATCAGGTATGGCCGATCCTCCTTCTTAGGGTTACACCGAAAAAGCATCGTAATGGTGCTTGGGCTTCTGCAAGCAATTGCTTACATATGTGATGTACTGCAGCAACCACCCCCTCCCCAGCAGCAATACAGCAACTACGGCCATCCGACACCTCAGCCCAACTATAATACACGCCCTGGTACGGTGTACTATGACTCCTGATCTAGAACTACCTGCTGATGTGATGAAAAAGGCATGCCTCCCCCGGGTCCTCCCCCAAACAGCTATAATCAAGGTCGCCCCAACGGTCCCCAGGCTCCTCCAGCTGGCCCTCAGAGCTTCGGTCACGGCGCCCCGAACAACTATGCGTTTCGATATTCCAACTGCACCGGCCGTAGAAAAGCTCTGCTAATTGGTATCAACTACTTTGGTCAGCGTGGCCAGCTGCGAGGATGTATCAACGACGTCAGAAACATGACTGCTTATCTGGTGGAACATTTTGGTTACAAGAGAGAAGATATGGTTATCTTAACCGACGATCAACAAAACCCCATGAGCCAGCCTACAAAGCAAAACATTCTTCGTGCCATGCATTGGCTGGTCAAGGATGCTAGACCCAACGACTCGCTCTTCTTCCACTATTCTGGTATGCTTTTACCCCTTTTCTCAAATCTTTCACATCTATATGCTGACGAGCCAAGGCCACGGTGGACAGACAAAGGATCTAGACGGCGACGAGGCTGACGGATATGACGAAGTCATCTATCCAGTCGACTTCAGGCAACACGGACACATCACAGACGACGAGATGCATCGAATCATGGTCCACCCCCTGCAGGCAGGTGTAAGGCTGACCGCTATTTTTGATTCATGTCATTCTGGTACTGCTCTGGACTTGCCCTACATCTACTCTACACAAGGTATCCTCAAAGAGCCCAACTTGGCCAAGGAGGCTGGCCAAGGCTTGCTCGGAGTCATCTCCTCATACAGCCAAGGAGACATGGGTGGTGTTGCCAATAACATCATCGGATTCTTCAAGAAGGCGACCACTGGCGATGACGCCCACAACAGGACCCTTGCCACCAAGACATCTCCCGCAGATGTCATCATGTGGTCTGGAAGCAAAGATGATCAGACATCGTAAGTCATGTCTCAGCGCACTGTGAGACAGAATCCGTAACTAACAATATTTCCCAGGGCCGACGCTACTATTGCTTCGCAAGCCACTGGCGCTATGTCGTGGGCGTTCGTTACGGCTCTCAAGAAGAACCCCCAACAAAGCTACGTTCAGCTGCTCAACAGCATCCGAGATGAACTGGCTACAAAATATACACAAAAGCCGCAGCTCTCCTGTAGCCACCCTCTTAGTAAGTTCCCCTTGCATATATGTCAGGTAGGGTAGTACTCTCCCTAACATATCTTGCAGATACAAATCTCCTATTTGTCATGTGAAGGATTTCCTTCTGTCTTTCATCAACGGAAACCAAAAAAATTGGCTTGAATGGGTTTATTCGTGGGCTACCATCGCTTTTGTATATGAAATAATTTTTTTTCTTTTTCTTTTTCTTTTTCTTCTCATATACGTAGCCACGTGTGATATATCCTTCTGAATAAACGAAGCTGGGCGGTTCATCGGATTTAGGACTTGGAATATTGAACTGGTCTCTCTTCCTTGGAGTTTATCGAGCTTTTTGTTTTACTTGTTTTGTTTCTTCCCTTTTGGTCCATTACCTTTCTCTTTCACGCTTCTCTTTCCTGGTTTATCACGTTCCTCATTCTGTTAACTTGGGGGTTATATTCGGAAAGCATCGCTTGGGCTAGGACGCGAGATATCATTCTTTTTACTTCCCCTTTCTTACAAGAATATCAAAAACACTTGCATTTTACACCCATTATCACGTTGATCTCTTTTCTGATATGAAGTTGCACAGAATCTTTTGAAAAAGAACAGCAAGATAAGAAATCAAGATTTGCCATGAATCCTAAACAAGGAGGTCAAACTAAATACAACATTGCCTCCCCCTTTATCGTAACGCCAATACTACCGCCAACCCAATCCAACCTGGCGTTTGCACTCTATGCATCCCAAAAGAAACAACCCGACAGACAAACAAGAAGACTTTGTGGGAATTCCTTTTCCCCATCTCATACATAGGTTCATTAATCCCATACCCGTTATCCATATAAGCATAACAGAAAGAATAAATCATAAGCGCTAGGGAATCAGAGAAAAAAAAAAGCAGAGGATTCCAAAAGAAGATCTTGAAACCGAGATAATAAAGACAGAGAAAGAAAAGTAGAAAGATATACAGCCTGAGCAAATAATATTGACTGATTCATCACATGTGCGCGTAGTAATAATCAACACAAATGAACATTGTCGTCTAGTAGACATCAGCAGCGACAACTTTGAGCTGCTTCGAGCGCTTAATTTGTCGCTTTTCTTCGATTGCCGTGCGGAGCTTTTGGCGGACAGCTTCTTGGCCGGCCCAGTTGCGGGCAGCGATGCGTGTTCGCGCGATGAAGCGGGCCATGATGAGGAAGGTCTTGAGGTTGGGCGATGAGCCACTGGATGATGAGAAGGATGGGGGTTTGGGGAGGGCAAGAGGTTTGCGGCTTTGGAGGACCTTGGTGCGGATGTGTTCGAGTTCGCGGAGCTGAGCTTTGTTGCTATATTGTCTGTTAGCAAAATGTTGTGTTCTAATGCCAATTTATAGGGGGATAAGAAGGTGCAATCATACCAAGCATGTGCAATGTTGAGCTGCAGCTGAAGGAACTTCTTCGCATATGCTGCGTCCGAGCGAAGAGACGCCTCTCGCTCCCACCGGGCCTGCATCCACTCCATCTGGAGCATCATGCCGCGAAGCTCCTTCTTGTGACGCACTTGTGCGCCCTCGGAGGCTCGCACGATGGTATCCAGCGCTTCGTTGTCAGCATAGCCGTAGCGGCGGCTCAGCTTCTGCGTCCCGGCTGCCGCCTCTTTCTTCAGATACTGGATGTCGTTTTGCATCTTCTCGACACTCATGCGATACGCTGCTCGCTCGGTGCGCGCGCGTTCGAGTTTCGCCCGTAAGACGGCCTCTGAAGCGACGAGATTGTTGATGAGCTCTTGCTGCTCTATTATGTCATGTTCGAGGTTTTCGACCTCGACCTGACTCTTTAGTAGGCGCTGGCTCTGCTTGGTGTTGTCTGCATGCGATTGCTGCTTTCGTTCGAGGCTTCGGCGCTCCCGCTCAAGTTCTTGTCTGAGGACGGCCTCTGAAGCGACCATTTCGTCGATTAGCTCCTGTTGCTGGAGGACATCTTGCTCGAGAGCCTCAATCTCGGCTTTGGTATTCGTTTCACCATCTGTGCGTAGCTCCAGTTGTCGTTCAAGGTCTTCTCGTAGAGCAGCTTCAGAAGCCATGAGATCGTCAATCAGCTCCTGCTGCTGAAGCACATCATCTTCAAGGTTTTTCGCCTCTTCCTTGAGCGCCTTCGTCTCTTCTCTGAGCGTCTTTGTCTCCTCTCTGAGACTTTCGACCTCTTCCCGACTCTGCATAGCGCTCTTAATGTGTGACTGCTGCGCTCGGTCAAGCTCTTGGCGCAGCAAGGCTTCGGAGGCGATCATTTTGTCGATGAGTTCTTGCCTTTGGAACATGCTACGATCAGGTCTATTAGCCTCTTCTCGAATCTGCATGAATTTGATCCGCTGCTGCTCTCGCTCAAGTTGTTGTTGCAACGACGCCTCTGAAGCGACTAAATCATCGATGAAGCGTTGCTGTTCGAGTATCTTCTCCTTTAGAGTCTCAACCTCAGAGTGGGCATCCTCGTATTCTGCACGTAGCTGCTGCTCTTGCTCCAGTTCTTCTCGTAGAGCAGTTTCGGAAGCCGTAATGTTCTCGATTTCTTCTTGAAGATGGACTATTTCGCGCTTTAATCTTTCGATCTCTGCTTGGCTTCTTATATTTTCTGCACGCAGCTGCTGTTCTTGCTCAAGGTCCCTATGCCGAGCAGCTTCTGCAGCCTCAAGGTGGTTGATTAGCTCCTGTTGCTGGAGCATCTCGTACTTGAGATTTTCAATCTCTTCCTGGCCTTGTATGGTATTCCTTGCCAGCGATTGCTCTCGGTTGAGTTTTTGGCTCAAAGCAGCCTCAGACGCAATAAGCTCCTCGATATAACGCTGGTGTTCAAGCAATTCGTGCTTAAGACTTTCGACCTCCTCTTGACTTTGAGCAGCGTCCTCAAGTAGCGATAGCTGCTCTTGGACGGTCGCTTTGAGCTCGTCATTTTCCTGGCTGAGTTCAGCCGCCTCCCGCTCCAGCGCGATATACTCCTCGCTCGACTGCCGGAGCTCTTCTTGTAGTCTAGATACCTTTTCTTCAATCTGCCGTGATAGTCCCTTAGTCATGATGGATTTGTTGGCCATCTCTTCCTGCAGCTCGTCCAAAGCCGCCTCGGCTTTTACTTTCTGGGACAAAGCAGAATTCATCCTCTCCTTCATTTGCTCTGCTTTATTCTCCCAGTCGCGAGCTGTCTGCTGCAAAATCTCTGCCTTGCCCTCCCAATTGCGAACTGTTTGCTGCAAATCCTCTGCCTTGCCCTCCCAATTGCGAGCTGTCTGCTGCAAAGTCTCTGATTTGTTCTCCCAATTGCGAGCTGCCTGCTGTAAATTCTCTGCTTTGCCCTCCAATTCTCGAACTGTTTCCTGCAAATTATCTGCTTTGTTTTCCCAATCTCGAACAGCTGACCGCAAATCGCGGATGGTTGCCAAAGCTTCTTCCATCTCCTCTTCATTCGTATTGGCGTCGTGTTCCGCCACAGCATTTTCAGCCTCGTTGAGCCTATCTCTCAGGTCCTCGAGCTCGTCTTCCCGCTCCGTTAACAAGCGGTCCTTTTCGCGAAGCTCGGCTTCCAAGTCCACAACATTGTTCTCCAGCGTCTCTACCCTCTCCTGGTGGTCTTGACTATTTGACGCTTGACTTCGTAGCTCCTCGATAGCAGACTCACGAGCTTGAATGGTCTCTCGTAGAGTATCTAGCTCGGCTTGCTGGTCCTTGTTGGCATATTTCTGCTCTGCCTTTTCCCTCAATTCGAGCATTTGTTGACGATAACTTTCCAGCTCGCGCTCTGCAGTGGTTATCTCTTTCTTATATTTGTGGAGTTCTCTCTGCATTGTAACTTTATCGACTTTGAGCTCCGTGTTTTCCTTTAGGGCAGCTTCACTGAAGCCAGGGCCTGCTTTCCGTAGGGCCTCCTCAAGAAAGTGAATTTTCAACTTGAGACCAAAGTTCTCCTTCTCGATCTTGTCAATAACATTTTCCTGCTCTCGTAGAGACAATTGGTTTCCGTCCTGCAGAGGACCTTTGTCTATTATATTCCTGCGCGGTGGAGGGCCCATTGGGGTTGTGCTGGCGCTGCTGGCGATTTGAGGAAGATCGTTGCCTAGAAACGATGCATTGCGTGTTGAAAAGGCGGAACCATCCATTCTTGGAAGGGGAGTCATTTCATCTTCTTCGAGTAATGTCCGCAACGCAGCCGGCGTGGCGGGGACAGTAGCATTGTTCTCTTTGCCATTCCTCCGAGTGCTATTCCTTGTAGCAGACTTCAGCAATGGGGTAAACTCCCCTCCTCCGATGTTTGATGGCAGATTTCGACGATCCGCAAGTGCTGCTCTTTGGCGGGGGGTTCTGATGTTGATTCCATTGGAGCGTCCGCCATTGCGAAGCTGCTGTAAGAGATCGCCGTCCTTTTCTGGGGATAAAAACGATGCTTCTTGGGATATATCTGCGAAATCGGGCTGTCGGCTAAGGTATGTCGCGTCGCCAAAAGTGCTTTGTGGAGTGTCGAGCACGCCGCCAAAGCCTTGATGGGCCATTGTGGCGGCGAATCTGGGAGAGAATCCCGAAAGGTCGATGTATAATTCGATGAAGGGTTATACGAGATCGATTTGGACGCGGAATGAGCTCGGCTGGGCAGTGAAGGCGGTGCCTGATCCAGCGACAGCTAATTCGGGCGCAAGTGGTGGTCGATGATAGTAAATTCGCCTGTGAGCAATGTCTGAGTGCGGATGGTGCAAGGTGTAAGAAAGGTATAGAGTATCGATAATGAAGATTAGAAGCAGGGCACGGCCGGCATAGTCCGACTGTCCAAGTTCGAGACAATTGCGCAGGATGGTTGAGCCGGGGTCTTTGCAAGTTATGGGATGCATTTGGTAGAGGCAGCGGTTGACATTTCATACATCGCGTTAGGTCTTGTTTACATTCTTGCCGGCTTGGGACTAGCGCCGCACAACGGCCCAGCGTGCGTTTTAGCGGCCTTGTTGGGAAGCTTTTTGCACTACTCCGTATGGATAGCAGCTATTCTGGCTTTGCGCTTTGCTGCGTTTTGCATGCAATCATCAACTTTGGCTCCGGTGTGGCATGGTTTGTATGAAACTCAACTCAATTCTCCATCAATCCAGAACTCTGTGCGTTGCTGGTGGTTACCGTGTTTTTTCCGTATAAATTACCTTTGGGCGACGAAAAACAAACGCCAGCGTATTAGCCATTTGGAGGGGCTTTAAATTGGCGATGGCAACTGTTTCTACATGCTAATGGGCGGGCGAGCTATAGAAAGCGTATTGCACCCTAATATACACGCAATGGAATACGCAATATGGCATCAATCATAGGCAATACAGAGTATTCCTGGACTGTAAGAACGCCAAGACTGAATATGGTATCAATGACTTGATAGATCAGGGTTCATAGTGGGGTACTTTAAGTCTATATAGCATACAGTGGTAGCAGATTCTGATGAAGTTCATGTAAATCAGCCCTGGATATAAATCCTGCCGTATTTTGTTATTCGTTATTCTGCCAGCTCTATGCTCTTACTGAAAATCCACACTTCTCCAACATGGCCGGGGAAAAAAAAATTAATGCCCAAAGCTACGCCCAAATACAGCAGATGCTCTGCAGCTGAGCAAGCCGATGCAGAATAAACTGAAGCCAATCGGGTCAACCCCATTTAACCGCCGTAAACGCCACATCCGGCAAAAAATCGCTTTATCGCATTTTTGCTAATAGATGCATACCTACCGTTTGTGGAGAATTCCATCATCGCATCCCGGATCGGTCGCAGGTCCGGATTTCTGCGAGTAATCCGAGAATAAATGACAGGGTTTGACTGCCTCAACAAATTTGTGTTCTCTCAATCTATAGAGGCAAGGCCAAGGACACCAGCTGTCTTCGCATCGATGATAACCCCCGAGAGTTTGCAGCTGCCAGCGTCCTTGCAACGAAAAGAGCATCCTTTTTATGGATGCAGCGCGTAACAGTGAAGACTTGCTTTTCCTCGTCCAAACAGCAGTCTTCAATTCCTGTCGTCTCACATAATATCTGTGGATCAAGCTGCAGCTATGGAGCACCTTCAAATCAAGGACGATGAGCCTGAAGCCTTGTCATTAGAGCAGATGCCTGATGAGATTATCGGCCATCTTCTCTATTACCTTTCGCCAGAAGACAACTTATTCGGCGTCCAGCTCGTGTCGCGTCGCTTCTACCGCCTCGTCAATGCACCACTTCTCTGGAAGTATTACTGCCGCACTTCTCTCAAATATTGGAGTCCGCATCACAGGCTTGAGGAGAGATTAGCAGCTCCTGCTCAAAAGACCAACTGGAAACGGCTTTATATCCGCAGAAGCGGCCTCAACTTACAAGTATCCAACACACTGGATGAAGTCATTCGAACCAAGGTCCACCGTGGTCGGGGCTTCGAGGCTGTAAGTCAGCTTGGCTACGATGCCAAGGATGTTCTTCTGGAACACTGTCAAGCACCCACCACTGCTGAAGACTGGATAGCGAGAAGGTAAAAGCTCACGTTCCATCCCATTCTGCGTTTCGAATAATCAGGCAGTCTCACACAATGGCGTAGGTACTTTAGCAATGCACTCTTAGATGCAGTTCATAAGCACGCGGCCATTCAAGAATGGGATTCACTTATGCAGTCCCCTCGACTGTCCGACCCGCGGCTAGAAAGCAAACAACTTGAACGAGCCCTCGGCGCATTTGATCTTTTCGTCCTACATGATCAGCCTGGTGATCTTGATGATGTATGCTTTGGCCCAAGCCTCTTGTTAGATAAGTATACATCACTAACTCTGCCAGATTACGCGGATGCTTGATGAAATTGCCACCTCTTTTCGGCTCAGCCATATAAACCTTCAAAATTGGTCAACCCGTAAAAAGTCGTTGGAGTTGGTCCGCTGGCTTCGCGCCCGCGACCTCACGGGATTACATGATCCAAAGAAGGATTACCGCAACCTAAGAAACTGCCTTATCGGCCAGGCCTTGCGCCATCCAGATCACGATTCTCTCCCCATCATCTCCGCAGCCATATTTTGCTGTGTGGCAGCACGACTCGGTATCAATGCTAGCTCTTGCTCATTTCCATCCCATGTACATGCCGTTGTATCCGCGCCGGCTGGCTTTACCTTGGACGGTGACCTCGTGGATGAATCGGACTCTCCGTCTCAGCGGATGTTCCTCGATCCATATGGCAGCGACGACGAGGTCCAATTAGCGCACCTTGAAAGGATATTGGCCCAGTTGGGGTTTGCAGAGCATACCGAACAGTTCATCACCCCGGTTCCCGCATCAAAAATGGCAATAAGAGTGGCACACAATATTTCGGCTTCTCTAGGGATACCAGGTATGCACGATCAGCTGGCGCCTAGAATAACCCAGCTCCTGTGCGGAAATAGTCTTATGAACGCTGAAGCTTGCTCTTACGCTGCATCCTGGGCTTTATTGATACTAAATCGCCCAAACCGGACGACTTGGCTTGATCGGCTGGAGAAATTCCTGCGTCGGTTCCCCGATGTCTATCCAGAGGATGCGTGGCTGGTTGAAAAATACCTGTGGCCGCGGTTCTGTGAGGTTGTCAGCAACCCGAGAGACGGATTCGGTCGCCACCATAACCGTCCCGGCGGCTCTATCAACCCTTGGCATTTTTGGCAAGGTATGCGTGATCTTGATGGTACGCCGCCGCCTGTATACCGAAGAGATCGCTGCCATAACCCGAGCGGCCCCTTGCTTGAAATTGGCCAAGTTTTCCGGCATCGTCGATACAGGTGGCTTGGCGTCATTACTAGCTGGGATGAGAGGATGTCGCGATCAAACTACTTTGACCTAACTCCTGAAGTCCCAGCAACCGCTCCGCCTGTTCCGCCCGGGACCTCTCGCTATGGGTTCTTTTATAGTTGCATGTACGTCTCTCGCTTGTCCTTTTCTGCTTTACTACCTCCCCCATGTCTAGTACTCTGCTAACATTCCTCTAGAGCTGCTACAGAGCCAGAACCGCATGTTATATCTGGTCGTAACATCGAGCCCATCTCTGATCCGACTTTGGTTACGGAGGACATGTTCCCAACGGCTGGAAAATACTTCAAAAGATTTGATGCCGCCACCTGCAAGTTCATTTCTAACATTCGAGAGGAGTTTCCACAGGATTAGACCTTTCCCTCTTTCACCTTGATTATGATATATACCCTTCCAATTACGAGATACATGATGGTAAAACTGGAGTCAGTTACGAAAGATTTATGGCTGTGAGCTTGGCGAAAATGATTGTCCCTTCGCTGGTGTCTGGATTTCTTCTTCTTCCTTTTGACTTGGCTCGGCTGGAGGCAATAAATACATCTTACTGGTTTCTCAAAGATGTGAGAGGAGAGAAAAAAAAAAGGACAAAAACTGGTAGATAGATTATACAGTAATCACTTACTTGGTTGGTGAGCGATATTCTTACATTTACGGCTTACTGTAGGAGACTGGTCCTAGATTTCGCATATGTCATACAGCGACTTAGCTTCATTCCTCCTACTGTGAATGTCATCATATGTTTTATTAATATGGCTGTTTCACCACTCGTTTACCATCACCCTTGCCCATCTCTGCTATAAACTTCTCCCGGTCTTGCACGTAGCTTTATGAATTCTCGATGGCCTCCTGAAGAATTCCCTTGTCTGCGAGCTTCTGTACCCATCTGTGTAATGCTTGCCCATAGTCCTTCTTGCGATCCTTGACTCGCTGCTCATCCTCAGCCAAGGCTATCAATTCAGCTCTATATTCTCCAATAGCAACTTTTGTATCAACAATGAATTGCTGGCGGAGGTCGTACGCGTCATCGGCATTTTTCGCGGCCTGTGTTATCTTGCTTCGCGTCTCCTCTGGTAATGCCACATCCTCAATATCGGATTTGCGGACATTGAACTCGGATAGCTGGCTCCGGTCTGTAGCATCCAGGACGGATTTCTCGCCGTCTATCAATTTTGCATATTCTGCGCTGTGCTTCATTTGGTCATCCAATTGGCATGTACTGGCGATCGTTTGAGCAATGGAGCGGGAGTGGAGAGCCAAGGGGCTACCACAAAGTGCAAGGAGGTTGAAAGAAATCTGGCTTTCCTCGTATTGTAATATTCGACTTTCAATCTGAGGCCTTGCGATATTTGTCCAACAGACATCATCGGATTCAATAGGGCCTATGACAGATGATGGAATTGGTTAGCCTGCCAACTGTTTACTCATGTGTTTGATTGTGCTGTGTGATTATTTTGCTCACCTACACGATGCGGCTTGCTTCGGAGCCCATCGAGCTCCCAAACATGCCCATCCACAGGAACATATGCAACGAAGTGAAATCCATAGGCATCGTGTGCCCTTTGCTTCTTACTGGTTTTCTTTGATGACTTGGATGTTGTTTTTGCTTTTTTTGATTTGGTATCTGATACTGCGTTCTCTAGCCAAAGGTCGGCGTTGAGATGATCCATGCGTCTGGTGAAGGAATTATGAATACTTCTCATGAATTTGTTGTTACTGACTTCGTGGCCTCTTAGAACAGTGCTGAGATTCTTGGTTGCTTCCTTGAACTCCCGAAGCTGGTCGCCTAGTTCGACGTGCGGCGCATTCATAACAATGTTGAGCAGAGCGAACGTAGCACAGGCATTACTGGTAGTCTGAGATTTAAAATATCATAAATATTAGTAAATATACGACTATAATGGTTCAGGAAATGGTAGAAACTTACCTGATTTGCGAACCAGAGTGAGCCTGTCTCATCTTCTCCCTCCTCTTCGTCCAAATCGGGAGTGTACTGGAAGAGAAATATTAAACCGTATACTGGCTTTCTGACAAGATTTTAGCTCAAGGATAGTGACAACAAACAGAAAGATAGAAATAGAAATAGAAAAAGAAAAATAAAAAGAAAAATAAAAAGAAAAAGAAACTCACGGTAGCGTGTCTATCCAGCTTTGATCAATGCTGAAAAGTTCTTGAACTTTGACATCTTTGACACCCAAATCCTGAAGAATAGTGTTGAAGAATGCCTAAAACTTATAAGCAGGTTGTAAAAGGTGATATAATGATGCTGAGTAGGATTGATGCCTTCCATCTTGATGATAAGAAGTAATAAGAGAAGGGGTGAGCTCACAGGTTCGGACTCTAGCTCAACCCAGCCTTCCCATTCTTCGATATCTGCTGGAGTTAGAGGTCGCAGTGCCTCATCTAACAGATTATCAGGGAGGTCTATAGATTCTCTTGCAGCCTCGGCAGCCTTGCGCTTGGGGTTTCGCCTTGGCTCGCTCAAGCTACCTGTAGACGCGGTTTCAGTCGATACTTCTCGCGTTTTGACAACCGCTGTAGGCACAGTTTGCCGAGATGATCGGCGAAGAGGCTTTGCGAGGGCAGCACTATCTCCAATTTTTGATTCACCACTTCTTAAACTATTAGGCATCATAGAAGATATACTGGCAGAAATAAAGATGGAGAGATGAATATGTTGTGGGTGGCTGAATTTTGGGGATAGATAGGTAGCTTTAGTAGATTTGCCAACAAACAAAAGGGGGAGATGTTTCAATTTCCAAGAAAGGATATAGAAAAACAAAATGCTTGTAGCAGAAATAGAATTGCTTGAGGTATGCTGTTCAGAAGGCTAAAGCAAACAATGATAGGATACATGGTTGGCTGGATGCTGGAATTGGTTCACTCGCCACCATGCGGCCGCAGCATAGCAAACAGCTTCTAAGAAAGGCATGCTCTTTATCATGCACTTGTCATGATGAAAATGAAACGATATTCGCAACAGGAAGAAGTGTATTGGATTGGATACTATAGGAATGGGTGTCGTCTAAAGGACGTGGCTGTCAATGACGCACCTCGATAATGTGCTCTCAGCCATGATGGCACGAAGGACCAATTCACCGGCAGCGAGCAACAGATCTTGGAGATTTATGAGATAAAATGGCGCCTCACGAAAGCCGCTTCACTCGTCAGACTTTCCAAACCATACATGTGCTCACCCTCTTTCTGACGCGGTGATGGATGTAGCCAAGTCTTCCAATAGGAGGGAAACGCTAGGAGATGTACAAATGCCGTAGCAGTGCCAGTACATACGCGCTGCTATCAGGCGATGTCATAGAAGCCGAAGTACCGCTCGGATCTGCGCCGGCAAAAATAGTTCCAAGAGAGCGAACTCAGAACCGCAGCCTTGATCTTGCGGAAGAAACACCGCCGCTGGTTAATTCTTAAGACGCTTTTCCTTACCTAGAGTCTTTTGGCGGAGATACCTATTGATTGAGCTCCAAGCCCAATGTTACTGCCTACATAGTGCTGCCTCTGCCTAGGGATCGCCATTGGTGCCCAATCAGCGCTCGAGAACTAGCGCAGCCGCTGGGCTCCCAGGCCTAGAAACCCGCCCAGGGCCGCCAGGCTAACAGCAGCTGCAGAGCCTGTTTCAGTGAGCTGGCAGAAGTCGCGTCTGGACGTGTCGGAATTTCAGAACCACCCAAAAAAAGGCATCCACCGAAAAATTATGTAAACTTGGCCAAACACCAAGCAGGTCCTGGTTGTCGAAAAAACCGAATCCAAGACACGCGACAACGCAAAGCACCAGAACAGCGCCAATCCGCTTGCTTTTGCTCAGCCGCGCAGGCCTTGCGAGTGCGATCCTTTTCAATCTACCGATGCTTCTGTGCAGAGTCTCTCAGCACCACGGAATGCGATGAGCGCGACTCCTCGCCTGCGGTCTGGGTTCCAGTCAACCCCATATCCCGCCAACAGACGACGTCCCGACTACGACGACGATGAATCGCCACCACTGTCCAAGTTCATCTCGACGGCCGCGTCGAACCGGGCAGCGAAGCTTCCTGCAGCCCCCGAAAGCGCAGCGCCTCGCAGCACCACCGGCAACGCTCCAGTAATTCCTTTGACGCTTCTCGATGCACCACAACAACGCCTCTACGCCTTTGCTGTTTACATCTTGCTGTGGGCATGGAAGCTTTACGACTGGCTACAGGTGATAGAGGATGGCAATGCCTCTGGGTGGCTCTTCTTGAAATGGATCCTCATCGACTTCGCTTTTATCTTTGGGCTTCCAGAGCTGCGTATTCCCTGGCTGGAGCTCTCCCAGCTGGTAGTGATCGGTGCTTTTGCGTCACATGTGGTTACTAACTATATGCTCATGTTCAATATTCCGGTACGTTGCTTCATATACCCAATTTGATTTCTCTGCCTATCTGCCATAATGCTAACTGAGAGCTAGCTTCCACTACAGCCTTGGCTCCTCGGCATTGCCAAAGTCCTTTACGATCGCGAGATCTCAGTTTCAGAGCACCACGTCAAGGTCTCCAACATCCTCAACAACAACTCCCTGATTATGGGCAAGCAGATCATCAACATTCTTCCAGAAGGCTCTGCCGTCCTCAATCCCGACCATTCGCCCTTTTGCTTGTCAGGCAAGAGCCAAGCTGCTCTTCCCATCTACTTCAACGCCACTGTTCCCGTTGAAGTCGAACTCTTACGCCTTGATCTTGAAACTGGCAAGGAAGAGATAATCAAGATTTCGAGTCGAGAAATAAATAAGGTGGCCAAGTTGGTCCGAGAACACAATGCAGATCCAGATGCTACTCCGTTTCATTGGGCATACCCCGTGAAGAAGCCGGGTGTTTATCGACTGAACAAAGTGCTGGACGAATATAAGCTTGAGGTTCAGAGGCCAGTCAGGGATACGTATGTGGTGCCTTGTCCACAGGCCAGGATTCAAACTGCCGATTCCTCGGATCGATGCATCCGTGACTTGTCCAATCTATCGCTCGATGTGGTTGGAACACCACCACTAAAAGTAAAATATTCACGATCGATTAATGGGAAGAACCATGCTTTCCACTTCCAAAGCTTGCAGCCCGAAGGGTTCGCCTCGCCACTTATCAGCACCTCCGGTCTGGGCTTCGACAATAGCGATGACGTTTCTTGGGTCAAACCTCAGAAAGTAACTGTGCAACTAAATGAGACAATGGCCACCGCTGGAGAATGGGAATATTTGGTAGAAGAAGTTTATGACGCATTTGGCAATGTCGTCAAATATGCGGATGCAAATGAGGAGCTGGATACGCCAAAGACAAAATGGCTCTCTCAAAGATTTTCCGTAAAGGAGCGGCCCAAGATTCGCATGCAGGGCTGTGATCTCAGAAACCCACTCAGAGTAGCCAAGGGTCGCGCCGCCAAGCTGCCCATTAGCTTTGGTCTCACTGGTCGCGTTGAGGATACCTCTCATAAAATCACTTGGCAATTCTCACCCATCGATTCGATAACGAACAGTGGCGATCACGGCGATCAGGTATCGATTGGAAGGCATTTTGCGAAGAATTCGATGGACAAGCCGCTGGTTTCCGAACCTGGCCTGTACACCTTGAAGTCCGTTTCAAGCGGGTCTTGCGAGGGTGAAGTAGATGAACCTTCTTCTTGCTTGCTGCTGAACCCACTGGAGCCTCATTTGTCTCTTCGAACGGAAGAGATAGCAGACAAATGTGCTGGCAACTCTGTCGGTCTTCGCGTCGATCTCGATCTCGTTGGCACACCCCCATTCACTGTGCGATACGATATCATCTCCGATGGCCATGTTGAGAAACAGGCCCATCGTGTGGATGCCTTGAGGTCTCAGATTGAACTCGTTCCTCGCAAAGCTGGACGCTATAAGTACATCTTTAGGTCTATTGACGATGATGTATACACTGGATTGCCTTTAACAGGCGAAGATAAAGTCCTGGAGCAGGTAGTCAAGCCGGCCGCGTCCGCATATATCTCAAATCGCGAGAAAACAGTCAGCGCATGTCTCGAATCTGAGGTGGATGTGGATGTCGTACTTGCCGGAGAACCGCCGTTCAGCCTGGAGTGGGAAATCATCCACGATGGCAAACGCAAGCCTGCACGCGCAACGGATATTAAGGATTCACACTTCCAGATCAAGACATCATCTCTTACAAAGGGTGGAGATTATATTCTTGCTCTTAGTAGTGTTCAGGATCAACGCGGATGCCGAACTTTCTTGCAAGATCAGATGAAGATCTCTGTGCGTCGTCAACGGCCACGGGGAGCTTTCGGATTGATTGAGCAGAAGAACAGCATCATGGCGGTTGAGGACACTGCGCTTCGACTGCCACTTCGCCTCCAAGGCGAAGGACCATGGACCGTTTCCTATCGAAACTTGGATGGACCCTCCGACATCATCACTAAGACTATCAATGGGCCGAATGACTACCTTTTAGTTAGGTCGCGAGGCACTTATGAGCTCGTTGATATCGTTGATAAACAATGCCCTGGAATTATTGAGCCTACAGCCTCCAAATTTGAGGTAGACTGGTTCCCTAGACCGGAGATATCCATTGTCGCATCTAACAGCATTGCGCCGTCTAAATCCGGCGTGTTTGTTAAACAAGAGATTTGCGAAGGCGATATCGATGGCTTCGAAATCAACCTTAAAGGTAAATTTTTTTTTTTTTTTTTGCCAAGATTAGAGGTCTCCCATAATTACACAAGATGCTAACTTCATCTACACAGGGTCGGCTCCATATCACGTTGAATATGAAGTTAGGCATAAACCAGCGCAAGGCGCTGCTTCCCTCAGCCAAAGACGCTTTGACGCAGCTTTGTCCAAGGCGGCTGTTGCCATGGACACATCCAAAGCTGGCGATTATACTTATAAGTTTTCTGAATTGGCAGATAATCTCTACAACAGCGATAAGCACTTCACCCCCTTAGTCGTTCAGCAGCGCGTAAATGCCAAGCCTACTGCTGCTTTCACTAAACCAGGTTCAACGTTCAAGTACTGCCTGGAAGAGCAAGAGCAAGAAGATGTGATCCCTATTACACTTACTGGTGTTCCACCTTTCTACGTCGAAGTGGAAATCAAGCATCAAGTTGGATCTACCCCGGAAACCTATAGAATTCCCGCAATTCAGACCAATAATTTTGGTATGTCTATTCCACGCCAACATCTGCGTCTAGGCAATCAACAGCTGCTGCTTCGCACTGTCCGAGATGCGCGAGGCTGCCAGAGGAAGTACGATGTCGGCGGGCCGTCTATACAAATCCAATTGTATGATGCCCCATCAATATATCCACTGGAGTCGCGCAAAGATTACTGCATCGGAGAGCGTATCGCGTACACCTTATCTGGTACTCCACCATTTGACATTGCTTATGACTTCAACGGCCAATGGAACGCAAAATCGACTACAACTAGCTTCAGGCGTATTGCTGAGAAGCCCGGCGAGTTTACTATTACCAGCATCTCTGACAAAGCTAGTGAATGTCGCGCTGCTGTGAATATTCCTGTAACCATCCACCCTCTACCTAGCGTGCAGATTAGCCGTGGTAAGAATTCTCGGGTGGATATCCATGAAGGAAACGAGGTGGACATTCTCTTTGAATTCTGGGGCACTCCTCCATTTGAATTCACCTATACACGAAGCAGCAATGCCAAGAAGGGACAGCGAAGCATCATCCTCGAAACTAGACATGACATCTCATATGAACACAGCAAGGTTGTCAAGGCTAGCCAGGAGGGTACGTACGAAGTTGTTGCAATCAAGGACAAGTTCTGCTCCTTCTCAACGCAACAGGTGGATCACAAGAAGGCGCGGTAAGGATATTAAAGGTATCATAGACTGTGGGAGGGGAAAAAAGGATATACGTGCTACGACAAATTAAAGATATGGGATGATCAACGAGGGGAGAGTATGAGAGAAATAATCTTGTAAGACATGAGCGATTAGGGAGGAAGAGACTGGATTGTAGGGAATGGGATAAATTTATGTACATATGCTCTTATACCATGGCATGGCGTTTTTGAGTAAGGAAGAAACCAGGTTATGCACTGGAAAGCTTTAATTTTCTCTCTCTCTCTCTCTGTTTTTCTCACCAAGTGTTTTTGTGATGATATTCTCTGGCATAAGTTTCTCCTTTGCTAGAGAAGATTTGTTGTAGAATCAATGATATTATGCGCTCTCTAAATTGGACTTTTCCCTCTTGATGTACAAAGTGCTATATCCAAAACAAGATCTATATGTATAGATGCAAGAACTACTCGTCCTCCTCAGCCACCTCAATCTTTTTGATCATATCTCCACCAGCTCGCGCAATTTCTAATAAGACTGCCTTTTGGTTTACCTCGACTTGATCGCCATCACCTCCAACAGAATGGAAGTTATACGGCAAGCCTGCTCTGAACTTTTGTTTCTGCAACCGAGGGTTCCACAGAGCTGCCACAACAGAATCATCCGTGCTGCCTCGGAAAAACAGCAGCGAGTCTTCGTAGACGCGCTCTAGCTCCTCCATGAATACATCTGTCGGGTGAGCTCTAATGGGGAGAGGGACCGATGCGGTGAGAGCGTCGAGGTTCTTGAATTGAGAGTGCTTCCTTCCGCCAGACTCGACGGCTGTTTCACGGATAATGTTCTTGATGGCCTTGGAGGACAGGTGGAAAAGGACATCGTAGTCTTGGAGGGAAGTCTCGAACAGAAGAGATGGGTCAAGGTGAATGCCCTTTTCTCGAACGAGCTTGCAGGCTGCTTTGGCGAGATGTGTCATGCGGGAGGCAACCAGCTTTGATGGTCCATTGCGAGTGTACGCAAGGCCAGATCGATCGTTGGACGTAGCCACGAATAAGACCTTGTCGTTCATGCTGGGGTCTCGCTTCCTCCAAGTTTGAAGGTCATGGCGAACTGAGGATCGATCGTCTTCGGAGAGGTCTTCCGCGGTATCAACAATCAAGGCCTCATCGCGCCAATCCCACTTGGAAAGGAAGAATAATGTTCGCAGCAGACCCGTGATGACGGAAGTGGGCTGTCTCCAGGGGTAGGGCTGGAGGAATGCGTGAAGGACGAACAGCTCAACGAGCTCTTCACGGATGTGGCCACTTAGTTTATGGCTGTTGAACCAGTGCTTGACGAGTCGGATGGTTGGTGAGAGAGGAGGGAAACGGGTGCAGAAAGTTGCAATGGTCTGAGTATGGAGCGGAAGAGCATTGTACAGCCAGTTCAGCTTTTCAAAAGCTTCTTCGGCTTCCTCGCGAATTCGAGGCTCGAGCGTCTTGTTTTTGACTTGTCGCTCTAAGAGCTTCTCTTCCAAATCGCAGTGTATCCTTAGACGGAATGCTGCTCCACTCTCATATATAATATCGAGATAAGCCAAGCTTTCAATGCCGAGTTCTTTGTTCTCGCGACCCAGGTACGTAGTGATTTTATCGTTTGCCTTTGTCAGTCGTCTATCGATATCGATTAAGAATTCGACCTTTGCTTCTTGAATAGCGGTAAGATTCTCAGGCCATTTGCTTGACGCTTCGAAGTACAAGTTGACGTCCATGAGCTCAATCGATCCTTTATGGTATCCCATCAACGGTGGTTCAATAGATGCGTAACGCGCGGAAGACGATGTAGGAGAGAGTTGTTTAATTTGCAACGGCAATTCTTCAAGGTTGCGAATGTCTCGTTCGAAGTTTTGGAATGCTTGCCGAGCTGAATCGAAGGCAGACTTATCAAGATGAGACAAGCTTATAATGGAAGAAAAAGCACCTCCCACGGTTGTCACTTGATCTTTGGTGATCTTCAAGTGACGCTGCAGAGTGTAATGTGTAATCTCCTCGCAAATTTGCAATGGAAGCTTGCTCGACCACTCGATACATTCGAGAATACTGCCATCCTTGAATCGTCGTAATTCAGCCTTGTCACCCCAAAACTGTCGAAATCTCGCAGCTTCTTTTTGCTCTTCGGCAGGTGGGCCGAACTCCATTTGCCTCGACATGTGAACAGGGTCAAAAACAACACCCATTAGGGCACGCGTGGCTTCTTTGGCCGGGGGTTTGGCCAGCGACCAATGTCCCCTAGGAGGCAGCTGGAATTGCACCAGCTGTGCTCGGTTGCCATACGCCCGTTTGAGATGCTTGTGTGCTTCCAGACAGAAGTTTGTCACAGCGCTCCTGCGGTCTGCGGATTCGGAAAATTTGCTCAGATTAGTGCTTTGGATTTCAAAAACAACATCAAATGTCTGAAAGGGGATATCAGCTTTGATAATGAATGTAGGGTCGAATTTATCAGCCATCACATCGGCGAGAAGTTCTGTAGTAGATTTTGCGTAGCTTTGCAACATGCTGGCTGACCAAGGCGTCATCTTGAACAAGAGATTGAGTTGTCTAGTCGGATCAAACATGACGGGGCCGGCCTCTCGAACAGCATCCGCAGAAATAGTAGACGTGGCAAAAGTATAGGGTTTCTTGCTTAGATCGGTAGTCGATAAAAAGTGAAGGGCTGCCTTGAAAAGCTCTGTGCTACTTAGGGAGGTTGATAAAGCTGCTTGCCCATTCCTGCCACCCATTTGTAGGAGTAAAGCAATCATTGTCGCCCACTCAAAATGACCGAAGCCCCCCTGGGAGATGGCGCTGCCGAAGCCGCGCTGTTGAAGCCACGTCCTGCCGAGGATACAAGCATCTGCAAAAGCGGGACATTCCTTTCTCATATGAGTAAGGAGCCGTAAATAGGGAATGAAAGTTCTCTCGGCGTTCAAGGTGGAGTTGTAAAAGGGTGTTGCCGCCTGTGTTTCCTTCTTTTCATCTGCCTCGCCCAGTCGGTTATTGTTCGACTTTGGCGTCACTTTAGACCAGGGGAATAGGTCATCGGGGGCACAAGGAATAAGTTTGATGCTATAAGATGCTTTCTTCGACTTCTTCTTCGCTTCTCGCTCATCACTTCCATCGCTCGAAGCTTTTGGTCGGAGGACAACAATTGGCAACAGAGGGTTTTCGTTTAAGCTCTCAAAGCTTAAGTCCAGTTCTTGCGCAAATTCCTTTCGCACGCGCGCGGCAATATACGCAATGTAGTAGGCTCGGCGATAAAAGTATCGCATGTTCGTGTAGTCCTTTTCTTGGAATAGTGACGAGGGCATCTGGACGACCATATCAATGCCAAACTCGGACTGCGTTTTGATCATTGTCCGGGAAACATAGCTTCCCACAACATTGCACTGTGACGGCGGCGAATAAGAGACCTTGTATGGGGCGTCTTTTGCGGGCTTTGGGTCGGGATATGGAATGACGATGCGATGCTCTTTTTCGAATTTTACCGTGGCCTCGGTGATCTGGAAATGTCACGTTAGGATTGCTTGGCAGCTCCATGTAGTCTAGACTCTCGCAAAACTCACTGGCTTGGGGTCATGGGGCTCAATTCCATCGATTATACCCTTTAGTCGGTGCAATTGGCCATCGACGCCATGGAGTGCCTTTTCATAGTTGGGCTTGGCCTCCTTGAGAAGCTCATCCGTCTGCAGAACAAAAGTGCTTGCAGCTGTGACTCGGGCTGTGTTTCGAGACTCAAAATCAATAAGTCCAGCATGGCGCAAGCCGATGCTCTCGTGGCCAATTTTCCGACGCTTCGAGCTTGATTCCATGGCGTCGGCAGGCATGCGGTGCGCCCAGTGTCTGGATGTTGAGCTGGAGGTTAAGCAGCCTTCCTGTCGCATGGGAATTTTTTTGCTGATAGTATGGATAGTCGCGGGGCGATAAGCTAATGATAAGAAATTCCCATAAAGGATCTAGCGCAGCGCAAGTGCGCATTGAGGTTGCTTTATGTAATCAGACACCTGCTAGGCGGTCTATCATGACACAATTCCCTGGCATATATGCCTTAACTCACGCAACTGTTTTGAGAGTATTCAATAATATTCCGGTTGTGGTAGTTGTTATGTGATGATTCATGGTGCCGGCTCTTACCCAGCGTTTGAGCTGGAAGGTACTATCAAAGCCTATGTACTAAATGTTTCTCCTGCCAGCAGTCCCATGCTGCAAAAGAAAAATACTCACCGAATATTGGCACAAAGCTGTTTAAGTGCTAGTCTGCTTATATGGCTTGGTTACTACTATTTGTAATTTGGCCTGGTAGCCTACAAGTAGGATTCTTCCCATATCTTAGGCGCAGTCTCGCACAACGCTGCCCTGGCTAAAGCAGCTAAGGCTGGCTATTGATAGTGAAACGGGACCCTATTTCCAAGGAGATATTGCGATCTCCGATGAATCAAGTGCGTCTACAATATCTACAGCTAACCTGACGATACTACGGCACAAACAATTAGCCGACTCATGGTCCCTCGCCACTGTAACCTCCTTCCAGAGGGTCAGCCATCACTTCCAAATTCGGATGGTTATGTGTCTATTGAATCAAAGTGGGGACGGGAGAAGATGCAGATAGTGCCATACAGGCTACCGAAGCTCGCCTCTATTCTTATCCTTCTACGCAATGGCTCTGCTGAGCTCTTAGCGCAGGGACCACGGCTTTGAGATCTCCGGTTCTTCATAAAGTGAGCTGATGATTTGGACCTTTTTCGCGCCAGCTGTCATGATTCGGATATCACTTAGTTCGGGTAGCATAATTCGAATATTCGCTTTTATAGATAGATATTCGGTAGACTCAGTACGAAGAATTAAGAGATAGTGGAACTCTAGAAGCACGGATAAATACCTAAAGACCCCCCACACCCACCAGAAGAAACACCCAATTCCCTCATCGCTATAAGTCTCTACACCAAAGAAAAGAAAGGGGTGCAGTTGATACACTTAATCACCAAAAGTCATTTCTCTCGTATTGCCGACACCAACACTAAAATGTCGTCTGGGCGCACTGTTCTTCTCAATACCGGCCACAAGTTCCCAACCTTGGGCTACGGCACCTGGCTCTGTAGCCCAGAAGAAGTTAGCGAGGCCATTTTCGAGGCACTCAAGGTTGGCTACCGACACCTTGATCTCGCCAAGGTTTATGGAAATCAGGTCGGAGTCGGAGATGGTATTAAGAGGGCGCTAGCAGAGATTCCCGGCCTGAAGCGCGAGGAGATTTTCATTACTAGCAAGCTGTGGAATAACAGCCATCGGCCGGAAGATGTCGAGCCTGCGCTTGATGACACTCTGCAAGAACTCGGACTTGATTACCTTGATGTGAGTATTTTCCAAATAAAATATGCGATTAATTTATGGAAATAATTCTTGTTTCTTCGCATTTTATAAAATTTTATCTCTCATCTTTCATGGTTATCGTAGCTATATCTCGTTCATTGGCCTGTTGCTTTTGCCTCCGGCAAGGTCCTTGAGCCAACAGATCCAGCGACCGGCACAGTTATTCTTGACCAAGAAGTCTCAATTTGTCAGACTTGGAAAGGTATATTCGGTCAGCTTCATATTAAATAACATAGACAAGTTGGCTGACCGTCTGTCACTTGGTGAGGTAGCCATGACTACTTTGCCTAAGAGCAAAGTTCGTTCTATTGGAGTTTCCAATTTTACAACCGAGCATGTAAGTTTTACAGAACATCTACAGTATTATTTTATATGCTTCCATGGTATTAATGCAGTCACTTGTGTAAATAGTTAGAGGCCATCATCAACGACTCAGGCGTAGTCCCCGCTGTCAACCAAGTCGAGCGGCATCCCCTGATTCCTGACCCCCCTCTTGTTGACTACTGCAAGAAGAAAGGCATCGTTATCACGGCCTATTCCCCCTTTGGCAGGAACACTGACGGCCTGCCATTGATCGTCGATGATCCAGTGGTCAAGGGAATTGCAAAGCGTCTCTCAGAGGGTCAGGGCAAGCCTATTTCTCCAGCACAGGTCCTTCTTGCCTGGTCCCAGCTTGATGGCCACACCGTCATTCCAAAATCAATCACGCCGGCGCGGATTCTTGAGAATTTCCAGGACATCGAGCTTGATGAGCAGGCGATCCAGGATCTTGCCAAGCTTGGCGAAACCCCACAGCGACGCTGTCTTCCCGGGCCCGAATGTAAGTGACAATTGTCTTTGATCCTTTCCGTACACAGAGCACGAAGGATCTAAATGCTTGTGTTGTATGGGGAACAATCACTAATCCTCCAAACAGGGAACATTAACATTTTCGGGGACGACAGAGAGAAGACTGCTACGAATCAGATTGTCGTAAAGTCATGAGGATATCCTACTAGGGAATAGTTGTGCACAGAGCTAAATTAAGCGACCAATTATGTTGAGCAAATTGAGCGTAGTAACATAGTCTTGTGATTGTGCCCTGCATCAGGGAATCAAATGTGTAGGTACCTCAGTAGCTGCCGATAGCATACTAGCAGTAGCAACCTTAAAGCTATGCCTTAATCTGGTGCGCCGTCTTGGTACGCAAAGTTCTACCATTCACGGTGTTCCTAGTCGCCGTGACCCTGGGTGCGGTTGACAATAACCACCATTAACGGTACATGCCTTTTTCATTCTAATCTATACACGAGACTAGGCGATGTAGCATCCGATTTAAATCTCGGCATTCGTGGGTAACCGAAGTCCGCGCAGAAATTAAGCTTATAAAGAGAGATGTAGTACTCCATTGGAAAGTTCTAAAAGGGTATCAAGATCGCGCCTCTCAAGCAGCTACATGTACTTATAGAGCCGCTTTTTATCAGTATAGTCATCATGGCTATTGACCACACCACCATCATAGTCCCCGAGGACAAATTTCGAGAGTGCTTAGCATTATATGTGAAAGCGCTTGAGCCACTGGGATATCGAGTCGTCTATGAGTTTGGCGAGAACATCGTTGGGCTCGGCTCGGAATTCGACACTGTGGAAAACTACAAAGTTGCTGACTTTTGGCTTTTTGGGGCGAAAGAGTCAACTAAAGCACATGTTGCATTCCGCGCCGAAAGTAAGTATCCCTACTACATCATAGCCACTCGCCGTGTTGTTAAAACGCTGCAATAGATCGTTCTCTGGTGGATGCATTTCACGCGGCGGCGATGCTAAGCGGAGGGCAAGACAATGGGGCACCGGGCGTGCGAGCGCATTACCATGCCAACTATTACGCTGCTTATGTGCATGATGCGGCAGGTAACAACATTGAAGTTGTGTGTCATAAACCATAAGAGAGGTGTTGATGATTATGCTGCCTTGAAGATAGTGGTAGCTTCTTGAGCAGATGGACGCTTTGAGGAGGCCGTGATGCTGCGCTTCACGGCTCACGAAATTGGTTACTCATCATGTCTTGACAGTATGAGAGCTGTGGAGAATGAAAGCCGAGATGGAGTACCACGATGCATTGTACGGAGGAGGTTATATGCATATGTATATCATCATATATCATATTGAAGCTTCTCCATACATGTGCTTGCGCAAGATCTGCTTTGCCTGACACGTGACGAATTAAGATCCAGCTGTTTGACCGCATGCCTTGCCTTGGCATCTTGGCTCAACTACTCCTACAGAGTGCTGCTACTGTCAAGAATCCATATCGACTGAAGTCAAAATACCGAATTACCATCATAAACTCCCCGTAGGCACCGCCGGATGAACGTTTTGGATCGCGCTGCCACGGAATGGCATTCCGGGAAAACTCATTGCCACCCGCTTGTGCCGGCTCTCCTCAGAAACAACTGGGCTTGACTTCGGCTTCGGAACCCGGGCCAAAAATCTCTAGTCCAAGGCGGAATCTGGAGCCAGCCCGTCTACATACTAGCGCTAAGATTCGTCCACGAGCTCGGCGAAAAACATGCGGATCTCCAAGTCAGTGCCTGGGGGTTGTATGTGTGTATGTCAAGAATCTGTCAGCTTTTGAGACGAGTTGCAGGGTGCATGTCTGTTGCTGTCGCCGGCATAGGATCCATCACTCAGAAATGACCAATGTACAGGTAAGCTTTCACACGCTGCAGCAGGCCATGTATCTACTGATGATCCTTAGATGGACAGTAATGCTACCTGATCAAATTTATCATCATTACCTCTGTTATTACTACTGCGCTACAAAATCTCTGATGATGCTTCTTCCCCCACACCCGCCCGCCGTCCATATCCGCCCCTCGTCCACGGAACAGTCCCGCTATTGTCGCTTTGGCTCCAGCTTCTCCTCACTACGGGCTGCCAAATACCCGACTTCTGTGGCCGCCAATGCGGAGAACTGGGTCTACGGCAGTGGATTCGGCCATTGACGGCTAATGCACCGGCAAAAATATAGACACGAGCGACTATACATAATAGCAGTGAGGCCATCACTAATGTATACCCGCCAATCTTTCCGAAAGCCTAGTCTTTCCGAGACGTTTATTCTTTTTCCTTTCTCTTCTTCTTTCCTCCTTTCTTATATCCCATCCCGTCTCTCTCTCCCCTAGTAATAGGCGGTACATTCCACGGTATAGTCTATACGCGCGCGAGCTATTGCAGCTTTTATCACCCCGCGAAACCGTCCATCTACCTGCCCCTCCACGATGCCATCTTCAGCTATGCGCCTGCGGACCCTCGGGGCCTTTGCGCGCCATGCGACAAACGTAAGCTTAGAAACCCTCGTTTTGGATGGCGCAACCGTCGAAATAGAATTGAATTAGATACTAAATCAAAATATTCATGCTCTAGCCCTCCGCCGTCTTAGCCAGATCCTTTTCTGCCACTGCCCGTCGAGCCGAGATCAACAAAGTGCTGCCCTCTGCTGCCGAGGCGATCAAGGACATGAAGGCCAACTCCACATTGCTTTGCGGAGGCTTCGGTCTTTGCGGTGTTCCTGACACTCTCATCGACGAGGTCCTTAAGAAGCCAGAGATCACCGGCCTGACTGCCGTGTCAAATAACGCTGGCACTGACAGCTCTGGCCTGGGCAAGCTTCTTAAGACGAAGCAGGTAAAGAAGATGGTTGCTAGTTACATTGGCGAAAACAAGACATTCGAGACAATGTATCTGACTGGCGAAGTCGAGCTGGAATTGACTCCCCAGGGAACACTCGCCGAGCGATGCGCAGCTGGCGGCAAGGGTATTCCTGCATTCTACACTCCTGCGGCTTTCGGCACCGTTGTCCAGACGGGTGATCTGCCGCTGAAGAACAAGCCTGATGGAACGCCGGACGTCTACTCTTATCCCAAGGATGTCAAGGTCTTCAATGGAAAGCCCTATCTGCTGGAAGAGAGCATTGCAGGAGACTATGCCTTTGTTAAGGCGTACAAGGCCGACAAGCTCGGAAACTGCCAGTTCCGCCTGGCTGCTAATAACTTCAATGGCGCCATGGGCCGCAACGCCAAGATCACCATCGTGGAGGCCGAGCACATTGTTGAGCCAGGCGAGATTCCTCCCGAGGCCGTTCACCTCCCCGGCATCTACGTCAAGCGTGTCATCCAGAGCACCAGCCCCAAGAACATTGAGAAGTTTACCTGGGCCAAGGACGAGGCCGACCCCGCGGCCAAGGCTGCCCTGGGAACAGGCGAGACCGCGGCCAAGAGGGAGCGAATCGTGAAGCGAGCTGCTAAGGAATTCAAGAACGGCATGTATGCCAACTTGGGTATCGGCATGCCCATGCTTGCCCCTGGCTTTGTCGGCCCTGAGGTGGAAGTCCAGCTGCAGTCCGAGAACGGTATCCTCGGCCTCGGCCCCTACCCTAAGAAGGGCGAAGAAGACGCCGACCTGATCAACGCTGGTAAGGAAACGGTCACCCTTAATCCTGGTGCTGCCGTCTTCGGCAGTGAAGAGAGTTTCGGCATGATTCGCAGCGGCAGAATCAACTTGACTATCCTCGGCGCCATGCAAGTCAGCGCAACTGGCGACCTCGCCAACTGGATGTTGCCAGGCAAGGTCAAGGGCTTCGGTGGTGCCATGGATCTCGTGAGCAACCCCAGCGCTACCAAGGTTGTCGTCACCATGGAACACACCGACAAGAAGGGCAACCCCAAGATTGTCAAGCAGTGCGCGTTCCCACTGACGGGCCGAGCGTGCGTTTCAAGAATTATCACAGAGCTGGTAAGTTGCTACACTAAGCTACTCCATGTTGCATGTAAATCAGCCACTAACTTTTTCTTTTTCTCAGGCTGTTTTCGACGTCGATTTCGCTCACGGTCTAACCCTCATCGAGATTGCGGACGGAGTTACGGTAGAGGAGATCAAGAGCAAGACAGAAGCTCCCTTCACAGTTGCCGACGACCTGAAGCCCATGCTCTAAATGGCTCGTAGTGCGGCTTTGAATCGATTTAAATGTGTATTATCTAATAATATCGGGTATTTGACGCAGCAGTAAGGCTTTGAATACCAAAAAAATGGCGGGCTGGATATTCTCCAAGATGCTGTGTAAAACAGATAGTCTAGAGAGCACCTTCACAAGGCGTTTTGGGGGGAGATAGAATAGCGTTGTTTACCTAAAACTTCATGAAACATTTGAAAAACAACTAAAAAACCTTATATGTTAGTTTCATACTTTGACACTGGCTGCATAATTGAGATGCAGCTTCTGCTGTGCTCTTATTAATACTGGGACGACTCTCGATCTACGATTTGCGACTTTGGGCGGCACAAGCCGGCACTCAAAGCACAGCCACCTCTAGCAGTCAACTTACGCACTGCTGACATATCTGCTCATAACCTTGAACTTCCATACCGTATGTTCGCCTCAACAGAACAGCAGCCTCACAAAGCGTGATCTTGTTGAAATCCATTGAGCTCAATGATCATTTTCTTGTTTCCTTTTTCTGAGGCCGTGTCAAAATAAATCTCGACTTCATGTAGCAGCACCATAATCTCTCTCTTCCTTTTCACCCTCGACTCTTTCCGCGGCGCTGCGTAGCCATGAACAACTACGATCCTTCAACGGGCCAAGTCTTCCGAGAATGGACCATCCAGCGTCGGCTCAACGTCAGTTCGGATCGTGGCTGGTCGCGACGGCGTCCGTATCCTATTTTTAAGCCTCGCGGCGCTCGTGGCCCTCGATCTTTATTGGATATGGCAATTAATGTCATTGCCGACAACATTGGCGACGTATCGGAAGAGCTGCTTGGGTCGCTTCCTATTCAGCTGGTTTGGCGCATCTGGCGCTTTTTAGAGGCAAGGTTGGTGGCTCTTTATGTTTACACATGCATCCGGTTACTTGAAAACATAAACTGCGTAGTGGTTGAATTCTCAAGTCAAGGCGGTGCTGAAAGAGGGTGAATGAGCGAGGTACATCATTTACTAACATGCCGAACACCAGAGGCGTATGCTTCCATGCATGGAAACTTTTCTCTACGGTATTGCTTCGTGAGGATGATGAGAAGAGCCTTGGCCTATATCGATTCCGGCAGCATATATGTCGACCCAGTGAGGAACTAGGATGCTACATCCAGCCCCTAACATCTTTTTCAACAGAGTTCATCACCCATCTCGTGCTCAGCGGAGGGTGCCAGTTCTCTTCCCATGAGCTATTCTGCTTAACAGATATGAAAAATCTGGGCATTCTGGAGCTTATCCAACCAGCGGATGAGCTAGGTGATGTCTTTCCGGCCGTCAACGACCGCGTCGTTCGAGGCTGGACCGAGAGCGAGAATCCCTTCCCTTTATTAAGGGTTTTGAGGATATGGGGCGATCAGACGGTTACACAGCAATCCTTACGTTGGGTCGCAAAGTTCCCCTCCTTGGCACTATACGATGTCACGGGCGCGAGAGATGACTGGGCCTCTCCATTCGACGATGCTGCCGAGGCCGGCTGGGAAGTTACCGACGTCTCTGGCAGACAGGAGGGCACACTGCTGCGAAATCTCATGCTCCTCGTTCCAGATACACATATAATCAAGACGCAAGACTCAATTAAGAGCGTCGAAGCTGATTTGGTGACGCTCTGCAGCGACTCACAATGCGCCATCAAATTTGTGCCAGACCGAGAAGCGCCCCCTCTGTTGAATTATCTCACAGACACGGGCAAGAAATACATGCCCTCGTGGGATCCAGACGCGGCATCAAGGCAAGCAGGGGCTTGCCACGGCGTTGCTTTTGAGGCATGGGCTTTCTGGCTATACTCGTTCCTAGGACAGCTGAGCAGCGACATAGATATTGCGAGCCAGGGCCATTCGGTGGACCAACAAGCCGTAGCTGGACCATTTGTTTTGCCATCACGGCCCATGGCGTGCCTGTTTCTAGGACATAGTGGACGGGGAGGCATCACTTCCAAGCCAGCTTATGTGAGCCGCGGCCTGTTTTCAACCAAACGATATACGTTCACCCGCCCTATGGATACGAGCCGCTACAAGACGGACGCATCTCGAGACCAGCTTCAGAAAGAGCAAGAGCCGGAGCCGGAGCCGAAAGCAAGATCGGCTTCGATAACATCGATCCAATCGAAATCATCGCTGAAGATGCGCAAGAGAAAGCAGCTGCATGACATGCTGCAGTCACTTTCTGGGTGATGGATGACACATGGCTGATGAGAAGCAGCCATCTCACAAAGCAGCGAGGAATTATAAACTACGAATTTACGAATCCCCGATTTCAGCCCTTGTTCCGAACAAATCCCCCAGCAGAATTGCCAGTAAGTTCATCTAGACAAGTAAGGCATCGGAAGGCCTATCAATTAAAATGGGTGATATAGGCCGTTATGTGCCGCCGAAAAATTTTTCTCGCCCAAACGCAACCTCGAAAGGAAGTACAGGGAAAGAGGGTAAGCCAGCGGAAAACAATCATCTATCCTCCAGTTTCCCCTCCAAGCGCATCCATAGGGTTGTCGACACGCAGAGTGAATTTGAAGGAATATTTCTAGTAGGTTTCACTGAAGAAGAAAAGAAAAAAGAAGAGGAAAGAAAAATCTTCGGCCGGTGGTTTTATGTGCCTGGGCGTTGGTGGAGCGGCTGGGTAGCTTCGGAAAAACGTGGCTGCGGTTCGCGAGCATCGACCCATATTATTTTTTTTCTTAGCCGTTTTGCTAAGAGTCAGCCTTGTGTGACTCACCAACTGCAGAGCTCGAATTACGAATTACAGGGCTTTGCATCGTGGTAGTGCATATTCGTGGGTTGATGTTGTTCAATTTTACGACGGCTCACAAGTGGCTGTAGGTTGTTGTTTCTTAAAACAGAGATAATGCTAAAGCCAAAATCGTAATGCTAACCGGTGTGAAAGATGGCTGTCATATCAAGCGAGATCCAGCTTGTGATGCTTGGCCTGCAAGCCAGCCAATCATCTATCGTCTGTTTTACGTCTTCTGCATGTTTTAGTACCTTAGATAGCCCAGGTACCTTGGTGATACAACTCAATGACGTGGCTGGATCAATATATGGTGCTACCTAGAACTGGATAAGCCGCTTCAATCTTTTGGCTCGTGTCATTTGTTTTACCGAAAAAGAAAGCACTGTGAGTCATCCAAAGTGATCTTGCATCACGCTTCAAGCAAAAGATCCTTTTTGATGCCAGTAGAAATTGTAATCTCTTTCCCTACATCCCACGGCATCAGACAAGGCTGAGCTGTACCTCCAAAGTACCCCGCTACCCCGCCTCGCCGGCACTGACAACTCGGAATTCACTTCAATCTTATCGACGGTGGCTGATTTAAAGGGAGTTTTCCTATTTAAGCTCTGAGCTCAGGCAAAGTCGGAATTTACGCCAAATCAAAGCACTTCACCTCTCAGGTTTCAACCACTCTTCTCTTTCATCACCATCATCATCATCCAAGATGGCTGGCGGTGCCCCTGGAGCGAGCTCACGCGGCCGTGGTGGCAAGTTCAGAAAATTCACCAGAGGAGGTAAAACGAACCTATTTACAGCGACAAAAGACGAGGCCTTCATTTGCTAATATGTAGTCATCTCAAACTAGGCGGCAAGCACTTCTCTCGCAATCTTCAACCTCTCGACTCCGAAGGCAATGCAGTGAGCATGTGGAGCGAAGAAGGCAAGCAGAAAGACGACGAGTCCGAAGAAGAATCCGAAGAGGAGTCTGAAGAAGAATCCGAAGAGGAAGAGGACAGCAAGGCCCCAGCCCAAGTCACCGAAGCCAACCGCGAGGACCGAAGAGCCCAGAAGAAGGCCCGGAAAGAGGCCGCTATAGCGAAGGCAAAGGCTGCTGCGGTCGAAGTCGGCGACATGCCCCCTTCAAGCGACGAGGAAAGCGACGACGGAGATCTACCTGCCAACCCAAACCACTCTTCATCAGCCCGTAAGCAGGCTAGCAAAAGCTCGGATGTTGAAGAGATCACCGCAGGCGTAAAGAAGCTGCCGGCAAGTCGGCGCGAGAGAGAAGCGGCTGAGGCGGCGGCCGCAAAGGAGAGATACATGAAGCTACATGCCGAGGGCAAGACGGACGAGGCCAAGGCGGATATTGCCCGTCTCAAGGCCATCCGTGCACAGCGCGAAGCTGATGCTGCTAGGAGACAGGTAAGAACATCCCTCTTACACAAATCCCAATTTTTTTTTTCCCTTTCCAGCATGAAGAACTCGTGCTTTAGAAAGCTAACCATTGAATTTCTATCTATCAGGCTGAGAAAGAAGAAAAGGAAGAGCGAGACAGGGAAAGGAAAGCTGAGATTGAAGCCAGAGAAGCCAAATTGCGAGCACTGGCTGCTGGAGCTCCTGCTTCAAAGAAGAGCAGTAAAAAGAAATAAATGGGAGAACGTTCTTGTAGCTTTAGCTTCTTCGTGGATATCCTGGCTTACCAGATATGGACTGCTATATCCGATACATATTCTTCATAACTTTGAGATATTGCGGAACGATGTTATCCAGGGCATACTTGGATTTGCTGAATATACCTACAAATCAAGACCAAATTGTTCACAAAACTGTTTAACAAGTGCTTTGTGCAGTGGTGTGGTCTTTTCCCCAGGCAGGATACTATGCCCCGATTATGTCCGTCTGACAGCACCAAGAGATATCATACCGGCTAGCATTTCTATGCTTCTATTGCCTCTACTAATACTTTTGGATCGATGATGCTCTCGTGATCCGTGCTTTATATGAGAAGCGTACCTAGATAGAGCGCGTACCTCGAAAATGCGCATTAACACGTGCTTAACGCCTCGATTCATAGGTGTAATCTCTTGCTATTTCTGACGCATCTATGCACTTGCCACCATCTCTCAATGATACATCAAACCGTTTCTTTTTTTTTTTTTTTTTTTTTTTACTTCTTCTTCTTCTCTCCCTCCCTTATCGCTACCAGCACTTTTTGCGGTTCTGCATCAATCCAGGCACTAAGCCGCTACCCCACAGCGAAATTCGCGGTACTGTAGTGGAAAGGCGAAAAAAAAAATTGGGCACCCCAAAAAAAAATTCAGGAAATTTCCTAAGCAAGACATTGGCAGAAAAAAAAAAGCATCACTTCACACCAACCACCAGCTATCATCTTTCCATTTTCTACCTAATCGGCCGCGGATAATCCCACGCCGTCGCCAGAACTCAACTTCTAGGCGCCTTTTATTGGCATTAATTTCTCTTCCTTTTATTAGCTTATTATCGCCGTTCTCTCTTTCGTGATATTATAATACCAAGATGGCAGAATCATTGCAGGTTCGTTTGAACGCTCTTTTGCTCACTCCAGCCTGGATAAACGCCCAGAAGGAGGATGGCAGCGATAATCTGTTGCAATTATAAGCTGACATCACTGTTAGGATCGCTTGCGCGATCATGCAAAGGCATTCGATGGCTTGCTGAGTCTGATTCCTGCCAAGATGTATTATGGGGAAGATACGAGCGTACGTTGACCGATCCATTCCTACGAACATGATTCTCTCGATCGAGTGGATATCTGGATTTGACTCGCGCCTATTGTGTGTATGGAGCGATGACAGAACCAAGGCTGACGTTGGCAATGTATAGGACCAATGGCAAAGAGAGAAGCAGACGAAGCAGGAAGCCGCAGCTGCCCGCCGAGCTAAGCTAGATCCCGACAGTGCTCTGAACCGCAGCGCCAAAGAAGAGCTGGAGGAGCGAGCCAAGAGCAAGCGAAAGCTGAGGCAAATGGAGCAAGAGGAGAATGTGCCCGAAGAGGAAGAGTATGAACCTGTCGCTGGCGTCGAGGCTGAGAAGCCTCTTGAAGGCTTGAGGAAGCAGAACCCTGAAACTCCTCATAAGAAGTCAAAGACCAATGGCAACGTGGAAGCCAAGAGTGAGGATGAGGATGAAGATGAGGCAGAGGGAGCCGCAGACACGTCAAATCTATCAAGAAGAGAGCAGAAGCGAGCCGCAAAGCGAGAAAAGAAGGCTGAGAAGAAAGCCGAGAAAAAGACCAAACAAGAGACAGGCGAACCACAAACTCCAGCCAAAACTCCAGCTAAGACACCAGCCAAGACACCAGCCAAGACACCGGTAAACGACGCTGCCGAGGCTGCTCCTACGCCTGCCACAAAGAAACAGAAGAACAAGAAAGCTGCCAAAGAAGTAACCACACCTTCAAAACCTCAGCCGACTCCATCAAAATCAGAAGAAACTAAAGTCGATGACACTGATAAAGCCGACGATCGGATGGAAGGTCTTCACACAACACTAGACTTCTCTGGGCTGCAGAGAGAAGATGATGGCAGCGCTCCCGACTCTGAACCACATTCTCCCACCTTCGATTCCAACGAGACTGCCAACGGCCAACCCGCACCGGCAGAGCTCGCCAGCACAACCACATCCATCTCCTCCATTGCCCCGTCAGAAAAGCCGAAGCATATCAAGATCCCTGCAGACACCGAGGCTCTGAGGGCTCGTTTAGCTGCCAAGATTGAGGCTCTCCGCGCGGCCAGAAAGGCAGATGGAACAAATGGCAAGCCTATTCGCACAAGACAGGAACTCATCGAAGCGAGAAGAGCAAAGGAGGCACAGCGCAAAGCACATAAAAAAGAACTAAGAAAATTGGCAAAGGATGAGGAGCAGAGGAAGCGTGAAGAAGCCCTGGCATCTAACTCCCCTGGCGTTATGAGCCCCAATGTTAGCTTTGACGATACCCAGGGTGGCTTTTCCTTTGGACGCGTAGCATTTGCAGATGGAACACAAATGTCCCATGATCTGAGCTACTTCCTCAACAGAGGCAAAAAGAAGGGTCCTTCAGATCCCAAGACTGCTCTTCTCAAGGTCCAGAACGAGAAGAAGCGGATAGAAGAGCTCGACGCCGAGAAGCGCAAGGATATCGAGGAGAAGGAGGTCTGGCTGAACGCTCGTCGCCGCGCCGAGGGTGAGAAGGTCCACGACGACGAGGCCATGCTCAAGAAGGCCGTCAGGCGCAAGGAAGCCAACAAGAAGAAGAGCGAAAAGGCATGGAAGGAGCGCGCCACTGGCGTAGCCCAGGCCCAGCGGGAGAGGCAGAAGAAGCGTGAAGAGAACATTAAGCAGCGCCGGGAGGACAAGCTGCTAAAGCGCTCAGGCAAGAAGAAGAAGGGCGGTGCTGGAAAGAAGAAGGGAGGACGACCTGGCTTCGAAGGAAGCTTTGGAGTTGGCGGGAAAAAGAAATGATGAAGATGGCCGGTGATTCGATAGCTTCTGTTGTACCAATATCATGGCCTGGCCCCTTCATAACGGTATTTTCCCTTTGGAGTCGTCTCGTCCTTTGTTTCATTATTTCTCGTATCCGGGTTTTTTCTACTCATATCTGTTTGGGATTCATCTACATCAAGGCGAACTAGCGTCGGAGGCGCAAGGCATGGCATCAGTTCAAATGTTTGACCGTATGGAGGTAGGGGGGAGGAGGGGATGGGAGGCAAATATAGGGTCATTTGAGGTTATGTATAGGCCATTTGGGGATGGGCTGCAATGTATGCTGGTTGTGTTGATAAAAAAAAACCCTTCCTTCTCATTAACCCAGCCGACGAAAAGTTTTTAATACTACATACACTAGAGAAGGGAAAGGAATTAGTAGTTGAGAATATCGTTTGAGTTAGATAAAAAAAAAAGCTGTAAAATTTGACGCCATACATTGCGTTCTCCTTTAAATCAATCACCATTACAAAAATAAATTTCATACGCAAAGCCATACATAAGTACAGGGGAAAGAGACGCACAATCCATCCTCCAAGCTCTTCTTAATTTCCTCTCCCTCTTCCCATATTTTTCCCATACCGCCCCTCCGCTTGCAATTTCGGAAGAAGAAGAAAATTAAAAAGAAGCAAAAAAACAAGAAGCAAAAACAAAAGAAGAAGAAACAAATAAAATTAAAATAAAAAAAAGCTAGGGCGTATTCGCTTTCCCGGATCTCTCTTCTTCTGCTTTCCCTTTTTTTCTTCCCTTTCCTTTTAAATTCCCTTCTCATAATAAAAATCCTTCGTCTGTCTTTCTCTCCCGTTGCGCGCATGGTCGTATTTTCATTCAGCCGTTATTTCTTCGACCAAATAGCAAAAATAAATAGGAATAAATAGATGAAAAGGGATGAAAACTCTCTCTCTATTTCCACTTCCCCCCTTTTCCCCAAGATAAAATGACAAACAAGGCAAAAGATTTTGGGAGTGTGCTGTTTCAGAAAGTGTGAGAGAGCAAGTAGGGAGGGTCAAAGGTATGTATAATAGAATGAAATGGAGAATCGAATGGCCTTTTACTCTTATTCTGTCATCATTATAAAGTCGAATTAGGGGAGTGTTCGTAGCGGGGTTTCAGTTCTCAAGAGCCTCGTCAGGTTTATAGAAGGGAGTCGAGTCGGGTGAAGACGCTCAGGCAGGCTGCGACGATTTCGAGCTGCAGATCCTTATCCTTTGCCTTGTTTACCTCCTACACCACCACATCATTAGCATATAATTACGCGCAAAAGATGGCAAAATGGAACACCAAAAAGATTGGGAATGCTTACCTCGGCAATAACCTGAGGCAAGTTGGCTCCGATGCCATTGCCCGTAGCCTTCTTTCCAAAGGGGAACTGGCTGTAATCCGCCAGCAGCTCGTCTGTCTGAGCAAACGCCCGCTCTCTAGCCTCGTGGCCGAGCGTAGACAGCGCATTCTCCAGGACGTTGGCGGCGTAGGCGGCGCACACCATGGTGACGGTGCGCAGGTAGCGGAATTCGAGGTTCTCGGGGAGGAATTGGCTGCCGTTGAGGACGACGGTGCGCTGGGTGAGGACGTTGCGCACGCGACGACGGATTTCCTCCTTGGCACCGCCGTCGGCGACGGGGTGGGTGGCCATGTCGAAGAGAAGGAAGTTACGCTTCTCCGTCCGTAGGATGCCCTTGTCGACCAGGCCCTTGGCTAATCGTTCACGAACCTGCTTGAGCTGGTATCCTATCTTCATCAAGTTCCAAGTTTCACCTAGTAAAAGAGAAGGGGGCGCGTTAGTTGCCATTGATCATGTATATATATGTTATGTCGCTGTCGCTCTTGAAAAAAAAAAGAGTATTGTTGGCGAGGGGGGAGAGAAAATAGAATTGGAGAGCAGGGGTGTAATACCGCTCATCAAGTCAATCCAGGAGCTAACGCTCATCTTTTCGCTCTGCTTCATCATCTTGAGAGCCTCGTCAAGCAGCACCTCGCCAGTGAGGGTATCATCAATCACTTCAATATTTCGATCGGCCAGGGGAAATCGTCGCCGCGCCGGGTCCTTCTCCATGGCGATGCGCCCGCGGAAGGCCAGCTCGAGCACAATGCATCCTCGGAGCGCGTAAGAGATGTTGTCGTTCCAGAAGGAGAGGTACCCCTAATTGTCAGGCTGGGTCAGCAATTGGTCTCGCCACATATGGCTCCTCTGCATACTTGTTTGTCCTTGAGGCCAAGCAGCAGCACCTCCTCCATCATGGTCAGTTTGGGCTGCTTGCTCCGCTCGGCGGACTCGCTAATGTCTCGAGGGTCGAAGGCAATCTTGTGGCCATTCTCGCCGCTCTCGTAGCTCGTCTCCGGGCCGTTGTCTCGAACATCTCGGGTCGAATTGGTTCTCGAGACACCGTTGCTGCTCTCGCCCTCAGCGGCAGCAGCACCGCCCGCGCCGCCCGCGCCGCGACGCCGCGTCAACCCCGATGAAGACATGCTGACGGCTCGTTACAGAGTGGCAGCTGCAGTGGAGGCACGATCGATGTAGGGAGGATGCGCCGATTCAGTCGTCGAGGATCGATGGTTCGAAGGAGTCCAGCCCCAGACCAGACTCAAGTCGGTGAGAATCGGCGTGCGAAGCAACGAAGCAACGGCCGGCGAGGGGTGTTTTAAAAGTCGAGGAAGCAAAAGAACCCCAAGCCAATGCTGGACAGCGCTGTCATGCACAGAGGAAAAGGTATGGTCTGGCAAATCTGCGAAAGGTCCACAGGCGTCTCGCAGGAGAGATGAGGTCCCTTGTGGTGGGCCGCGTTAATTCGTCCAGTCCTGAGGCTCTTGTGCGGCAGCGGCAGGGGTCAGTGCGTCCTTGGGGGATTCCAGCGCCACAGCGAGCGCCATAGCGCTGCCGCACAGCTCGAAAGGCCTATTGACGAGCCGGGCTACGGGGCATCTACGAGGTATAGCGCATTTCACGACACGCTGGAGGCGCTAACAGTATTTGGAGGGATGTTTCAGCAAACTTTGGGGGGACGATCATTAGGAGCAGCGAAAATGGGGCAAGCCGCGTGTACCACTGCGCAATTAGGGCGGTATGTGTGTGTCCCTGGTCTTCGGCGCAAGCTGTGAGATTTTAGAGGAGGAAAAACGTCAAAAGTCGATACGAAACATCTGAGGCGATGGGATCTAATACGAACTTGTTTGGTGGGGGAACAGAGGGCTGTGTCGTCGTCTTGATAAGTCTCAGACATACTGAATTGATGCAGCATCCAAGGGTGCAACTGAAGGCGCAGTTTGTTGGGCCATGGGTGACACGAATTACGCCGAGGTTGAGAGGAGAAAGAAAGAATGTATATTACTATTAAATGGAGAAGGGCTATCCGCAGTGCTATTATTAGACGGCCGTATCTCGTACGTCGGTGCAATTGCTTCTTTATAGCATCCTCCAACCCCCTTTGCGCTGTTATTATTGCTGTTTATTGCTCGTCGCCGTACATCGCTGCTGCGCACGTGCTGGACTTCAGTTCGGAAACTGCCCCATTCGGCAGGCCCTCTTGTCGACGGGAAGCCACGCAAAGGCGCACGACTCCACTCACAACGTCGAGAAGAGGTCTTTTTGCCTTACAATTGGTGGCTTTTCTGAGGGTATCGTGCATACGCAACGTTATAATGCGATCACTTTGCTAATATAGTTATTTTAAGCAGTTACATGAACTTCTCAATATGTTCTTCCGCTGGTTCGGCAGGTTCAGTGGCTTGGGCGTGAAGGGCAGCGCGAGTGCGTGATGCCTGTGCCTTGCTCCAGCCACAGAATTACCAGGGAGCATTATAAAGATGCTTTCAAGTACCTCTATGTCATCTTGGCTATATCAGATCATGTCAACCAAGGGTCTTTACCATATATATCGTTCCAATATGGCAGTCCTTTGTGGAGATAGACGGTGGCCGGGCAGCTGTGCTTCAAAGGCATCCTACCTATACAAGCAATATGCACTTCTATATACTAGACCATATATTCTAGAATATGTGTGCATATTGACTTCCAACCTGGACGTAGCACAGAGCCTACTCATGTACAAACAGATAACATATCGAGGTTCCTCTCTTTCTCCTCCTCCTTCAGGAACAGCAACATGTTCCAGATCTTGATAGACTATGCTATGCTATGTAGCGATCACAACGCCCTACTTACCTCTACATTCACAGGCAATTAGGTATTGGGTATCACTGTGCTGAAACGCCGCAGCACTCGACCGGCTGCCAGCTGCCAGCTCCCATAGCCTTATAGACCAAAATCTTTCCATCCCTATCACCAGCGACATTCCCACTTGGGGGTGGCGGATTCGGTTAAGACGAGGTCCAACCTGCGAGGGCCTTCTCAGGTTCGGCTGACGTCTTCCGTCTAGCGCTGCGCCCAGGTGCGGAACTCTCAGACACGGCCCCCAGCCCTGGATTAGTGACATCAGGCCCGGTGGTGCTTTTCCGAGCTGTGGCACCCGCAAAGAAGTACCTAAGGGGAAACCCAGGCGCGCAGTAGATTCACCGCTGGAAGTAAGAGTGGATGCTGGGCGTGGAAGACCGTTTTTTTTTTTCTTTCTTTTTTCCCTTTTTCTTGGTGGTGTTGTGGTGATCTTCTTTTTCCTTCTGTGACCGTCGTTGCGTGTTGTAGAGCATCACGATGTGCAACTATGGGTTTTGTGTCCAGCAGTACTTGAGTTCTGCTTTTGTGCTCTCAAACCCAGTCCGCTTGATGTTGCGGTTCAATTCCTGTTCGAAGCCCTTTTTTTTTTCTTTTTTTTATGCTCTTTGCTTGACCAGCAGGCTGAACCTGAACCTGGGCACCCCTTTACAGCTGTACGACCCTTGGGTGGCATTTATTGGGCGCAGTTGCAGTATTACTTGTGCATAGGCTGTTAGAATGAACTGAACTTTTTTATTATATATCCTTATCGATGCTGTAATATTGAGATATAGAAAATGTAGACAACTTGAATACATCAAATGGACGGTATGCATGTCATATGCCAATGCTCCCACATTACCGCCTTTCGTCAACTCCAAAATGTATGCAAATGCGTATTTCATTTCTTTGGCCCTATTGGCCGCCGACCAAAATATCATTCTTCATGGATTCGTACCGACAGCCTCCTTCCACAGCTCATCGAAGTTGATGTTTTCAGCCTCAAACATCTCACGGATCTTCTTCGCCGCAGCTTCTTGCTTCTCGGGGCCAAATCCTCCTGGCTGAGTTGACTCAAATTGCACAACCTCGATCCATCGGTAAAAGAGGTTTTCTTTGCCCATGGCCGTGAGCACATCTCGGAAGACAAAAATCTGTCTTCTCTTCTCATCTTCCTCGGCAGCTATGCCCATCTTGAGATCGTGGCAGATCCAGCCGTAGTCTTGGTGGAATACCAAAATGACGTTCCTAAACGCCTCGAGGGCAACCTCCTTTTTATCCACAAGCTTATGGGCCAGGACCATGAGGTTCCAGTCCAGGTCCCATTTGTCATTCATCAGCAGATAGCCAGTCTTTTGCTCCTGCAGTATGGGCGATGTTGCCTGCTGAGTATAGGCGAGCAGGATCTTTTTCGAATTGGCATCCTTGAAGATGTCGCGCAGCATCAGGTCCCAGTCTCTGCTGCGACGGACGTAAATCTCCTTGTCCCGGAATCCAACATTGAATCGCCACCGCGTCGGGTTTCCATGCGACCTGCCAAACGCAAACTCCACAGGCCACGGCCACACGAAGACAAACAGCATGAAGTCGATAAACATGACAATTCCGCGCTTCCAAACCTCCCATGCCAGCTCCGACCACGTCGCCTCCTGGAAGGGGAACGTCGTCTCGTTGGGGTGGCCCCAGAGCGACATGAGGAGCTTCCAGTACCATGGCAGGATGTGGTACATGCGCCAGGCGAACAGAGCCACAACGGCCACGTTCATGGCGACGGGTACGAGAAACATCTTGCGCTTGAAGGCCGGCGGCTTGGCGTCAATGTGCGTGATGTAGACGTGCTTCTCCGAGAGCTCGCTGATGAAGGGCGCCAGCACCTCCGGAGGGCGTTTGAACGGCGCAGGGGGGTTGCCATTGTTGCCGGATGAAGTCGATGTATTGGACGACTTCTGCTTCCCGGTTCTCTTTGAGGGAGCCATTGTGAATGTTGGCCGTTTCAAGCCTGGTGGGCGTGACTCTCAGTGGAATTGGGAACTCAGAGTCGTGCAGTTGTTTTTCAAGCAAAGTGAATTTCAGGGGACATGCGGTATCATTGGTCACAGCAAAACTCAGACTGTGACCGCTTTGTAAACTGTGTCCACAGTGAACTCGTGGTCAGCTTCAAAAAGAAAATGGGCAGGTTTAGGGATGGCAAAATTGGCTATTTACCTAATTCAAAATTGAGAGAAGCTGCTGGCTAGCATTTGTATGATAATTAAGGATCTATCCATATAGTAATACCTAGATTGTCTGTTCATATGCGCTCTTCTGGCTCAAGGCAGGGGTGTTATCAGCTGGCAGGTACAGAGTACCTCCTAGCCTGTACCTAAGTTGCTACCCGAGACGCCTAAGCTGGGTCTGCCAGGTACGAAGCAAGCTTATGATTTTGTCTTATATTGCAAAAAGCAGAAGAAAATAGGACTGACGTCTTTCATTCTTTCTTTTTATCCGTTTCTCTCTTACAATTTTGTAATAATTCAATTGAGAACTTACTTGAAGTGTAACCGTGTAAAGACTTTCTTGTAGCTACAAACGCGGACTATTTAATCCCGATATGCGTCCCCAAGTAAATTATTCCCATCTCAAGGCTTAAAAAAAAAAAAAATCCGTATCCCGCTAAGCCTAGAACAAGAGCTGTTCAACAACGACCTCTATCCATACATGCTACCCGTATCCAATGTCGACAGAAGCCTTACGTGAGCTTCTTAGATATCCGCTGCTGCAATGTTAAGGGCTCGTGCGTGGAAGGTGTGCATCTTTGCTGCCCAATTGAGCTCCGTTATACTGGCTTGGTAGCTGACATCATACGTTCCAGGATCGCAGCCATCCCTTCGTGTGCGCATTTTGCCGACAGAGTCTTGCCGTCAGTTCCCGATCACAGCATGGACGAGCCTTGTCGATTTCTGCTGCTTCATTGGAGCCCGTAAAGGCGCTGCGAGGGCACACCACCGAACGCAACGCCTCGATCGCTTGCCAAAGTCGATCGTTACATAGGACGGCATGTCTCAGCAATTCTGCGAATAATAATGAGGGACCTTCTAGGCCTGGGGGGTTCCCGGGTGCATTCTCCAATACTGGAGTGGGAGGTTGGGGCACATTTGCAAAGCCGAATACGGCATCAGGCAACTCAACCTCAACAGATGGATTGCTCCCGCACGAGCGACTAGCGAGACAGCAATCACCTGTCGTAGAGAACGTGCCGACCAAAACTGCGAATGAACCCGAGAAAAGCGTAGGAAATCGGCAAAGGAATAATGCGCAAGCCAGCAAGTCAAAGTCAGTTCTGGCCGACATCTTCAGAACAAATCGCGAGCCACGACCTCCGCCAACTCCCGAGTCGTGGTCTTCTGCGTCAAAGTCCGAGGGTGCTGCGGTCGAGAAGAAAGTCTCAACACTGTCTAATGCTTTGAATCGCCCCAGTACAGCCACTAAGGATTCATCAACAAGGTCAAACAGTAGCGTGAAGACGACTGGATGGGGCTCATTTAGTCATCGCAAGGCTGAGACAGCTACTCACACGCATGGAATAGATACTCGTGGAAATCAATCTGGCGTGTGGAGCGAAATTACGAAATCTCGAAAGCCTAAGGTCAAATCAAAGCTTGGAACAAAGCCGCATCTACATGGCCATGAATCCAAGACCTCAACTAACAAACCTCCTCAAGACCAGAAAATCCCGACTCAGGATTTTTGGAAAGAGCTGGAAACAAGGGCTACGAGCTTTAGAGGGAAAGATAAAAGCCAGAGTGAAAAACAAAAGCAATCTACCGACAGGAGAAAGAGCACGCAGGCTGATCGGGACCAGTGGGAAGAAGCAGCTACACCTATACGAAAAGCTGAGGATAGTGCTCAGCCCCAAAAGCAAAGACGGAAGTCGAGACTTGAGCTTGAAGAGGAGGAGGAGCCCGTGAAGACTCGATCCAAATCAAAGGCAAAGAAGTCCCAAAGAGAAACACGAGCCGCTGAAGATGACGAGTGGGATGACGAGGCCGTACACCGCTGGGAGCAGAAGCAACGTCGGAAGGCGGAGAAAGAGGCGCTAAAGCAGCAGGCCGCTCAAGCAGAGGCACAAACCATTCCCATATTCCTTCCAGAATATATCAGTGCATCAAACTTGTCAAAGGCTCTGAAACAGAATGTGGCCCCTTTCCTGCATGATATGGAAGAGATGGGCTTCGAGAATATCACAAGTGATACAATCTTCACTGGTGAGACGGCGGCCCTGATTGCAATGGAATATGGCTTTGAGCCAACTGTTGATACCGGATCGCTTCGAGATCTCAGACCCCGACCATTGCCGGAAGATGTCTCGAATTTGCCCTCTCGTCCTCCTGTCGTTACAATAATGGGCCACGTCGACCACGGTAAAACTACTCTCTTAGATTGGCTTCGGAAGTCTTCAGTCGCAGCACAAGAGCATGGCGGAATTACCCAGCATATTGGTGCTTTTATCGTGAAGATGTCATCCGGCAAGTCCATCACATTCCTCGATACTCCTGGCCACGCCGCTTTCTTATCCATGCGCCAGCGAGGGGCAAACGTGACAGACATTGTGGTTCTTGTCGTTGCCGCGGATGATAGCGTCATGCCCCAGACTCTTGAGGCTTTGAAGCATGCCACAAGTGCAAAGGTGCCCATTATTGTCGCCATCACAAAGGTTGACAAGGAAGATGCTCGCATTGACCAAGTCAAAGCAGACCTCTCTCGCCACGGAGTCGAAATTGAAGATTACGGTGGCGATGTGCAAGTTGTCTGTGTCAGCGGAAAAACAGGCCAGGGCATGGAAGATTTGGAGGAGAATATTGTCACGCTCTCTGAAATCCTCGATGTCCGAGCTGAAGATGACGGCATGGCTGAAGGATGGGTTCTCGAGTCTAGCATCAAGCCTCAGGGCAAGGCTGCAACAATTCTGGTCAAGAGAGGAACTCTTCGCCCAGGAGATTTGATTGTTGCCGGCAAGACTTGGGCGAGAATCCGTGTGCTGCGTAACGAAGCTGGCCTCGAGCTGAACTCTGCTCCTCCAGGAACACCAGTAGAAATTCTCGGCTGGCGAGAACTACCCTCAGCTGGTGAGCAAGTTCTTCAGTCTCCTGACGAAGCCAAGGCCAAGACAGCGGTTGAATATCGCCAAGAGATGGCTGGGCGTGAGCAAAGCTCTATCCAGCTTGCTGAGCAAGAGCAGCGGCAGCGAGAAAAAGTGGCAGCAGATGCTGCTGCTACCGAGACGGAAGGAGCTTCAAAAGCGACCGCTGGGGAGTCGACTACGACAGGAATCTTCACCCAAAACTTCACTGTCAAGGCAGACGTGGTTGGATCCGTGGAAGCCGTTTGCGGAACTGTCTTGGAGCTGGGCAGCCATGAAGTGCAGCCCAAGATTCTGCGATCCTCTGCTGGCCAGATTACGGAATACGACATTGACCACGCGGCGACGTCTAACAGCATAATCATCAACTTCAACTGCACCATCCCACCGCACATTAAGCAACGAGCGGAAGAGGCCAAGGTCAAGATTCTTGATCACAAGGTCATCTACCATGTCATCGATGATGTGAAAGCGGCACTGTCCGACCTATTGCCCATGAATGTCACTTTCCGCGTCAACGGCGAAGCCGACGTGCTACAAGTATTCCCCATCAACTTGAAGAAGCGTGTGTTTAGAAACATTGCCGGTTGTAGAGTCCGAAACGGTTCTATCAAGAGGTCGTCTCGCGTCAAGGTCATCCGCCGTGGCGAGGTAATCTACGATGGTATGTATTATCACCTTCATTCACATATTGCTATCACTTTTGAGGATATTATTATCAGAACAGCAGTACTAACAGCTAGGATAATAGGCAAGATAGACACTCTCAAGCACGTAAAGAAGGATGTTCAAGAGATGGGTAAAGGAACGGAATGCGGTATCGGCTTAGAGGAATTTGATGGTTTCCAAGCGGATGATCAGATCCAGACGTATGAGGAGATTAAGGAGAGGCGAAGTTTGTAAAACACATTCCCCTCAAAAATTATTCGGTCGGTTATGATGGTATATAGACGTGTAGATATATTGTACGATATGGATGGACATGTACTACTATACTGGATGCTCAGAGGATGCTCTTCTCATCCATGAATTGCTTTTGGGAAGCTCCAGAAAAAAGAAACGAATAAAATGACGAAGTTTCACTTAAAGGAAGATTTTATACATCTTCAAGAAGAGGAAAAACAAAAGCGCATTGGCAGCGAGTGACTTGGTTTGTATTATATGAGCCACTACCATCTACTTGGCGCAGAAACCACATTCGACGAAAACGTCTTGGTCGTAATCGCCGCCCTCGCCCTCTCCTTCTTTAACTTGTCCAGCCCTATCCGATCGGTAATGGGGGTCGCAGCAATAATGTTATCAAATTCATCGTCCTCGCCATCTCCACCCTCCCCATCGCTGTTGTCGCTGTCATTGCTGTTTTCATTGTCAGAGTCTGGTTCAATGTCCAGATCTGCTTTGAATCTAGATTGCTGCGGACGGGGTATTGATGCGGGTTTCTGCTTTTCATCGGTGTTTGGGTTGGGATTGGTAAAGGTTTTGGAGGCGAGGACTTTGCGGCGGATTTCTTCCATTGCGGCGTCGTCGTCGCTGTCGTCTGAGAGGGCATATGGGTCTTTATCTTCGTCTTCGTCGTCTTCTCCTTCTTTTGTCTGGTCCTTTTTATTGAGTGGCTTTTTGCCTAGATATATGCCATCGATGCTTCCCTCCTGTTCTGAATTCTCTTCCTCGTCTGAGCTCTCTTCATCGTCTTCTTCGTCTTCGTCTTCGTCAGAGTCTACTGGCGCTAATCTGTTGGTGTTCCCTCTTGTCCACATATCGTCTTCACCCTCTTCTCTGCTCTCGGCGTATTCCTGCTCCAGCCTCTCCATCCACTCCTCTTCCGTCCTCTTGACGCCAGCTTCATCTGCGCAGGCCGCGTACTTCTTCAACAATGTCGAGTTGATCTCCAAGAAGGACGGTCCGTACGAGAAAGGCGCCAAAATCTGCTCTGCCCAGTCTGCATGTCCGCATATGTAGAAAGCCGCGGCTAGTGCCTCGACGCAGTTCAGCCTCCACGGCTTTCCGTAGTTGACGGTGTTGGCAGCAACGAGATACGGCAGCAATCGCTCGCACTTTCCGCCGACCTTGTTCCATTGAACCTCCTTGGTGCGTGCCCACGAGCATTCCACCACGGCGGCGCCAAAGTGGTCCATGAGCTCGCGGTCTGCCGGCGAAACGACCTTCTTGCCGTTGGGAGTGATGATGACTCCGCCGTGGCGCTGGCCGAGATGCAGCTCGCGCATCATGCCCAGCTTCATGAGCTTCTTCCCCGAGCATCGCTTGGGGTCGCAGTGGCCCAGATCCCAGCAGGCGGCCTTGAAGGCAGGGCGGCCGACAGAGCCCTCAGCGCCGTCGTCGTTCTGATGGCGGGGTGGGCGAGCAGGACCACCGCCACGGCCGCCGAATTTCTTGCCTCTGCCGGCGAAGTCTTTCTTGTGTCGCACCATTTTTGGTTGTCTGTGGGTTGTGAATCGTAGCTGGTTCCGGCTAGCTGAAAGAAATGGCGAGGATTTGGCTTGAAAAGATAGGAAATAGAGTCGAGTGGTGGCTTGATGATGTAAGGGAAGGTTTTTTTTTTTTTCCTTATCGGAGTTAGCAAGGTTCGGTGCTTCTCACGATACAGCGCGCCTAGATCTACCCCTCCATTGCAGTCTGGGATACCCTGTAAAAGAGACGATGGCAGTGCAAGCAATTGATGGCTACGTACTGGGTATTCAATCAATAAAGCTGGAGCATTTAATAATTCATAGTACAGCTAGATAAAGCACAAGGTGTGTAGGTACACAAGAAGATAATGGTTAATCCGTTATGAGTGTGACGTACTGAGAATACAAGCGTAAATCCAGGAAATCAAAGGATGAAAGATAATAATGTGGAAGAGCCGCGTCTATTTCATGTACAATTTGATACCAAGTCATTGACCATCAATTAGCATTCAACGACACTAATAGGCATACAGATGTGTATTTTCGAATATATCCTCCCATATTAATCAGTACCTACAGCATGCTTTGATTTCTAGATATCCACTGCAATATTCGCAACTTTAAGCAGCGCCGTGTTACTGACCACAGCGCTCGCTCCGCTGGTGACCAAACCCCGGATAACTACATAAATCGCGGCCACTAGCAGGTAGCGGTAGCAACACAGCCATTGCAGGCACCACCACGGCAAACGAACCACTGGCGCCCATTTCGCTGCTGCCTCTCCTCTCCGCCACACAGTGACCACGTCGCCAGAGCAGAGGCGAATGGATGAGCGAATCTCGTCCAAACCGGCGTTTACACTGCGGCGTTGAAGGAGCTGCGAACAGGCACCGCTTACGAGGTACGAGACAGTCGCTCGGATCCCGCACCAGCTCCGGCCACGTCGGCGTCCTTGGCCTTGTTTCTGACTCGAGAATCCAGCTTTTGCAACTTCCGAGCTCTTCGACTCACGACCCCAATCGCTGCTGTAATCGATCGAGCCAGCAGCAAGAGAAAGAACTGATATACAATACATCCTCCTGTGCAGCTCCAGTCCGAGGCCGACCCCGCAGGCCAGCTCCCCTTCACTTCATCAAGCTCCCACTAGACCATCGCAGCGCAATATAACACAAGATGGAAGCTGCTTCTGCTCGCGCCGCGACTCGCGATCGCTGGGGCGATGCTGGCCGCTCTTCTTCTCAGCTACTGCGCTTCATCCAGGGAGCCTGCAGTCCCGAAAACTACGAGCCCAACCTGGCGCTTAATCTCGAGATTTCAGACCTCATCAACAGCAAGAAAGGCACCGCCCCTCGCGAAGCTGCTACGGCCATTGTCGGCTTCGTCAACCACCGCAACCCCAACGTTGCTTTGCTGGCCCTCAGCCTGCTCGATATCTGCGTCAAGAACTGCGGCTATCCCTTCCACCTGCAGATCAGCACAAAAGAGTTCCTCAACGAGCTGGTGCGGAGATTCCCGGAGCGTCCTCCAATTCGACCGACCCGCGTTCAGAACAAGATCCTTGAGCTGATTGAAGAATGGCGCATGACGATTTGCGAGACGAGCCGATACAGAGATGACCTGGGCTTCATCCGGGACATGCATCGGCTACTCAGCTACAAGGGCTACATGTTCCCGGAGGTGCGGAGGGAAGATGCTGCCGTGTTGAATCCTAGTGACGTGAGTTGCTTTGTCTTCACCTTTGCTAGCAGAACAGTTACGCACCCTTTTATATACATATCTACCTCGCGTCCATATGGGACCTGGCTGCTAGATATGACATGTCAGCAATGCTAATTGATTTGACAATAGAACCTGAAATCGGCCGAGGAGATGGAAGAAGAGGAGCGAGAGGCGCAATCAGCCAAGCTACAAGAGCTTATCCGCCGAGGCACCCCCGAAGATCTCCAAGAAGCCAACCGTCTAATGAAAGTCATGGCCGGTTACGACACCAGGTCCAAGACGGACTATCGCGCCAAGGCTGCCGAGGATGTTGGCAAGATCCAAGCCAAGGCTAGGCTACTAGAGGAACGCCTTGAAGCGTTCAGGCCCGGAGACAAAATGGAAGACGGCGACGTTTTCAGCGAACTCGCTGCCGCTTTGCAGAGCGCCCAGCCCAAGATCCAGAAGATGTGCGAAGAAGAGTCGGACGATCACGAGGCTGTGGCCAGGCTGCTGGAGATCAACGACAGCATACACCGCACAGTTGAGCGGTACAAGCTTATGAAGAAGGGCGATATGGACGGCGCTGCCAAGATTGCTGCCGGCGCACCCCCGCCATCGCACTCAGGAGCGCCAGCATCGGCGGCAAACGAGCTGTCACTAATAGATTTTGATGGCGATGCCGCGCAGAGCAACGGCAGCAACGGTGCAGGCGGTGCAGGCTCATCGCAAGCTGGTGGATTGGAGAATGATCTCCTTGGCCTGGACATTGGCGGCCAATCGAGCACGTTTGGACAGGGCGGCAACATTGCTCTAGGATTTGGAGCAAACCAAAGTAAGCAGTGCAGTGCCAACTAATCTTGAAAGCGGTTTACTCTAACACATTATTTCTTCATCAGATATCCCTGGACCGGCGCTCCTCTCATCTTTAACCCAAGGAAGCACCGCCAGAGGAGCCGGACAGAATGACACACCCCCTCCATTCTCTCAGTTCGCCTCCTTTACGTCTCCTCCCGCCTCCCAGTCCGCTACGCCTCAACCCAACTATCAGCAGCAGACATCACCACCGCCAGCCGCCTCTAATGCCTTTGCCTCATTTACTACCAGCCCACCCCCGCCAAAGCCCGCTGCTGTCTCCAACGACGATGATGAGTGGAATTTCTCATCTGCCCTGCCGACGGAACAAGCCCCAGCCAAGCCTACGGAACACAAGGGTACTGCTGGCAACTCCAGCTTAAGAACCGACTTTCTGGCGAAGCGAAGCACAGCAGTCAGCAACGCAATCAACATTGTCTTTGCCTTTTCCAACAACACTGCGCAACCTATTAATGAGCTTCACTTCCAACTAGCCGTCACAAAGGTTAGTTCAACACCTCCCCCCTTCCCGCCCTAACTTTTGGCCTTACTTCGAACTTGTGAACTAACCTTGCTTTTCACTCCACACAGGGCTACGAACTCCAACTCAAACCCCAAACCGGCCGCGCCCTCTCCCCCAAGCAGAGCCGCGGCGTCACCCAAGAAGTCGACGTCTGGCACGCCGGCAACAGGAACCAGCGAGTCGAATCCGTCAAGCTGCGCTGGCGGGCGTCATACAAGGTCGGCGAGGAGATGAAGAATGAGATGGGCGAGATTGCTGAGTTTAGCCTTGCGTAAAAAAGATGATCTTAGCGTTTTTTTCCCCCCATGTCCTTTATTAAAGAACAGGGGAAAAAAAAGTATATTACTATTACATTCTTTATTTATATGTGAATTTGCTTTTTTAAATAATACGAAAGGTGGGGGGGAGATGGAAAAGAAGAATGCTTATTTTTTTGTCTCCCTGCCTGTATGTATTTATTTTACTTAGTAAGGTATTTAGGTGTACAGGACAAGTGCTTGGAGAATACTCCGTACTACCTCTACTAGAAGGAGAGGTTCGTTGGGCGGTGGCATAGCGCTTAAAGATTTTTTTTTGGAACAAATACTTTTTTCAATACAAATCTCTTCATTGCCTGTATTTTAATGTAGAGCTGAAAGTGTAATGAGATTAAAGTTAAACACTCCGAAAAACCAACAAAAGAACAAATAAAAAAAACAAAGAAGAAAAAAAAGCCAGTCCAAGGAGGAAAAAACGCATAAACAGAGAAGAACGGAAAAAAAAGAAAGAAAGGAAAGAAAAGGAAAAAAAAAAAAAAAAACAAACAAAAAAACGGCCATCTATTTTCACGCCCAATATGCACAGTGAACCCCCCCATGAGAGAACGGCATTTCCATCAATCCTGTCAGGTCTGAACCCAGTTGAATACTCTTTCTTCCCAACTCCCACTCCTTTCCGCATTTCTCTCATTGCCCTTTCATTTGTTTCCACCAAATCCGTATAAACGCCGCTGCCGTCAGCCCAGTGTCCCTCTCTGCCTTGATACAATTTCCCAAACAGAAACCAAGAACCAATGAAATGGAAAATCAAAGACTAAGGAAAATCGAACAGAAAGGTAGTGGAATGAAAGAAATCACAAATGGAAATCAGACAAAGCTCGCCTTGAGACACATCTGTATCAAAGTATATGGCAATACAGTGTTTTGTGAACCGTGCTGAAAATGAAGAAGAAGAAAAAGGAAGTCTCTCTTTGTCCACAGGAATGTGGCAAATAGAAAACAGGTTCTGTATGCCCCCTTTGCCCTATCCTAGCAGGGCTGCTAAGGGGTATGCGCCTCAATCGCAGACGTAAACGCCATCCAGAGATGATGAGAAAAGAACAGGCGTCAGCCAGCTATAGCCGCAAATCGAAATGGAGATGAGATCGTTCGTCGGTCGCTAACATTAGATATTTGCATACAGAGCTGCCGGATATTAAAAAGAAAAAAGAAATGAAAAGAGGAAAAAAAGCTGCTGAATAGCTTCCGAGTCGTCAAAGCATTATGAATTCGTAACCGAGGTCGCCAACTTCCTCTATCGTCCACTCTCCCTTCTAGGAACCAAGCTCGCGGACAGATAGCGATGGTGTTGTCGGTTGGAGAGGGTATCCGTTGGCCGATGCCTTGGCCATGCTCTCCCTCTCTGCCTTTTCTCGCTCTCGTTGTGCCTTTTCGGATTTTGTTATGCGAGGTTTTCTTGTAGCAGCGCCGCCTCTTGAGCCTGGGCCGCCACCGCGTCCGGTTGTTGCTCCTCCTCGTGTTGCTCCTCCTCGACCTCCTCCTCGGCTGCCTCTTCCGCCTCGTCCACGCCTGGGGCGTTCTTCGTGGCTGTAGATTGTGTAAGTAAGCGCAGTCTAAAAAGCCAAAAAGCCAAAAAGCCAAAAAAAAAAAACTAGAATGAGATTTTTGAGACATAATACGTACCCAGTGGTAGGCTTCTCGACCTCGGGAACCAAGGGACCAGAGTAAACAAAGAAGCCATCGCGGCTGGCGGCAGCTTGAGCCTCCCAGAGTAGTTCAGAGTCGTCAACAAAGTCGTCATCAACATCGTACTGGTCTTCTTTGAAATTTCGCTTCTTCTTAGGTTTAGCTTGAGCGTCGGCGCCGCTAACTCCGCCATTATCGGGATTGCTTCCCTCGCCGTCAGATAGGTCGACTGACATCTCGTCGCCAGACTCGCGACCAGATTCGACCTTCTCCAGAGAGGCTGCGGCCGCAGCAATGCGAGCTTTGCGGTCTCGATTGGCGGCGAGACGGGGATGCAAGGCGTCCCAGCCGTATTGGTCCTCAGCCATGCGCATGAAGTTTACATATTTGTTAGTTTCACCCGAGATTAGGGGAATCGTGAGAACAATGGTGGGCGTGTCTTTTTCCTCGCCCGGGCGGGCTCTGCCGAAATCGAGAATTGACCTCTCGTCCATCTCCATAATGGTTTCGTCCAACATGTCTGTCTTTGGTGTTGAGACGCCGGTGATGGGTTTTTGTTTTGGTGACACCTTCTTTACAGGCCCGCTAGCAATGGTGGTAAAATTAGACTGGTCAACAACTGGCCGCGGGGTCGCTGCAGGAGCCGCCGGCGTAGGTGTAGGAGCGTCGCGTTTTATTTCGTGGACGGTAGGTTTCAAGGCAGGGGTTTGGTTGGCGGGGGTGGAAGTCGATGTCTTGGGAACGTAGGACGGAGAAGGTGGTAACGGTGTGGCGTCGGGCGCCTGCAATCGCGGTTGAGACATGGCAGGCGGGTAGGCCAGGTGAGATTGGCTGGGCGACGGCTTGGTGGTCGCGGGCTGAGGCTCGATCATGCTGGCAATGGACGGCGAGCGATGCGCTGGCGCGGCCAGGATTGCGCGCGGCGAGCCAGCAGCTGAGGAGTAGTGCGAGGTCATGGTCTCTCGGACGGGATCATAATTGCCCCGGATGGGATCGTAGCTCTGACCGCTGGTGCGCACTGGGATCGGGCTGGTGATGCTATTTGACGGCGACCGAGTCGCGGGCGGCGGGTCGGCGTTGAGAATGCTCTGCATGGAGCTTGGATATCCTTCGCGCTTCTGCATCTTGGGCGAGTATCGCCTGTCCGGAAGCGGCTGGAGCTGGTGCTGCGGCGTCGAAGTCAGGGAGTCGCCCAGCTGAGCGTGCAGCGAGGGGGATGATGACGGCGGTCCCGTGCCTGCAGGGGCCAGCGGCCTGGGGCTGGGTGCATCGCTATCGATATCAGACGCCGGCGCCAGTTTTCTCTTGCGCTGTACGGGCAGCGCCGTCTCAGCCTCGCGAGACTTTCGTGGCCGGCGCACCTTGGGCTGCTCTGCGGTCTCTGCTGGGGCCTTGGGCTTGACAACGGAGCCGGGCTTGCGTCCTGGTTTCTTGCGGGGGACGCCGGCGGCCGTTAGTTGCACCCATTCGCCGTCGATAAGTGAGTATCGTTTTGGTGTTTGTGTTCGCGAGCCGGGAGCAGGGCCTGGAGAGGTGCCTGGCGGCGGTGGCGGTGCATACTGTTGCGCATACTGCTGCGAGTTCTGGTCGCCGCTGACGACGATTTGGTCCATTTCGGGTCCTGAGCGCTTTGCGGCGGTGTCGGGACGGCGGCCAGCCCCGTGGGAGGGCGACCCGGGTTCTGAGAGGGAGCCTGAAGGGGGAGAAGAGAGTTCGCCGGCGGAAGAATCGAATCGCGTGGATGCGTCTCCAGCAGCAGCCATAGTAGGGCCGACGCGAGGTCGGAAGCGAGAAGGACGGAGATGGCCGTCTAGTATCGTCGAATTCTAACTTGTGGGCAATACAGCGAAGGATCAACCAAGCATGCAGGTGGCTGGCGAGAAGCGATGGTAGAGATGGACAGTTTGCGTGACAGTTCGGTGGGTTTCTTTGCGTCAATGGCGAGATGGCTAGTGGCTTTCGGAGGCGGTATTTTCTCCCCCAGGAAAAAAAAATTGTAGAATTATGGATTAAAACATGAAAGTTTATAAAAGGAATAGGAAAGTAAGAAAGGAAATTAAAACAAGTCAAACGACACACACAAGCGGCCTGTCGGTCTGGATAAAGAGACAAACGAACAAAAAGAAAAAAACGAAAAAAAAAGAGCTTGAATCGCAGCCTTGCAAATGGCGCGTCAACAAGGCTGCGGCCCTTCACAAGCAGGCAGGCGATGGTGTGCAGAAAGTGTGACGTTACGTGAGTGGCCGGAAGCCGGACTGGGGGGAAACTGGAAACGTGAGGAGTGGAGCCGGGCTGGATTTGCGAATAGCCTCACAATCGGCCACTTGGGCGACAAACGCTGGCGGCGAGCTGCGGCGGGAGCTGCGCTGCGGGCGGGCAGATGCACTGAGGCGGCGGGGCTGCAGCGGCTGCGACAGCTGGAGGCGCTTGCAGCGGATTGAGTGCACTGTGTCTGGCGATGGCGACGGCGCTGCGGACGTGCGAGATTGATGGTTGAGCAGCTGAGATTTTGCGCTCAAATGCGGTGTTGGGAGAGGCAGAATGGGTAGGGAAAAGGGGAGAGTCAGAAGGGGGTTGGAAAAAAGAGGAGGGAGGGGAAATGATGGGGGATTTTTGGCTCGATTTGGGGATGGCGACAATATAGCAGTTGTGCTTTTCTAACAAAAGACCAGAAAAACGGGGCACGGCCAGCGCGTGGTTTGGGAAAACCTCAGCAGCTCGGTTGACTTCGGTCACTGGCGATTACACGGGATAATGCAAAATCCAAAGCAGAATGGGATGGATGGATGCCTTGGGACAGCTCTTGCAATTCGACTGGGCGTGGGGCTGCCGGGGGGTGCGGTATGAAATAATATGGAATACCTACCGATGGTACTCATACCGCCGCTGCTCAGCTCACGGTAGCACGACTAATAAGTCTCGTTCTTTTTTTTTATGCCGTCCAGCTGGCGCACAGTATGGAGCACGGAGCGTCCAGCAAGCGGAATTGATAGACGTGGTACCACGGCACAAGTACCATGAGCAAAGCCGGCAATAGTGAAAACAGAGAGATGCGAGCCGAAGTTGGCGCGGGTCTGCAATAAACTCTTATTTGACAGGCTAGGCCAGGGTCTCTAAAAAAAGGGAACAAATATGCAGCAGCGCCAGGACCGGGGCTGGGCCGGCCACGGTTTAGCGTCGGATCACGGGACTAAGGCATCTGCACTAGGCTGTAGACAGAAGATGCTGCGTTTGGGACGCCAATCGAGCTTCTATTTCCGATAGCGCGTGCGAGCAGCTGGGTAGCATTCGTCATTAGCGATCGACCACCGCGGACTGTCGGCGAATAGAGCGTCACTGTTGGCATTTGACAGACTCACGTGCTTTGATATTCCAAACCTCGACAAGCACCCGCGATCGACTGGTGATACACGATTGGCCGCTGCCGGAGAATTCAGGATGCAAGGTTGAGAAACAGGCACAGTAGCGTGGTCTGATCCATGTACTCGTCGTGCCTTGCGGCACCCCAGAGTCCCCTAACAAAGTAGCTGTGGGGGCGCTATTGAGATGCGCATGTAGGGGGAGGGCCATCGGCCAGCTGGCCAATCAGCGTGCGAATTAGACGCGGCACGCACTTAGGCCAGAGGCTGCTGTTGACCCGAGAAGCGCGCTGCAGCAATACCAAACGACGCTCTGATTGGCTGCTTTTCCCCCAAAAGAGGCATGATTCCGGAAATGGGTGCCCCACTCGCAAGCTCGCCGCCGGTGTCTTTTTTTAATTCTCATGGCTGTGGCAGCCAGATAGGCGCGGCCCGCTACGACGGTGGCCATCAGCTGCGCCGTGTCTGATTCGTTGAGCGCCCATTTGGGTAAGATGAAGGAAGAACTGGAGAATGAGCAGAGAAGAGGAAAAAGAGATGAGAGCCAGGAAACAAGAGCCGATGAGGCGCCATTGCGGATAGAAGAGTGAGACATTTTGCTGCACCTCTTGATGCAGGTCTCATAGCTGCCCATTCTTTTTCGTCTCCAACACTTCCCCCCTAAATCAGAGACATGTGGTCTCGCTTCGCTAAAGTCGCTGCGACCATCCATCTCCCTTTGCCGATCCAGGGAGATGGCACCTAAGAGCGGGACTTGTGAAGGATGCAGAAATTCTCTTCTTCTCCTAATTTTCTTGTTCTTCAGATTTCATTCCGACGAATGGGAAGAAAAATACTGTTGTCAGCTCGCTCTGGTGCTACCTGGCAAATTACATGGCGTCGGGCGTTAATGTCGGCGCTTTTCCCAGCTGCTGCGCTGTTTTCGGCACAGGACGCACACGTCGCTAAAGCGATAACTGCGCGGAGAAATAGGTCCTGCCATCAATGGCCAAGTGGTGTGGCGTACCACTAGTTATCGCTAGCTATTGCCGATCAGGAGATGCTTCCTGCGCTCACTGCCCTTTTCCCGTCAAATCTCGCCATTGAGGCCAGCTGGCGCAGACAACAATAATGTGCGCGCATAGATACCTAAAGCTACATACAAGAAAGTGCTGACCTACTACAGTACCTATTCCAGCAGAGTCATGGCACCAAGTAGGCAATTTGTATCCTCAAGACACGCCATGCCACGACACGCTGTCTCAGCTGTCTGCATTTCGGCTCTGCGTCTGGTCGCCGTTTTGCCAATTAAGCCCCTGTCATGCGCTACAGCTTGCTGGGAACCCGCGTGGCACTAATGCAGGTGTGGCGGTGCGCCTGGATGGCTGGGCCTCCGAAACTCTAGATTTGATCTAGAAATGTTAACCGGCGGCCAATCGTGGGGGGTCCTTGTTTCAACGGCTGGCCGATGCCAAATGCATTTTCATGTGCCAATTGCCAAGCAACATGCGTCAACCTGACAGATTATGAGTCGCTTCAACACACGTTAAAAATGGGCATCACAAGTACCCAGCAGGCATGTAGAACGACAGGCAATAAATCACCCTCCCTTGGCGGTGCGCTGCAAGACAATTAATAATTGCTTAGGTAGCATCGCTCCAACTTTTTTTTTAAACTTTGCATGGCCTGAAAACAGTCACAGCTTGCGAGGGAGAATTTCCGGCTCACTCATAAAAACTCGCGTGTCATTGCCATTCTTGTATCGCCTGACTCATGGAGTGATTTTGTGGAAAAAAAATCTGCGGAAGAAGATCAATCACATGCAACTGGACGTGGCGCCATGCATTGCTGCCCTGCAGATAAACAAACCAGATGCTCGCACTCACTGCTGGGTGTCTGCAGCGCTCTGTACTCCGTGCGATATTTGCTCTTCGGACACGTTCCACAGTGGAGTAGGTAATACTTATCGATACGTGTGGGGCTCTGCCGGTATCCTCCACCCCGCCAACATTTTCTCGACTGCTGCTCATTAATTAATAAGGTATTTCCAACCATTAATGCCTAGCAGTCAAAGACAGCTATATCCAACAACACCATGGATCCCACGCTGCTAATCGGCGACATCGTCGAGCGAGACCAAAAAGTGGCCAAGCCTGTCGAGTTCCCTTCGGGCCCCATCTCCTCGACTGGGTTCCCTCAGCATAAAAGGCGATGGAAGCCCTCGGCGTTCAAGCAGCAGCGAAATGGCGGTGCATCAGGCGAGCCATCGACGTCGCAGCTGAAGCAATCACAGCAGCAAGGCCAGTCGCCAAGCTTCGACGAAGTTGAGAGAAGGCGCATAGATAAAGAGAACCAGCAAAAGATTAATGACATGACACCGCAAGAGATTTCACAGGCGCAAGAGGACATTATGAAGGGCCTGAACCCGGCGCTTATACAACGTCTGCTTCAGAGAGCTACCATTGATGAGCCCGACACAAATTCGCCATTCAACATACCAGAGCCCCAGGAACCACAGGCAGCCCCATCGTCTTCGCCCCCTGAAATCCGCGTCGACGATTTGCCAAAAGCTGCCACCGTTGAAGACGACAGTGCAGAGACCGTCGAGGTGGAATCAACGCCTAAGCCAACGCCTGCTCCTGCAGCTGCCGCTCAGGCAAAGTCAACCAAGAAAATCGCTGACAACTATGATGAAGATCGTGCACCATCCCAAATCCCGCCAGACCTCTTCCCAATTACTGATCTCCCAAAAACAACACATTTCCCCGTACCGCCGAGCCTCCCGGACCTAGACCCTTCCGACCCCAATTTCCTCGCCACCCTTCACGAGAAATACTTTCCCAATCTCGCCGCCGACCCCAGCAAGCTGGCTTGGATGGCACCGATCCCTACCGAAGACAGCCCTGCCGACAAGGACTCGTCGTATTATCCCCATCCCGAGATCAGCGTTTCGGCTCTGCGATTCGACTTCCGTGGACGTTTCCTCTCGCCACGAGTTAGCCGGTCGATTCCTTCGTCTATCGGACTGCATCATCACGGAGAAGCCCCCGAAGCCGCCGGCTACACCATTGCGGAACTCGCTAGACTGGCGAGAAGTGCCGTGCCGGCGCAGCGCTGTATAGCTTTCCAAACTCTGGGCCGAATTCTGTATCGACTGGGGCGCGGCGAGTGGGGAACCACCCTGAACCATCCCATTGCCATGGGAGTTTGGACCGCCATAAAGGAGGGGCGGGTACTGGAGAGTCTAACTGAGGCGAGCATGGGCGAGAGCGGGCATAGGGGCAGCCGGGCGTACGCCGTGGAAGCTCTCTGGCTATTCGAAAAGGGTGGATGGCGGGAGAAGCTGCAGGTGAGGTAGTGTAGAAGAAGGGAATGAAGCGCTCTCAATGATACCACTGTGTGCTGTTTTCTACGAGGACGCAAAGTTTATTACTATAGCATTTACATCTCGAATATCTTTCTATAAAATAGCGCCAAATCAACATCTTTTAGAGAAAGCTACTAGGTGCACGTGGATTAGACTTTATGGGAGATGAACTCGTACTAGTACTATGAATAGCCAACAGTGTGATTCTTCTCCATAAGCTGGGTACCGATTGCGCCGTGTTAGAGCGAGCGCAGAGTATTTACAAACACCTCCTTGTGCCGTAGTAAGTTGACGTGTAGGATTCTCAAATGCAGCTACTGAAAATATCCCTATGACGTGTACAAATGATTTAATCTAATTCACGTCTCTAGTCCACGAGACTAAGTGGGATGTAAGTGAGTTGTCCGCAACCACCAAGTTTCTGGTCCAGGGGTGTTAAATGTCCTTCCCTGATGCGGTAATCTAGCCGCTGGGATAGCAAAGTGCCAGCTCAATTTCCAATTTTTGCTTTCCTTCTCTGTTCAACTGCATGGGGCTTATGCGTGTGATGGGTGTCCAGTTAGAAGTTTGTGTGACGGGAAATGCCAGCGAACGCGCGCTGCACGTTTATCACTGCGGCTGGTGCCTTATCTGGGTGAGATGCAGGCCCGATCAAGGAGATGGAGAAGATGAAGGAGAGTACGAGGTGGACGCAATTCCTGTGAGTAATTCTGTTGAAATTTCTCATCTCGCTCATGTAAATAGTTTTTTTGTGTTTGTCAAGACGTATTTATTTACATATTGCATCTACATATATATACATATTCTCCTCTGTACCTAATACTCTAGAGCCCAGCATTAGTGAGTGACTGGCTGCTCGCTCACAGTGCCAATGGCAGTTGATAAAAGCCTCCAAATAGTCAGCCTCCCCCCTGATTGGCTGGGCAAGCCCGGGCACCAATGAGCCATTCCGCCCCAAACCCAGGGATTTGCCAAACTCTAGCGTGGCGCTGGGGACTTGGCTTTTTTTTCTCGCTCTTTGTCCACCCCTAAAGCCTTGATCCTTGCGGCGGCGGCAGCGGTGGGGTCTGACAGAGAGCGAGGAAAAAAAAAAAAAAAAAAAAAAAAAAAAAAAAAACATCGCCCACACTTTTGCCGCCACAGGCCTTTCTTCTTGCTTTTTCCCTCCAGCCCACAAGCAACACGGCACCGCCGTCGCCAGCCAATTTGTCTCCCCTCGCCTTGGGTGCTTGCAATCATCTTCTCTTCTCTCTTCTCGCTCCATCTTGTGCTTTTGGACTCTGTCGTTTTTCCGTCAGCGCGTCGTCGACTTCGTTTTCCTGCCTCCCTGGTTTGAACACTCTGACGCCGCTGTTCCGCTCGTGCCCGTGCTCGCCGAAACTACCTTCGATCGACAAGGCAGTGACGCTTCTTCCACCACATCACGACAAAACGACCGCAAGAGACAAAGCCCCGGTCCTCACCGACATCGAAAAAAAGAAGCCGGCATCTGGCCTCTTTTTTTGATCTCAGCTGCAAAGAATCTCAGCAACAATCGTTGGTATTGTTGCCGACGGACGGAAGCGACCTCTATCCGCTTCCACCGATTTTTCCCCTTTGACGCCCGCTGTCTGTACAGCCTGTCAGGATCTTCTGCAGTGCGGAGAGTTCCATCATCTCATCAAAACAACCCCCCCTTTTTTGGCTCGCCTGCGCAATCTCCCGCAGATAGCGAGGAAAAGACATCGCGGTTCAATTGATAGATACCGACAAGAAGCCAAGACAAGAACTTTGATTTTTGCAACGACCGGCGACCATCCAGACCAACTGCAACCCCCCCAACTTGTTTTCCCCAAGGAGATTTCTGTGACTTTGACTAGCCATGGCACCTCCTTTGCAGTTCGCCTACCGAACCCAGAAGACCATTGGCGTCTTTGACGCCGCTCCGGTCTACGAGCCCCTTTCTGGGTTCACCAAGCCCGAGGGAAACCTGCGGTGCTGTGCCTACTCGCCTTGTGGCCGCTACTTTGGCTGGGCAACGCCCGAGGCCGTCAGCGTGGTTGACACCGCCAGCGGCCAGCCGGCCCTGAATCTGCCCATCGCCAACGTCTACGAGCTCGGCTTCTCGCCCCTGGGCACCTTTCTCATCACCTGGGAGCGGCCGGCCAAGGACGAGGCCGGCGATGCCACAAAGAACCTCAAGGTCTGGCGCACCGTGGAGGAGGGCGTTGATGCCTCCGCCAAGCAGCCTGTAGGCCAGTTTGTCCAGAAGCAGCAGGGCAACTGGAACCTGCAGTACACTGCCGACGAAGCCTACTGCGCCCGTCTCGTCACCAACGAAGTGCAATTCTTCCAGAACCACGACCTCGTCACAGTTTGGAACAAGCTGCGTGTCGAGGGAGTCACCAATTTCGCCCTGGCCCCCGGTGCTCAACACGCCGTGGCTGTCTTTGTCCCTGAGCGCAAGGTAAGCCTTCACCAACACTTGGCTAGTATTTGATATATCCAATGCTTCTGCTGTGCAATGTCACCACTCTAACATTTCACTTCTTTACTTAGGGAGCACCCGCCGCCGTCAAGGTCTTCAACGTACCCGCATTCCAGAACCCTATTTCTCAAAAGACCTTTTTCAAGGGAGACAAAGTGCAGCTGAAGTGGAACAAGCGCGGATCCAGCCTTTTGGTCTTGGCTCAGACTGACGTGGATCGATCTGGCAAGAGCTACTACGGAGAGACGACGCTGTATCTGCTGAGCACTAACGGCTCTTTGGATGCTCGCGTGACTCTGGATAAGGAGGGTCCCATCCACGACGTCTCGTGGTCGCCTTCGTCTCGACAGTTTGGCGTGGTATATGGTTACATGCCTGCCAAGACGACCATTTTCAACGATCGCGGCGTCGCGGTGCACTCGTTCCCCCTTGGACCTCGCAACACCATCACCTTCTCGCCTACCGGCCGATTCGTCCTCGTTGCTGGTTTCGGCAATCTTGCTGGTCAGATTGACGTGTATGATCTGGAAAAGGACAACCGGAAGATCTGCACCATCGAGAGTGGTAACCCCAGTGTGTGCGAGTGGAGCCCTGACAGCCGCTACATCATGACGGCCACGACTTCTCCTCGTCTGCGTGTTGACAACGGTGTCAAGCTGTGGCACGTCACCGGTGGACTCATGTACAACGAAGATATGGTCGAGCTGTACAGCGTTCTGTGGCGACCTGCTACCGGAGAGAACATCGAGGGCGGCGACCCGCTCACCCCTGTTCCTGTTGCGCACGCGTCGGCGGCGACGTTCCTCAGCAATGTCAAGGCTCCGAGCAAGCCTGCCGGAGCCTACCGACCGCCCGGCGCTCGCGGACTGGCGACGCCCCTTCACTTCAAGCGCGAAGATGAGGGTGGGGCTGCTCACTTCGTCAGCAATGGAACCCAAAATGTGAACGCCAACGGTTTTGGCAGACCCAGACGTGCCGTTCCTGGCGCTGAGCTGGCTGACACCCCAGCCGTCAGGACTGTGCCTGGGGCAGAGCCTGCCGAGGATGGCGCCGCTAAGAAGAACAAGAAGAAGCGCAGCAAGAAGAACAACCAAGGCGATGGTAAGCTAGAGCCCGAACCTAACGGAGGAGCCAGCCTTGCCCCGCCGCCTCAGGACCATGAGGGCCGCAGCCCGGATAGGCGTGGAGTTGCTGGCGGCAACCAGAACGGCCGCGGATTCAGGAGCCGCTCTCGAAACAACACGGGACCTCGTAGCCGAAGCAACACCCACCAGAGTCCCCGAGGACAGAATGGAAACCAAAACGGCCAGAATGGACACCACCAGTCCGGACCTCCTCCCAATGCTCCCACCGAACCCGCGGGATCACAGAACCCCAACGCCAAGAAGATTCGCAGTCTTCAGAAGAAGGTCAGGGCTATTGAGGACCTGGAGATGCGCCTTGCCGGTGGTGAGAAGCTTGAGGATACTCAGCTTAAGAAGATTCACACCAAGGCGTCCGTTCTTAAGGAGTTGGACTCCCTAGGTGGTGAATCTTAAATGCTTTCAACTGATTGGATAACGTGGAGGAGATACGTAGGAGAGAAGGGAGAAGGGGTTAAGATCAGAAGCCAGAAATGGAAATTTTCTTTTATCTTTGTTTTGTGGAATTGGGCGTCCCATAGGCCGGCATTCTTCGGCGGTGGCTTTTCATGGTATGCAACACTTCGGTTAAGGGCTATTACTGAGCGGTCAGGTAAAGAGAAAAAAAAAAAATCCAAAAGGATAGTGGCTGAGGGGACCTTGGGGATTTTGGAGGTTTTTTGTACACCGTTGCAACGCGAAACATTTCTTGGACAAGAAAGAAAAAGGAAAAAAGGGATAATAATGCTTGCATCAAAGGACTCTCTCGGGCCACTGTTGCCGAGGCAAGAAAAGGGTTTTTTTTTTTAATTGTCGGTAAATAGTTATGGAAAATGGGGAGAAGCTAATATACACGCCTGGTAAGGTAGGCGGTATTTTATTTCTCTGAGGGATTGCTGCCCTGGAATATTTAGATCCGTGGGCTAACGTCGACAAAGGAAAGGAGCCTGCTGAAAGGACGCAGGTGGTGGTTGGCAAAATGTCATGATGCATAATACAAGACGTACATGTTGAACTTGAGATTTTGTTTATATTTGGTGATGGTTCTTTATATAATCGAGATTTGTGAAGTGTTTGTCTGTGTATGAAGTGGCCTGATACGCAGTTTCGCATACATAGATGCTCTATTTATCTCCTTCCTCCATCTTTGAATCCCCTGGATTGGTCGCTTTTGACGCTGTCTTTGCGAATGATGATCTCTCTCCCAGTCGCTGCCCATATATCGCGCCGCTGGCGCTGTTAGATGAATACCCTTCTTCAGCACTAGATATTCCACTAAGCTCATGATTGTTAGAGGCCCCGTCACGATGGTCCCTTTTGCCGTTCCTGTTAGATAGAGCTCTGTTCTTTTTTAAATCCTTCTCGAAGAAGAAGAACTCGACACCCTTATCGAAGAGCTCCCTTGCCGCCACGGCCAAAAGGATCACAGCAGTAGTCTGGCCGAAATCCCACCCGTTTTCATACCCGCCACCTTCCAGCTTGCCCTGGTTGGCGGAGCGCAAGGCCAGCGCCATGTACAGATGGACGGGGAACTGCAGAAATGCGAGGACGAGGATGGTGTGGCGCCAGCGAGCGCCGGATAGCGCAGCCGCCAGCATGACGAGGAGCATCCACGAGGCAGTGAAGGAGACGTAGACCTTGTCGCTCATCGGATGGGGCGCGCTGGGGGCGGTGACGAGATGGGAGAAGTAGCAGCGGCCCGGTGGCTGGTCCAGCGCCCAGTTGTCGAGGGCGACGCAGAGCAGGATGGTGAGGACGAGATAGAGCGCGGCGAAGAGGTACGTTGCGCGGTGGCGGGGCGTGAAGTGGGAGGAGCGGAAGCAGGCGAAGTGGCGGGTGAAGAGGTGAGAGGCGCAGTCGCGGGCGTGAGAGGAGTGATGGAGGCGCACGTCGCAGTATGTCCAGCAGACGAGGGCTGCGGCGCTGGAGACTCTGTGTGTGCGTCAGAATGGGTGTTGGTTGGTGGTGGCCAGATATGCGAGAGGCTTACCCGACGAAGCTGACAATGTCAAACACCAGATGCAGGTGATACGTGTCGATGGAGTCGGCGTTTGAAAAGGCGGAAATCATGTACGACGTGCCAATGACCATCTGGATGTCGTTGCCCACCATGAGGATGTCGGACACGCACTCGAGGCGCTTCTGCTCAATGGCATGGTCGATGCTCTCGGGCGCGTGGCCGCCGTCGAAGGCGCCGCTCTTGGAGAAGAAGAAGGCCCAGACGGCGAGGCAGAGGGAGATTGCGGCTTGGCCGACGAAGCTGACGATGATCTGGGTGTTGGATGTTTTGCTTAGTATGTATTGATGGGGTTGTGGGCAGGTAGATGCATGTTGACAAGAAAGAGGAGGTGACTTACACCGATGCCGGCAATGTCTGATCTGGTTTCGCCGACGAGAATGCATTCCGGGGACGAAGCTCTTTCTGGGAGAGTAACCATGACACTCTCTTTTCTGTGGTCTGGATTGATTGAAGTGTTGTAGTAATGACGACAAGTTTAGATGGGAGAGGAGGTCTCTCTCCTGCTTTGAGCTCTATTGAATCAGAGCTGAGCTTATCGCACAACTACCACTCAGCCCTATATAACATGGAGAGAGACAACGCTGCTATCTATCTGGTGGTGAGATCATGGACAGACGGAACCGATCTGAGATGCCATTGTTTTGCGGAATAATCGCTGTTTCTGAAAGTGAGGCTTGTTCATCTTTGCTTTTCATTGGGTACTAGCACGCTAAGAGGCGCAACGAGGGCTCAAATGGAAAGTCAAATTTTGATTTGATGCCATATTCGTTTAGTGCCTTGATAGTTTTTATTTTATTTTTATCTTTGTGTGTTAAAAGCAATGTTAATGGCTGGCACAATAAGAGAGATCAAAGTTGGAATCAGATGGCAAGCAGTTTGCTTGAGGGGAAGCGTTCCGTGTAAGACGGCCGAGGGGAGGTGCATGGCTGCATAAGAAATAAGAACTGGCGTAGTACGATGTAAGATTTACTTGGGGGACATTTTCGAGCTTAAAATTGCGACATGGTTTGAATCGTTCTGTAGAGTGATTACAGAGAAATGGACTGTATATAATAGACAACTCGTGATTTGTGACTTCAAGTCATTCACGCTGCCCTCTGGATGAGGTAGAATCAGTGCATGGCTAACGACCAAAAAAAGAGCCTTATTGTTGATCTATTTTAACTAGTCAATTCCGATGCTGCCAATCTGGCAACTCGGTTACAAAGTTCCGCTTGAACGATAGTTATTGAAGATACCAATGATGTCGAAGATAATTGCATACCTTAGCACAAGCTAACGCCAACTGATGGGCATAAGTAGAAACATGTGCCATACGCTCGATAACTTACTACTACTCCCCGATCCCTCTGTTCGAGCAATTTCAAGTCCGATTGAAGAATATAGCACTCGAGCGAGTGCCCATACTACGCAAAGCACCGTATTCTCTAAATATCACAGTTTGGTGGTTCTACGAGCTTAGTATCATTTGGCTTAAAGTGCCACCGAGGAAACATTTTAATTCTCAAATTTCACCTTTATTACCTTATAACAGGACTTATATCAGCACCCGTAATAGCTTATAGCAGCTATTATAACGTCCTTAAATATCGTAAAAGTGAAGGTACATTATACAGATAGATTACATATACCTTACAGCCCGATATTTGTGAAGCTTGCACGTGCCTTGCATCTCCTAACCAATAATCTACCGACTGTCAAGTGGCCTATCCCCATGGCCTAATCTCGCAAAGCCTTGGAAATCTGCTGTATCAATGGACACTCCGAGCGGGGTCGACTGCAGCTCGACAAAGGCTACATCGTCTTCGCAACTCTGAGGCAATCTCGTCCTTCGCACGCTTGAAGCGCAACCAAGTATCATGGTCTGTGTATTTATTGACGAGTCACTACTAGGCCTACACCAATGCTAACCGCTCAAACGCATATCAGGAACCGGCCGCTGCACCGAATACAAACTGGTTGCAGACCATCCGCGACCCCGACAATGCGAATCTAGAGTGATTGCCCAGCTCCACAGCATGTTGGCCAAATGCTGATCTTGACTAGCATTGTTGCAGTTCATGGCATGAACGTGAGCGGTGCCAACGGCCACTCCGAGAACACTTGGACGGAGAGAGAGTCGGGAACACACTGGTTAAAAGATCTCCTGCCTGAAGTTCTCCCGTGAGCCAGATCTTGGCATATCATTACAACGCGAATGTTGTGTTGAGGACGTCTGCTGCTGGCATAAAGGAGCAGGCTCTCAACCTGTTACATTGCCTTCACTCGAAGAGGAATGTTAGTGCTAAAGCAATTGCCTTTCCTTCGGCAGTCAGAGCTAATATAACGGATAGGGAGCGCTGGAAACCCGACCCATCATTTTTATTGCCCACAGCATGGGTGGAATCCTTGTTAAAGAGGCCTTGGCAATTTCTTTCCACGATAGCCAGCTCTACTCAATGCTTTGGATTTTCACGTACAGCATAGTCTTTTTCGGTGTTCCTCACAGGGGATCCAGGCACGCTGCGTGGGGAAAGATGGCTGCACGAATGGTGCAACTATTTACCGGGCGACCTAACGAGAACTTCCTCAGCAGCGTGGAAGAAGGCTCTAGCTACAATGCCGATCTCAGTGAAAGATTCGGCGCTTTGATTGACGCATTCAAGTATTTTAGCATATGTGAGACATTACCAGATCACAGTCACATCGAGATTGGTCTTGTAAGTCTTGATACTTGAGGATCTATACACAAGTCTAACGCTGCAGGCAAGATTGTCGAAATGGACAGCGCAACTCTGGATCTTCCCGACTCGCAAGAGGTCAAGCTATATCCTAATCGCACTCACAGTGATCCACTCTGACGGTGAAGTCATGTTCCATATTGCCACTCATAAAATAAACAAACTAACCATATAGTAGAGATACCTCCAAGTCCATATTCTCTTCAGCAATCCGTCCTTCAAGGACAACTCGTTCTTGCTACTAGTGAAAGGCTGTTTGGCGAGCTACGTATTGAAGATGATACGCTCAGAAATGGATTTGAGGGGATTATTGCTTGGGCTTTTTCCTTTCTCGAAATGTTGTTCACCTATGGGATTACCCTTTATCTTTCCTCTCGTCTCTTCCTTCCGCGCGCAAGTACTATTATGGAAAATGCAGACCGTGCACGGCAGACTCAAGAACGCATTATTGAGTTCGGACAGCAAGCCATTGAGAAGCTTGACTCCAATAGGCGCGGTGTACTAGAATCTATCATCAGGCTTCAGTCACCCTTGACGCAGGGAGAGCTGCCGCCAAATGGGCTGCTACTTGAACTTTCCCAGCAAGTCAAGCAAACTATCAGTGAAATGGAGAGGCTATCCCGCGCGATGCCAGAAGAAATAAGGAGACTAAGAAGAATTGAAGATGGCCAGAGAGAGGCGCAAGGCATGGACGATCGACAGCTCTTGGAGATGGTTGGCAGGTATGTACAAGAGGAGCAAGATAGATTGGTGGTAAGACAGGCAATTGCGCCGAGTGTAGAGGCCTGGGAATTTTGTCCCGGTTGTATCATACTCTGATATAGATGTTACAGTAGTTGGAAAATCGGCCAGCTTTTTAATGCTAAGATGGTGTTATATCACTAGAAATTCTATACCAGGTGGAAAATAGCCTATAAGTGTTAATTGATACCCATACACGTTTATAAATAGCATCTGTTTTAGGAACCTGAATTGTGGAATATGCTCAAACAGTTGAAATTATGTTTTATTACACGTTATCAGAATGTAGTTGGCCTTCTACTTTCCATACATGGTCTGTAGCTATAGGTTGTCTGGCGAAGTCTTATTAGCAATATTACTCCCAAATCAGCAAACTGAATCGTTGAAGTATCAAGTTTATGTGCACTACATTTTATTTTTGTTGCGTCGTTTAATAGTGTCGTATGTGAAGCGTCGCAATCACGATTGTGCAGTGTTATATGGAAGCGGTATTACTCGTTCAATGTACACAAGAAGAACAAACTTGTCGCTATTGTAATCAAATCTATCAGTTACTCTAACGAATGTAACGAAATAAATATATGTCAATCTTTCTTTTCGTTTCCTTTTCTTTTTCTTTTTCTTTTTATATTTTCCCTTTCAGCCTCTCTATTGCGCTAATTTGACACTCCTCTAAATCTCCTTCCAAGGTCATACTAGGACGTAAATGTGAATCCACGATAGTTGGCATCAAGCGCCTCTTGACAAGCATTGACATAAGTGTGGAAACCTCCAAGTCCCCAAAGCACATGTCTCTTGCCATTCTTGGGCGCTCTAGGAGTATTGTGATCGCTGAAAAAGTACGAGTTTCCTTTATAGAAGACGGTTGCTTCTGCAACTGCGTTGGAATGCTTCACCCACTCGTCTTCGTCTTGCTGAATAGTATCGACAACAACTGGCTTGCCCGTCACTTTCTTGGTCTTCTCGGCCTTTGAGATTAGCTGCGTGAGGAATTCGCCTTGGAACACGGCAATCGACGGGATGCTGGCGAGCGGCGTCTGGGGTCCAATCATGAAGAAGAGGTTGGGGAATCCCGCCTTGGAGACTCCCAGGTAGGCAGTTGCTCCTTCGGCGTACTTGTCAGACAACTTGCCGTTGGGCCCGGTAATGTCGATCTCAATCCAGCTTCCGTCTTGTTCGTAGCCAGTGGCATAGACAATAACGTCCAGCTCGTATTCCTTCTCTGTAGTCCGGATGCCCTTTTCGGTGATTTCGACCAGGGGCGTCTTCTTGAAGTTGACAACATCCACATTCTCCTTGTTAAAGGCCTCGTAGTAGCCGGCACAGCAGACGGGCCGCTTGTCCCAGAGTGCACCTGCCGGCGGAGTAAGCGTGTCACGCTTCTTGGGATCCTTTACAATCGTGTCAATCTTCTTCTGGATAAAGCGGCACACTTCTCGGTTTGCCGCTTCATCCGTCACAACATCGGCGAATGTGTCAAAAGTCATGGAGAAGCCCCATACAGAGTTCCAAGCCGCCTCAAAGACCTTCTCTCTCTCCTCTGCGCTGACATCAAAAGTCTTGGTGGTCTTCAAATCATAGCCCCATCCAAGCGGGCACTTTCGGACCTTGTTCCAGATGTCGTCATAGGTCTTGTTCACCCTCTCTCTGTATTCGACTGGGACCGGGCTCTTGCTATTGGGAACCACGTATTGCGCTGAGCGTTGAAACGATACTACTTCCTTTGCCTCGTCTGCAAGGCCGACAAGAAGTTGAGCGCCTGAAGAGCCGGTGCCGACAATTCCGACTCGTTTGCCTCGCAGATCACGATGCTCAGGCCAAAGTCTGAGAAATTAGCAGAGGTTTCTTATCTCCTTGACAGGTACACTTCATATAGCATTCGCTTCGCGTAGTAATAAAACTCACCCTGTGTGATATTGTTCGCCTTTAAATTTTTCATGCCCAGGAAAGTTGGGCCAAACGGTTTTATTGAATGTGCCCACAGCAAGAATCAGGTATGTTGCCTTGAAGCTTTCACCGGTGGAAAACTTGACAGTCCATGCACTTTCGTTAAAGGATGCAGACTTGAGCTCAGAAGAAAAGTGTATATGCTGCCTTAAGTCATAGTGATCGACGATATGCTTCAAGTAGCCTTGAATTTCTCCTTGAGGAAGAACATGGGTTGGCCATGGATAAGTTTGCAAGTTGTCTTTATCCCAGCTAAATCTGTACAGTTCGCTAGGAGTATCGCTGGCTGCATTCTGGTATTTGTTCCAATACCAGACACCTCCAACTTCGGGGGCCTTTTCAAATAATTTCGCCGACAACCCCTGTTGTCGAAGTTGATAGAGAGCACTGATTCCTGAGAATCCGGCCCCAACAACAATAGCATCAAAAGACTGCATATTGTAAAGCAAGGAATGATTGAGGAAGTTGATAGTGGTTATTCGATATGTCAAGTACTGATAGTGCTCCTTGAGCTAGGAGACTTGGAAGAGCAGGCAGTGACATATATATACTTATAAGAAGAATAAAAAGTCGGTGATATGACTTGATTAGCTAATAATATTATGATCCTAAAGGACTATATGCCCTCATAAACCAACTAGAGGTCATCACCTGGACAGGCAATAATAGTCTCAACATGAAGGAATGTCTGCCTCGATACAACTAACTGTGGGGGTCTGTGTTATTAAGATATCATTACCTGAATTAGGCAATGATAATACAATGATAAAAAACTATTAAGCCCTTGCAGAAGCTGATTGTGGGTCGTTGTTGTATAATAAATATATAGTGGAGTTACACCTAAACATTATTAGTGTACTCCTTTGGTTACTCAGATGCTTTATAAGCTTATAATACAATTAAATATTATACCGTATATTTAATATTATATACATACACATATATGGTAGAAATATTAATAATACCAATAATAATAATAATAAATAAAATATTGTAGCTATTCTTCTATAATAATAAAAGTTATTAAACTCTTATATATATAAACGTATCTAGGTCTTTTATTATATTTTACGATAAAATTCACAAATTATATACTTCAGAAGAGCTAATCTTGAAGAGAGCTATATATTTTTCTTTTGTAGACGAGTAGTTACTGTCTGGTTTCACAAAGCAAATTAAATACTGTATTGACTGTTATAGTTCCAAGTGTGACTAGGTAGGGAGATATCCATGGAGGAACATAAGCTTGGGCTAGTTGCTGTTGTACAAAAATAAGCGTAAGAGCTTGTCTCTTTCCTTTCTGAGTAGTAATATTATTCAAGACGCTTATTTGCAGCTGTTGTGCTACATACATGAAGCTAGGTCGTTAAATTATCCTTGCAAAACTAAACTATAGGCTCTCTAGTGTTTACACCGAGGATTAATAATGAGCCTAACTTTTTTTACACAAGCGTTTGCTAGAAGAGGAAAACTATTAAAATATTCCTCCGTGGATTATAACGTAAATATTTATGTAAAAATCTTGAAATAAAGTATTTATTATAACATTAAAATATAATATTTTTTTTAACTTAGCATTACTAAATTATATATTGCTATTACATCTTAGTTCAATATACCTTGGTTATATTTTATAATAGCTGGTTCTATAATATATATATATAAACAGAGTTCTACTCGCATATACTGAAACAATGCTCTGTACTAGGAAACGTTTCTTCTTTTTATGGCAATTAATAAAGCCAAGATCCTACTCTTCAATTGCCATAACGGGAAATCTCAACCTATGGAGCTTAAAAGGGCAATGCAAGGCATCTGGCAGATCCAAATCCTCCCCCGTTACACAATGACGCAGCCAACCAACCCAATCAACAGTATACAATACGCTGGGATTCAAAGCATAAGACCTGCAGGATTTGATCCTGCCGCACTCCCGCGCAGAATTCCACTGCAGATATTAATGAACATCCTTCCACTATTTGCTACAATTAGCCAATCGGATATTGAAGATAGCTAGTAAAATGATCTATACTGTAATGTCTATGCAGTCGAGGTTTTCAAGGGATTCGAGAAGAACGATCTAGCGTCAGGCTTGATCTCTGCATCGACTAACACATAATTGTTAATATAATTCTGATTTCTAGTATTATATACATGGATAAAATAAATATTATTAAGTGAAAGGATTACAATTTACTTTCTCTTATAAAAATGTACTATTAATTTTAACTATAACAAGGTAAATATTTATATAATACCAGGCGTTTCTTTTATATTACGGACACTATTAAATACTAGCGTGCAATGGCGTGATTCGCTCACCGGCTTCTTATATCTGATTGCATAAGCCGAGAGAGCATGCCAAGAGATCATTCCCGACCACTTCATACACATATTTCTCAATTTATTTCCGCTATAATAAATGTAAGCCGGCAACTGAATGCATGAATCATGTCCGATGTCACGTCGAATAATAAGCTAGCATGGCTGATGCTGCTTACCGCCAAAACTAACTGTCAGAATTGGCCGGCCCTCTCTCCCCTCTCGCATGCAGCAGCCCTAGTCGGTCCCGAGATGGAATTCAAATCTGTGAAACAGTGAGGAGAGAGGAGGGAGACCCTGCGCCAGACTAATTCTTTGCCCCAGCCCTTGCAGATTGCACTATGTAGATACGGCGCTGTTGTAGACACCTCATTTCACTGTGTGGGACAGATTCAAAAAGACAATAATTGAAAATGAGAAAACAATAAGACTCAGAAGCGAGAAAAGCATCCCTCTTCCTTGGAGTGGTAATATTGAGCCGCATGTTTTGGCAGCCTTCCCTCTTGCCCCTGACAAGTCTATTTTAGGAAACCATTCTACTTCGGCATTCATATCTGTAGTGAGCCGCACCCACCAAAAAAAAAAAAAAAAACAAGGCTTGTTAACATACAAAGAGCCGCGAGGCTGGAAAATCACAGGCTATATCCACCAAAGCTCGAGTTCCCAGAGCGGTAATAAAAGTGAAAAGGCTCAATTGTTATAAAAGGATCATGCATAAATTATCAAGAGGGATTCTTAAATGCGTATGATCCTCTCGTCATACCATCATAGCAAATACTAGGCTGATAATTACAAATTGCAGCAATATCCAGGCGGGATCAGTGGCTTATAAGGAATCGCACTAGGTAATCTGCAAGACACCCATCGCCGGGGAATCCATTAGGAAGATGCCGGGAGGCACTGGTAGGAGTTTCTCATGTTGTCCCCCAGGGGGGTTCCCGAGGTATCTCCTCGATTTGTTCCTTGGGGTTTGCTTGCGTATCAGCCGTCTTATTTAGACAGATGGGAGCTTGCGTGAGCAAATACAGACTGTGTGAAGATATTCACTGGACGGCACGTTATCTCTTTTAATTAGATATGGCTAACATGAGAAGAAAATATTGGAAAAGAAAACAATACCTATATGAATAGGTAGGTAAATAACAAGGTTAAACGTCATTTAGTTTCCCTTTTATAGACGGACAATGGAGTATCTGAGAGTGTTTTTTGTAGATTCCAGTATCTATTAGTTAGTATACAGGCCATTTAACCCTGTGCACGGACGAATATCTGTCCGAATAAGAACTTTATGTCTAAGCAACTCGCAAACAACAGGGGCTGGAAAAACGACGATCAGCATACAGCGACGTATGATGCGCACATGCTGATTGTCGCTCTTTGCCATAGCGCCTTTGGCACATTAAGAATGCATATATACCTAAGTAGGCATTCAATTTGCAGCTTCTACTGTTTTACCAGCTACATGGAGGACTCTCAGCAAAAAGATGATGATAATTGCACTCTTCCGTCGGTAGCCATTTGATCTAGCTTGGAGTCATATCGACACACCCATTCGCATAACAGCTCCACCCACGCTCACCAGCCACGCGGCAAGTCTCCCAAATCGCTCTGTATAGCCAAAAACCACCTAGCTAACGGAAGTACGCGCGCAACTCGAGCTCGCCACAGCCCCAAGAACCCTCCGGGCTCCTTGGCCCTGACAGCCACAGAACCATTTCGGGCGTTGATCAGGGTGCCGTTGGGCTGATGGAACACAACATTGCGTTGGGCACAAGATATACTATACTATCTTGGTAGCAGTACAAGAGAGAGCGCAAAAACAGAGGGCCCTTTTCTGAATGTGGCTCCTCTCTATCCCTCTTCTAAATCCCCTGCCCTAGCATTGGGCCCCCCGCTAACCACCGAGACGGACGGACCCGTTTAGTTAGCAAAGAAAAAAAAAAAAAAAAAAAAAAAAAAAAAAAAGAACCAAAAACACAGATCGCAGATGTCTTTCGCCGATGGCTGCCAGCAAACGCCGCGAAAGCGATCGCCCTTTTCGCGGCGGAACTAATGCATGGCATCGAGCTACTATACACCGCGGCCGCTGTGTCCACATCAGCCGAGGAGAAGAGGAGGAGGGGTGGGAAGCTAGCAAAGAGAGAGGAGGACGGAGAGCGAGAGAGAGAGAAATAGCCTATTATTGCAAAGGGAAAAATGAGAAATGCTAAACAAATACGGACTTAGAACGAAAAATTTATACAAACGTAAAAACCATTCAATGCTGTACAAGTAACGTACGCAACTTTCGATTCCATTGTGTGCGTGCAAAGTGGCCAGCTTGCCGTGCGCTATTTTCCCCTTTCTTACATACATATCATTTGATATTACTAGTACTACCTACTGCTACCTACTGCTACCTACTTCTCGCGTGCCGCGCCTTACCATGTCTTTTGCCTTGCCTCTATTCCCACAGGCAAAGGCACCGCCGTTGTTAGGCCGCGCTTAGCCCACACAGACCGAGGAAAGACGGGAAAAAGTGGCCTTGACCATGCATGGGCGTGGCACGAATAAGGCGCATATTACTTGGACGAATCTGTGATACCTACCTACATACTACAAGTACACTTGTCCGTAGTCTCGGCCAGCTCGTATTAGCAATACGGCATGGGCCGTTATGTACTGCAAATACCATGTTATGTCCTGTACTTGTTCCTGTACGGTTTCAACACATATAAGCCGAGCTGTCACGGTCACTCTCAAACACCGGCACCGTTTCTCGTAAAACAAGCATTTCGGTGGATGCGCCGGCGCTCTCCTAACTATGAATAGTAGTAGCAAAGCCTAGCACCCTCGGGACAGAGTCCACATGGCTTTCCTGTCTCAATCGCGTAAATGATTGGCGGTGGATACTTTATATAGAAAACGTGCCGTTTCAACTCCCCATGGTAATTTTAATTAAACGCTCTGCTGTTCGTTTTCCTTCTCAGCTAGTACTACCTAGCGTCTGCTGTACAGGAACATGAAAACCCTATTTTCAGGGCAAGGGGAGAGGTTAATTACAGTACAATGCACTTCGTAATCGTAATGAACCACTGCCTCGTTTGCGGAGCTGCGGCTGCGAATTCTGCATCATGTAGAGTATCCTTCCCCCCCCCCCCCCCCCTTTTTTTTTTTGACAAACCCAATCTCAATCCCGCTCTTTAAACTTTCTCGCCAAGCAAAAAGCAGTAATAAACTAGTATAAGCTGCATACGTGTATTGCTTCTTTGAGCAATCATCGTGTTCGGTACTTTAAGATGGCATCTGGCAGTTCAAACGCCTCCTTTTAGCTCAACGAGGATCGTCCTCAACTGGCGACATTGGGTTAGCTAGATAGTGTCCCTGAGAGGCTACAAGTAAGATGTTGCTTCGTAGATATCTGCCAAATGCCTGCCAGGCTATTTCTCGCGTCGATAGGGTCTTGTTGGTACCTGAGAGTGGATTTCCCTAGGGACGAGTCAGAAAGGATGAAGAACCGAGCCCCATCTAGTAAATCCAGCCAACAATACCTCGTTATCACTACAAGACAAGCAATACGGGGTTTAGATTACCTACACTACTAACATCTCCCTCATAGGTTCAGACAAAATAACTCTTTATTATAAAGTCCAAAAGGCCAAATAGGCATATGGAAAATGTATAATGCTGCGTGTTTGGTCGTATTCCCATTAGGTTACCCAGTTCCTGCATAAAGCTAAATCACTATTCAATGCCTCTTCCTACCCATAGCGTGTATCATCCATCCATTATATCCCAACCACCTGCCTCCTTTTACCTATAATTATAACTCAAGGTCAAATATACTATCCTTAAAAATGATATTACTCGTGTCCTATCCCAGCTAAATGCGTGTACAGCCGGATCCTAAACATTCCATGAAATCGAAAAAAAAGAAAAAGTGAAAAAGGAAACAAGAAGAAAAGGAAGGAGAAAAGAGAGCAATTTGTCGAATAATGGGGTTTCGGAGGGGTATTCGAATGCAACAAAAGCAGTCATATATCATCTGCCCACTCCCGCCCAGCAGGATGCGAGTAAATAATACTGTATCCATCCCATAGCTCCTTCGAAGTAAGATATGCAATTATTCCATCATAAACCCAAGCGCCCTGGTATCTTTGAAATTATCGTCAACACCGTCCAACGCCAGCACAGAATCCTCCTCCAAAGTCCATCTCGCTTGATTGCTAAATTCCTAAAGAATCGAAAAGAAAAGGAAGAAGAAAGAGAAAAGAAAACAAGAAAAGGAAAGACGCTTTTCAGCCGTTGAATATTCAGAATAAGCTTAGAAAATAAGCCTAAGAATTAGGCCTGCTGTTGATGGAGACGCCTCGGGTGCGTCATCAATCGACATCTCCCACTCCCGTTTCATCGGTGGCTGTTCAACCACTTCTTCAATCTCCAACTGCATATCTTGGCCCTCTTTCAGCTCCTGTACCACTTCATCATCCACTTCGATCTCTATACCAATCTTTGTCGCATGTACTGTTCGAATAATACGAGATGGGTCGAGACCCCACTTGGCGCCGATCCGATTGTTGAGTTCTTGGAGTGTACGCGCAGAAAGGTAAATCGCCCTGTGGTATTCTTTCTTTCCGGGCTCCGTTTGTCCTATGCGGGCAACGTAGAAACATGCAACTGGTTTCACGGGCCGTTCAGGAGGAGGTCGGTAAGAGGGGTCAACGCCTAGTGCTTCAATCCATCCACTCAAGGTACCATCGTCGTCTGTTTTGCTAATTGTGGTGGGATTTTCCACCCTCTTGACGCCGGTCGAGTCGAAGTTCTGCCACTGGACGCCAGAGCCGATAACAGATGCCTGAGATGCTAGAGAGAGTGAGCTAGGGGAGGGAGAAACCAGTGAGCCAGCTACAGAACTGTGGGTGCTGCGGGCCTGCCAAATGCTTCCTTCGCGCAAAAAGTCCACCTTGCCAGACGACGAGTCGCCCTGTAGCGATACGGGATGCAGGTCAGGGTCGTCAAGCTCCTCACCCCGTAAATACAAAACGCTCACCGGCCTCGTACTTGTAAACATATCCTGAAGTGTCTGCAACTTGAATTGCAAGTCATCTTCCAACGAGAGGCGAGGAGCTGCGCCACCAGCAGAGCTAGCTGAAGACATAGACCAAGTTCTCTTGTGTTTGTGTATCTTGCCGGGCATCCCTGCTTTACCCAAGCCGTTCATTCTTTTTCGCTTGAAATCTTTCAGTCCACTCTCAGCCTGCGCAATTTGCTGCTTGAGCTTGTCAATCGACTTTTTCACATGAGCTACATCGTTGGACAACTTTCGCTCAGCACCGTGATCCCTGAAAAGCTTGACTTTGCAATAGCAAATCTCAGGAACGGCATCCGGAGGCGAGGGTAGCTGATCTGAGGTAAAGAGGCTAGTCTTGGCGCAGAGTCGAACCGGAATACCTTTAACACCTTTTGAATGACTGAAGTCTGTTGAAAGGAAATTGAAGCGAACGGGGATATTAGCTTCAACGGCGCCATTCAAGCCTGGGGTCCAGATAACAGAAAAGCAGTCAAAGGAAGACGACTCCAGCTCTATCCGAGTTCTCTTATCATCGCCTTCGGCAGGCTGGCCGGCTTCAACATACTCAACAGCTTGGAGCCGGCCTCCTCTTTGGTGAGCTTCATTTGTCCCTCTTCCCTCTTTCCACAGGCTCCAGCAAACACCTGGTTTTTGTCGCTGATGTTCATCTTCGAATGATATACGCACATAGGTCCTATATCGAGTCCCGGGGCTGACTGGAGGATGGACGCCTGTATCCACGACAGATAAGGTGTATGCTTGTCCCTTATTGAGGTAAGTGACTGGAATCTCGGTGGCATGCTTTACCATAGCCGTTGGAGCATTCAAGGTCGAGTGGAAGCGAAACTTTTCGGCGGCAGGCGGAAGAGGTTGAACGTTTTGCACGACTGCTAGTTGCTGTGGATGTAGCGCAGAGGCGATCGTCGGCATTCGCTCGTCTGATGGATCAGAGTCCATTGGGGATCCATCGGGCTCCATCGTTTCGTATCCTGTATCATGATGTACAAATTCGGACGGCACAAAGGCCGGTTGCGGAGGCGGCGGCGCCTGAGCAAAAGGATCAAAGGGGGCTATCGGATGAGCTTCTATCGCAGGAAAGACTGCCAGATTAGAAACTTCAACACTAGGTTGTATGATATCAAGTGTCGTGGGTACCGATAAAGGTGTCTCCAGGCCAGTGCTGATAGCCATGCTAGGAGGAGGCTGCATCTCCATCACTTGCGGGAGCAAAGTGCCAGACCCTCCAGGAGTAGGAGGATAGTAGGGTTGAGCACCAGGGACGCCAGTAACAACAGGGACGCCGGTGACAACGGGGATTCCAGTGGCAACGGTAGCTCCAGGAGTGAGAGGGTTGAAAGAGAAGGCATTAGCGTCTAAGAGCGATGGTGTAAATCGCCAAGGGTCATTAACAGCCCGAGGTGTTGGGTCCATGTCTCGAAAGGCTTCATTTTCAACATGTACTCTATCATTTTTTCCTCGTTAGCACTCGAGAGTGGGAAATTGACTCAAGCAGTATTGAAGAGCTTGATCATGTTGAAGGATAATAGAGGGATAGTATCGCTGTGAGGCGCTGACTTTGGACTGAACATGAAACTGCCTACCTCTCGTGAGTCGGTGCATTGATAACGGGATTGAAAACTGCTGTTGTTGCCTGAGAGATGGCTGGAGCCGTAGGTTCTGTGACTCCAGTAGAGACTTCTGGAAACTGCTGCCTGAAATCTGCCAATAGTTCATCATCGGGTTTCCGTGCACTTGTTCTATAGTTTACGTGCAACGTTAGTAAATTATTGTCCATAGGTAGGAATGGATCGAGAATGCGCATCCCATAATGATGCAATATCCGTGAGAAGCTGAGAGATGGAGTAATATCAAATTGATTCGGAGAGACGCATGGGAACTGCGCGTCCAGGGGACGAATACGACGAGTCCGTAAGGTTAGGCAGAGGATAGATGAAGAATTATCGTACCTAGAACGAAACATGTTTGTTGCGATTTGAAGCGCCTGTGTGCACACAGACGCTTATAAAAAAATTGTAAGGTGAGGGTTGGTCCGATCAGTCGTGGTCTTGTTACCTTCTCTTCACACACAAATGTGTCACTCACTCCCGGCTGCCTCTCAGGAGTCGTCGCAATGCACAACCAGTCAGACTACTGATAACTAGGGCGCACAGGCGTGCCACATAAGGCGTTCCTTTTGAGGGTGAAAGGGACGAGACGGGGAGATTGAAGCGCAACAAAGCCGAACGAGCTGGCCGTCGCTGCGGTCTACATCCACCACCACAGGGCTCTCTGCCGCTGTAAGCACGATGCTAGAAGAACGGAGGCGCTCTCGAAGTCGTCAAAGCTGTCAAAAATCTCGGACTGCCAGGCTGGTGATGCTTGTAAGTCGCCCTCCTCGTCGGTTTGCGGCGCGCCGGGTGGAATGAAGGGGGGAAAGAACGACGGGGATAGCAAAATGGGTAAAACGACGGCACGAAGCGAAAAGAAGAAAAAGTATGATGGCCAAACGGGTGAGCAAAGATGTTGCCTCGAGGCCCCATCGCCTGGTGATGGAGGCGCTGGGTCGGTTGTGTATTAATTAGAGACGCAACTGGTGGCGGGGCCAAGCTTCCGATCTTGGTCGCTTTTTCCCTTAGCAGCAGCAGGCCTGATGTTCTGGACCGTCTTAGGCGTGGAGCCCCTGTGCTGTGCGTGTCTTGCGACGCTGTGGCTCGCTCTTGTCCCCTGCTGTGGCTCCGTGCTTTTGGGGGTGGCCTGGAGAGTTTTTTGCTTGTGCTCGAGGTGATTTTTTGGTGAATGCTGGGGAGGGGGTGCCGCGAATTGATGGCTGCATGGGGCAGATGCGACAGCAGATCGAAAAGTCTGTGGTGAATCGACACACCCCGAGGAGCGCTCCTAAGTTCGTTAGCGGTAGCCCCCCCAAGGTAGCTTTATGCAGTGCTAGTCCCAGGGAGTTAGTGCTGTCGATGGAGAATTGGCTTTAGTCGTTGTAGCTTACCTGGGTGTTTCGCAGCTACTGGGGCAGTAGTGGCTGACAGAAGACTCAGGCACTCTGTGAAGGTCGCTCGGTATGTGGGTGTTCGCAAAGGCCGCCATGGCGCCTAAGCATTTTGCCTCATCCAATCACCTCGGCAGACAGTATGAGCGAGAGGGGCTGCGGTATATGATATGGAAAGAGAAGATGAGGAATGGCTGGAGATGGAGCAAAGAGGGGGAGAATGGAGAGAAGAATAAAGAAGCTTAATCAGCACGGGATATAGGCCTAGCGCCTAGATGACAAGTGTGGCAGGAGCAACTCTTTCTCATGCTCTTGCTCTCTTCTGGGATCGTGCACCTACGCCTTCTCTCGCGCCTTTTCCTTCTTCCTCATGCTCGTATGGTAGGTACCGCCGGCGGGAGTACCTACCTACCTTCATGCCAAGAGAGAAGGGCTGGTACTTATTGGTACCGGTACTACTAAGGCAGTAATATCTTCGCAGTGGCAGCGTCTCGTTTTAGATAAGGTACCGTAATGCTTTGATTTGACGGCCTGCAAAGTACAGGGAACCAGGTTCTTCCGTTCTGACAGGCGGCAGAATCTGGACAATCTCGGTGCTGTCACCTGTACTACTATCTGTTCTGGGGAGCAACGTAGTATGTATGTAGTTCTACATGTCGCCCAAAGCTGACATGAGCCTTTGAGAGTGCATGTGCCGCACTGCTTCTCCTGAAGATGCCGCATCAATGCAATGCATGCTTGTAGATACCGTACGTAGCTGCATGCGCCGCACACCGAGTCCCTTGTTGGAGAAGCTCCCTGTGAGAAGAGGAGCAATGGATGCATGTACACCTGCTGTAGGCACCTAGGCAGGCAGGGCAGTTCTTTCTCTGCTACACCCTTTGTTCACTGCTATGCCGTGCCTCTACAATGTCATACTGTACAAAGATTAGTGTCTGCTCTCCTGTAGAGGTGCACATGAGCTGCGGCTCGAAAGCTTCGATCGCTGCCGATTCACCGTGCGGGAATACAGTGCAGAGACGCGGATGCTGCACCTGCTGGAAGTACAGTATCATTGCTCGTCAGACAGCATCCAATGCTGCATCCGGGCAATCCTCCGCACTGCAGCATGCACCTATCTCCATTTGTGATCTCCAAAGTACCAGCACTCTGTCCACTGCACTCGCGGTTGCAGCTCATCTGATATACTTGCCGTCCTCTGCGCGAAATGGAGCAGCGAGGAAGACGGTCGAAATGAATTGTTAGCGCGCGACGGTGGCCACGATCCACAGCTCGCTAGCCTCGCTTTCTACTATGCCAACGCCCCTCTGGTTCGTTTTGTCCACATGGCCAGCCGAACAGGACGCGCTCTATTCCGTTAGCAGCGGATACAACAAGCTACTGCTGCTAGCAGACTCCATTTTACCTGGAGTGGCTATTTGGATAATAATCGCCGCGCGACTAGGTACAATCGGACGAGCCGTTCAGCTTCGTGTTTTCTATCAGGCGGCCTCCTAGATCTAGATTGGATCGAGCCTGTGTCGATGGTCATGGCCGTCGACTCGATAGGGGACACATGATATCTTCCATGAGTTGCCTAGGCGGACAAAGCAGCGTCAAGCTCTAGCCGGCGTGCAGAAACTCTAGAAGCGAGTCAGTCGCAGCAGGTCAGGATTGATACACGTCCTAGGTATGCATCGGATGGCATTTGTATGTACAAGTACCTCTGCTAATAAAATCCCAGCATTGTTTCCATACCGCCTATGCTGTATATCCCTTGGCTGCGGGAATGACCGGCATCCGATGCCCTGCCAATACAGTGCCGGCGATGCGGTGACCATATGGCTTGGGCCTCCCGGAGAAAGCCACCCGCAGTGGAACAACAAACTGCGTGTCGAACTCCCGAGGCAGGGCGTGGTGCCAGAGTACTCGCAGCCAAAGGCAAGACGGCCCTCCATGCCGGGAGGTGTTTCTAGCATCTACGGCACTTCGCCTAGGGGGCCCAAGGATGTGCCCGTCACAGGCTGTGTGGCTGCGCCCACGCGACTACTAAGTAGGCATGCAAGGAGCACAAAACGTTTCTGTCAGCTCTCCCGCAGCTCGTATATCCATGTTCCTTGCCTTGCATTGCCTGCCGGCATTCCATACGAGGATGCTACTCGCAGTAGGTACTCCCAAACTCCCTGCAGCGCATATTACGTTGGCGCCAGCACGCCTGGCAAGTGCCGGGGCGGCTTGAGCAAATAGATTTTGCCGTTCTTCAATACCGAGATGTCTATTTGCTTACAGCTGCTTACAGCATTTCGAAGAGATTGCTTGAGAACAACTCATTTCATATCCTTTGCCACTGATATGCAGCTCCAGGCCTACCTATCTACATAATGGTGGTGGCCATCTGTGCTATTCAGAGCGAGAAAGTACCTTGCTCTCTTTCTAATTCTCACCAAGAGCTTAGATCGAATTTGCGTTGCCCTAATAACATGCTAGCAGGAATCACAGCGCAGACATAGGGCTTACCAGCTGTAAAACACATGGCATGTCACATTTATTCAGTGGGGTAATACTCTGGCAGTCGAGTGTCGAGTGTAACCTTGCCTGGCAAATGCCCGTTGAAGAAGCACGGCCGTTGGGCCTCTAGCCGCCACCTTGTGCTAGGACCAAACTTTTCATGGCCGTCTGTGGTGGATATTATCGTATGATTCGGGAGTGCGACGCCGCGCTTTAGGAGTGGCAAACTGTGGCGTAGCGGGCATCAATGCTTCGGTAAGGTGCCCTCCAGCATAAATAATTGGATGGAGCGCGTGCACGAGTTATAGATTGGGTAGCATGCAGGGCTAGATATTGCTCCGTTATATCTGGCGATGTTGGTACACGCGATGTCGAAGCGCAGTATAATGATCGTCAGAGAGACAGCTTCATTTGCTTCGTAGTCTACATGCATGTTCTTTTTTTAACACGGAAGGCGTTCATCCCTAAAACTAAAGTTTGATTTTCATGCCCATCTTCTCTTATTTTAGCACAGAGACGCACCTCTTAATCCCTGTACTGTCGATCTATTGTTCTAGAACACGTGCAGTTTACTATCCGGCCATTTGATACCCAAGTGTAAGTCTACATGAAAGGCAACCAGTCTGAACTTATCTCAGACGCAGCTACATTCACCACATGAGACTTACACGGAATCAAGGCGCAGCATACATGATGATTGTCCCTCAATAGAAGGCTGTGCCACGCGGGATTGGGCATTATAAGACACATGTGATTGGGGCCAGAGCCGATAGTAGCCCGCCTTCAATGCATCGAAACACCATATTTGACTCGCTCGATTTCGCTACCACGATTACTACAAGATTCTCACTAGTATTTTTATTTTCCAGTTTGTGTGATTGTTCATTTCATTCCTTTCTGTCAGTTACATATACGGATGGCTTGAAATTTTTACGTAGACTTGATATCAGATCATTACTAATTTCGGCTAAGACAAAAACGCCCGTTTGACTCGTATCCCGAACATCTCCCGCGATATTGTCTCGTCAGACTCAGAATCAACATTCTACATATCCACAACTTGGTCTCTTTATGGTTCAATGCACGTCCTATTTTGTATCATAGATGAACCAATGGATCACTCAAGCAGCGTAGAGCCATAGCCCTTACAATGGCCGTCTCACTTCCATATCACGAGCCAGGCATCGTCACAATCCTTGTACAGGCATCTTTCTTACTGCTCCTCAATATCACAAACTTCTTGCTTGATCACGCCGTGTACTGCGGCCTTGTTGGGCAAATATTCATAGGAGTTGCTTGGGGAACTCCCGGGGCGAAATGGTTGAACACAGAGGCTGAAGAGACAGTCGTCCAGCTAGGGTATCTGGGACTGCTGCTTTTGGTATACCAAGGTGAGGATCGCCCCAGGCTATAAACAATTCGATTATCTGAAGCTGACTTATCCAATTAGGCGGACTCTCGACTTCTTTGAGAGCGCTCAAGGCCAACCTTTTCCTATCCTCGTGCATTGCCCTCACTGGCATTAGTGCGCCTGTAGGACTTTCGTTCGTACTCCAAAAGCTCAGTGATGCCACGCCTCTCCAGTCCTTCGCAGCCGGCGCAGCCTTGTGCTCTACAAGTCTGGGAACGACGTTTGCAGTGCTCCGCTCCACTGGACTTATGAGCTCAAGGCTCGGCGTAGTGCTCACGAGTGCCGCCATGATGGATGATGTTGTTGGTCTCGTCATGGTCCAGGTCATTTCCAACTTGGGGCCATACAGCGCGAGTATCAGCGCTGTTACTATCATCAGACCGCTTCTAGTATCTGTTGCTTTTGCAGTGTGCACTCCCCTTGTATGCGTCTGTATTGCCAAGCCGCTCACTATCTGGTTGAACTCTCAGCGGATGACGCACCCAAAAGGGGCTATCAATCTTCTTCTCAGCAAGGAGAAAGTACCATGGATCGTGCATACTTGCATATTGATTAGTTTTATAGTTGGTTCGACATATGCTGGAACCTCCAACTTATTTGCCGCCTATATTGCCGGTGCGTCTGTTAGTTGGTGGGATTCGGAAGTGCCTCATCGTTCTTGTGAGACATTGTCCACCGAAATACCGTTGCCCGGAACACCTTCTACGGAAAATTTCTCTGCAGCGCAGAGTGAAATCTCTGAGCATTTAGAAACAAATAACACAGAGACTCCTGAGAATATTGCCTCAGAGCCTAGGAAAGCAAGTTCATCCGGACATGTCATTTTTGAGAAGTATTACCTGCAGCCCCTTGATAGGATTCTAAAGCCATTCTTTTTTGTAAGTATCATATTCCAGCGACAAAATTCCCATCTAACTCTTGAAGGCTTCCATTGGCTTCTCTATTCCACTCACGGAGATGTTCGACAGTTCAATTGTCTGGAAGGGAATCGTATATACCATTCTGATGATGGTTGGCAAGCTGTTGTGTGGGATCTGGCTCCTTCGCATACCATTCGTATCATGCCCTCCCATCAAACTTGCAGCCTTCATGAAGCGCCCAAGATTACAAATGTCGCATTTTTGGGGACGAGTTCTCGAACAGCCCAAGGTGTCTCGCGGCTCGACTTCTACACCCGCAGGCCGACCCCAAGAGTCTCCAACATCGCAGCCAAGCCATGAAACGACCACCCAAGCGGCAGTTCCGCACTCAGATCTAGCGGGTGCAAAACCGCGATCAATTTATCCTGCCACCATCATAGGCTGTGCAATGACTGCGCGTGGAGAAATTGGCTTTCTAATTTCGTCAATCGCGGAGGGCAAGAAGATATTCTCTTCAGCTCAAGCCGATAACGGAAAGAATTCAGAGATTTTTCTAATCGTCACTTGGGCTATCATGCTGTGCACAATCATAGGCCCCTTGTCATTGGGGCTCATTGTGAGGCGAGTGAGGCAGCTGCAGCATGGTGCTGAAATAGAGGGACGGCTTGTTCGGAAAGATGTACTTGGGGTCTGGGGCTTACTCTGAGACAGAGACGGAGCAGAGTAGAAGATCATACGAGTTCAATTGATGCATGTATCCCTATTGAAGAGGCTTTATCTCTAGAGAGGTGCTGATCGGATCTAGCATATTCTCAAAAGAGCTTCTTGGCTTGTGGCGATTGCGGCACTTCTCAGGTTCAGTGTAGCCATCAAATAAGCCATAAAGTCTATATGAGCTACAAATGCCACAAATGTTTAACAAATGTTAAAGCTGTGTAAAATTTCCACAAGACTGAGATGTAGCATTATCGAGTATTAGATCTCGAAGTTCAAGAATCTTGAGCGCGACCTTGAACGCATATATGAGTCAAAGGTAGTTTCTACCTGACATTAATTTGTCTCTCTTCCTATTTCGGTTTATCCTCTCATTACCTGAGCTTTATCGTGAGTCAACGACCAATATTTGCTAGCCATGGATATTTTTAGAGAGTGAGAAGGAGCCTCTAGTGTGGGGCGATAGTTTCCATGAGTGAAAGAGCCGAAATCAAGACTCTTCTCCAGTTTATGAGTCATGGATCAGCTCTGCTATTTACGGGCGCGAGAGCCGCAGTGGCATAACTATACGCGCATACATGACTAGCCTCCGGGCAGGCTGGCCTCTTTCAGTCCTATACAAATAGTCATCTGATGTATAACACAACACGATCGTAACTACTAACTCCAGCCCAGGTTACAGATCTACAAAAGTCGACCCATGTAAAAGCTTGGTCACACCATGCTCCGTGACATCACGGATGAGTTGAGGGTAGCCCACTCAGCGTATTCGTGTGTTTTATGTAGTTGATAAAGAGAGATTCGATGGCTAGAATCCCAACATGCCAGGTTATGAACTCTTGGTGGTAGAGGACACTATTGAATAGGTACCTGAGACGTTATATATTCTTTGGTATTAGAGAGAAGTTCCCCTCTAAGAACGTGGCTTCACTTAGACTAAAACACCAGGACGCACGCTATCTGGAAATATCGGCCCTGTTGTGCCAAGAAGACATTCTTATATCCAAACTACAGTACAAGTATAGATGCAGATGCATAAGAACTGGCGTAGCTACTCGGCCGTTGACGGAGGCAACTGTTGCCGCGCTGCAAGCCGCGCCGTAAACGCTGAACCCCTCCAATGCTACCTCCGTTCATGGAGGGTGGTGGAGTAGTTAGATGGTTCGATGACGTACAATTCAATAGTTGCGATGGAACTGCCGAACTAGATCACGCTGAGGGGAAGATGGACAATCGCTATCGGCCACAAAGACAGCTGAAGCATCTCGATTAGATCGAGTGCAGTCGAATCGTGTCGGCAGAAGGGGTTTAACGTAAATCAACGTATGCCAACATTCAATTGACCATAGAACGTCTCCAATAAACCCCATACCCTCATCTCCTCATCCCCATTGCGTCCCACGCCGTTATAGCTCTGAATGGAAAGGTTCCGTCTCGTGCGGGGCCGGATCCGGCAACACTCCAGACTAAAAGTGGGATTCCGATGTGGGCCTGCCGGGCGCGCCCTTTACGCCAGACACGGCCAAGAGCCGACATCGGATGACTCTACTCACCTTGAATTATTAATCATCTTGAAAGCAGAAGATCTTTGTCGACGTGCGAAATCCGACGCGCGGTGTGTCAAAATGCGTCAAGTAAGCAGGGCACTTTTGAACAAATGCTCAAATGAGGTTTGTCTGTTGGACCTTGCTTACATGGTGCGATTCATGGCATCATTTTTCCTATTGCTTGTGAAGAAAAAGCCGATAAATAGCGTCTGTGGAATCGGAATTGGCTTCCGCGTAAAATGCAGGGGTCACCGGCTATTGGCCTCGGCATGTTCCCGCGTAGACCCATCTATATTTTGCCATTGGGCATCCGACTCGGCTGGTGGTCGTTGGGTGTTGCCATCGGCATAACATAATGTGACTGACTAGTGCTTCGCCTGGTATCAGCTCTCGCCGTGCCCGTCTCCAGATTGCCCATATTCTGGATAGCGTAGCCATTTTTTATCCCCGGTTTTCTTGTTGGTTCTCGTTCCCCGTATACTGAGATTCCTAGCTTTATATCCTGTTCCAGCTGGCCGCTCCACTGCTAGGCTGATCTATGTAAATATTAGTTAAGGGGCAGCTAAGAATTTTTTTTTTTTCTTTTGGCCGAGTTGATAATGTGGCCCACTCCCTCCGTCTTAGTGATAACACTGCAAATCAATAAATCCCCCCTTCCCAGCAACCTAAGAGGCGAAAAAGAAAAGAGAAACAAAGAAAAAAAAAAGGTATTGTCGTTTAAATAAGCTTGAGTAGTCTGCTCTGGCTCAGCTTTGACATGCTACATTTCTCTCAGAGATAAAGGCTTCTATAGATATAGTGGCGCCGCTTGCAACCTACCACTGATTCATTGATTTCGGCCAACGGGCGAGAAAATGGCGGTGGATATGGAGAAAACATTGTCATCGGTCGAAACCGGTGAAGACCGTCACTCGTCTGGGAGAGAGTCCCCCATCTTAGAATCAATCAGGGGAGTTCGGACAAATCGAACAAATCGAACTCGGAGTCGCAGCCAGCACTCTGGCACCTCGAGCAGATTCATTTACGATGACGACACTTGGAACCTCGAGCGTGCCGCAACGGCGACTGTCGAAACAGAGATTGAGCGTGCTGCTCGTGAGCCAATCACTTACACCAGATCTGGAGCTAGCATGAGCAGCGTGGCCTCCAGGCCTCCGGAATATGAAGTTTACTTTGAGGAAAACGATCCTGCGAATCCGCAGAACTGGTCCTTGCTTTATCGAGCCTGGACAATTGGAGTTGTCTCTTTCGCAACCTGGCTTGTGGTCCTATACAGCACCAGCTACACGGCTTTTATACCGGGGCTGATGGAAGAATTCGGTGCCTCAGAAACGGTCGCCACGCTGGGTGTAACAACCTATCTCTTAGGTCTTGCTGTTGGGAGCTTGATTCTGGCGCCATTGAGTGAGGTATACGGTCGACAGCCTGTGTATATTGTTTGCATGACTATCTGGGCCATCCTCATCATCCCATGTGCTATTGGGCCTTCTCTAACGACCCTCATCGTTGTTCGTTTCTTTGGGTAAGTGCATGCAACTTTGAGGAACCAACAAGTTTCAGAGCTAACAACATGTGTTGCAGAGCCCTCTTTGGCGCTGTCATGATCTCGAATAGCCCGGGTACAGTTGTCGACATCAGCAACCCCGAATATCTCTCTCTTGGAATATCTGTCTATAGCGTTGCTCCGCTCAACGGCCCTGTTCTGGGACCTCTGATCGGTGGTTTTATCTTTCAGTACAAGGGATGGAGATGGACCAATTGGGTGAGCCTTATTATCGCGGGCGCAACCATCCTCGCAATTCTTACACTGAGGGAGACGTACCCCCCAGCCATTCTCAAGAAAAAGGCGGCCCAACTTCGAAAGGAAAAGGACGACCCTCGATATTGGTGCCAGTACGATCAAAAGATCTCGACGCTGAATCTTCTCAAGATTAACATGAGTCGTCCCTTTGTGTTGGCTGCTACCGAGCCGATTTTATGGTTCATGAACTTTTGGTAAGTGTTCTTCCACGCAACTCACATATCGTGGTACCATATCATGATCTAACCGCGAAGCAGGATTTCTCTCATTTATGGCATTCTGTACCTTTGCTTCGTCGCTTATCCCATTGTATTCACTGAGCATCGTGGATGGGGATATGGGCTTTCAGGACTGTCGTTCCTCGGAATTGGCTGCGGCATCATCATTGCCATTTCTTTTGAACCAGTGATTAGAGGATTTATCAATAGGCAGCCTCGCGATCCGGTGACAGGGAGAGTTCTCCCAGAGGCCGCAGCTCTGATGATGGGCCTGGGAGCCATTTTAACCAGCATTGGTCAACTCGGATTCTCTTGGACCTGCTTGCCCACGCATATCCACTGGATTGCACCCATTATTTTTGGAATACCCTTTGGCGCTGGTAACACGCTCTGCTTCATCTACGGCAACAACTACTTGGCCGGCGCATACAGCATCTATGCAGCCAGTGCGCTTGCTAGCAATGCCGTCTTCCGGAGTATTGTTGGAGGAACTCTGCCTTTGGCTGGGCCTAAGATGTACGCAACATTGTCGCCGCAGTGGGCGGGAACCCTGCTCGGCTTGCTTGAAGTGATCTGCATCCCAATTCCGTTCATCTTCTGGCGATATGGCGGCAAGATTCGCGCCAAGAGCAGAGTCATTCAGCAATTACAAAATGAGCTGGACGAAATGGAGCGAAAAAGAGCTAGGAATGACGAGAGGCGCGAGAGGCGGGCAAGACGTGAGGCGGAGAATGCTGAACGACGCGCGGGTGACGATGATCTCAGCACCGACGATGAAACAGATAGCGAAGATGGCGTATCTGAAAGACGCGAAAGCGTGCCTCACACCGCTGAGGAGAAAAAGGAAGCGACTGCCACAGTGAAGAACGAGTGAAGGAGTAATAGAACAAAGAAAAAAGGGAAAAAAGGGACGAAAGGGACGAGAGGCGATCAGCAGCGATGCGTTACGTCAGCGATGTGTTTTCAAAAGCCGTGATATTTCACCATATGATGGATATACCCAACCCCGTATATGATTATACCTAGTTTATTGTAATTTTTTATATAGTTTCGCATAATATTAAATTTAGTTCATCTAAGAACCAAGACACTCCGTCAACCATCAGCCATGCTCTGCTCTTTGGGGAGCGCCCCTTGACCCCACCTTGACCCCGCCAACACCGAAGCTTCACCGCGGTGAGAAATTTCGACCGCAGCCCTGCTAGTCAAGTTGAGTCACCCATAAGCTGTCGCAAAGCAAACCTTACCTTCGCACCAAAAATCTCCATCCCGAGCGCACAACGCAGCCCTTCACCTTTGCGCTTGGTCAACAAGATGTCTCACAAGGGCAAGAACAGCGCCAGCTCGGCAAAGGGCAAAAAACCGGCAAAATCCAACGCCGAGAGCAAGGGCGAGGATGTCCTGCAGGCAGTGGTGCGTGCAAGCGATCAACCATCGCGGGGTTCTGTCCGCATCTAGCAGCTAACCATGGCGTTTCCGCTACGATACAGGTCCTCGCAGACTCTTTCCAAGACCGATTCAAGCCCTTCACGGTAGAGAAGCCAAGAGTAAGCAGATCTAGGCTGACTTGAAGCCATAGCGGCCAGCTGATTCGGACAACTGTAGTGTCTTCTACCATTGGCAAACACCCCTCTCATCGAATATACCCTCGAGTTCCTGGCCATGAATGGCGTTCAGGAAGTCTACATCTACTGCGGCGCACACACAAATCAGGTCGAAGAATATATCGGCCGCTCTAAGTGGGCGTCCTCGTCAAAACTGTCGCCCTTTTCGGTGCTCCAGTTTGTTCGAGTAGCCGATGCTCGGTCCGTTGGCGACGTTCTCCGAGATATGGACAAGCGGTCATTGGTGGACGGCGATTTCCTCCTAGTGCACGGCGACGTCGTGTCGAATCTCATTCTGGATGACGCCCTCGCAGCGCACCGAAAACGAAGAGAAGCCAGTGCCGCAAACATCATGACCATGATTCTACACAGCGGTGGACCTGAGGAGCACAGAACGAAGACCAATGGAATTACTCCCGTTTTTGTGGTGGACACCAAGACCCAGCGCTGTCTTCATTACGACGAGATGAACCCGCTACAGAGCGACCACTACCTTTCAATGGACCCTGCCATTGCCGAGGAGCTGTCGACTGAGTTTGAGATTCGAGCCGATTTGATAGATGCTCAGATCGACATCTGCACTCCCGAAGTGCTAGCTCTCTGGTCAGAAAGTTTCGACTATGAGCTTCCCAGGAGAAATTTCCTGCACGGAGTACTGAAAGATTGGGAACTTAATGGCAAGATGATCTACGCAGAGATCTTCGAAGACGGCTATGCTGCCCGAGCAAGCAACCTGCAGATGTACGACTCCATCAGCAGAGATATTCTTGGTCGATGGACTTTTCCTTTCATCCCCGAAAACAACGTCTTCCTAAAACAGACCTTTAAAAAGCACATCAACAATGTCATTATCGAGACTGGAGCTTCTCACGCTCACGATGCGAAGCTCCAAAACTCTGTCATTGGAACCAACACCAGCATTGGCTCTGGAAGCAAAATCACCAACAGCATTATCGGTACCGGTTGCAAGATTGGTTCCAATGTTACGCTAGACAACTCCTTCATCTGGAACAACACCACCGTGGGAGATGGAACAACCATATCAAAATCCATCTTGGCGGGCGACGTAGTCGTCGGCAAGGGCTGCTCAATACCCACCGGATCACTCATCTCCTACTGCGTCCAAATCAGCGACAACATCTCCTTTTCCACAGCCACGGTGCTATCGACCGTCACCTCCACAGGCAAGCAGGTCACAAAGGACATCAACCTCCTCGGCCCCAACAGCAACGCAGCCCCCTTCTTCGACCCCGAGGACGACGAGCTCGATGACGAAGATCCCTCAAGACTCCAGAAGTCTCTCATCTACTCCCTCGCAAACTTCAACCTGTCCACTTCATCCATCTCGACCTTCAACTCCGACGACGAGTCTGATGACGACAATGACAGCAACTTCCTCTCCGCAGACGCCGCGCATTCATCCAGATCGCGCCTCTCGTCCTTTGCGTCCGACGACTCCGCCGGCAAGATGTCCTTCCACGCCGACGCCGTCCACGGCCTTCTTGATGCTCTACGTGCCGACTCAGGGGACTTTGACTCCGCCAAGCTGGAGTTTATGGGTCTACGTCTAGCCAACAATGCCTCCGACGCCATGATGCGAAAGGCCGTCGCCACAGCCTTCACCCGTCGCGCCGTGGAGCTGGTCACCCCCGAGCACGGCGGCCTCGACGCCAGCAAGGCTGCGGAGAGGGCTTTCACCGCCTGCAAGGGCGCCTCCAAGTTCGTCAACGAAGTCGGCGTCGGCGGCGGCGAGCCTGAGCAGATTGAGTTTATCCTTTCCCTGCAGCGGGCCCTGCAGCACTACTCCAAGGGCCAGGAGCAGCAGACCAAGAGCTCCACGCTTCTGCCGGCTATGTTGCAGCAGCTGTATGCCCTGGATATCTTGGAAGAAGAGGGAATTCTGGGCTGGTGGGAAGATGCCCGTGCGGTGGATGGGGAGTCCATGGCTGCCTTGAAGGAGAAGTGCAAAGTGCTCGTGGAGTGGCTAGAAAACGCAGAGGAAGAAGACGATGATGATGATGATAGCGATGATGACAGTGACTAGATAAAGCAAATAAAAGTTATGTAGGACACAAATCAAAATGAAATGAAGTAAAATTAGATTTAAAAAAAAGAAAAAAAAAAGCAATTTACATGATCAATAAAAACTTCAACCAGGTAGTGAGGTTTAACCCCAAGCTTGGGTATCATTCATTACATTTACTTCGTACCTAAACAAGCTTGATCCGAGGATACCTGAAGGAAAATGAAATTCGCTCTCCCATGTTCCATTTCAAGATGCCATATGCCTAATACGCCATTTCGCCCTAATTTCGCCAAAATGCTCCCTGGGTGCGTTTTCAGTGATGGAACTATTGGTCCACCTACCATACGTACAACGCAAAAACATTAGATAACAAAAGAGAAAGTGAGAGAAAGGACAAAGTATTTGCCTCCCCCTCGGCTTCCTTTGGACAATCTTCTCCAGCTCATCCGGCCCCCAAAAAAAGTCGGTATGCTATACTGATATTGCTTGCCAATATTACTGTAGCAGCGCCGTCATCCTATTTCTAATAGTAACTCTGTAGATCTGAGCCGCCGGATGGCTGTCCGCCCATCGGCCGGCCTCGGCCAAATGAACTTGAGCCGGCGGCATCTTGACCTTTCGGGTCAACATCGTCTAAAGAGCGGTAGCCGTGGCCGCGGTTACGACCACCTCGTCCGCCGCCCCTAGCAGCGCGATGGCCGCGGGAGTTGCCACCTTTGTTTCGTCCCCTGCCAGAGTGGAAACCTCTGGTCTCGTTTCGGCCGCCGTACTGCGCCGGGGCCTTGCCTGGGTACTCATCATCTGCAGGACGTTTACGCTTAGACGATTTGTTAACAAACAAGCTTTGATATTCATCCTCTTTAGGGTCTTCAGGCTCGATGCGCAGAATCACTTTTTCTCCGACTGTGGTCTCGAATGTAAAGCGTTCTTCAATCGGTAGAGGCTGCCAGCTGGTGATTTTCCCTGCATCCACGGGGCGTGCGCCTTTCTTAAGGGCAAGCACCACGAGCGGTACGGGATTATCAGTGTGGAACTTGGCAGTATGCGGTACGGGGCGCACCGAAGCAGCCCAGATGGAGTTGTCATAACAGGCGGTGCCAGTCACTTCCCACAACATCTTGCTTCCCATGCCGCCAACCTTCTCCAGTATACTTGCCGGACATGGCCGAGGGCAAATAAGAATGTTGTTGGCATGGAACTTGAGGTCGTTATTTGATATGCCAGCGGGAATCTGCGCCAGCTTCAGAAGCTTCTTAATATCATCGGCACCAATCATGTAGCTGGTGAAGAAAACTGTCTTCTTAATCAAAAGTTTGGACTTGGAGGGAGGACAGTCTTTGATTATGGTTTCGTTATGCTGGTTGATCATGTGTTGAATTTCGGCAACTTCAACAACTGGGTTAAGAAGCCTCAAAGCATCATACACCTGAACAACATCGGCAGTTATAGTCCCTCGAGTTGGCATTGCCACCTGGCGCCGGTTGTATTCCGCGAAAAAGTCTCGAAATCCCTTTGTGTGTTTCGGCCGGTCTTCGTACACTTTGATCTCAGCAGCGTCCCGGTATGTCTCCATGAGCGCCTCAAAGAACAACTGCTTGAAGTGCATCGTGTTCTGGAAGTTTTGGTTGGAAGGGCTCACTCTGGGCTTCAAGCAGACCATGTCGAAATCGAGCTCCTTGCTTGCCACCATCCTCTTGATTAACTCGCCGAACCCATGTTCAGAACGGCCTGTCAAGAGCACGCAGAGAGCGTCCTGCTGCTTCGAACTCAGCCTGACAAGATCGGTGACCTTCTCATTCCACCACCCTTCCCATGCACGCTCCTCTTCTCTTTCAACCCCATCGCCGGTTGCAGAGAGAATCCTGTTGTCGTGCCACCATCCACCACTAGTGAATGCTTCTTGAGTCGCGAGCAATCCTATCGTCGGCCCAGTCCACAGTGCTGGATTCGGCATGGGGGTTTTAAACACTGAATATTCACCAAGTCAGCGTCGTAATGCAACCAAATTGGGTGGGAAGCTAGCAAAGAGGAAAAGAGCAACGCACATGTGTTGTCGAAATCGTAGACATGAAGAACTCGGACCTTGTCGACCGCTGTATGCACCAATTAGCTCGCCGAAAACTCCCTAGTCAATGCATCTCGGCGTATTTCCTGATGTCAAACATAAGCACATGCAGGCTGACGAACCTGGAAGCTGCTTCGATAAAACGGACCATCGCCCAAGTGCCGTGACCGTGAACTGCGAATTTCTGGTAGCGCCATGGTATGCGCTGTATGCCGACGCCATGGCGCTCAATCGAGGGACGGGCAGGCTGCGAAGACGAGCAGCGATCGTCGCAGTGCTCCGCGTGTGGAAAATAGACGGCGTTTGCTCGGGGGGAGACAAAGTCGTGAAGCAGGAATTTTGGGCCCGCAGGTGGTTGTCGCGGGTCAAGTTGGGCTCCATGACGAAATCCACCGCGATGCGTTTTCTTATATAGGCGCTTGTTGGCCGCCGGCAGCTCCTGGCCCTACTGAAGGGCACCAGCTTCAGCGGGCTGTGCACTGAAGCGTCAGCAGCTATACGGCAGCGGCTTCTTTGTGGCCCTGTCAGACCTACCCTACATCCATAGGTTGCCGTTTTTTTCCCCCTACCAATTCATGCCGAGGATCTGGAATCTGGAAAGCGATTGGAGTTTTGAGTGCTTAGAGTTTGGTTCTCGAGTCTTATGTCTGATGTGAGATTATCTCATCAACTCTGCTGCTCTTTTAGCCGCCGAGGCTGTAAGCTGATAGCGACCGTGCAGTGATGAGGTGGCGAGAGCGTTGAGACTTCCACCCGCTCTATTTGTATGAAAGCGGTAGAGTTCAAATCCTGGCGCCAGGCTTGGTCTGAGTTTAGAGTTACGTTTCGATCTTACCCGCAAGGAAACAATCGACATCTCCACGGCTCCTCCATGGCATCTCCAGCTAGTGCCGCCGTGCGTTTCCTGGCTGGCTCCAAGAAGGCGCCTCAGGGCATTCTGCAGCTGCGACTGCACGTGAAGCCTGGAGCCAGCAAGAACAGAGAGGGCATTCAGGCTGTTACTGAAGAGGCGATTGAGCTTTGTGTTGCAGCCCAGGCAAAGGATGGCGAGGCCAACCAAGCCGTGATGGAAGTTCTCAGCGACGCCTTGAATATCCCAAAGTCGAAGCTGAGTTTAGTGCAGGGCGCAAGATCAAGAGACAAGACTGTGGTTGTGCAGGAGATTAAGGGCGATGGGCCTGCCTATGCTACTACAATCCTTGAGCTGCTTCATAAGGCTAGCTCAGAGACTTGATCTGATAATCATTGTTGGCGCGATTTTGGTTCTGGCACTTTTCATAGCAGCAGTCGCTGGCTAAATCACTCTCGCCGGTGACTCAATTGCTGTGCTTCCCCGCCATCGTTATCGGTATCCAATGCTGGCTCTGCTTCAACATGGCAATGTTATTCTTATTTAAGGGACAGGGGAACCAACTACCTGATCGCAGAAGCAGGCGACCCACGAATATACATTTAAAAATAAATAAATATCGATTAGCAATTTACTGCCATGTCTAAGAAGACCTTTACCATTAAGGCGCTCCAACTCGAAGATGTGCCTGAAGCGGCTCAACTCAGCAGCGATGCTTTCCTAGACGATCGCCAAACTCAGATGAAAGCTCTTGGCCGGAATCCCTTCGACATGAAGAAATATCACACGGAAAGCCTCCCACAGATGCTGAAATCGCCTCGATGCGTGGTATTGAAAGCCGTTGACGATGAAACCGGAGAGTTTGCGGGCTTCTGCAATTGGGGGCTTATTGGGTTCTCACCCGACGAGATGCCAGTGTTGGAAGGCAGGATTCAGCCTCTCGAAAAGCCGATCACAGCTTCAACACAGCAGTCGGAGAAAGACCAATCCGAGAAGGACGAGCCAGCTTCAGCTGAGCAAAGGGCGCCAGAAGCAGAGGATGAACCACAGGATGATCCTATTAAGCGGCTCGAGACTCTTACAAGCGGCGACTTGGACGCATGGCAAAAGGAGGTGATGCCTGAAGGCACCAAATGTCTCATTGTCATTGGACTTTCTGTCTCACCAAAATTTCAGAGGCGAGGCATTGGCTCTGCGCTTCTACGCTGGGGAACGAGCATCTGCGATCAAAAGGGTGTTTTCGCATGGGTTCATTCGTCGGAGCCTGCGTGGAGGATATACGAGAAGGCAGGATTCCAGGTGATCCGCTCTCTGGATGTGGATTTGGACGAATACGCCCCGTGCCCTCCTCCAAACGAGGGTCCTGATGCTAAATGGGGCCATTATGTCTTCCGATACATGAAGTATTTTGGCGCCAAAAATTGAAAGGCATCATCTGATAGGCGTAGCATTCCACGGCGTCTAAATATATCTTTTGAATCCTAATTATCTGGCATGTAGCGGTACAAAATATCTACGTCTACCTATGTAGGTAGCTTTGTATATCTGCTTTGCATATAAGCATCTGCATACATCTGAGAGACCAAATCAAAAGCATCAAGCCTCAATGCGTTTACTGGATATGGCATGGATCGGCAAAACGCGGGGAAAAGGGATTTTGCGAGTGACGGTAGCTCAGATGCCGAACGAGCACCAGACGAAAGACATATAGTGGAGGAGTATTTCGTAAATACCTAGTGCCACGTACTATTTCTGTGCTCTGTCTGTAATTTCGAGGGATTCTAAAAATATCTGCAGCTGACTGCCCCCTGGAGACGATGAGAGACATTGTCAGATGCGTGCAGATCAGGCCAAACAAATGCCATAGCTGTGATGGCCAAAGAAGCTCATTCTGGTTAGCTGCTGCTTCTGCGGCTGACATTTGCTTGATCGGGGGTTGAGTTTAGGTTCGAGGCAAAGAATGAGATGCCACTAAGAGCCACCTAAGCTTCCAAGCCGAGACGTGTGTGTTGCTCTATTCACGGCAGCATGCTACATAGATATGTACGCAAAGTTGCATGCCTCTGAACTGGCCTCTGCGTCATGTCTCAGCATAGATGGCTGAAATTGCCTATTTTTAGAGCATCTCAACGGCGTGCAAGCACAATTCCCCCTCCATGTGCCATGCATTGAAATATACAAGCTGCGCGTGGTGGTGTTGATGTTGATCGATAGTAGTAGCACTACCTGCAGCGCTTCTTGCAAGCCAGGCTTTGCCCGCAGAAGTAGTGGTACCTGTGCACGCAGTAATTGAGACGAAAGAGCTGATCCCTGAGAGGTAATCCTGCGGATAGCCGGACCGCCGAGCCTAACCATCGCATGCCACCGTGCGGGTGATGGCCCGGGCTCATGTAGCGGTACCAGCCATCGCGGCCACTCGCATCCAGACGGTTGGAGATACTATCACAGCCCATGATGATGATGCCTTGTTTCACGTCAAGTTGCCAGTTTGCCCATGCTAGTGCAGATGCCGTCCGTGGCTGTCTGGTACCGTAGCCACGGGGCCCAATTACAATTCAAGTCGTAGATCGGGACCAGGAGTCGGCGACGTGGTGATGGCAAGGCCACTAATACAGGCCGCGTGCTGCAAGGGAGGCAAAGCAAGGCCTGATAGAGGCCATTTAGAATGGTAATTGCGCTTGCAAACGCGGTAGTGAAGCGAGGTAGCCCCGGCCTTTCTATTCGTTGCTGGGTTTGGCGTGCCAGCCGATGTGCAGAGGATGACCCGATCGACGCGGATAGGTGCAATCGCCGCTTGGGTGTTCAGCCCCCCGCGAAGCAGCCATCGTGGGATTCGCCATTGGCACACATCGCGGCTGAGAAAATAATGGTGTCTTGTTAGCACGAGCACTACTGTACCACTGCTAGTAGTAGTGCTGCTACGCCGCGCTCGTCCTAGTTGTTATTCTTGCTTGAAGCGGTAGGCGCCCATAAAAGCAGAGATGCCCCCTTGTACTTGCATATATTGCGCTTTTCCGCCCCCAGAACAATAACAACGGTCTCCCTTCTTCACCTGCTTCCCTGCATGTGTGGTGTTCAGGTGGACATGGGGCAACGCAGATGAGTGTAGGCACGGTCCGGAGTGCTACGACGAGGTGCTACGTTTGTGCTGCTTCGCATCAATATTGCTATTGGACGGCACATGTGTATGCCCCCCCGACCAGCTTCCTCGGCATCCTTATGATGAAACGAATTGAATGAGTGCTCTACATGGAGTACATGTACAGCTACGGGGAGGACCCATTTTACATCGTATCTATATAGATGCCAAGTACGGAGCAATTGCCATATGAAGAGCTCATCTCTGCAGCGAGACCATCGCATACACCATCGTATACTTGGATCGTATAGGGGCTAATTGATAGGCTAAAAGCTGCTAGCAGCTTACGGACGGCCACGATGGCCTGGCATTAGTGCTTGCACCAACATTGATACCGCTAGCAGCAGAATGCAAGAGGACAGACAAGCATGAGTAAAATTCCGTCAGGTTGACTCAGATCACATTGGCGTGTTCTTCCCGTGGTCCAAGACGAGCATAGTCCGCGGAGGCGGCATAACGCTAAAGCACGAGGTGCATTCACATATCGGACAAAGTACTAACATACCTGCCTCTTGATACGGGGTAGCATTGGCGGTTCCTATCCGAACACTTACATGACCGGCTTGCTACGGTTGTGGCTCGCGTGTGCTGTGCTGCTGCTGCGGTGGTTGCCACCTTGACGCCATGTCGAAGACTGTAGGTTCGCCGCATATGAACATTGCAACTCGGTGTGGTTAGCATCCTACCACTATTGTGCTGTTGTCCCAAACAGAAAAAGGAAGAAAAGAATAGAAAACAGCCACGGGGGGCTAATAAAAGAACCGGATACGTCGTGTCATCATCTACCGGGCCAGCCTTGGCAAGCAAATGAAAGACTGCCTGGCAAGCTCATGGCATAGCACATTAGTCCAAGTAGATATGGCTAGCTGAAAAGGCCAGTTCAAATTGGCACGGGGAACACTATTGGCTGACTCTGGCTAAATGAGACGAAAAAGAAAAGAACTGCTAATTTGATACTGGACGCTAACACACGCACCCACGAAAAAAAAAAAAAAGACGAAAAAGAAAAACGAATAACCAAAAAATCCTGCCCCTGGTTCTCCTGACTGACTGGCTTCCAATGTCTATCAAATCGCTAGTATCGTGGTAGCAGCAGGACTAACACAGAGTAGGCGGGCGGGTACTGTGTGAAGGAGGATGCGCCACACGGTCCTAGCGCCCTGCAGTGCCGTAGGAACAGCAACTGAATAGCCACTTAGGCCTTCCACGTACTGTACACGATGGGCCCCCCGAATTTGGCGGTGCTTTTTTGGCACTTTGAGACAGGACCCCCCCTTCTTTCCAAGTTTTTTTTTTCCCAATTCCCCCCCTGTGGATACATCTTAATTTTTTTCTGGAATGATTCCTATGGTAGTGGAAAAAAAAAAGATGAAGTGAGGGTGTCATAATAGTATTTGCTTTCCTCTTCTTATTTCTTCTCTCTCCTTCTTGAACGGTTGGCTCGCTCTCTGTCTCCTCTTTGTCTCCTCCCTTAGCTGCATGAAGATTTGGATACCAATCTCCACGCACTGCCTATATTTAATCCTCAGGTACCCCAAGTTGCTGCTAGTACATGCACCAGAAGTATCAGTACTCGCACTCGCTGGACTTACTGCCCTTCAGCGCTGCTACAGCGTGCGCCTCTTCTGTGTTGTCTTCTGATCTTCCCATGTCCTCCTTGGCCTAGTGCCTTCCCCCGGCCCACCCCATCTCGGGCCATCCATTCGCCCATCGACTATCTGGGCTAAATCGAAAATCGTCCAACCTCGATTCAGCAGCCTCGAACCCTGCCTTAGCCAAGCCCATCGAGGGTCGTCCGCGGTCCTCCTTCAATTGCATTGCTCGCCTCTTTTCCTGTGTTTGCCAACTTGCGACGTCATCCGTCTGTGTTGTCGGGGCGCCTTGAGAAACATTGGGCTCCGTCATCTCGGCGCACCGCATCTCGCAACCTCCGTCCATCTCCGGAACGCCTCTCCTGGCCTGCCGCCCGCTCGTTGATCCGATCTGCCACCAGCCAAGCCATACCGCCCCGATAACGAAAGCGAGAGGGAGAGAGGAAGAAAGAGGAAGAGAAAGGAGGCAGATACTAAGGACAAACAATCTTTGCTGCTGCAACAAACTGTGCCGGATCCTGTAGGCCCTGCGACGGCTCATTTTAATAATATCGGCTCCGCCAGTGGCATCCAACCGGAGCCTCAATTGGAGGCGCGTCGCCTTCTCACATACTGCCTCTAGTATTGCTAAAGGGCAGCCTGTTTAGCTCAAATGTCTGGGACAGAGGCTGCCAATGCCCCGGGCGGGGGAAACAATGCTAGCGAATTTGTGAGTAGCATTTCACCAAATTTATACATGGACCCGATATGTGACGGAACGAGTGCTAATGCTATATCAAGGTTCGCAAGCTGTTTCGGTAATTACCCATTAACAAATTCCAGCTTCCATCGACCCAGCTGACCTTGCTCTAGAATGCTCGAAGACCCGACACATCAGGATGTAGCTCGGTGGGGAAAAGATGGCGACTCATTTGTCGTCGTTGAGGTGGGATTCATCCGACATCTCCATTTTACGCATGTTATTGACTCTTACGTCTTCAACTAGGGCGAGAAATTTACGAGATCCATCCTGCCGAAGCACTTCAAGCACAGCAACATGTCCAGCTTCATTCGGCAGCTTAACAAATATGACTTTCACAAGGTCAAGCCATCTGCCGATGGCGAATCGGCCTCTCCAAATGGTAACGTGAGTATCCTAGCTTGGCGCATTACGGAGCTGTGAATGTTATATGAACGGCACGACTAAGAATTGGGTCACGACATGCAGGTCCTGGAGTTTAAGCATCCCTACTTCCGCGTCGACAGCAAAGATGATCTGGACAACATCCGCCGGAAAGCGCCAGCCACACGGAAACCCCAGGTCGCGGAGGACTTCACCACCAGTCAGCACGTCAGCGTCGTATCCGAGCAGTTGACCGCTACTCAGCAGCAAGTACAGCAGCTTCAAGAGCTGTTCGCCGACATCTCCCAGACGAATAGGCTCCTGGTCAACGAGGTCCTCACCCTGCAGAAGATGCTCAATGCCCAAAAGCAGGCGCAGTATGAGATGCTCAACTTCCTCTCTCCGTATAACCATAGCCGGAATAATGGAATGATGGCTCACCAGATGAGCTCAAATGGCGGCATGTCTTCCTCGGATGGCGACGAGAACGTGCCAGAACTTAGAAGAGCGCGAGAGCTGCTCTCTAGCGTCGCGCCAGACACCGTGGCTGATCGTGAGCTCGAGCGTCTTCACGATATTTACGAAGCTCCTGCCGATTCAGCAACCATGGTAACTCCCGTATCAATGCCCATGCTGCATGACCCTATGAATGATATTAGTCGGTATCCCGTCTACCCCGTAGGCCAGACTGTCGGCATCGATCCTTTCCACTCGGATCACATTAATAAGATCCCATATGCCATTCCGAACGAGAACAGTTCCGGTTCCATGGATCAGCACCAGCAGCACCAGCAACATACACCACAGCCTAACCAGATGAACAATGCACCTGGGGCGTCACTGGAGAAGCCTACATCTTTGTGGGGATCGAAGAAGCCAACGGTGTTCTTGGTAGAAGACGACGGCACGTGTGCGAAAATCGGCATTAAATTTCTCAAGTCGATGGGCTGCGATGTCGAGCATGCTGTAAGTGAACTGGATGTAAAACCGATTGGTTGGGAGTTCCGACGTTGGTTATAGTGAGCTAATAACAGCTGTGTAGATCAATGGCGTGGAAGCATATAACAGGATCAACGCGGTTGGTCGTGACCATTTCGACATGATCTTCATGGACATCATCATGCCTAGGTTAGACGGTGTATCGGCCACCATGTATATCCGCCAGCACTGTCCAGCCACGCCCATCATTGCGATGACGTCAAATATTCGACCGGATGAGGTGAATGGCTATTTTGAGCATGGTAAGATGAACCAACCCCCAAGATAAGCTGGGCACTGAAACTGACCGTCATTCAGGCATGAACGGAGTGTTGGCTAAGCCCTTCACCAAGGAGGGAATGCTCAAGTCTGTCAAGACGCACCTCCAGCATCTTTTGAAGAACCCGCCCAGCCAGTCAGATAATGGGCACGGATCTGCATTCATGATGAATGTCCCCTATCTAAGCACGCCAGGCAATCCCATCAAGTTCGAATCACCAACTCCGCCTGCAGGTGCTGGCGGCTCGAATTGGTCGTCTGGCCATATGTCTCAAAATGGGGTCGATTCGGGCTTCGGGATGATGGATGGGAGCAACCAGTACAATATTACGCAAGGTAGAAATGCGTATTCGACGATGGATGCACCCTCTGGCCGCTTGTCTGATCATGATAGCCCGCCGGAGAAGCGCCAGCGCTTGAACAACTCGCAACGAACTTATGCTTAACGCTGGAGCTGGTGACCAATTTCTGTGCATGAGGACGCTCTCTTTTGCCGGATGGTTGACCTGTTCCTTTTTTCTTCCACTTTTATTTGTTTTTCCTCTTCCAAATATCTTCTCGGCTCTTGGCTTGCTCATTGCATGGGAAATTCTGCTATGTGGCGTTGTGACATGTTTAAACAAAGGAGGAGCTTTTCTTTTTCTTATATTCCATCCACGGAGATGTGCTTCAGCCTGTTGTCTTGGGATTTTTTTTTCTTGGTTGGGATGATGATTTCGCGTATCGGTTGGACATCTGTCGGGGCATTCTGCGGTTGTATTTTCCCAGCGGGGAGGAAAAGGTTTCTTTCTTTCTTTCTTTCTTCTTTTTCTTCCTCTTCTTCTTTTTTCGAGAGAAAATCGGAGTTGTAACGATGCATGCTTGGCTAGGTCATGGGATTTATGGGAGAAATGGCTGCTGAAGGTGCCGTTCTGTGATGGCACCCTGCTGAAAAGCTGTAAGCATTGGAAACGATAAGCAGTGACTATCGATCTGTAGGGAGTGGTTAATAATACTACCTGTTGTGCATGAGGAGACTTGACATGGCTTACCATTGTTTGAAGTGACGTTACATTGGCTTTTTCTTTTCTTTTCTTTTTTTTTTTTTTTTTTTTTTTTTTTTTTTTTTTTTTTTTTTTTTTTTTTTTTTTTTTTTTTGGTGTAGAAGATGAGAATTGGTCAATGTAGAACAGAGAAAGCTGCTGGGGAAGAGAGAACCCTTAAGGATGCCGGCAAAACATACGGAGCTACGGAGTGCAGGAGCGAATGGGTCCCTAGAGTCGGTATGGCAGATGGGAGGCCTTCCAACCATAAATACCTTTTAATTTCTTCCTATGCTGTCTGCGGGTGGGGAGATGAAAACGGACCCCTCCCCGATGAGATCCGATTTGCGAATCTTAGGACGTCAACATGGATCAATGTCAAAAGAAGAAAGAAAATGAGAAACCCCGGAGATTTGGGCAGTCCTCGTAATATCGGCATGGTAGAGGACCACTATACATGGAGCACGATTGAGAATCCACAAAGCGGAACACCCACTTAGGCAGGAGAAAACGAAGGAGGGAAACGAGGAAGAAATATGAATCGAGACAAGAAAAGAGAAGACAAGAAAAACAGATTTGAAATGTAACGGAAAATCACACCTTGGCATGCTTGTAGCCGTTAGATCCGATGATCCAGGCGCGGCGTTGAGGGTTCCATGGAGGTCTGGACCGGGGGTGGGAAACACTGGAGACGGGCGGTCGCTCAGCGGGCGGCTTTTAGGTGCCAGAGCGGGGGATGAGACGGAAGGGAATGAATGGGCCGAAGCAGGAGGCGTGGAGACGGTAGATTTTGTGTGTATTCTTCTTGCACAAGGAAGAACGAATTGGAACAAGAGTAGGCAGGCCTGAGATTTGCTTGTACTAGGACGATGTGATTTGATGTGATGAATGCAGACGGCAACGTACATACATACGCGAGCAGATGCGAGAGACCACTTATACATGCAAAAAGGACCCCTGTCGCCTGTTTGTTTGCTACTGGATGCCAAGCCCAGAATCTGTCTGGGCCTACGGAGCACAAGTACTAAGGTATTAATATCAACAAGTATGGAGTACAAAAGACGGAGGCGAAGAGTCTAGAGCTGGTCTATAACATGGTCTCCAGTCAATCTATTTCGTGCACGCGGCAACTTGACGTCAGCCGTGGATCTCTTCTCACTTCTATTTTCGCAAGTCTCCTGCGAGAAGCCGTGTTTGATGCAACATGACAACATGACCCTCGCCTGAAGCAACAGATGAAAAAAGCACAAAGCCGGCTAATGAGCAACAGCCTTGTTTTGGATTTCATTGCAGTGCTGCCGGCCTCCCCTTTTGTGTGTGATACGACGAGCATGTGGGTAGGGCGTGTTGCGGCGTTGCACTTACACGAAGTAGTGTACCTACTTGTGTGGATAAGATTGAATCGTAGGTTTTTGACTTGATGTCATGTCGTTACCATTTTTTCTTTTAATATTCTTCTTCTTCTTCTTCTTCTTCTTTTTTTTTTTGCCAAGGCGGCAATGGATATTTCATCTACTAGTAATGGATCTAGCAAGATGGTATGCAATGTAGAAGCAATAGTGCAAGCCACTATCAATTTTGTCAAATAACTACAGCTTTCTTCAGACAAAAAGTAGGTACATTGCAAAGAGAGAATCGAGAGGGAATAAGAGGAAAATTGCGGTGGAGGAATCACGCCAGATTCAGACAGCCGAAATAGCTTGAGGTTTTTGGAACTTTCTAGGCCCTTGCTTGACGCATGAAGTTGGGAACAGCCCGGAGCAAAAGAGGAGATCCTTGCCTTATGGGGTAATTTTTCGTGTTTCGCCTCGGAGACCATCCGAGCGAGAAAATGGGCGGTTAGAGAGTAGCTGTGGTAGTGCTGAGGCGAGCTTGAACTTTGTTATGCTGTGATGGATATATGACAGTCAACGCCCGGATCGGGTCGAGTTGCGTTGTCGGCAATTGAAGCTGTCCTGGGGTTCTTGGAAGAGAATCCTGGCGTTTCTGGTGCTTATTGTAGAGCATCGATCAATGGCCCAGTCCACGGCGGTATTGAGGTCCACGGGTACATACATGTAGGCGATAGTAATTACTGCTCTGGAGCTTGACCGCTGAAAGATGCTTGGTGGCTGGGGGCTTGGGCAGCTTTTCAGTGGGTAGCTCTTCAGGTGGCGTGGCGGCCACTATAGATAAACTAAAACAGCAGCTGACAGCACCACTGTCCGCGTAACGTGCCTGATACAGTAGACAGACGCAACTTCTACTGGGTACAAGCTACTTGACACATGAAGTGGCATTTTCACTTAACGCGTCTCTACGCGTTTGCAGCTTGTGTGGCATCTCCCCGCGCAAGGGTTTGATCCTGAATTGCTGGGCCAAGCAGTATTTCGACAAGATTCTGGTGGAGGCGGCAGTCAGTAGCCTATCAAGCATTCTGGACGCAATTGCTTCAGCGCGAGCAAAGATATACACACAATGCCGCATTCAATCTCTCCCAATCCCATCAAGGACGAGCCAATGGACGGCGCCGCAGGAATTTGCAGTGATGCTGCCCCAGTAAAGACACCCGCAGATGACGATGTCGACATGAATGACGAGTCGCAGGCGGAGGTGCCACCTGCGGGCCAAGCTGAGGAGGCAAAGAAGGAAGTCAAATTGGACGAGTTATTCGCAGATGAGGATTCAGACGAAGAGTTTCCAAGCTCAGCACCCGTTAAGCGCGAGGGCGCAAGCTCACCTGCACGAGCAGCTTCACCTTCGTATGTAACTTCATGCCCACATGCTATTCTGTACAAGAAAGACAAGAAGTCTAGCTGACCGCGCTGAATTTGCAGAGATATCCCCGCTTCCGACCCCGAAGTCATGCGCAGCTTTTACCAGCGACTCTTCCCCTGGCGACAGCTTTTCCAGTGGCTGAACCACAGCCCGACGCCTACAAACGACTTTGGTAATCGCGAATTTGCCTTCACCCTTCAGAATGATGCATACCTGCGTTACCAGTCTTTTGCAACTGCAGATCTGTAAGCCATCATGGTCTCCTGGCCGCAGCCTCAAGAGTCGGTGGTCCCAATACTTACTTGCTCTCATCCAGGCTACGAAAAGACGTCCTCCGTCTCATGCCCTCCCGTTTCGAAATTGGCCCTGTCTATTCAACAAACCCCCGAGATCGAAAAACCTTGCGCAATTCCTCCGCCTTCAAGCCTCTTTCAAAAGAACTTTGCTTTGATATCGATTTGACAGACTATGATGATATTCGAACATGCTGCGACAAGGCGACCATTTGCAACAAGTGCTGGCAATTCATGACCATGGCCATCAAGGTTGTCGATGTGGCCCTGAGAGAAGACTTTGGTTTCAAGCACATCATGTGGGTATACTCCGGACGAAGAGGTGCTCACGCATGGGTTTGCGATAAGAAGGCTCGGTCAATGGACGACCAGAAGCGCAGGGCTATAGCAAATTACTTGGAAGTCATCAAGGGTGGTTCACAAAGCGGCAAAAAGGTCAATGTCAAGAGACCTCTGCACCCCCACCTTAGGTGCGTGAAGCCTCTATATCTCACGAGCAATAATAGTAGCAGAGATGATGCTAACATGGTTCATAGCCGGAGTCTCGATATTCTCAAAACCCACTTCCAAGAGGACGTGTTAGATGTCCAAGATCCTTGGGCAACAGCCGAACAAGCTGAGAAGCTACTGCAACTTCTTCCAGATCGTAACCTAAACGATTCATTACGGCGCAAATGGGAAGCAGCCCCTGGACGATCGTCCACATCGAAATGGGCAGACATCGACGCTGTAGCCAAGACTGGTGCAAGCAAGCATTTAGATTCAAGAGCACTACTCGAAGCTAAACAAGATATTGTGCTGGAGTACACCTATCCTCGTCTCGATATCGAAGTCAGCAAGAAACTAAACCATTTGCTCAAAAGCCCCTTTGTTGTGCATCCAGGCACAGGACGAGTCTGTGTACCCATCGACACAAAGGCACTTGAAGACTTTGACCCTCTTGGTGTGCCAACTGTACAGAGTCTGCTGGCAGAGATTGATGCCTGGAAGGGTGGGGAGGATGGTGAAGAGGGCGATGACAAGTCTAAAGTCAACGTTGCAGACTGGGAAAAGACCAGCCTGAAGCCCTACGTCGATCAGTTTAGAACGTTTGTATCAGGAATTATCAAGGACGAAGGAATTGCAAAGGTTAAGAGAGAGCGAGAGGACGACTCAATGGATTTTTAATCATGATGTTACAGCTTAAAGGGAATTGCATATAATTGGGAGACACATAGTTCGTGCAGGTCTTTTGGGTATGGATTTTGCTTGGTATAAATTACGGGACTGCATACAGCATTACGTCTATGATTGTGTTTCTTTCGCTTCATCAGCTCCTGATTTGCTCTCATCTCCAACGGTAGTTGATGCCTCAACTTCCACATCCTCTTCCTTAGTTTCTGATGCTTCTGCCCCTTTTTCAACCTCAACCTCATCTTCGTCCTTGTCCTCTTCTCTTTCTTCCCCTTCACCATCCCCAGCCTCTGACTCGGCATTCTCATCTCTCAGTCTTCCGCCCTTCCTCTTAGGAATCACGCTCAAAAATGCCTGGCCCCAATCACCACACTCCAGCCACTTGAGCATAATCTCAACTACATGGTTCGTCGCCAACACTTGTCGGCTCTGCATCACCATAAACTGGCCAATCGGCAATCTCGCCGTGCGAATGCCCTTTTCCCGCGCGCGTCTGTAGCAGAGGCCCTTTTCACGGTTCTTATCGACCAGCCCGCCCACGACGTAGCATGTGTTTGGCTCCAGGCGCTCGAGTGTGTAAGGAGAGTCAGATGACAGGTACACGACGTCCTTGTTCGCCTCGTCCATGGGAGGTTCCGGCCCAGGAATGGGGAAAGGGTCGGTTTCATCACGAGTCCATGCCGAGGGCTCGTCGAGGCTGCGCTGCAGCGACTCAATCATTTCTCCGCCACTGCCATCAGCAGCGCTCATCCGTTCACGGATCTTAGCCGCGCAGCTGATATAATCGCCCTCATCGAACCAAATGCCCTTCCAGTTCTTGTGCTGATCACCTAGCACTTCGTGAAACCGCTTTGCAATCCCCTTGTTGAAGCCCGCCACCCAGAGATGCGAACGGTATCTCGCCGCCTTGTTGTCAGAGTACGCCCTCGTGACCTGGCTGGACAGAGAAACGCGCTCCTTGTCCATCATGTAATCCTCAAAGTCGCAGTCGACAATGATCCCCACAGGCGCCAGCGTAGAAACCTGCTTCTTCTTCTTGAGCTCTGCAGGATCGACGCCCTGCGCGATGAGGGCGGCGCGCTCAGTGCGGACGCGAGCTTTTCGCTCGTGGCGTTTCTCCTTGCGGCGCTTGCGGCGGTCGTCCTTGCCGGCGTCCCATTCTTCCTGCTTGCGGAGACGTTTGAGGGCGTTTTTGGACATTGGCGGTGGGTTTGATGTAGCGGCTTGGTCTGGTTGAGTGTCCATTGGTTCTGAAGGAGGCTGAGGAGGTTGTGTTTCTTCAGGCTTGGATAAAGCCTCGGCTGGTTCTGATGAACTCATATTTGGAGGAGTGTATATATTCTTGTTTGAAGCTTAGTGAATGAATTTAAAATGAGTTGCTTCCAATTGAAAATCTTTCCAAAAATTCCGATGAGATCTGGCCTTTACCAAACGCTCTTCGTTGACTGCCTTCTCACAACTTTCGGTATATAAGGTAAAGTTGAAAGCAGTTATGAGTCACGAGCGTCGCAATTGGAACGCGTTCTGCCGGTTCTGAGCTCTAGGCTAGCCGGTCTATGAAACAGCGCGATATATGCTTATAATTGACCCCTTAAGACTTGCCGGAATCCTCTTCACCGTCCTCTAACATGAAATTTTTAGAGGTCTTACACGCCAGTCTTTTTTGTATGGAGCAATCTTTTGCACCTCCAAATCCCTTAGTGGGCTGGTGGGGCTAAGAAAGTACTTCCAGACATGTACCTCACAAGCCGAGACGCTCAAACTTTCTGGCCAATCAGATCATCCCAATTGCTGACTCTGTCCATCACGTGATGCGCAATTCCCAAGAACCGGTGCAGCTTCAGAAGCATCAGACGTCAAAACAGCTCCTCATTCTCATATTCTTCCTCCCACCACGGCGAGCTACGCACCATCACACGCCATGGCGAAGCCTTACGTGCCCCATGACGTCCTTGACGAGACGGCCAAGACCTCATTAGTCGGCCTGGGAAGCGGCTTCTTCATTGCGGCCGTCCAGAATGCCATGTCGAGGCGCAACGTCGGCGCTTTGAGCGTCTTTACGCGGGGAGCTCCCATCATTGGCATTTGCGGTATGGACTTCCGGACACCGGAAGAATGCGGTACCAATTGGACCGCAGGCTTCTAGAGAGAGAAATGACGATTACGACAATTGTGCTCTTGGCTGACGGCGATGTTTTTGTGTAGCTGCGGGTCCCGGTGCCTATGCTTTCTTCTCCCGAACGATGATGAACCTGCGTGAGAAGGAGGATGCTTGGGCCGCCGCCTTCGGAGGTTTCATGTGCGGCAGTGTTCTCGGCCTTCCTTGTAAGAAATCTTCTGCCGAATTTACATAACTCTCGGCCATGCCATGACGGATGCTGATCTGCAACCTCTTCACAGTCAAGCGTACTCCTGTCATGTTCGCTCTTGGTGCTTTTGTCGGTACCGCTCAGGGTCTTTTCCACGTTGCTGGCGGCCGACTAGACAGCTTCTACAAGGAGGAGGATGAGTTTGAGCGTAAGGAGATTATCCGACGGACAACCCGTGTGCCCGTTGAGCAGACCATTGCTGAGCTTGGTGAGGGACGAGGTAAGACTTTGCTTTTTAAATTGAGTCGTTATTGAACTGGTACTGACGTTTAGAAGGCATTCGTCCTCCCGGATATGAAGAGCGGAGACGAGAGCGTATCAAGGAGAAGTATGGCTTCGAGGTTAACCCTGTGAGCGCCACGGCTGAGGGCAGTCAATAAAACGAAAAAGAAATACCAAGAATAAAGCCAGCTGTCAGAGACTGAGAGGGGAGTCTACGGCAGCTTGTATATATATATGCATCGCATTCCAGTGCGGAAGAGATGCGATGCTAGATAATTCGATCTTTTTTTTTTTGCTCTGTGTTGCCATGCACCATCGCTGTTCGCCAATTTGCTGGTCTGCGTGTTTTCGCATCTGGGCTCTCGGTGCATTGTGACAAACTTCAAAAGGTACGTTGTCTTACACTCTCCAGCATGCGTTGTGTTTTTTTTTTTGTTTCCATGATGAAATCTTTTTCAGAGGTTGTTTATGATATCACTGATTACACTAATCACCATATCTACATTGTTATGACTGATGGATCCTCCTTTCTCAATTTTACTCCTTTATGTTAACTTTCTGTTAAGCATGAAGTGCTGACATGCCAAAGTATAGATTGTAAAGCTTCTCAATGACAACCAAACAGAATAAAAGTAGTGGTACGTTTTTACACATCAATCTGTGTTCCTTTGTTTTTCTGCTTTCCGTGATGATTACTTTTTTCAGAGGTTGTTTATGATATTACTGATTACATTTATCACCATTTCTACATTGTTTTCCCTGATGGACTCTCCCTTTTTAATCCTTGTTACTTTACATTGTTTACCCATGCAACATGTATCGCTAACATACTGAAAGCATAGGTTGTGAAGCCTTTTTATAGCAAGCAAACAAATAATAGTCAATGGTACGTGGTGTTGCAATTATCAATCTGTGTTATTTATTTCCTCGCTTTCCATGATGAGTACTTTTTCAGAGGTTGTTTATGATATCACTGATTACATTTATCACCATTTCTACATTGTTTTTTCTCTGATGGAATCTTTTTCTTTTTTAATTCTTACAAATCGTTGGCTACTAGTTGAGGATGAACGCTAACATGCTAAAAGTATAGGTTATATAACGTCTTAATACCCAACAAACAAGACCGTAATGATAGTGGTACGTTGTTTTATATTCTTGCACTTGCTTTCTTCTCTCTTTCTTCTGCCTTTCTCCATGATGAATCTTTCTTTCAGAGGTTGTTTATGATATTACCTGATTACATTTATCACCATTTCTACATTGTTTTCCCTGATGGACTATACTTTCAATCTCTATTCATATTGGCTATATGTCTGAACCATACGCTGACATGCAAAACGCACAGATGGTAGAGTCTTTCATGGACAAGTAAATTTGCAAATTGCGCCATCTTCATCAATACTGGTGCATCATTGTACTATAAAAATATATATGTGCCATTTCCGTCCCTTTGACGGGACCTGTTTTCCCAAATAAATGCCATCAAGTCCAACTCCCGGCGCGCTGCTAAATACGAGATCACCGCTCTAAATATCTTCAAATTGACGCTTTTCGCCCAAATTCTTCAATTTTTATAGTGCCTTGACCGATTGAAAGAAAGGGTTGGCCAGGAGACTCTCATCTGCCGCCACCAACTCCTTCAGCTTAGCCACTTGCTCTTCTTTGCTCAACTCTCCATTCTGCACGGCCTCTTTCCATTCGACGAGAACCTTCTTCAACATCGCACTGCCTTGTTCAACATCCTCGGTACTGTAGCTAACGCCAAGGTCTTCATGCTTGGTAGTAAAATCTTCCAGCTCGTCCGCCTTGCGTTTTGCCATGCGAACAACCTTATCTGGGAATCGTACCAGCTCGGCGACGTGGATGCCGAAACTCTGATCACAAATGCCCGGCTCAACCTTGTACAGCAGCGTGACCTCACGCTTGGCGTTGACATCGCCATTGGTGCCGCTGATATGTGCTGTAACGTGCATGTTCTTGACCTGAGGGTACTGATCGGCCAGAGCAGTAAGCTCGTGGAAGTGAGTCGCAAACATGGCAAAGCAGCCAATCTCCTTGACAATGTGCTCAGAGATGGCCCAAGCGAGGCCAAAACCATCGTATGTCGAAGTACCACGTCCAAGCTCGTCGATGATGATGAGGGACTCTGCCGTCGCTGACTTGAGAATATTGGCAGTCTCAAGCATTTCTGCCATGAAAGTGGATACACCCTTGAGCTGTGAATCAGAAGCGCCGACTCGGGCGAGGATAGAGTCGAAAATGGTGAGCTCAGCCTCTGAACAGGGGACGAAGGACCCAACCTGGGCCATAAGGGCAATAACGCCAGCTTGACGGATGTAGGTAGATTTACCGCCCATGTTGGGTCCAGTGATGATGATGAATGAGGACTTATCTCGGGTGAGCTCAACATCGTTGGTGATGAATTGCACGTCATCCTGGAGTTCCATACAGGGGTGACGAGCACCCAAGAGTTTAGTCTGACCCTCACCGCGGGCATGTATCTTGGGTCGGACGTAGGCATCTGGAGCGTGGACGGCAGCGTGAGAGAGCGATACGATGACATCTAGGTGGGCAAGCACGCTGGCGAGACGCTCAAGGACCGGGCAATACGAGGACGCTACCTGGACGACCTCGTTTACCAAACTGCTCTGAGTGCGATTGTAGTTTTGAGACAGCTGGTCATATTCACGACGATAGGCTTGTAGCTGCTTCGTAGTGAAGTAGACACCGTTCTTCTGAGTGGAACATTCAAGATATTTTGACTTGCCACGAATGCAGCCAGCTTCTTGTCTGGTCAGACGCATGCACACGCCGTGGACCTTGTGGTTCGCTTCGAGGAAGATCTTCTTGTCGGCCTCCTGACCCAAGTCGCGTGCGGCGCTCTGGAATTCTTGCCTAATGTCATGGTCGAGTCGATCGAGCTTCTTGCGGATAACACGCAGGCTTTGATCATATTCGGGCTTGATTATATACTCATGTCGGTCTAGAGCGTCGAGATCAACAGTTTGTTCAACCATCTCCTGAAGCTTGCCGAGACTATCGGACAGCTCTCGGAGCTTGTTGGTATACGCTTCATCCAGAGGATCTTTGTAAGCCTCATCCATGATTCCCTCGAGAGTCCCGATGAAGCCAGGAAGGCGGATAACGACCTGGTAGGCACGGACGACATCCTCCAGATTAGCTTTGCCGCGTTGGAATTTCTTCGACAAGCGGTAGAGGTCAGGAACAGAGCGTAAATGCTCTTCCTGCATAGTCTGACGGAGCTCAGTATCAGTAAAGAAAGCCTCGACAAGCTGCTGTCGCTTCTCGATTTCACTTTTGCTCATCAGCGGCTGCTTTAGCCACTGTGCCAAGAGGCGACTGCCTACAGGAGTCTTGCAGTGATTGAGCACGCCGTAGATGCTCATTGTCTTTGATCCGTCTCGCAGACCAGGCATGAGGTTGAGGGCCTTTAGAGCCGCAGCGTCCAGCTTCATGTATTGGGCCAAATCGTGCTGGTACAGCTGATATTGGCCAAAGTTGGAGGGATCCTGCAGAGCGCCAATGTATTTAATCAGGCATGCCGCAGAGCCCATGGCCAACTTAAGGTCTGTCTGTGGCAGCATAGCAACTGATTTTTCATCCTTTAGGAGGCGAGCCAAATCTTGTTCGATATCCTTGATGCCAAAGTCGCCTGCGGGACGCTCGGCCAGAGCAACACCGCAGTTGTTGATGACTTGCCTCAACTTTGCCAATTCGGGATCCCTCTCTCTCTCTTTTTCATTTTTGTCGTATTGGATGAGGCACTCTCGGACGCCAAGCTGAATAAGGAGAGCCTCAAAGTTGGAGTACAGGTCGTTGTCGAGGAACTCGCTGACACCAAGCTCTCGCACGCTCGCGTCGGCGAAGCAGACACCGACAGCACGCGCCTCGGAAGCCTTTGCGGATATCTTGACGGCCATGATCATGGGCGCCGAATCGATTTGGCCGCCCAGCTCGTCTTCGACGTCTTGGAGGTTTCCAGGGGACGCCTGCTTGATGCACTTCCAGTTCATCCGACCGCTGGCGCTCTGCCAGATTTCGACCCGCTTGCCCAGCTTGAAGAGCGCCTCGCGGAGGAATTGTCGGAAGACCGTCATGGTCATTGTGACGGAGGGGAGACCTGTGTGGTCATTTTTGCCGAGCTGCCTGACAACAGACGTTGTTTTGTAGACCTGGATGCACTGGATTAGAGATTGCTGGCTTGTGAACGGGGCTGGCACCGTACTGTTTTGGCAATGAACATGGCATCTTCGCCGTGGGCTGTGTACCAGTCACCTCTGTCGAATATTCGCACGGCATCGGCGCCGATATCTGGTAGCGATTTGAAGAAGCGGATGAAGCCGCCCTCGTCATCGAGCTGTCCCGCCAAATGTCAGATTCTATATTCGCTGCAGCTGTAGCTGCAACTATCATAGAGTGCTGGGCCGCACATACCTTCAATTCGGGTCTTGAAGCCATGGTTAAATCTGATGCACCCAAAGGTCCCTCGAAAATTCCCAAATCTTCTCCTCCTAGCTGGATTGAAGGAGATGAAGCATGGAGAAGAGACGGCAGCTGGTTGGAGAAGCGTGGCCAGCTGAATCTCCTTATCAAGCTGTAGGCGCGTGTCTCGGAGGGGGAGACGCGTTTTCTGCTGCAATCAATTAAAGCTGGGACCTGGCGTTGACGCGAAAAGCGCAGATTAGATAAGCATCGACCGCTGGTGCTATACTTTACCCTGGCTCTGTTCTTGTAACTTTGGCTCCGAGGATTGGCCATCTGCTGTTGCTTTTGAACATGCATTTGTTGTCTAATATGCTTCCATCACGTATAAATATTTGAAACTCGCCCAAACACATGTTAAAAATATGTTGCCAGTGTCTAGGATGCATAGCTCGTCGCTCTGATAATTCTCTCCCACTTCAATTGGATACCAGCAATTAATATGGACAATCCTGTTGCTGCAAATGTCCTTGGGACACTTGGTGCTGCAAGTCTTTCCCTCCAGTCTTCTAGTTTCTATAGTTATTGGTTGTACATACATAATGATCTTTTCTTGAAAGTAGACTGACGGTAGATGCGTCATAGGTTTGCTGGTCTGTACAGGTATGAGCTTCAAGTCTGGTATGTGGGGGATTTGCAAACTAAATGAGAGGCAGCTGATACCCCAAATCATCATCAACCACCGTCGCCATAACACCATCGGCCTGCAGCCCTCAATGATGATGCTGTGGGCGTGGGCAGGTGTTCCGCTTGGAGTGTACAACATCACCAAGGAGTTCAATGTGGCCTTGCGCATCCAGCCTCAAATATTGACACTCCTCAGTCTCATCACTTGGACTCAATGCCGCTATTATGACAAAGTAAGTATATAACTCACTTTTCTATTGTCGTTCAACTGGCTATAATACATGTAAACGCTAATCCCACACACTAGAAATGGTCCATCTCCCGTTGTCTTCTTATGGTCATCCCTATTGCTCTCATAATGGCTGGCATACAAATTAGCCTCATCTTTGCTCTTCGGGCCGCCCACTCTTCGCAACTCACATGGCCAGACACGTTAATGGCGGTTCTCTCGGCTGCTCTTCTTGCCGCTGGCGTCCTCAGACATTATTGGGATATATATGTCCACCGATCAGTGCGTGGGATCTCATTCATATTTGTAGGCATCGACGCTGCCGGCGATCTCTTTTCTCTGATCTCGGTGTTTTTCCAACCGAGGCTAGATATTCTTGGTATGGTGATTTATGGAACTGAGTTAGCCCTTTGGACGGGCGTGTTCGCCTGCGGAGGATATTTTAACTTGATCCCCTGGATAAAACAAAATCTAAAGGCGTCTCCAGAGAATGACGTGTCATCCAACACCTCCGAGCCACCAGCAGACCAAACGACGCAACCAATTCATGACATCGCTCTTCGAAATATGCCGTCATCCACATCTGTCTTTAGGACGCCATCAAGCGAGTTTGCTGCTGCGAGGATTAGAGCCGGGTTCCACGATGTTGAAGATGAGAGTGATACAGTCTCGTGAGGATGATTTCGACATTGTAAATATCAAGTTTGTTTCTGGCACTGCAGGAGGCCTTGGTGAAGATGGGAAGAATAACGAAGCGAGCAAATTAATCGCTAAAAATCGCTGAGCACGACAGAAATTTCCATTTTAGAGGAGTACTCTCAGCATACGCTCCTTGACTAAGAATAAGAGTATATCTGCATCCTGATATTGTTGGAAGTTTGCGCTATACAAGCCCAAAAAAATGCAACCAATTACGAATGAAGAAGAAAAGAGTATTGAGTACTCGACTGCTTCCTGCTGCCCATCGAAATATCACGGTCAGCCGACCAGCATCCGTATCCGCGCCCTCATATGGCTGAAGATTGAGGAAAAGGGGGGTCATTGAGGCGATCAGCACAAGGAGCGATGTGAAGTAAATCCCGGCAATGAAATTGTCCGAACAGTTTACAGGGAACTGCTCTAGAGGAGGAAACAGTCGGAACGTCGTGGCCGGAGGCAATCCCAGCATGAGGGAAACATTTGTCTCTACATTTTGGAAGAAGAGAACGAGCGAGTATAGAAGAGAGAAAATGGAACGCATCATATCAAGAGCGACAGTGAACATGACGGAGCGTAGAATGGCGATGAGCTGATGCTGCTGTTGGTGTTGGTGTTGTTGCCGGTGTGCAGTGAAAGGGATCTGATCTGCGGTTTGGCATCGTGGCCATGGAGGGTCTGGCTCTATTTCACTTGTATAGGTAGTAATGATCCAATGTCTTCAAGTGGAAGCAACGCTCTCAAATCTATTTAGCTACTGCTAATCTAACACACACCTGTCATGATCGCATCATTGCCGCCATAGCAGGCAACCTGAATCAAGCAGGTGCTTGGCACGTCCACCAGAAGGCAACATAAACTTGTCATCAAGGCAGGTGGTTTAAATCGTATTGATCATCCATGTCCTCATCACTGCGCAGCCACGTCTTCCAGAATCATATGCGCTGCCTTCTCCGCAATGGCATACACCGTCGCCTGGATATGCGCGCTGATCTGGAGCGGCATGATGCTCGCATCCACAACTCGCAGGCGCTGCACCCCGTAGACTTGCAGCCGCTCATTCACGACGCCGCCGCGAATGCCTGCGTTGCCGCCCATGGCGCACGTCCCGACCGCATGCAGCGCCGCCCGGGTGCCGCTCTTGATGATCTGCTTCATCTGCTCATCGTCTTCAAATGCACTGGCGGGCGGGAGAAACGGCTGTCTCACAACGCTGTTGAAAGGCGGCGCAAGCATGATGCTGCGGGCAAACCGCGTCGACTGCAGCATCAGCTCCAGGTCGATTTCGCCGGCGGGCCCGTGGTAATACCCAATCTCAATCACGGGATCATCCGTCGCCGCAGACTTGGGCTGTACGTGAATCGAGCCAGCAGCGAAAGGCTGCTGTAGAATTTGAGCGATGATGCCGTGCCTGCTGTCTGCTCCCCCAAAGGCTCCAGCTCCAAGTTTGAAGAAGTATTCCATCAAGCCAATTTTATCGGGGTTTCTTAGGCGCTGCTCCAAAAGGGCCTTCTTTTCGGGTGACAGGCCTGTCAAAGCGTCGACCTGGGAACATATCTTGTCCAGGGCACCTTGTTGTATGGCTTTCGTAAATGGCACCATACCAAACGAACCGGGCATGGTAGTGAGAGGACCAGTTTTATCTTGGTCATACTGTTCACGAGCTGCAGCCGCTTTCTCGGCATCGAGTATGAGTTCATCCGGATTCTCAAGCTCTGGGTCAACATCCACGACGAAAATGAGGGCTATTCACGGCATGTCAACTCAAATAAACCACAGGCATAGAATAGTCGCCGGTATGAAGTTGCCTGGCTGTGTGCATACCTTTGTGTTCTTGCAGGTTTTCTCCTACCATGGGACTGTCCACCTTGGCATCAATACCAGCTCGAGACAATATCTCGGGATTTCCAATGCCCGAAAGCTCTAATATCTGTGGAGATTTGATAGTTCCAGCAGACAAGATGACTTCGCGAGATGCCGAGACGGTATACTCCTGGCCATTGTGAGTAAATCGAACTCCAGAGGCCACATATCCGCTATCGGCCTTGACAAGAATAATCTCTTCAACCAGAGCTTCAGTCAGAATGTACAGATTGGAACCAGCCAAGGAGCAGTACTCGGTCGCAAAACTTCGAGCTTTTGTGTGCAGGCCCAGGCTGGATGGATTTGTCCAGGCTCCAGCATTTGATCCTGAATAAGGAGCCGGATTTGTTTCCACGCCTAACGAGTTGAGCCCCTTGATCCATAGCTGATGGGACGGCGAGTATTCGTCGGGATAAGTGATTTGAATTGGGCCCGAGGTGCCGAGGGTGTTGGGGTCATATCGGATGTCTTGCTCCTCTTGTGTAGAAGAGCTTGGTGGATGGACTGTTTCCGACTTTTTGAAAAAGGGCCTATGGGAACGCAACAAGGATAATAAGCACAATCAACATCACAGCCATTATTGGATCTCAGATAAAGGGAGCACTTACAGCAAGTCATCCCATCCCCATCCGGGATTGCCCAGTTCCACCCAGGCATCATAGTCCACCCTGCCTGCTCTATTCCAGCCCATATAGTTGATGGCGCTGGATCCTCCAAGTCCTTTGCCCCGCGGCCACTGGTCTTTCACACCTCCTTGTGTGCCTGGAGGCGTCGATTCAAACTTCCAGTCAATGTCGGTGCCCAAGGCTCTTCCAAAAAAGGCAGGAATCTCGACCTCATCGCGCCCGTTTACCACCCCTCCAGCTTCAAGCACTCCGACGGTGAACTTGCCATGCTGAGCCAGACGGGATGCAACAACAAGACCAGCGGTCCCACCACCAATGATGATGAAGTCGAAGGACTGGCGGGTGAAGTCGTCTACGGAAACTGTTTGCATGTTGGACGGTGGAGCCTTGGTGAGAGATATTGCAAGGGATTTACTCCTCAAAAGGAAAACGACACAATGCCATCTGGGGCATTATCTTGACAGGACTCCAGTCTTTTATAGACGTCCATGCCGTTATTAGCTGCAGCATACCCAGGCAAGCCCGGAAAAGGCGCGTCTTGTGGTATGACATGGCCCCGCCTACCATTGAAAGAAGCGGAGAATGTGCATTCAGTAAAATCTTCCATGATGCGAATAGTATAGGGACAGGCCAGTGTTTTGAAGCCTACGGAATAGATCCAGGATAGTATTGGCGTCTCCCATTGCTAAAATAGGCATTACATATAGATACTATTTGCCACGAATTTGAACTGCGAGATTCCAAAAATCTGACAAGGGTTGACTTAAAATCTGACAGCAACTCCAGACTAGGCATTTCATTGCTTTTTAGCAACTTTTCGGACAAGATAGCCTTGGATGCAAATTCCTATTCTGGATAGCCAACACTTTGCCCCTTATATATGCATTAGCTCTCTACCCGGCGTCACAATTCCAAATCTAACGTGTCGCTACCTACAAGTATAGCCGTCACAAGCCAATGTCCATTGATTTTATAGGACTTGGAGAATTGAGGAAGCAGAAAAAGTAGAGAAGATACTACAAGATTTGTTTATCTTTTTGGACTTTGTAGTTGTATCTTGAAACAGCGTTGCCTACCCGATCGAGAGATTCTGGCCCGTTCAAGAGCATCGGGCATCAACCTCTTAAGAATGACATCATGGACCAACGCCTCAGCAAACTCACTCCGCTTGATATATACATGTATATATAGTTTTATTGAAATGTAATTGAAATTTTGTTTATCAAGATTTTTTTAATTTTTTTTAATGACATCGTTATGGCCACCAAGCCGAGAGTGATATACTGGTTCCGGACAGACCTGCGTCTGCACGACTCGCCTGCCCTCCAAGCAGCATTGGATCTCGAGCCGGAGGTTCTCTGGCCAATATTCACATGGGATCCTCACTATGTGTACAAGGCGAGAGGAGGAGTGAACAGATGGCAGTTTTTGTAGGAAGATCAATTCTCATTTAACTCTCTCTTGCAAGCCAAGACTGAATGAATAAATGAATGAGACAAGGCAGCTGATATACGTTGACTCACAGGTTAGATTGCCAAAACGACCTTTCAAAATCCATCACAAAGCTCAACAAAAAGTCCAAATTGTTCGTCTTGAGAGAAGGTCCGCAAACTCTGTTCCCCAAACTCTTCAAAACCTGGAAGCCCACGCATCTCGTCTTCGAAAAGGACACGGACGCATACGCCCGCTCCCGCGACGAGGCCATCGCAAAGGCCGCCACGGAGGCCGGCGTCCAGGTCATCATCAAGCCAGGCCGGACGCTCTGGGACAGCGATGAAATCGCCAAGCACCACCATGGCGGTAAGCCTACCATGTCGATTACCCAGCTCCAAGCTGCTGGCAAGAAAATAGGCCCTGTTGCGAAGCCCATGGCTTGTCCCAAGAGCTTGCCTGATCCGGGCGATATGCCTATAGACTTTGAACGGCATCTTCCGAGCAAAACACCAGATTTCAACGCAGGTTTTAGATCTGAGACGGATACGGGATACAGCGCGATTGCAGGGCCAAACGGCGATTTCGCAATCGAGACGCTGGAAGAGCTCGGCTTTCCTCCCGCCACGACACCCCATCGCGGCGGCGAGAGCGTCGCCCTCAAGGCCCTCGACGAACTAATCAAGAACAAGACCTACGCCGCGACGTTCCAAAAGCCAAAAACAAGCCCAGCCCAGTTCAGCCCGCAATCCACCACGCTTCTCTCCCCGTTCTTCCACTTCGGCGCCCTCTCCGTCCGCCTCTTCTACTGGCGCGTCCACGAAGTCGTCGAATCCCACGGCAAGGGTGCATCAACGCCGCCAGAGAGCCTCATCGGCCAAGTCCTCTTCCGCGACATGTACTTTGCCGCCCAAGCAGTGCTCGGCCAATCCTTCGCGCAGACAGCAACCAACCCTTACTGTCGCTTCATCCCGTGGCACTTACCCTCCAAGCGAGACCCAACAACGGGATTGGCCACGGGAGAATACCACATAGACAAGACGGAAGCCGAAACATGGTTCCAGAGATGGAAAGCCGGCGTCACGGGCTTCCCCTGGATCGACGCCCTGATGCGCCAGCTCAAGGAAGAAGGCTGGATCCACCATCTCGGGAGACATAGCGTCGCATGCTTCCTCACCCGCGGCGGCTGCTACGTCGACTGGGAGCGCGGCGCCGAGGTCTTTGAGGAGTGGCTCATCGACCACGAGCCCGCCTGCAACATCGGCAACTGGCAGTGGCTCGCGTGTGTGGCATTCTTCACGCAGTATTTTCGGTGTTACAGCCCCGTATCGTTTGGCCAAAAGTGGGACAAGAATGGCGACTTCATCCGCCGTTGGGTCCCAGAACTCGAAAAGGTCAAAGCAAAATACATCTACGAGCCGTGGAAAATGCCGCTCGTAGACCAAAAGGCGGCCGGTGTGAGAGTAACCGGCGACGGCATCTCAGACCGCCAAGAGGGATCGTACCCCAAGCCCATGTTCGACTTCAATGAGCGACGAAGCATCTGTTTGTCGGCTATGAAGAATGCTTATGCGGTTGGGTTGTATGGTAATGACGACAAGGTTTTGGACGGGAGCTGGAGGTCGCTGTTTCCATCTCCCGACGAAGCTGAGGTTATGGGCGAGTATGAGAGCGACTATGGAGACAACGCAGATATTGGAGACGAGGACGGTCGAGAGGAGGTAGATGGAGAATCTTCAGGCATCAAGCGCGCGGCGCGAGGAAATAGCACAGATGCCAAGACAAAGAAGCAGAAGACAGAAGAGTAGTTTGCTAGAAAATGAACCGTGTCTTGAGAATAAAATGAGATACTTGTCCGGCACCCCATTCATGGCTAACCTCGCGATTTTATTTAATCTTCTTCTCCTATTGCTTCCTCTGCTTCCACTGCCTTTGCCCTTTCGTGTTACTAGTATATGGTAGTCAAATATTTAATGTGGACTGACTGCCTCCTTGGGCCGCGGCTGTGGTACCTGATAACGAAAATGAGGTGCTGAATTATTAATAATTCCCCATGAAAGAAGTCACAATTGAGTTCCATAAAGTTCAAACACGAGCTGATCTCAATACGGCATCCCCTTGTATATTAAGCGAGGCCCACTTCTTGATTACCATTACCTGCCCCCAAAAGCTACATTAATTATTGTCTTCCAAGATCACCACAGTCAAGTTTTTAATAGCTTCATATCGTGTATAAGAACAATTCGCCTCTCTCTCAAAATCTTCAGAGCAAGGTGGAATTTGTCCCGTTGAGTGGCAGCACTCCGATATGTTGAACAGGCATCTGCATTATATCCCAGTGATCGGAGATGTTGGGGTTGCCGTAAGGTCGCAAGGCGGCGAAGCGCAACCTATGCAAAGAAAGTAAGCACGTCTAGAAACTAAACGATAGATATCCTTGGATCCTGGGCCTCACGTATAATTGCCCGGTGCAATATGGCTTCCATTTGCCAGCTTGCCAAACCACCAATGTTTGGCATAGCCACGGGGAACTCTCAGCTGCGGAAATGAAATTGTGTCATCCTTGTCCATACGACTTGGGTCATAGTACCAAAAGGTATCAGCATCTTTCATCGTAGCTGCAGAGCCTATATAACCGAATTCCCCGACAATGGGGGGATATTGCCAGCGGTTCTCTGTCCAATATGTATCGTAGATCTAAATCGCGGAGCAAAATCAGTCATATCTTCATATAAGTAAAAAGAGTAGGTACTAACATCCCAGCGGAGGTGGACGCATGGGTAATTGAGACGTGCAGATAGCTCAATAAAGTCGAATCGGTTTCTGTCCGGGTTGAAAGACCAACTGTACCATAGCATTAAATATGCTCCAAAGAATAACGCTGGCATTACTCACGTCCAATTCGCACCCCAATCGGTGATGAAGGGGTCTCCCAGAAACATAGTATCGAAAGCTTTCTCGGTATCATAAGCTGCCCCTATAGCGCACAAAATGTATCAGCTTGTTGTAATATCCAAATCCATCCAACTTGGGCAGACAAATGTACCTCCATAGGGAATGGAGAGATCTTCGCCATTGTTGCCCCTGATCCAGATTTTGCCGCCGTATAAAGGTAGGTAATCATCACTTATGCCCTCTGGCAGACCGAAAATGAATCTTGAAGTTGTTAGCTTTTAAAAATGTTAAATGTGGTACCGAGGAATGGCATTATTACTCGACCTGTCGCGTCTCTCCAGAAGCTATCATGATATCTTTAGGCAGCACAACTGGTGGCACAATCTGCAGAGGTTTAATCTGGTAGACGGTTTTAATGCCGTAATGAGGATCCAGGATTTCTACTCCAGCTTGCGGCTCAAGCTCAAAGGAATACGTGACTGTTTGGTTTCCAGAGTTGGTTATGTCGACGTTCCATTTAGATCGAAACTGTATGGAATCTAACAGAGAAAACGGTTCGAAGGAGAGCTGAGTAACATGGTTGATGACTTTGAGAGCATTGACAAGGCCAGTGCCTACTTGAAATGGAGGGGCTCTGAAACGGAAATCAGCGTCATCAGCAGCCCAGCCAATGCTGATTCCACTGGAGATGACCCGGTTTGCTAGCATCTTTGCAAACCCCGGGCCATGTAGCTCACGGCCGCCGTGCTTGGATATGTATAATGCCGCAACGCCGGCGATATATGGTGCGGCCATGGATGTCCCACTCATGGACTCGTAGCTATTGCCTGGTACAGTGCTGACAATCTCAAATCCTGGAGCGCCGATATCAGGTTTGAGCAGCAACTCATTCGTTGGCCCCCACGAGGTAAATAGGGCGGGAATAGGTGCTGCGCCGGGATCAGAAGTGCTGATGTTTGGATTTCCAGTTACATTAATGGCGGCCACAGATAAGACATTATGCCCGCTGGCGCCACTGCTTGAGTAAAATGGCCCGGTATTGCCTTCGTTTCCTGCCGAAATGGTAACCACAATCCCCTTATCGGCAATTCTGCTAGCAATCAGAGCCCAAGGATCATCAGCAAACCCATCGGGTCTGCCAATGCTTGCCGTAATGACGTCCGCCTATCCAGAGTTGTTAACCGGTAGAACGCAGGATCAGGTGCAACAAAACTTACCCCAGCGCCATATGCGTCACAAAATGCCTGGATGAGTACATCTTCGTCAGTATCCCAGGGATTCTAGACAGCTTGTCAGTAGGATGCTGGTTTATGCAGAGGAAAACATAGATGGCCTACGTCGGCAAAAACTTTGAATGAAAGAATTTGAGCATCAGGAGCAACGCCAGTCAGCCTATAAGTCGGAATGGTATTAGCCTCGGATGTGATAAGAAGCCTCGTTTGGGCAGATTACCATTCATTTTCCGCTGCAATGATTCCGGCCACATGGGTCCCGTGGCCATGAAAGTCCATGGGATCTTGATCTGGCTCCCTTGGAAATTTCTTCTCATTGTGTGAGTTCCCTTGAGATTTAAATTAGATCTCGCAATATCTCCGTCGCCATCAGCTGAACAAATCTTACAGTTTGTACCAACGAGATCATAACCTCCGGCGATTTTGCAACCCGGGCCAAAGCACCCACCGAGCTACAGATGTATTTAGTACGAGCCGCTAAATCATCACCGAGAAGGTCTACCAACCGCCTCGTGGGTATAATCAACCCCTGTATCGATAATGGCAATAGTGGCGCCTTTGCCTCGAATACCTTGAGCGTGGAGCTGATCGACACCGGTCCACTGATGCATCGAATAGTTGTGATATTTGAGTCTGGGGGCGGCCTTTACTCTCTGCATGGCGGACAACATGGGCACAGTCTTCATTGGCCAGACGTTTGTCACACCTCGAAATCTTCTTAGGGAGTCGACGTTGTCGATTTCAGTCTCGACAACCAATCCATGGAAAACGTCACCGCAGTCAAATTGTCTAAAGTAAGTGCTGTTTCTCGATGACGGTGCTGCAAACAGACGAGCCATGTAGGGAATGCTCCCCTGAACCAAGTGTTAGTCTGCAATTTTGTATGCAGTGAGAATGCGGCAATAGCATAACATACAGTTTCGACTTCAACTATATACCTGTTTGTGGCAGCATTGACATTTCCCGTGGGTATGTCAGCCACTCTCTTCTGCTCGGTTTTCAGTGACGCTGCCTCTGCCACGAAAACGGCGAGGCTCCAAAGGTTGAGAACTCGCATGTTGATTTGTTTCAATTGGCCCAAAGGGGCACTTTGGGATGAAATTATCCTTGACACAGTCTTACTACTCAGATGGTATTAAAAGCAAGCTTGATGCCGGTAAGCTGGATTCAGCTTGGGAGAGAGGAAGCAGCCAACAGGAACTGACAAGGCTCAGTCGAAAGAACAAGTGCACGATCAAGCAAAATTAAGGCTCATTACAGCAGTGAGAAAGCATCGAGAAATGCACAAGATTGAAAGATCATGCCAACCGAGTTTTATTCTCACAGTCGCCGTATCAGCTGTCGATATACATCAAAGAACAAACTTTTTGAAATAGTCGAGACGGCATGGATATGCCGACTTGGTCCTTCCTCACGGGTAGCGACATCTTCTCTTTCCTACCTTGTATTTTTTCCAAGGTTGCATATCTCGAGAGTTCTGGGTGTTGGGCAGGCGCTAGGAATGATGCCTCTCGGCAGCGGGAGTGCTCCTGTCACGGTGCCCGCACTTTGCCGCAATGGAGCTCTTGCACATCCGCTCTTATCTATGGCGATCCAGACTGAGAAAGTGCTCAATCGGCTCTTTCCCGTGCCAGCGGGTCTGATACGGATATCGGCTGGATGCAAAAAATAAGTACTTGTTACTTTGTGATAGGTGCGAGTTTGCATGATGCAGCAGCGCACTTCAACCGAGTCATCGTCGCACGCAGTCCCGTCCCGTGGGTACCTATGCGTACTCGAGAGAGATATAGCACAGTACCTACTACTACTAGGTAGATATAATTGTGACTTGTAGAACTAGCTGGATGCACTGAATGCTCGCCGCCGTATCAGGTTTTACATGCTCATAGCAGCAGGCATCTGGAGGCATAGGCATAGCAGCACTGACTCGGACAATTTTCTGCATCCTCACTCTGCCAATTGTAGAGCTGGGGCCACAAATAAACAGCTGTTGGCACCCCAAATGGCTTCGCTTTGAACAAGTATCAAGTGGAAGCTAGCTTCTCCTGAGAAATAAAAGCTGAACATGGTCAAATTTAAGTCTATAAACCATCACTGCTCGGCTGCTCCACACCCGTGCGCCGTCCACAGAAAAAGTGGCGCTCCGGCGCACAATGAGTACAAGTTCGAGGCAGAGGAGGAGGACCGTTGGGGGATCTGTGTTCTCGGCAGCTTCCGATAATGCCAACGGGCTCGCTGGACGGCCTCGCGCACCATGTGTGAGACATACGAGACAATGGCAGCAAACACGCAGCAGCTCAAGTGGTTCTCACCCCGTTGTATATCACCTTGTACGAGCACGGAGGACTCGAAAATTCATCTACGCTAGAGCTTACGTCTGTCACTTATTACGAGTAGTACTATTAGCACTCCAGCTATTACTTGTACATACTAAATAGTGCCTGAATACTTGCAGACAGTCCCAGCTCAGCTGCTCCGTGCAGGGGCCCCGTTTCCTTCAAGATCGCGCCTCGCTTCTGGAATCCACGTGGAAAAAGAGTGCTAGGCGCAAACATGGTTCTGCACCCATGCATGTCACCAGCCAGACGTGACTTGTCGGCGCCTTAAATGGGGAGATTGGCCTGAGCTGGGGAATAGCAAATCGCAATCATAGGCGAATCCGCGGCTCTCTTTCGTCTGATACCATCGCTAGCAGACCCAGCGTCCTGGCTGGAGAGTGACGGCTAAAGTCGAGACGAAGAATGGATGCAGGGGCTGTGGATATGCACTACTGCTGGCATTCTAGCTACAGAAATGCGGCGCCCGCCATGCATCAAGGCACTACGCAAGTAGCACGACGGCTATCAGGTACAAGTACGGAGCACCACCGGTATGGTCGCGGATGGGGCCTGATGCGGTTTGGGTTGGGGATGCGCAGATGCAGGACGAACGAGTGGACAAGCCAGGGTTGCTGTTGTAAATACGAGTACGGCCGCACCGCTGCTGCTGGACTGTCGTGCATGCAACGCTGTATGCTAATTATAGGCAGGCACTGAGCTGCACTCGTACGGTGCTTCTATGTTTATTCATGCAGAGAACAGCAGAGGGAGAGGCGCAGGCAGACAGATGGACGGATGGACAGAGCTGTAGCGAATCGACGCTGCAGATTGCGACTTGCAGCGGCCAAGCAGAAACAGCATGGCGACCATGCAGGTTTCAATCGATAACGGCGGCCAAGACTCCCGCTTTCAACCAGCCAATGTCGCTTAATGGGAGCTTGCGCCGTACCTGGCCAAGGCAAATCCTGCCAAACCCAGCTTGGAGCCGGCGACTTTATTGGCGCAGCCCAGACACCCACAACGGCTCGACATGGGCCGCGGCCACTCGGGCCACGAGGAAGCCCCTGCGCTAGAGAGCCCGTATTATGGAGCAGAGGTGTTTCATGAAGCCGCAGGAGGGCGAACCATTTTTTGCAAGCAGGACTGAGCAGGATAGAGTTGACGGGGAGAAAGAGGGAGATGGGGGATGAAGACAAGGAAGAGAATGAGCGGGACGCAAAAGAGATAGAGAGAGATAGAGGAGGGAGCCAGTCATATCACGGTTTCAGGACATTCAGGTACCAATATAGAGCACCAAGTACAGCACGGTGTCTGTTTGTAAGCACGTCAATTCTGCAGCTGGCTGTCGATGCGATGCTTTCAAGCTTCAACCTTGTTCTACCGTTTTGCCTCCATTTCCCATCATTCTTCCCGCCAAGCAGTAGTCAATAGTGCTCGCGCTAGCACTGTCAGTCAACACACTCATCCGTTGAAAAAAGACTCAGCGTAACCACAACCTCTTTTAGTCCTGCACAACATAAGGAGACACCTTCGTCTTGCAATTCGCCTTTATCCCCTCAAGCCCAGCGCCTTACCTGGCATGGAGCTTTAGCCACCCACTACAGGCGGTAGTGCTCCTCCGTAACCACCTTCTCATAGCGACGTGGGGTCCCCTGCAGCTCATTCACGAGTAGCGTGTGCTAGCGCTGGAGCACCGCAAGTAGTGATACCCCCCAAGCCATCCAGGCCCTCTCCGTCCGCTGCTCCCGCGCAGTCGCTCGGCCACCAAGGCCTGCCAAACAAGCAGTGCTGCAAGGTCCAGGTACTTGTAGCGCGTGGCCGCCCCTTGACCCCGGGCCTCTAGTGGCGTGCCGCCTGCAGCGTTGCCACGAGAGTACCAGTACAAGCCCACTGTCCAGAGTACGGGCTACTCTTTCGCCGGTGCCATGTCCGCCGGCGACCCTCGTACCTCATACCTCGTACCTGCTGATCCGTATCGTTGCCCCCCGGCCCGCCAATTGACCTTCCAACTCTTCTCTCGTCTCTGCGTTCAACTTGAACTTCTTCTTCTTCCCATCTCTTTTTTTTTCTCTAGTCCTCATCCAGCCAAAGGGCCCCTGTAGCTGCAGCTCCCCAACCTCTTGTCACTCTTTTCTTCTTCGCTTCTCTCAACTTATTCAACGGTACTAATACAGACGGGAAACCCCAAAACTCCCCTGCCAACGTACCACTTGCTTCCTTTCCTTCTTACTTCAAGACCGCTTCGACTTCTACCATCACCTGATTCTACTCTACCTTGACTTACACTTGATACGTACGCGGCTTCATCACTGCAAATACCTATACAGCAAACTCAGGGGACATCCACTCGATCCGAACTCACAACACCTTTTGTCTTACACCACCTGAAACGAGCAACAAGAATCTCGATATACGAGCAATACCCGTCTCAGACTCTCCTCTTCGCTTCTCCCAGCTTTAATCTTACTTGCACTGCAAACATGGGCCAGAGCCTTTTCGAACGCATCCAGGCTAAGCTGGAGCTCTTCCGCCTTGAGCAACGCTACACCCGCCGCCGTCATCGTCGCTCAACCTTCGTCTCCAATGCCGTCTATGTGGATGGCGAATACGTCTACCAGACCCCCAACAGCACCGGCTCTTCCTCAGAGTCGAGCGCATCTCGTACCGACGCACTACACGGCGACCGCGCATCGCCCTCTCCTAGATCTCCCATGCACTCCATGTCTCCTGAGCCAACCACTCCGACCATGGAGACACTTCCTGAGCGCAAGAAGTTGAACCGCTTCAGCTCAATGCCGGGCTTTGGATCTCGGACAGAGGAGCAACAGAGGACAGTTCAACGCCGAACCAGCATGATTCGATAAAGAGTTTCTAAGCCAATAGAAACGAGAATCAATTATACAATTACAAAAAAAGACAAAAATCATTTCATTTTGGATGGTGTACGGTTCAAATTACCAGACGACAGAGCGGAAGATACCATTTGGGAAGCCTTTGGTTACGTTATCCCACGGCAACCCTGCGCATAGGATTGTATCCCGTGTCGTTTTGACGAATATCACTTGCATCTCATCAGAGTATATGTTTTTTTTTTATTTCACACTCGTTCTACCATTCTAGACTTTCACCCACATTATTCATGAGTCTGAATATGAGTTTTGGTGCCTGGAAAGATTTCACTGGATGCGCTTCATCGCTGGCTTAAAGCATCCTCATACATTTTTTCTTTATTACTTTTTTTTTTCTTTTCTATTTTTCTCTTATTATCCAGAGCTAGGCGCAGCATGTGATATGTCTGCTATGACGATTGAGCTGAACATATTTTTCTCAATACGGTCTTGTACATAGATGCCAAAAAAAATTGATGAAAAGTTTTAAAACCCTTAACGTATTTACCTTTGATACAGTGACCATACGGCGCTGCCGGAGCTGTTGCAGACAGCTCGCATGATGATCTATTCCTGCACGTAGTAGTATGATGGTATCACAATCCGGCACTTCCGCAGCCTTAGGTGGCCCGTATACGACGTGTAAGTTAGAGCCCTGCGACAAGGTATTTGCCCCAGCTGTCTCCATCTCGGTGACGGAGAGTCAGGAAAGACGCACAGCAAGCATGAACGCAACGCCCGTCAAGTAAAACACATCCTTCTTCACCTTGAAGCTCTTTCGCCGCCGCGTCATGCGCATTACGTAGGTGCCAACGGCCCACGCACACCAAATGGCATGACATGTCTCGAGATCTTACCAATCAGTCCCAATCTTGATGATAGCTCGAAACCAAAAAAAAAAGTCGCCTCTTTCTTTTCCCACATGGAAAAACAATGGGGTTTGTGGCTGTCGACTAAGAACTCTCCGACGTCGCCGCATGCCGAAATGACTTGAAACTTGAACTTGGCGCATGTTACACATTTATGCCCTATTGCCCGCATTTGTATGTGTTGGAAGAACCGCCTCGAGGTGGGTTTGAAAAGGGCAAGCGTTTGAATGAGATTGGGCCAATGACATGTACTAGGGGAGGCGAGCATAGGATGGAATTAAATGGGAATTTCGAACGAAGCCGCCGCGTGTTAGAATGGTTGTAAGGATGTGGAGATGGAAATGTCCGCGTGTCTCAGACATGAATCGTACCAAACGTTGTTTGTTTTCTATTGGGTCCTTTTCTTTGTACTTGTCCTATATTTGGAGAGAGTCTTTTTTTTGGTGGGTGAGACTTTGATTCACACAGTTGGGGATAACTTGCTACAGTAGGGCAAAGGATGACTTGAAAAAGGCTTAATCAGAAAACATTTTAAAATTCCCGTTTTATCGCTGACAGGTGAACATTGTGGAGAATTGAGTTGTTTTTGTGTGTTTTCATGTCTGGGGGAGGCGTCTTGCGTTTTTTTTTTTTTTCTTATTCTCATTCCCTGCGAAGGCGTGGGTTTGACAGATTCCATGGCCGCGATATCCGGGACGAGAGGTAGATGTAGAGGTACTTTGGCTGCGTGAACGATGAATCATTTAAATGAGCCATCTATTTCTGCGATTCATTTTATTCATGACGTCGGCGGTTACTAGCTATAATAGTGAGGTCTTTGCTATTGGGATAATGGTGGCTGATGCAGTCTAGATGCAACTTCGACTTTTGCTTGTGATTCATGCTTGTGATTAGGTGGCTTAATGACCGTAGCACGCATGTCTATGTTTTCTAAGCTACTCATTAACAGCAATTGGCGTTTAACAAAGGAAATAATGTGGTGCAAGTACGCCTTTAAAGCCAAGCAAATCAATAAATTAGAGTAGCCGCAAAAATTGCTTGCCCATTTGAAGCTCGGCTTCACGGTATATAATAGAAACCTAGTCTAAAATCTAAAATGTGTCTCACATAACAAGAACCAGCGCTAGAATACCGACAAAAAGAACGTCACAATCTTAAAGAAACAAAAGAAAAAGGGTTGAGACGGACAGGAAACACAAAAGAAAGCAAGACAAGATTCAGGTCAGGCTGCATGCATGTCATGTCATGCCATGCAAGGGAGGCAGAGAATCGATTTGATGATGTTCACTGTCAAATGCGGCTTTGAGCCAATTAATAAAACAGCAGCTATATAAAATGTGCTGTTAATCCTCATATAGCTTTGACCACAATCCCCAACGCCCATTTAATGCGTTTTGCGGATATGGCAATCGCCATTTCTGGTTTCCAAGCGAAACGCTAGTAACACATGCACGCCAATTCTATATCAAAACGCCGCCCATGACTTTATATGATTTTATGCCTTTGATACCAGTCCCTCATATGCACGGTCTACGGTTCGGCCACCCAGACCAGGAATCGTTCGCAGCTGAGACAGCGTCTCAATCTCGCCGCCACCCTCAGCGGTCGCCAGCTCTAGATAGCCTACCAGATCCTGAGCCTTCTTCGCGCCGAACCCTACCAGGCCCTGAATCTGAGTTGCGTCTCGTGAGTTAACCACGTCTAGTAGTCGTTGAGTATTGGGTGTATTATCCTCATCTTCTTCAGTAAGAAGAGTTTTTGGTGCTCTTCTGGCCTTGAGCTTGCTTGCCTTGATCTTTGGCGTGGAAATTGGGCATTCATCTTCTTCTTCCCCGTCTGCTTCGGCATCATCATCGTCTTCCGAGCTCACAGGCTTGCGTCTCGGCTTGCGGTCCCTTCTCCTTTCCCTCTTTTCAGGAGAGGATGCCCCCCCTGAAGCTTCTATACGAGCTCGCAGACGCTCAATCTTTCCTATAAGCTTTGGCTGATTTGGAAAGTATGGTAGAGCCATCTCGTAGGCCTTGAGAGCAGCAGCATCATCTCCCCGCTCTCTGTGATGCCTTGCTGCAAGTAGAAGCCGCAGTCCCTCAGATTTGGCATCTTCTCTCCATTCTTCATTTTCAATCCGCCGCTCCAAGGCTTCCAGCCGTCTTTGGACTGCATCACCAGCCTCTGGTGAAATTTGCGTCCGTCGGATAGATTCCTCAGCTGCTTCCCTTGCCGCTAGTATCTCGCTCACTTTCCTCTCAACCATAGCCTCGATCTCAGCCGCCGTCACGGTGACCGTTTGTTGTGAGGGCTGTGAAGATTCTGAAGGTTGCGAGGGCAGCGAGGGTCGCGAGGGCTGAGTTACTTGCCGCTGAGGGGTTTGATGAACAATTGGCCGAGCAAGCTTGCTAGGTCGAGAGGTTGAGTCCTGGTCAGAGGGTCGCTTCAGCGATGAACGACGGGGCTGGGAAGAAGAGAGAGTCGGGCCAGAGCTGGTTCTAGGGCCGGAGCTAGTTCTAGGGCGCGCAATTCCTGAAGGCTTTGCCTTGTCTGTATATACGCTAAATGCCTTGACGGGCTTGGCTACTTCTGTTGTCTTTTCTGCAGCTTTTCCGCTGCTAACATTGTGAGTATTGATTGCATTGGCTAAATTTTTCAACGGCTGTCGCTGGTTAGCTGCAGCAGAGTTCGTCCTAGGAACTTGCTTGAAAACGACCTCATTCTCAATCTCGCGGACCTCAATGCGCTTGGCTCGAGAGCTCACGTTTAAACTGCTAAGAGTATCCAAGTGATAATTTCGCAGCGGCGACAAGTTTAGGATCATGACTGTGATGCCGTTATTCTGACCCAATGACAGAATTCTGGTCATTTTAGACTCGCGATAAGGTATCCTCTTGGCTCCTTGTGAAATGGCGTCGATGCACTGGCTGAGAACGAACAAGCTCTTGTTGATGGCCGCTGATTCCACCATCCGCTCCTTGTCGTTATCGGTCCGGCGATTATCCTCCGAACCAGCCAGGTCAATGGCGGATGCTGTGCTTTCGCGGACCATGTTACCGGTTGTTTGCGTCAGCTTGACCCGTAAAATAGCGTGACTTCGACTGCTGAGAGCGTTCAGCTTGGTGGCCGCCGTTACGCGGTGGTTGTTGGCTTCAATGTACAACTTTTCAAAGTCTTTAAGATCTTCACAGGCTCGTTCTGTCAAGCCCACCACGACAGTCTTGCCATTGGCCTCTGCGCGGAGGGGCAGTCCAGTGGGTGTCCGTTTCTCGGGGGGTTCCAGCAGGTCGTAGACCTTGTCGTTATAGATTTCGTAGTATGATAGAGCCACCTCCACCACTGTGTTTCCTTCTGATTCCTTCATGATCTTCTTTCCTCTGCGGAACACGCCACTGAGCAAACGGGGAATCACGCCTCGCTCGGCCAGCTTCATCCCCCCTCGCATCGTATGCGTCTTCCCCGTTCCTGTAACTCCATACGCGAAGATGGTGACATCAAGACCCTGAAACAGTGATTTTAGATGCGGTGCCACTGCTCAGGTTAACATGGCTAGTCCAGTATGGCGCGTTTAGAATGGCGGAGCAAGGATGAAGAAGAAATAAAAGAGAAGCAGCTCCCACCTTCTGAAGTAAACAGAGTCTCCTGCGAGGTCTCCTGGCCGTAGACGCCATTGAAAGTAAACGAAAACTCTTCGCTCTCGTTGCGCGGGTTCGGGATCTTGACGATTGTCGGCGGCTTCTCGGGGTCGACGCTGTCGGTTCGAACGATGATGTCCTTATCCAGCTCCTTGGATAGGAGAGGACGCAGCCGGGCAACGACGCGGACCGACATTGGCGATCAATTGAGTCTGGGGCCGGGGAGGAGACAGGCAGCGGCCGCCGTAGGACGAGATGAGCCGGTGATGATATCGAGGCTCCTAATCCTGCTTAGTGAGCATCTGTCGCATGTGGAATGTGAGATTAATTAGCATCGAGATTCACCGATTTTTCAGCTGGTACATCCGCAATACGGGGTAACGTGTTACATAACGAAGTACCGTTTAGCTATTTTCAGCTGCGTTACCACGGCAACCGCACGTGAAACCAATGCTGGGTCGAGTCCAGAGCCGGGGCCGGGAAAGAACGCTAGGCATTGCGAGAATTGCCGGGATTTTAGCGCCAAAGACGGACTTCGCTGAAGCTCGACGTCAAGTTTTCGAGAAGCTCTCCAGAGCTCGACAATCGGCGCAATGAGGGGCCCTTCGCCGCTGCTACGGACGGCGCGTGCATTGCGCAGCCAGAATGCGGTGCAATATGTGTGTTGCCAGTGCCGAGGCATCCAGATCAGTGCGACGCCCAGCACCGAGTCGCCGAGAACTGGTGGGGGAGACGCTTTTGGCGCAGTGGAAAATCTGAGAGACTCGGCCGGTATGGCGCCACTTCTGGAAGAAGCTGTTTTCGCATATGGCGACACCTGAACTGACACTCCGTGCTTGAAAGATGCCCGATTCGAAGTCATTGGCTCGCCGTACTCGCTGCTCTCGGTGTCTCTTTCTGCTTCACAGAGACTATATACACGACGTGGAACGCTGGTTGCAGTGGCGGGGAATCCAGACAATGTAAGAGAGCGCTGATGATGGCAGCGGCGTGAAAGGAACTGGAGCATTAACAAGTTGGTGTTTCGTAGGCACAATCTACCCTGTCGTTGCTGAATCCTCTCTCTCGAGCTCCATTCGGAGTCCCCTTCATCTACCAGCGCATCTCTGCCACTACGCCAATTACGGCTCTGATCTCTACCAGAAACCCCAATACCACATTTTCGATACTACACCTCGATGGAACGACCGACTGGATGGTGACGCAGCGCAATGCTTTGCTAGCTTGGACAGGCCACACACTGTCTCTCTCATCACGAATCCAAAGGAGGCTTTCAGTGGCGCATTGGGGAAGCACATTCGTCACTGGGCGCGGTCTGGCAGCTCTATCGGCGCCTGGACAGATTTACCAACTACATCTCTCTGAAGGCGAAGAGTTTGTCGCCCATCCGGGTAGCGTGGTCGCATACTCGGTAACAAAGCAGCAGCCTTTGCCCTTTAGGTTTAAAAGCGCCAGTCTTCGATTCCAGATCCCGTCTCTGACATCTTGGATTCCCGAAACGGAATTCATGAAGAAAGCGCGCGAATCAGAAGTCTACAAGTTCCTCGCCCGTGTTTTCTACAGCCTCCGGACCATGACCCGTCGGACTATCTGGGGTGACCGTCTGTTCTTGCACTTCAAGGGGCCGAGCACCATTCTGATGTCAAGCCGAGGCGTGCGCGTCGTCGACACCCTGTCAAACGAGCAGGTCAATGAAATTGCCGATGCACAAGCTGGTACATTGGCTTCTGCGATTGAGCTATCTGGCAAGCCTCAAAGCGTACAGTCTACAAAGGGAGTCGAAGAGGACGTCATCGAATCTGGAATCAAGGTGAAACAAACAAAGAACGATGGAAAAGTAACATTTGCGGATAAGAAAGACTTGAAGGAGTTTGTCTAAAAGAGAAAGAAAAAAAATCAACTTGGGAGACAAAGCATGGGACGGCGGATAGAAATATTGCTTGCGGAACAAGCCTGTATGTTGTATATTACGAAATCACCTTGGTGATTTAGCTATGGTATCGAGTCACTTTGTTTGTAACATGGAAGATTTGATATATCTAGCACAATTTGGAACTATGGCGGTGGTGTAGTTTGCTGCTACCGCTAGTTGGAATGTGATGCGACTTTTGTGCCTGCGCGTAGACCACTGCTCGGATCTCGTGGCGTCTGCTCTGAGCGCAAGGCCACGCGCCATATTGCGGGTGACTGAAGAAAAAAGATTCGAGACGCTCTGTTCGTCTCGGAAGAGCACTGTCTTGATCCTGAACGGCACGTATGGAAGCGGGGGGATCTTGCTGCTTAGGGGACACAGACATTTTGTTTGACAGCGGGATGAGGCCCTTTCATTGTAAATCATTGCGCAGACAAAGCCAGGCACCCTGCTTTTACTCTCTTTGTCTTGTCTTGATCCTAACACTTCAGACGATCCTTCGGCACTTTCTCACAAGCCAACCCTCTTTCACGATCTGGCGATTGTTCTCTGCCCATGCGCGGGGTAGATCGGATGGGCCATTGTAGACACAGCGGCTAATTTGTCAAAGCGGCAGTCTAGGCCAATTGTTTGCTCCGATAAAACGCGACCAACACACGGTTTCTATTCTTGCAACATCGTCGGAAAGTGTACTCACACACAGGTGAAGGAGAGAGACGCCGAAGAGAGGAACCCCGAAGAGAGAAAGAAGAATGACGATGATGAAGGGGAAGTTGAACGGGCTGGGCGCCGTGATGATTGCGCTGTATTGTGTCTGCGCTTTTCCTCATGAAAGAATGCTATGATTCCAAGGCAATGCCGCATGTCGAGTGATGGACACCAGATATCTTGGCCATGGCACACCGACCTGCATATCACAGGTTTGTTTCTTTGCTTCAAGATCCGACCGCAATGGCATGCATACTGCAAATGCCTCTTTGAAGCTCGTGCTCAGCTCAATTCCGCATGTTCCTTAACTGTTCCATAAGGGATGGGCCAATTCCCATCTCATGTTGTTTTCCCCCAAGGGAGGTTGACATTCTATTTTTGATTTCTCTCTTTTTCTTCTCTTTTTTTTTCTTTTCTTTTTTTTTTTTTTCAACTTGATCAACAAGTATTGTTATTATTAGAATTCACGCGATGCCTGCTTCAATATCTTCTGCTGTCACGGCCGTGGCCGACGATTGGCGAGCGAGTGAAGAAATTGACTTTAAACTACATTTCAAAATCGAAGACTTGATTGGCATAGACGCACTTTCACAACACGGATCTGACCTTGAGGCTAATGACAAACCTCCTGAGGATTCCTCGGACTCCTTTCCTGATGGCGGGCTGGAGGCTTGGCTGGTTGTCCTTGGCGGATGGTGTGCCCTGGTATGCACTTTTGGACTGATCAACTCGGTTGGGGTGTTTGAGCAGTATTATGTATCTGGTCCTCTGAAGGCATATGGCCAGTCGACTGTGAGTTGGATTCTATCGGCGCTGGTCTTTTTGCAAATCTTTTGCGGATCAATAGTAAGTGAAACTCCATCATCTGGAAGTCGTTGAAAGAGAAGGAGACGAGTAGATGGAAAGCAATATATATATATATACTAGGTATATATATATATATATATACATACGATAAATGCTAATTCGAGTCGTGATAGTTTGGTCTCGTGTTCGACAACTACGGGCCACGATGGCTCCTGCGGGGAGGCTCAGTCACCTTCATCTTCGGCCTCGTGATGCTCTCCTTCTCCACCGAGTACTACCAGATATTTCTTTCCCAGGGCATTGTTTCCGCAATCGGATCCAGTGCCGTGTTCCACGCAGCCATGTCTTCCATCGCCAGCTGGTTCCAGAAGAACCGCGCCGCCGCCTACGGCGTCATGGTCACGGGCTCGTCTTTCGGCGGGCTCTTCTGGCCCATCATGATGAACAAACTGATTGTCAAAATCGGATTCCCGTGGATGATGCGAGTCATGTCGCTCATATTCATGTTCTTGCTTGCCTTTGCGTGCTTAACCGTCAAGACGAGATTGCCCCCTAAGCTGCGCCGATTCGTCCTAAAGGAGTACCTAGACAACCTCAAGGATATTCGTCTGGCCATCACTTCCGTGGCTGCATTCTTCTTCATGCTGGGCATGTTTCTGCCGTTCAACTACGTCCTCCTCCAGGCTGAAAAGGCCGGCTTCTCTCCGGCCTTGATCCCGTATCTGCTGCCCATACTCAACGCCGTGAGTATCCTGGGGCGAGTTCTTTCGGGTGTTACTGCCGACAAGGTTGGTAGATTCAACATGATGGTATCAATCACCTTTTTCTCTGCCCTTGTTTGCCTTGTGATCTGGATACCCATCAAGAGCATCGCCGGTGTGCTTGTTTTTGTCTCCATCTTTGGGTTCGCTTCTGGAGGCTTCATCGGTGTTTGCACAACGCTTGTCTCGCAAATCTCCGACATCAGCCAAATAGGCACTCGAGTCGGCACACTCTTTGCAATTGAGTCCATTGGAGCGCTGATAGGAAGCCCCATTGGCGGTGCAATTGTGTCAGCCCACCATGGTGATTACCTGGGCTTGCAGCTGTTTTGTGGCTGTTCTATGATGATAGGGAGTCTCATGTTTATTTGGGCCAGGCATATACTAGTTGGGTTCAGATGTATAAAAGTGTAATATTACATGGGAAAGGCGTTTTTAGGTATAATTTTTTAACGGTAAAACCGACGGGAGTGGATGATGGATGGGCGCTCTGCTTGGAGCTGTACGATTATGTTTGATAAGTGGCATGGCTGGATCCGATATGGCTAAAAAGGCCCTTTTCAGATGCACAATGAGGTCTAAATATACGCAATAGTTCGACTATCGCAATATACATATATGCATGTACATACATAGTATCACGTTCAAACTCTGCCCCTCGAGTACAGTCTCTGGTCGCGGAGATTAAAGTTGTTATTGCACCGCTAAGCGAGGTAGCGCTGCTTCCAACTCTGCAGTCCCTTTTCTCGCCACAACACCCTCATATAGTGGTCTTCTAGCCATCTTGTCTAAACTTATTCTATTATATATGAAACCTAATATACTGGCTCGACGGGCTTCTATATTTATTCCGTGCTGGGTGGTTTACTTGACCGTTTTATCCTTGACGCTTGGGTGATTCCATGGGAGCCCATACAACGATTGGAAGCGGGATGATTTATCATGGAGCGGCTACGTCATATACAGCCTCGTTTCATGTTATTTTGAGCATCTCCTCACGTGAAAAAAAACATAGCTTTGCTTCTAGTGTGGTGGCCAGAGTATATACTGAAGTCAGCAACCAAAGCAGTTCAGATGACGATACGCTATGTGACCTTGCCGACGTCACAGTAGATGGCACTGAAAACGATGTCGAAAATGAAGCCGAAGACACGGCCGATCGAGGAACCAGAGAAGATGGAGAACCGGATACTCGGCGCTGTGCCAAACAAGATGATGAAGAGAACTATGAGCGGGAATACGTTGAACAGCACTTTGGACAACACTTTAAGCGAGCAGCAGAGAAACACTATCAATTAAGCATCAAACGCAAAATAGAGGAAGAAAAACTCACTCCCCGGGGCTTAACCACCTCAAGATGTATGTGTGTGTGTGTCTAAGCCAGTACTGTTGGTTCTCCAACACATTGCTCTGAAATCGACACGGCGAAAATACTCCACACATAAGAAGTCACTACTCCGTAGAGTCGCTGGGATTGTGTTCTTGCGGGCTGCAAGCGATACTAGCTCATATCGATCTTTTTTTCCCCATCGACACTTATATGCTGGAACTCTTCCTATTCGCCGGACATGCCTTCTTTTACACTTATGCCCTATGCTTGTTGTTTAGTTCTTTAAGCATCATCCAACTATGCATGGCAGCTTCGGACACTAGCCATTGGCTGCCATATTCCTGACCCGCCAGTGGATTGGCGCAGTTGATTGGTGAAACATGGCGTCTGGCTGCGACAAACCAACCGCGCCACCTCGACCAAGAACCGCTGGGAAGCTGGATCCGTTTTGAGGTGGAGCAGCCTGACACTGACGACATCTTACAGCGGAAATAGGAAAGAGGGGTCCCTCAGATGCTGGCTGATCGATCGTTGACAAGGGCTTTGCCTGGAGATGGGTTGAAAGTTGATGCCGCTTTGAGTTGCTGCTTTGCTGGCGCAGCTTCCAGTCTCTTTGATACTTGTGCTACTGCTAAACAACATTGTCAGAACATGTCGAGTTGCAGAGCTGCCTTGTTCCACTAAAGGGGTCTAACCACATCCACTTACTCAACATGTATCCATCCGAGGGTCCATCCCGCCATACAAGTACACCGCCGCATTCTCGAGAGAGACAGCCGAAGGGTCCTTTGACAGGAATCGACAAGACCCAGGGATCCAATTGTCGGTTCCGCACTTGAGACTCGCGGCAACCTGCGTTCCCCGTGCGTCCTGGTTCTCCAACGTTATAGGTTGCCACCCATTTGCTCGTATACGTGGCAGCGTGATATTGGGGCTGTGTCTCGCCAGGCCAAGCCCATCAGCCACTCTGCCTGCGCAGGGGGAGTGGAGATGGGGACCGAGCTGGATGGAGGTCGCGTCTGTTACAGTAATACTTGTATAGATGTCTGTCGAGGCTCTATAAAGTGCGCCGCTGTCCCCATCCCACATGACTTGTGCTCCGGCTTCTGCGCTGCTTAGACCAGACACTCCATTCCAACCACCGCTGCTGCTTTTCTTCCTACCCGTTTCTGCCACGCCGAAGCAACCATGAGCGGCTACTACAACGAGGACAACAAATACCCGCCCCAGGAGGGCTACCACCACCAACAGGGCGGCGCCGCCAACTCCTACTACGAGCAGGGCAACAACGACCAATACCGTACACAATACCAGCAGCCTCCTCCTCCTCCCTATGGAGGGGAGGGCCAGCACAACTATGGCGAGCAGGGCTATGGCCAGCAGGGCTACGGCCAGCAGAGCTACGGCCAGCAGAACTATGGCGGCGAGCCCCAGGAGGGCGAGCGAGGCCTGATGGGCGCTCTGGCGGGAGGCGCCGCCGGAGCCTTTGGCGGCGCCAAGTTCGGCGGCCAGGCCACCGGCCACTCCAAGACCAGCGGCGTGGTCGGCGCCATCGTCGGCGCCATTGCCGGATCGAAGCTGCAGGACGGCGTTTCCGACTGGCGCCACGAACGACACGAGGAGAAGGAGGACGCAGAGCGACGAAGACGCGAGGAGGAGCGCAGGTACGAAGACGAGCGCAGATACGAAGAGGAGCGCAGACACCGCAGCCGCTCTCGCAGCCACTCTCGCCGTCGCCACTCCCGCAGCCGCTCCAGCAGCCGCTCCAGCCGCTCGTCGCACCACCGCCGCCGCTCTGGCTCCCGGTCTCGCGGCCACACCATCACGGTGCAGCAGGGAGACACGCTCCGTGGCATTGCTGCCCGCTATGGCACCTCCTATGAGGAGATTGCCCGGCACAATGGCATTGATAACCCGGATATGATCTACCCTGGCCAGGTTCTCAGGGTGCCTGGACGGTATTAGAGCACTGTTTTTGATGCTCTCGTCTAGCATGATGGATGCATTTTTTTTTATTACGGTAATGACGGTAAATGGAGGCTGGTGCCGGATGAATGGACTCTGCTGTACCACTTTAGATGAGAGGATCCTGGAGATCAAGCAACTGCAGAGTGATTCTTAGTCTGGCTAAATAAAAAATGAAAATAAAAATGATTCCACAATGATACATCACGTAATAATTTATATGCGCAAAGACAATTAATCAATACCTGCATATCCAAGTTGATACCTCGTTTTTTAGGTAATATAGCAAGGAGTTGGCGATAGGGAATTTATAGCTATAACTATATAATTCTACTCAGACTCCTTCGTTACCCTAACCTCCAACTTCCAACGAGTCCTCATAAGAAGCCGATTTTGATCTCGAGCGATGATGATTAGCCGGGCTATAATGACTCGACCAGTCAGATTCCGATAAGCTAGCGAGGTCAGCTCATTACTCCTTAGTAGGTAAGTTGATGCCAGTTTAGAACAAGTCATGGTCAGCGGACTCTAGAACCATAGTGGCAACTAAAGCTTCACCTCCAAACGGGGGCATAAGAGGTCAGTTAAGGTGTATAAATATGACAGGGGATGGATAGGTAGGTAGCTCTTTATGAAGACTTTCAATAATCGCAAAGCTTGAGATGAGGGCAGATGTGTAATTGTTCATTTGTGGTTGATGGCGGTAGAAAGAGATGCAATTAGTGAGTCTCTTTTCCAGGATGCCGAACAATAGACAATAGAAGACGCTCGCCCGCCACTCTTCTCTCCAGATCACCTCGTAACTTCATCCAGATCCTGACTCCTGCGTACGTTGCCAATGCCAGTCGAGGTGTCTGATGATACATGACATCGACGCCGTCAAAAGATATCATCGACAGGCCATCCATCACCCTGACTGAGGCCGAGCAAATTGAATATCAATACCTTATCTCGTCGAAAATATACGTTGTTGAACAATCTGCTGTCGGCAAGCCAAGCAATCACAGAATCTACCAAGTCCATCGTTCTCAGCCATCATGGGCCAAAATATATCTTCCTCCCAATCCTTATCAGTGCAGCCTCGCGCAGCCTCTCTAGATTCTGTCCAATCGGTGCAGCCCATTTCAATTCAGCTGGCGGGTCCCAATAGCCCAGATGAGATTGGCAATGCAGTCGTAATTCACCGAATGCAACGCACATTGCAATCTGATTTTCTGACTCGTCATAGATGCAATGTTGCAGTGTATATTTCGTATACTCGATATTGGGTAGTAATGCATGGATGGACCTTGTTACGGGTGGCTGGAATTTCCACCTTTAGCCGTTTTTCGGGTTCTCAGTTGTTTATCTGATAAAGAGGCTCTGAGAGAAGAGGTGTGTAGAAGCAGTGAGGCGCATCCACGTCGATGCTTCTGCTTCTTGTTAAAGTTTAGGAACTCAGTGTTCCGATGAGCTATCCTCTAAGCTTAGTTTCCGCAGTCGTTAATACTGAAAGGAGTAGAAGTAGTAGAGATTTTGATATATTTGAACTTGACAACTCTTTGGTTAGTCAAGGTGTGCATTTTAATAGAATGATAGCCTTGTACTGGCAGGTCCCCCTATTCTTTTGCTCTCCACGTGGCATCCGATGGTATATCCAAAACATAATGTAAATTAATAGCATGTGCCAATGAGAAATATTTTAACATTATGGTATATATATATAAATTGCAGCGTGACCACACCAGCTCCAAGTGTATAGGAAAAATCCTCTACTCTAGCCTTCTGCGTCTCCAGCTATCCATTAATAGTACACTTCTATGTATGTTTGCTCCACAAACCATCCCGCTTCCATGTCCACTTCGTCAAGTACTCTGGGTCGATGCCTCTCTCAAACGCCTCAGTTCGAGCTTCAATCTGGGCATTCAGCATAGCCTGCCGAGCAGCCGCGCCTCGGTTATTTAGGTGAGGCATGCGGTCGAGGGCATCAATGGCCAAGCTAAATCGATCGGTTTGGTTGCGAATCGCCAACTCCAAGGGGGTATCAATGTTGCCCTTCTCTTTGTATCCTCGAACATGGATATTCTGGCTTCCAGGGCGCTTGTATGTCAAGCGGTGCACCATCCAGGGATAGCTGTGGAAGTTGAAAATGATGGGGGTATTGTCCGTGAACAAGCTAACCCATTCTTTATCGCTAAGGCCGTGTGGATGTTCGCTCGGGTGAATCAGTTTGAACAAGTCTACGCAATTGACATAGCGAATCTTGAGATCTGGGAAGTGCTGGAGGAGGAGGTCGATAGCCGCCAATGTCTCATGAGTGCTAATGTCACCGCAAGAGGCCATGACCAGATCGGGGTCCTGTCCAATATCGGTGCTGAATTTCGGCCAGATGCCGATACCCTTCGTGCAGTGGACAATGGCAGCGTCCATGTCGAGATACTGAAGATGATCCTGTTTATCGGAAACAATGACATTGACGTAATTTGAGGAGCGAAGACAGTGATCCATTACTGTAAACGCTTTGTTAGCAACGTCTATACATATGATGGAAAACAATGCAACGTACCAGATAGCAAACAATTTCCGTCAGGAGGAAGATAGATACGAACGACTTCGGGGCTCTTATTGGCAACAACATCAAGGAAGCCGGGATCTTGGTGGGTGAAGCCGTTGTGATCCTGTCTCCAAACGACTGATGTCAAGAGAATGTTGAGAGAAGCAACTCTTACACGCCACTCCACTTCAAAACATTTCTCGAGCCATTTGCAGTGCTATTACCAAAGGTTAGCCATAATCGTAACAGTCGTAAAAGACAAGCAGCGGAGTATTTCAACCCACCTGGTTGACCATGGAGTCGATGATGTGGATGAATGGCTCGTAGCTGTTCAATAAGCCATGGCGGCCACTGAGGATGTAACCTTCCAGCCAGCCCTCGCAGGTGTGTTCGGATAGCATCTCCATGACTCTGCCAGCTGGAGCAAGATTGCCACCGTCCTCATCCTCCTCAAAGTACTCACCCATCCAAACCTTCTTGCCCACCTCGTAGACTGCTGACAGTTTATTTGACTCGGTCTCATCAGGACCAAACAATCTAAAGTTATGCAAGTTTGCCGCAACCACATCTCGTAAAAAGACTCCCAGTCTCTTCATACTAGCATCCGTGACCGCGCCAGGATGCTCAACGGCAACGCCATACTTTCTGAAATCGGGCATATTTAGAGGTTTTCTGAGAATTCCGCCATTGGCAACAGGATTGGCACTCATACGGCGGTTACCTGTAGGAGTAAGGGCAGTTAATGCAGCGATAGGTTTGCCGCTTTCATCAAACAGCCTATCAGGCTCATAGCTGCGCATCCAGTCTTCGAGGATTTTCAGATGGGCTGGATTTGTGGAGGGGTCGGTAATGGGGACCTGGTGTGCTCTCCAGAAGCCTCCGAGATAGTTGCCATCCACCTTACGAGGCGCAGTCCAGCCTTTTGGTGTTCGGAGAATAATCATGGGCCACTTTGGTCGGATAGCCTTTCCGCTCTCGCGGGCCTCTTTCTGGTAGCCCCGAATCTCCTTGACGCAGTGCTCGAGCGTTGCGGCCATGGCCTGATGCATAGTGTCCATATCATCTCCCTCGACGAAATAGGGAGTCCATCCATAGCCCTCAAATAGCTTTTGCAGCTCGTCATGCGGTATTCTCGCCAAGATGGTAGGGTTGTTAATCTTGTAGCCGTTGAGATGTAAAACAGGAAGGACAGCGCCATCCGTGATGGGATTTAGAAATTTGGTGCTATGCCACGCAGTGGCCAAAGGTCCAGTCTCTGCTTCGCCATCTCCTACCATGGTCAAGGCAATGAGATCCGGGTAGTCATATACAGAGCCAAAGGCATGAGAAATAGAGTAGCCGAGCTCGCCACCTTCGTGAATAGAGCCTGGGGTCTCGGGAGTTGCATGGGAGCCAACTCCACCCGGGAAGGAGAAGTATTTGAAAAATTTCTGGAGACCCTGAATATCTTGTGACTTGTCTGGATAGACTTCCGAATAGACACCCTCGAGATAGGATTGCGAGAGGACTGCTGGAGCACCGTGGCCGGGGCCAGACACAAAGTACGCATCTAGGTCGTACTTTTTGATGAGACGGTTGAAGTGCATATAGGTGAAGATTTGGCCAGGCGCTGATCCAAAGTGTCCAAGAAGACGAGCCTTCAAATGCTCCTTCTTGAGGGGCTCGCGAAGGAGAGGGTTCTCTCTCAGGTAAATCATGCCCAGAGACAGATAACAGCTGGCTTTGAAGTAGTCATTGTACTGTTTGATTTCCTCATCGGACAGTGGAGTGCCCTGGACAGTTGAGCGGGCTTGGCCAAAAGCCCGAATTGATTGGACTTCGGCCATTGTTGGAGAGTTGCTTAGCTTGTGATATTCTGAAGAAGGGAGTTGCCTTGCAGATACAAGACGTATTCCAGAGCGAAGAGCGCCTCTACCTACTTAAGTATAAGACCAAGGGCCAAGAGCGAGCGGCTGGATCTGATGGCTTCCCGCCGATACGGATGCTAGTTAAAGCCGCCTACCAGGATAAGCCGTCGATACTTTTGGTCTGCCGCCCCTCCCGTGCTCGGTCGAATAGATAATATGGGGGAGTCAACGACGTTTACACCACAGCCACGGGAGCTTGAACCCACAGATCGAGGAGCTAGGACCGACCAATGGAGCCGGGGATGAGAGGACAATGCAAGCAGGGCACTCTCTGCAGCTCCGATTGACTGGAAAAGCAGCATAAACAAGCTCGTATCATGCCATGCAGTTCAATCGAACGAGCCCAGCAGGACGCGGCCGCAGCTTGCTGGGGTGCCAGTGGCCAATGGCCCTGGGGAGAGCTGCACAGGGCCCATGGCGCCCACCAGATTGGCGAACCTGATTCGGCCAGGGCAATCTCCACGGCGGTGGTTCGTTCGCTGATAGAGTTGTGGCTGCATTGTGATGGTTGTCTGATGTGAAAAGTTGGCGCACCCTCGCATGCGCATCTGGCGTGATCGATACGTCACCCCTCGGACGACAGGACGCCGCTACAGCGCCTTAGCGGCGGGGAAGACGCTCAAGGAGGGGCTGCAGAGCCTATCGGTCGCTGGGGGAGGGGCCGTGGCCAGCCAGAAGCCACTGAAGGGCCTGTACCAGACTCCGCTAGCATGTGGTATGCCTGTCCGTCCATCTCTCGGCGATCACTTTTTTCCATCCATCAACTTTTGCCTCCAGGTCCAGAATCCAATATATTCGGTCTTGACCAGGGTCAAGGGCCGACTCGCGGTGTCCTAAGAGTTTTGTGTATCAATGCATCGTAAATACTATTTGCCTGCCGTCGTTGGCTAGATCGGTTGACTTGACATGTGAGCACGATTGACAGCGGGCCAGGAATGGCGCGCTGTCAGCGTTACATGCTGCCGGCGTTACATCTCATATTCATGTGAGCTGATACCTGCCACAGATACGCAATTAATTTTTTTTCCTCTTTGTGAAGCCCAGGCTAGATTGAGAGAGTCTTACGCTCGCACTCTTGTGTGCCGCAGGTCTTACATTGAAGAAACTGCCTTCAGCCAGAGTTGGAGAATTAAGCTTTAGGATCATCCTCATCGCTGGTTTTCTGCTAAAACACAGTTCGATCTTGGGTGGCGTTTCGTCTTCTTCCAAGCCATCTGCTGCCGTCCTGTCACAGACGCGCACTGATTGCTGCTCTTCGCTTGTCCAACCAACTGTAGGCAGACAGCCCAAATGCTACACAAAATGCTACTTCCTGACGTAACGATGCTTATCACGAGGACAGGAGTCTGTGCCATGGAAGAATTTCCCTGAAGTGGGCGTTATAAGTTTCCTCGTTTTTCCGGCCAACCTTGCCGACAACAGTATTCCAACCACCACCACCATTGATTACATCAATTCTAAACATATCCAATTACTTTTCCATGACAATGCCGCAGCATAGGCCAGAAACGCCACAACCAGAGGCTCCAGAAGCCCCTCTTCCCAACGAGCCCGATACCAGCGAAGGCGATGGCACTGCGGACTACTGAGGGGCAATTCAGAAAGCCAAACCCTGATGACGACAGAGTCGCTCGGAGATTGCGAGAACACGAGTGAGTGCCGAGACGCAAACAGGAGAGCGACTTCGAAGTTCGATTCAGAAAATAATGATGGTCAAAACGCAGCAAACAAGAATGAATAGACATGCTCGGATATGATGCATGGAGGAAACGTTTCTGTCTTTTCTTTTCTTTTCTTCTAACGGCCGGTTCCGATTACCTTTATCTATTCGCCACTATGCCGAGTCGCACAACCTCACTTGCAGCTGGGGCGACTTTATTAGAATGAGTAGGGAACGGTTTGAGCGAGCGATGTAAAATATTTTTTTGACTTTGGCGAAACTGAGAATGACCTTTTTTGACATTTTTTTTGCTTCACAAGGATTGATAGTCGTGCTTCTTCCTTTTCCACAGCTGGGATAAGTGAGTGCGCTGCTACGAGCTGCAATAGCAGACCTGGGGTTATTGATCGCAGGTACCTTTACTTTTCATAGACTGCACTCATCAATAAGAGCTGTAAAAATTCTCATGTGCACATATAGTAGAACCTAGCTTTGTGTCTCTCCTTCATAGGATCCGCTGGTGCTGATGCCTCTTTGTCTCCCTTTTTTTCGGCATGTGAAGCAAATTCCAGCATCGTCGCCAGTGCGGACGCTGCACTTCACACGTCATCGGTGGCTACCAGCTCGGAGCTCGGGATCTCAACTCCATATAGCTCGCGAATATTTTACTTTTCAGCTTCAGTTTTCTCCGATACAAAATCAAATCAATCTTTTTTTTTTTACTTTTTTCCCTTCACAGAGGACAGTTCTATACCTAATAAGAATTAACGAGGACGGAGCATATTGAAAACATCTAATTGCTAATAACACCATGGACACCTCACAGCAATCTTCAGGCGCTCCGACGCTTTCGCCCGAAGTCATCGCATTTGCTGGACGAATGTACGATGCTGCCAGAGCTGGCGACGTCGCCGTTTTCCAACAAGCTCTTCCAGCTGGATTACCGCCAAATATGACAAACGAAAAGGGAGACACATTGGTAAGAGCCTCGCCAAAAGCAACGCCGTCTTGTTGAACCGCAACAGCGGGAGTGTCTACATCTCTTAACATATGGCAATATGACTCACATTTATGTTCCAGCTCATGCTCGCAGCATATCACGGGCACGCAGACCTGGTTAAGCTGCTGATAGAACACGGCGCCGACCCGAATCGTGTCAATGACAGAGGGCAGAGTCCCCTTGCTGGAGCCGTGTTTAAGAAGGAGGATGCTGTGATTGAGGTATGCATGAACATCCCATCGCCTCCATGGATTTATCGCTTTATCGAATATTTGTTTTCTTTTTGGACTATATTCTAAAAAAAAAGGAACGAACAGGCTCTGGTCGAAGGCGGCGCCGACCCGGATTACGGAAAACCAACCGCCATGGAGTGTATCGCCTTGTTCCAGCAGGAGGATATATGGAAGGCCAAGTTTGAGGCAGCGCCGGGCAGAGGCAAGGGAAAGCCGCCGTCACCTACTTTATAATTATGATGAAAAGTTTTGGAATGCAATAAGATTTATTTTAATGATGTTTTATTACTAGCAACAGTAATAGGTTTGTCAAGCCAGGGTAAATTCTCACACTGTTGCGTTGACGTCGAAAACTGCGTGATCAATACACCTCGATATGAACCCGACGAGTACTAAGTCGAATTTCAAACACTAAAACAAAATCGAAATATATCTTCTTTTACATTCACATTTTTATATGATTTTTCTCCTGTTTTTCTCGCCCTATTTTCCAGCATCCCATCTGAATGTCTGATTACCAAGGCTCTATCTCACACCTGTGCCGTCTTTTGGCGGGGTTCTTCTTCCACTTGCTCCCACCAGATTCTTCTAGTGCCTAAAGGGGTTGGAGGGGCTCTGGCTGGGCTGCTCTCTCCTTTGTCCCTGGCCCCCTGGTCCGTGCGCCCAAGTCCATCGTCAAGGCTGCAACAATTTTCCGGAGCTCGACAGCTTCGCACACCCGCGAGTCCCCAAAGACGCCGGATTCTGCCCCTTTAATCCGCAAAGTCACCGCATCTCAACTCCCCTCGTCGTGAAGCGTTTTGGCCCCTCGTCATCGCAAAATACCGCCAAAATGTCGTTCGGAGGTCAGACGCCGACCATCATCGTCCTGAAAGAAGGTACCAAGATTCATATTTACCCCACCGTCGCTGCCCACCGCTGCCCGCCATCCAACGAGGCGACAGACACACGATCGCTGACAAACGCTGGGCTTCAGGAACCGACACTTCCCAAGGCAAGGGCCAGATCGTCTCCAACATCAATGCCTGTCTGGCGGTCCAAGCCACCATCAAGTCGACGCTGGGCCCCTACGGTGGTGACCTGTTGATGGTGGACGAGAATGGCAAGCAGACGATTACCAATGATGGCGCGACTGTCATGAAGGTACGGCCGACCCCTATATGCATCATCTCTTTTGCAGAGCGCTATAATGTGATGGGAATCAAGTTGACTGAGTGCATGAATTAGCTGCTCGACATCGTCCATCCCGCTGCCCGCATCCTCGTCGATATCGCACGATCACAAGATGCTGAGGTCGGAGATGGAACCACATCCGTCGTCGTCCTGGCTGGAGAGATCCTCAAGGAGGTCAAGGAGCATGTCGAACAGGGTGTCAGCTCACAGATCATCATTAAGGGTCTGAGGAGAGCGGTGCAGATGGCCGTCAACAAGATCAAGGAGATTGCCGTCAGCACTGATGATGGAAGCCAGCGTGATACCCTGAGCAAACTTGCCGCCACCGCCATGACAAGCAAGCTTATCAAGCGAAACACAGAGTTTTTCACAAAGAGTATGGCTGCACGCAAAATGACACGAGATACTGCATGGAGACTAACAATATACAGTGGTGGTTGACGCCGTCCTGTCACTCGACCAGAACGACCTAAACGAGAAGCTGATCGGCATCAAGAAAATCCCCGGCGGTTCCCTGACCGAGTCTCGCTTCGTCAACGGTGTTGCCTTCAAGAAGACTTTCTCCTATGCCGGTTTCGAGCAGCAGCCCAAGTCATTCCAGAAGCCCAAGATTGTGTGCCTGAATGTCGAGCTCGAGTTGAAGGCTGAGAAGGACAACGCTGAGGTTCGCGTTGAGCAAGTTTCAGAATACCAGGCCATCGTGGATGCGGAATGGCAGATCATCTACCAGAAGCTGGAGGCCATCTCCAAGACCGGCGCCAAGGTTGTGCTCAGCAAGCTACCCATTGGTGACTTGGCTACCCAGTATTTCGCCGACCGGGACATTTTCTGTGCTGGCCGTGTTGCCGCCGAAGATATGGAGCGTGTCACTCAGGCTACCGGTGCCGTAACTCAGTCAACATGCTCAGACATCCTGCCTGAGCACCTGGGAACTTGCGAGACCTTCGAGGAGAAGCAGATTGGAGGAGAGAGATTCAACTTCTTTGAGGGCTGCCCCGAGGCCAAGACCTGCACCTTGGTCCTGCGTGGAGGTGCCGAGCAGTTCATTGCCGAGGTCGAGCGATCACTGCACGATGCCATCATGATTGTCAAGCGAGCCGTCAAGAACCGAACGATTGTTGGCGGTGGTGGTGCCGTCGAGATGGAGATCTCTGCCTACCTGCACCAGTTTGCCGACAAGAACATCCCCCACAAGCAACAGGCCATCATCAAGTCCTTCGCCAAGGCGCTGGAGATTATCCCCCGGCAGCTGTGCGACAATGCCGGTTTCGACGCCACCGACATTCTAAACAAGCTCCGCGTGGAGCACCGAAAGGGCAACACCTGGGCTGGTGTTGACTTCCAGAACGAGGGAACCGCCGACATGCTGCAACGATTCGTCTGGGAGCCTTCCCTGATCAAGATCAACGCTCTGCAAGCTGCCACCGAGGCCAGCTGCTTGATCTTGGGTGTTGACGAGACTATCAGAAACGAGGAGAGCGCTAAGCCACAGGCACCGGGTCAGCTTCCCCCGGGAGCGGCTCAGAGGGCACTTAGGGGCAGAGGACGGGGCATGCCTCGACGGTAAAGAAGGGAAAGAAAAAGGAAAGCATGAGTGGAAGAATTGAGGCGCAAATCAAGGGGGGGGTTAAGCATTTACACGCATAAGAAAAATAAGGGAAGAAAGAAAGGGAAATGGAGGTTTTGAGGATCTTGTAAGATACCTAGAAAAAATTTGGCCTCTATTATCTACTAGACTTTTTTTTTATATGACTTTTTTTTTTCCATCGACTTTCTATAAATTCTTTAATCTATTTAGAAATTTGGCTTGCCATTACATGTGATAGGTAAAGGTTACAGTGGGAAAACACATCACGACGTTATGATCGTACAATTCAGGCTATAGAAAAGAAATTTGTTTCTTTTTATATGAAATCTATAAGGGATATCATATCATACCCGTTTGTTGCGGCCGTATATACATCATATATCCATTTGCACTGACGCACACAATCAATCATACTTCCTACTCTTACTCCTACCTATGCTAAAAATAAAAGGGGGGGGGGGAAAGGGGGGGAAAGGACTTCAACGCAACGCATTGCAACGCAACAACGCAACGCCCCGCCTCAATTCATTCTCATGATAAAAACGGATTTGAAAATGGAAAAAAAATGGAAAAAAAGAAGTCAGACCGCCGGACCGCCAAAATTGATGTCATATATGCCCCTTCCGTCTCTATGTCCTATTCTGCGCATCATTTGCGGTGCGCCGCCAGTTAAGCCATCCACCATGACATCGTCGTCGCCCATGACGTGACCCCCATGATGGTCGTTTTGGCCGACATCGTTGACGTCTTCGTCGTCCACGGCGTCGTGCTCAATGAGCATCTCTAGGTCGGTGTCCACGGAGGGCGGGACATCGCCGTCGGGCTGGGTGGACACGACATCTTCGGTTGCGCTGAGGAGTGCCTGGAAATCGGCGTGTGGGTGGTAGTGCTCAAAGGCGATGTCATGGTGTTGCTGAGGGTGGTGGTGGTGATTTATGATTTGGGGGTCGATGGGCTGGTAGACATGCGTTTCGTGTTGATTTGGCTGGTCTTGCAGCATGGGGTTGTGGAGGTGGTGGGCTGGGTGATGGGGGTTGTGGTGGAGAGATGGCTGTTGGTGGGTTACTTGGTGGTGATGCAGGGTTTGTTGCAGGTGGTGGTGGTGGTGAGGATCTGGTGAAAGGCCATGGTGGTGGTGCTGCTGCTGCGCCTGCTGCTGTTGGTGGTGGTGGAGGCCTTGGGTGGTCTGAAACGTCTGAGATGGCGGTATGACGGAGATGTCGCTGGGATTTGCATATGCGCTCGGGCTGGGGCTGGTGCTTGGTGATAGCGACAGCATAGTATCGTGGCTTTGCAGAGCCAAGATCCTCCCCGTAGTTGCAATGTTGGACGGTATTGAGTGGTTCCGTGGAGGACCGTTGCTGGGCAAAATGGGCGTGGGAGCAGGCGTCGTGATTGTGGACGCCGGCACCGAAGCGGCAGTGGTAGCGGTAGGCGCAGCGGTCTTCTTGGTGCCTCCTGGGTTCGGCGTCTTGCCCAGCTCCTTGCACTCGGCGCAGGCTCGGATCACGTCGCTGACGGTTTCCTTGATGCGACTCCAGTGGTACTTTTCCGCAATGGTAGCCGTCGTCTTGTTGATGCCTCCGTGGTGCATGACGTGCACGCTGCGCGCAATCTCATACTGTCGCGCCGGGTCGGATATGACCTCCTTGTCCTTGAGCATGAGCTTGTCGCCATCCAGCAGTTTGTAGTGCGTCGCCGCACTGCGCAGTCGGCTCTTCTCAGCCCGGTCTGCGCCGTTGGGATATTTGCCGTACTTGAGGTAGTACTTGATCTTATCGAAGCGCTCTTCGCTCACCAGCTCTTCCGTTTCCCCAGGAGCCAGATCTCGTCCATAGATGATGGCGTCGATAAGACGGTCAGGATAGCTCTTGAGGTTTCCGCATCCCTTGACTCGTCCAATGCGCTTGAAGCCCAGCGCATCCCAAATCTTGCACGACGCCACGTTGGTCTCGTACACGAGGTTGAACACGCTGTAGGTGTATCCCAGCCGCGGCGCCCAGTCAATATACGCCTCGCCCATCAAGCGACCGGCACCGCGGTTACGGGACGCGTCGGTAACGAGAAAGCCGCCGTTGCACACGTGGCTGCTCCGCCCCGGGTAGTTGGGCCGGATGTAGAAGCTGCCCAGACACTCCTTGGCCCAGTCCTTGCCGTCCAGAAGCTGATGCGCGCCCTCGATGCTCCCCAACAGCATGACGGCGCCAAAGTTCTGGAACCAGAAGTCGGCGAAGCCATCGGCCGTAAAGGGGTCCATCAGGGGGTACGTGTCGCCGCCATCAATCTCCTTGTTGATCTGCGCGCACAGGTACACAACCAGCGACACGGGGATCTGGTGGCGCGACGCAAAGGGCACGATGGTGGCCACGGTCTGGCGGTCTCGCAGCGTCACCTGGCGAGGCACAATGTCCGGCGGCAGGAACGGGTTGTTCGGATCCGGGAATGGTGGCTGGCCGGAGACCCGATGGATTGTGGGGCTGGCCGGGTCATCGACGGCGGCCGGCATCGTTTGCGCTGAGCCGGGACGAGATGCGATGGCAGAGGAAACTAGTAGCGCGTGCGTGGCAAAGCTCGGAAGGGGGGAGGGGGCGTGAGAGAAGGGGAAAGCCGTTGGTCAACGCAGGATGCTCTGTGCATATTTGATAATCAGCCACCGGCCCGCTTAAACATCGACGGCACGAGCCTCGCCGCAGCGTCAGTCTGTCTGGGATGAGGGAATCGCAGCCCATTCACCACCATGGGGGTACGTCATCCCACGCAAGGGGAGCACAACTGTCAGACCGAAGGGGAAGAAGGGCTGGAAGGGACTTGGGGAGCCAATTGGGTATAGCTTGGAGGGGGGGGCAGGAAGGGAAGAGGAAGAAAGAAGAGGACAACTTACCATGGATGAAAGAAGAGAAGGGAAGGGGAAAAGAAACGAGGAAAAGAAACGAAAGGAAGTATCCCCTCAGGATCGGAAACAGCTGTCTCCCTCCCCCTTGCAGCAAGAAAAAGAAAACAAAGAAAGAGCCAAAAAAGAAGAGAGAGAAAAAAAAAAGAACCCGAATATTCTCCTCCAAAAAAGTCCACCTAAAAAAAAAAGTTGAAGCCAAGGCCACTACCAGCCTGGACGATAGAGGGTGAGCTTGAGATAAAGAGATAAAAAAAAAAGCGCCTAGGAAATTTTTCCTTCCCTCTCTGCAGGTACGTCCCAGCGCAGCTGCAGCGCGCACGCAGGAAAAAAAAAAAAAAGGCCCAAAGTGGAAAGAAGGGTAAAAAAAAATCCAAGGGTCGTCCTCTAAAAATTTTGGTTGCTCCCTTTTGCGCGGGCTCCAGCCTCACTGTTTTCCCCCAGTAAGAAAAAAAAGGTTAAAAGGGTTTCTTCTTTTCTGCGCGGCCAAGATCCAGCGATGGCAGCCAGTTTCGTCTGGATGGGTGCCGTTCGGAATTTTGGCTCGGCCGCTGTTCGCGCTGCTGGCTGACTGCCTGACGTCCTGCTTCGGGGGCTGTTTTTCTTTCCGCTGGGCTTTGGCTTGCTGGATTGCCGCTGGTGCTGGTGCTGGCTGCTGTGCTGAAAAGTTCGTCGTGCGACGTTCTGCTCGGGGGAGGCGGAAAGCCCTTTTGCAGGGTGGTGTGTGTGTGTGTCGGCAGCTAAAAATGGTATCGGAGGTACCTTATCTTTAAGGTAAATCCTCGTCGGAGCGAGGGTTTCTCCGTTTCGGCTCGCAGGGCTTCCTCTAGGTTAAGCTGGCGATGTCATTGGCAGGCGGCCGTTGCTCGGGGGAAGGAAAAAAAGGGAAGAAGGAGGAAGAGAAACGAGAGGAAAAGATAAAAAGGGCAAGGGATGGACGGGATCGCTTTGAAATGGGCCAAATTAAGGTGGAAACGTTCATCTCGTTTGCATCGTGCACCTGCATCCGTCCATATACACGTCGTCTATTATACAATTTCTGTTTTAAAATCCCTCTCCTCCCCTGTTTTCCCCCTTTTATACATGCGTCTAATTGTCTTTTATACATTTTCCCGGACTGCTGACTCAATCTCGGCAGCGTTCGCCTTCAAGCTCTCCAGCTGCGCTTCGATGCTACCCAACTGCGCGCTCAACGTCGTCTCAGCAGGCGCCGCAGCCTCACTCGCGACAGTCTCTCCCATCAAGTTCACCAGCTCCTCTTCAGTGACCTCTTCTTGCTGCTCGCCCAGGTACTGCGACCTTAGCAGCTTCAACTCCTCATCTGTGAATCCCTGAATGTTGGCCTGCATCCTGCCCATGACTTCTTTCCTCTTGAGGACGGCGGCCTGCACTTCCTTTCTCATGTGGCGGCTAAGCTCAGGAGAGGTGCTCCATGAGATGTCGCCCTTTTTGGCGTCTTGAATACGTCGCTTCTGGCCGGCCTCTCCCGCACGGCCCAGGACTCCAGCAACCAATGCCATGGCACGAAGACTAAGGGAAGAATTAGCAATCATCAGAGTGGAAGCAAATGGGCCTATTAACAGCTCTACTAACCTGTCGTCGTTGGCGGGAATCGTGTATGTGACCCATGAGGGATCGGTATTTGTGTCAATGACTCCAATCGTGGGAATGTTCTTCAGGCCACACTCGTACAGCAGCGTGTAATTCTCTAAGGGGTTGAGGCAAACCACCAAGTCCGGCAGCAGCGGTCTCGCTGTGCCCTTGAACATGTCGAATCCATCAAGCTCCTTATCCAGGTGGTCCACCACCTTCATGCCCTGGGTCTTGAGAATGACGTCTCGGTTTGTGATGGCGCCAGGGGTCCACTTTGTGAACAGGTGGTAGGCGCCTGCCAGCTCAGATGCCCTTGTGACAATCTCCATCTGGCCCTTGCGGGTACCGACAAAGAGAATAATGCCGCCGCGGTAGGCCACCTCCTCAACCACTCGGGCCGCCCGTCGAAGATGCGCCGCTGTCGTTTCGAGAGAAATGACGTGGACGCCCTGTCGCACGCCGTAAATGTATCGTGAATTGGCCGGGTTCCATAGTGAGGTGTTGTGTCCCATGTGTGTCTGCGACGCCATCAACAGCTCCAGCGTAACGTCCTCTGGCCGGGGAGGGTTGCTAATGATTTCCGTGGGGATATAGCGCTTCTCAAGCTTTGAACCAAGGCTTCTTGTATTCTTCTGAATGCGCTGAAATTCGGCATACTGTTGGGAGGGGGTCAGATTCTGCTTGCCCCTCTGATGTGACTTTGTCCATGCGGTTCCGTGGTGCTGCTGCGAAGAGTTGGCTCCGAGGGTCATGATGACTTCTTCGACAATCTTTTGCTTCTTCTTCGATGAAGAAACCATCTTGGGAGAGGCAGCGGCAGCCTGGGGCGTCGGCCACGCCTGAGCAGGCCCATTGGATGTTGAGCTTGAGGCTGTCGCCGTCTTTACTTCGGTCGAGATTTGTCGTAGAACGGTTCTCGGCAGAGGAGACGCCAATGCGCGGCGGCCTGCACTTGATCAGCATCCCCTAGACAAGTCTACATATTCAATTGACTTACCATGCCGCACAGCAGCGCTCTGGACATTCATGGCGGCTTGTGTTGCGATCCTGCTACCGTCCGACTAGGTCGCCCGAGTCCAAATTTTGGATCACGCCGCTCTGGATGGAGTGTCTGCGGCGAGGCATATTTTCCGGTTCCGCCACTGCTCAGAGCTGCCAACGTTTTTCTTGCTGTGCACTAAAATGACCCCGCGGTCCGGTGGCAGCAACCATTAACCCCACGTCGAAAGTGGCTCGTACTGTATTTTAGATTGGATGTGTGCAGCTTGCTCTATATGTATGTTGATCATGTAGTGGAGAGCTACCTTTTCTATACCTTGAAAATGGGGCATTTACTACAGGAACACGAAAATCGAAATTCATCTGTTTCTGTTTCTGTTTTTGATGGATGCCTTCCCTTGGTTTATGATATCATGATATGAAATTACAAGTAAAAGTCGTATGGAAAAAAAAAAAAAAAGCCTTAAATCTATGACGATTTGTCTGTGCTTGAGAAATCTACAGTTACCAATGCCAACCAACTTTTTCTTCGTCAAGGTCATTATGGGGAATAAAACGCCATACAAGAGGGGATGCACTGCATTCTTTACCGGCTAGTCGCTCTAGCAATAGTAAACACTCCGACAATTACCACCGCAAGAGTGATGATAGCGCCGGGCAGCAAGAGATCGTTGGGCACACCGGCAATCAGCTGCTCCTGGTGAACCACCGTCCTTGATCGCCGCGATCGGCGGACAGGCCGTTCCTCTTCCTCCTCTGATTCCTCCTCCTCACTCTCCGAATCCTCCTCGTAAGCTCTCCGTCGCTCACGGAGGCCAGCAGATGATGAGGCCGGGGTAGGGAGTGCGTCCAGTGAAGGCGCTGAAGGCTGCTTCTCGGAGTCATGCACGTAGAGGTCGACCTTCTCAAGATGTGCTTGGCGTGCTAGGAGAATGGCCTCTAGCAGGTCATTGTCGGTGGTGATGGACACGGTATCACCCTCGTTGTCCATGTAGCTGAGAGCAAAGCCCGAGCCTTCGATTCTGCCCTCAAAAACATCGGGCATGCCTCCAAGGGCCTCGATTTCATTTCCGAGCTTGGATGCGACGGCATGCACAAAGGACTCGATGCCCTGCGATGCAACCACTTGCAATCGGTGCACCCGTCCTGAAGGCGCCTTGAACTTGAAGGCAAACGGAATGTCGCCGGGCGTCAGGTCCGGAGCGATCGACCGAGGAGGTGAGTCTAATCCGATGTGCGACGCAGAGTCGTTGGGGGCGACGCTATCTCCCAGGCGGTTCGCCTCGGGAGACATCATACGAGAGCCGTGGTGAGGGTGGTGGCTAAGGCTGCCGTCGCCAGACACCATAGATTCCGTCTCATGGTCGATGGAGAGCCAAAACTTATTCCACGCAGGGCCTTCACCATTGTCACTAGACATGGTGTTGATTTGCTCCAATGTAGCATAAGTCAGCTTGAGCACATCGACCATTCCCACAATTTCGCCGCCATCGTTCATGACGGGAAGGTTGAGATAATGGCCATCTGAAATATGATTGTTAGACACATATTTGACCATGATTTTTTTGCTTTTACGGCACTCGAAAGCGAAATCGCCATAGAGCTGGAACAAGGCCAACAGAGATGGGAAGGATTAAGAAAAAGGTAGAAATTGGAACGTGCTTACCGTGCATCTTCCGTAAGGCTGCCTGAATGGTCATGTCCATTGGGGCAAAATCGGGGTGAGGGGTCATGACACGCACGACGCTGCAATTGGCCGGGTCCAAGCCTGGAGCAATGACACGAAGAACTACGTCCTTGCTCGTAAAAATGCCGGTAATGGCTCCCTGGTCCTGCACCAGCACTGCAGTGGTGTGGTTCTCCTTCATCATGGCCGCAGCCTCTTTGACCGAGGTCCGGACGCTGACCGTGGTGGGCGGGATGCCGTTCAACACGGTTTCCAGTGTGGGCCCAGACATTTTGGATCGAAGAGCCTCCACATATTGGATAATCTGCTGCGGCTGGCTGGCGCCCAATTCGGACTGCACGCCCTCCAAGGCGTCGTAGAGCTTTCTCGAGGAGGAGTATGCTCGCTCCAGCTTCTCCATGGCGTCGTAGAAGCACTTGGTGATATCCAACACACCAGAGATGTCCTGGTTCTCGTCCATGACGGGCAAGTGGCGGAAGCCCTTGCGAACCATTAGGTCTAGCGCATCAGTTGCACTTGTGTCGGTTCTGGCACAGAGAGGGTTCTTGGTCATGATTTCAGCAATAGTGACGTTGGCAGCCTTGAGTCCAGCCCCGACCACACGGAACGCAAGATCCTTGGCGGTAAAGATACCCGCAATCCGGTCCTCGTCATCGGTAACCAGGACGCAATCCTCCCTCTTCGCCGCCATCAGTTGAGCAGCCTCGGAGACCGTCGTGGCAGGCTTGATCTGGAGAGCCTGGCTCGGCTTGAGGGCAAGCACAGTCCCGGGAGGGGCTCTGCGATTCGGTCGCGATCGGCCCGTGAGAGTCTTCTTCTTGGAGAGATCGCTCTCCATTTTCCGGCGAATTGCCTGCGTGCGCGTGCATTAGCCATAAGATACACCCAATATTATCACTACTGAGGGGTCTTGTATAGCTTCTTTCCAAGAGCTCTCCACTTCGACTCAAGACAGCGCTAGGGGGAAGACAATAGCCGTAGTAAACAAATCAACCATCGACTCACCTCATCGCGCTTGGATTGCTTCTGTCTGCTTGCGCTGAGGCCGGCAGCACTGGATTCAGCAGGCGGTTGCTGGTCTAGCACCGGTCGAGGGATGCCGGAGCTCGCAACAGTAGAGCCAGCATTGTTGTATGGCGTGGTGCTCCGTGGCTGATTCCGGCTCGGATTGTTCCCTCGGGAGGCGTTTACCATCGACATGGCTGCGGTTGGCGACTCGCGGGCGTCGAGAATGAACGTTCCAAAATTTCGCCGTCGGGAGCAAGAAGGAAAAAATCAAAGACGGATTTCAATTCTTCGAAAACCAGTTTTCGGAGTCAGCCAGAGGTTGCAGCCAATGACAGCGGAGGAGGGATTTTCAAGGGTGACGGAACGAAGTCGAAAGGTCGGTCACCAGATATTAAGCCCTGGCCAAGTCACCCCGGCACTTTTTCTTTTCTCGCCCACTGGGCCGACGAACGCTTCGGTTGGCGCGGCGGTTGCATTGGCCCAGCGGGCAGCTTATAGGCGGCTTATAGGGCACCTGAGCAGTGAGCACCGCAGCCTGAAACCCGGAAACACCCATCGTGGGCCGCTGGAGGGAGAAAAAAGCGCAAGCCGACCTAGCGCTGCAGGTGCTAAACATCTAGCGGCCTTGGTTCAAGACCTTTGGCGGTAGGGCTCCATTAATTGATGTGATCCCAGCAGCAACTGCAAATTTCGAATGAGGGGCGCGTGAAGAGCGTAGAAAATCGGTCCTGGGGCAGTTCTAGCATGAAAATATGGACGAAATGCTGATGAGCCTGCGCGGTGCTTCGTGCTAGGAAGATGCTAGACACGGCATGACCTTCAGCTCAAGGCCTTGTAAGTCACATGCCTGTTTTGGCGTCTAAGAGACTGAGAGATCTTTGCATTAAAGGCAGCAAATCATCTGATATTACCGGCTGATAGTTTCCCCTTTTTTTTTTTCTTTCTTTTTCCCTGTGAAGGTGGCACTGCTACTACTACTACTAACCGGTAATATCCTATGTCTAGGTGCATGCATGTAGTAGTCGATGGTCGAAGGCGTCGGTTTCAACGCCGCTCGAAATCTGTTTATATGCATCTGATCTGCATGTACCTGGGCTGACTTCCAAGATCTTGTCGATTAAATTAACATTTCAGCCACCAGTTCAAAGCCTGTGGATCCCGTTTGTGAATCTTTGTCTTTTCCATGCTGTTACAGCGACATGGGCAAGCTAAACCTGGCAATGTTATGACGACCAGGATGCGAGTCGCGCGTATTGGCAATAGTACGGCGAGCACTGCTACCTACGACTAGTGGTATCAGAACTCCATTTTTCTCATGTACGTGCGGCCTGCAGCCCGACATGCAGCAACATGGGACTGGAGTCGTCAATGCCTACTGTACATAGTATGTAGTAGCAGCATTTCTCCATACTACAAAGTAATCTCTGCAGTGCTAGCTCAATCCCACGCCTTGGTTTGGACTCCAACCTGGCCAAGCGGGGAACGGCCCTTGGCTGTCAAGCAGCAGCTACCGGGCTTACTAGTAGGCCGTAGGCTGGAATGCATCGTATCATCATGATCATCTCGCATGTGCAGTAGTTAGTCCAGCCCATCGATGACAAGCCGGCAGTGGCTCAACGGTGGCGTGTTCCAGCCAGCCACCGGCTCCCGTGTTGTTGATGGGTGTAGTATCAACCGGCGCCTAATGAAGCTGGCTGTCCACATGGAGAGCTAGAATAGCCGCTATGGCCGTCTTAGTGGCCCTCTCAACGACAATGTTTACTTGTTCTATTGAGACGTCGACCCTCCTTTAAGATTGCCCGTGATTTATTATTAGCGACTATCAGACGCCGAGCGAGATTGGCAGGCCAGTAATTTCCGCGTTCGGCTGGTTTGTTGACGTCGATAAATATTACTCTTAGCAGCAGTAGCGCTTAGTAGCGACTCATCTTACTGAACAGGCCAATCCGCGTTGCCATGGTGCACGTCAGCTGCCCTCCTTTGGGCGTGAGCGCCAGAAACAATACACTCGGCAAGGGTGTCTCAGCACTCAAACATTATCTCGAGTGCTTGTGCGCCCAAGGGATAGGCGGGTAGATGCATGCAGTTGGAAAACTGAGATATCGTCGTCACCGTGAGACATGGGAATCAGGGAATTGGTTATTGAAGCATCGTCGCCATCCATGTAGGTGGGTGCTGGCATGCTCCAGTAGAGCCCAGAGCTATGCCCACGCTTTGTCCTCTGTATTATTAGCAGTGCTGTGCTAGTTTTTACTAGGGAGTGCTCCGTAAACAACAATAATAATGCCTTCTTATGTATCGCGTTCATAGAGTACGCTACATAGTTATGTGCATGCACATGGATATGAGATGCTCGGCTCCGCCTAGCTGCAGACCGACAACTCATCCGGCAACGCCCAATTGCGGATCGCTCCGGGCTCTAAATCAACATTGCATCGCCACAAGCCCTCTTTGTTCCTGGACTTGTCTCAGCACAAATCGCCGGGCTGTTTTAAAGCTGCGACCTCAGTGCGATAGGCGCGGCCGAGCGGTGGAGACGTCTGCGCTGGCCGTTGCCGTGGCGACCGCGCTGGCTTCCTACTTGAGCTTCTAAGGGACCATTTACTGCAGCTCAGCTGGCTTTTGAACTTGGATCTGGAATCCATTCGTTCTTCACCACTTCATTGTTTCCCATTAGGGCATCTTGTTTTTGGTCTTATGTTTGATGAAATGCAACCGCAAGCCGAGCCGAGCCTCTCAGCTGCAGTTACCGGTGCAGCAAGCCCAAGCGCCTCTACAGGCAAAGAGCCATCGAACGCTGCTGTACCCATGCAGACGTCGCACTATATGAACATGAACTTGAGCATGAACATGAACAAAATGGACGAGTATGAATCCGCTAAGTTACCAAGGCGTGCTGACAATGTTACTACTGATGAATGGATGCTCCCCCCAATGACAAAGCTAGACAGACCGCAGATGAGACCGATAGCCGAGGGCGGATATGCTGCTCAGTCGTCGCAGCCTCAACTCGATCACAAGTACAGCGGCCTGAATTCTTCCATCAGCCGCCCTAGCCGCCATCGTCGCACCGAATCCGCAGCAAGCATTGCTAGCGCGGCTAGCATCGCCGATATCAATATCGAAGACACGCGAACCGACACAGGCGTCACTGGCGAAGAGATTGCTCAGTTCATCCAAGGACCAGAGACGACGGATGGGAAGTGGACTTGCTTGTTTGAAGACTGTGGAAAACAGTTTGGTCGCAAGGAAAACATCAAATCCCACATCCAGACTCATCTCAACGATCGCCAATATCAGTGCCCTGCCTGCCGGAAGTGCTTTGTTCGCCAGCACGATCTCAAGAGACACGCCAAGATTCACACAGGCATCAAGCCATATCCTTGCGACTGCGGCAACAAATTTGCGCGCCACGATGCTCTCACAAGACACCGTCAGCGAGGCATGTGTGTTGGTGCCTTTGATGGAATTGTGAGGAAGAATGTGAAGCGCGGACGCCCCAAGAAGAACCGCCCAGAGATGGATGCGCGCTTGGAAAAATCTTCAAAGACTAGGAAGAAGAACATGTCCATCAGCTCCATCTCTTCATTTTCGGGATACTCGGACGTTTCAGCCACCAATTCCCCCAATTATGAACTCGACGTGCTCAACGAGGTGTTGGATATGGGAATCGAGGCCGAGGCAGAGCCAATGCGCCCACTTTCATCAGCGCCCATGCCTACCATGCCCAATCCAACAGCAAACAGCATTGTCACATCCCCTTCAGAAGCCAGCGTGCACTCGTATGTGTCCCCGGAAGCAATTATGGAGAGAGCCTCACATCCTTCCTCTCCTGGCAAGAGCACATCAAGCCAATACAACACACCGCCGGGTCTCTCTCAATCATCGTCGTCGCCGCCATCAACGCATTTCTTCGACTTGGACCCCGCGACGACAACAGCGGCAGCTGATGACGTCGTCAACTACTCTGCCCCTGGTATGATGATGAATATGACATCGATGGGTGGGCCCATGCCTCTGAGTATGAATGAGCAAGAGGAAGACTTGCTTCGCCAGTTCACCAACGATGACAGCTTCATACCACTGGACCGCGACCCGAGTTTAATAATAATGCCCAAATTCGACGAGTTCAATGGTGTAGCCGTTGGCATGATCAACGACAACGGCTACTACTTTTAATGGAAATACTTGGAGCGTTCAAGCACTTAATTACGCCATGATTTATTCTGAGCCTGTCTTATACTTGTCGAGCCTACTTTTACTTTGACGCGTTAATTTTGGAACCCGGGTATAGTGATCGGGATAATGTTTCTTTCTACCCTGGGTTACAGGGCCTCTACTTTTTTTTCTCTCAATCTCCTTGGTTTTATATCGTTGTGTTACCCACAACCCGCCATGTTGGAAATTTGGTGTCAATTCAATTGTACAATACGGGGAAGGAACGGATTTGGGATAAAAAGGGAATTTTTTCATTTGTCTTTTTCATTTGTCTATGTGAGGGTGTGTGAGTGTTTGGATACGCAGTGATGTTACAACGCGTTGATATGTTTGGGAACGATTGAAGCTTCTTGATGGGAATCTGCCACCGATCCCTTTTTCGATGTTTTTTTTTTCCTTTCCTTTCCTTTGTATACGGAGTTGGGAAGAAGATATTGTCTGGATATATTCGAGTGCAAATGAGAGCCTGGATCGTATTGGACTACTCTGGCCGCGTTTGCTTATTGGTCCCTTGTGATGTCTCTGTGCTAGTGGTCAACTGTGCTTTCATTCTTACTATTCTAACTCATGATTGGAGTCTATTCGCCAGCCTTTCGAGTCTATGGTTTATAAGATACGGCGACTGGTTTACATGCGGAAATCCAAGCTGTTCTTTCATTTTCAATTGAAGGTTACAATCTCACGTTACAGCCCATGTATAATCACATGTCATTATATGCACATTTGTTGCTTGTGTTGGGGGCGGCATGAGTATTATAACGTCCCAAGAGTTACACAACATCTAGCTGAGAAAAAACAAGCAGGTCGTGCCCTATGGTACCTATAAATATGAGGGATACCTTGGCCATACCGTCCTAATGTCATCCTTTTCACTCAATTCCATTAAACCCGTTCAAAATATTTGTCCTGATTATAGCTTATTTAGTTTATCTAATCATCTTATTCATTTGGCATTTGCCTAATCTCCAACTTCAATTTTCTCTTATCAGTTAAACGTTCGTAACTTAACAGCTTTGATACCTACGGTTATATGCCGTTTAGAGTTCTCCAGCTGTGGGCTTTCTGAAGTAGGGGGGGTTATGGTAAAGATGTCATAATGTTATTAATTGATTGTGGTGACTCGATAATATCGTTTGCACTTTTTATGTATCAAAAACCTTCGGGGGGCTATATTTACCTAATTGTCTTTTCCTTTCCATTTAATTTCTAGAAAGGCTCGTTTTACCTGGTGTGATTACTGAGAAAATGAGTGTTACAACGATTAAAAGGAAAACAGCCATTGCGGTTCACTTGTTGATCTGTTTTTAGATAGGGGATATTATACTTGTGGCAACAACCTCCTTGCTCGGCTTTTACCCTGGAGCCACGTGTACAAACTTAGCAGGGAACTCTCTTCTGAATCGTGAAGAAAGACGCTCTTTTCCCGTATGGGTGAAAATTTTAAGAAGTTTGACAAGTATTCTTGTCCGCTCACTTGGTTCATAAATTCTGTATTTTGAGATACAGGGTAAAAGATTGTTGACAGAGACGGTGCCTTTCGTGCTTCAACAGAGCGATTACTTCATCACCACTTCGGCATTTGGTAAGAATGGGCTGGTGCGCCCGCTAGAATACTCGATTCCTGTAGCAATCATTGGCAGAGAAATAAATTTTGTTCATAAAGTGAGATACATCGAAGTGCCCTTTTCCCTAGCAACAAGATTCTTAGCAGCGGTTGACCACTCTGATAAGTCTGTAGAATCGTCTTACGGCTGCTGAAATTTGGCATATCAATCTTGATAATACCTTGGATATTGATTCGGGCAAAAGAGAGAGCTCGGGATGGATGGTATCGTTTATGAACCTTTGTCTTTCTGTTGATGAGAAGGAAGCGTGCGCAAAGGGAAGCAAACAATCGCCACTTTTCTTTAAATGGCATATGTTGCAGATGATTATAATTTTTGTGGAAAACTGTGTTAACGATAGAAAGTCGAAAATTATGGATGCTGTGAAGTGAAGATACGCAAGGAGTGTATTAAGGTGAATTATTGTTCGGTGGAGTGTCAAAAGGAATGTTGGAAGAAGCATTATCCGAAATGGGAAAAAGAGAAGATATACATATGCATAGCAGCGGCATATATATGTAAAATTTTGTCACAATTATGTCTTCAGTCATGCTTGGATAAGAGCTTACTTTCGTGGTTCTATACTCCATGTTTCTAGGTAGGCACAGCATGATATCGTGATGTCTCTACATGCACTCCAGCGGCCTCGCACATTTCATACTTGCTTCTATTTTCCCGAATTGTGGCTGCTATATTCTTATAAAAACCTTTATTTTCTCTCTCTTTCAATGCAAAAACGTCATATTATTCTAGTTCTAGAGGGAGTGCTGAATGGCCATTTTCTTTTTTTATACTTTTAGTGAGATGGTGATGCAAACAAAGTAGCTTTCTTTGGCGGGGCAAGAATTGTGATGAAAATTTAATCCTCCAGAGTATCTTGTGTGAAGAAAGTAAACAATTTTATTTCTCGATTAATAATTCATTATTTTACACCGACTGGATCCTCTTCATCCTTGATACCTCCTATTTATCACCCAGGCAGGCACTTACAGCCAGTAGTGGATGTCTGCGGTGGATTATTGATTGGCTTGCTAATATCTGCCACTCCCTCCCCTCCACACCGCCTTTGCCCGACAAGGCAGAAAAAAGTACCCAGCCCACCACACTCCAATGCGGGTCGCTGCCAGGCAGAGGGAAGCTTGTCGAAACCACGATACTGCCACCAACACGCAGCCCACGAGATTTCTAATCGACCGGCGAATTCACAGCGCTCGAAATGTCTGCGGCGCAACTTCTTAACCCAAAGGCCGAGTCCCGAGTGCGTCTCTCGTCTATTTGCCATGCGTGTGCTGCTGGAGTCTAACTGGTTTGCAGAGGAGGGGTGAAGCTCTGAAGGTCAACATCAGTGCTGGTGAGGGCCTGCAAGATGTGCTCAAGTCAAACCTCGGACCCCGAGGCACGATCAAGATGTAAGGCAAACGGCTTCGCTATGGATAACTGATCAGTGCTAACTGCAGTGCAGGCTTGTCGACGGTGCCGGACAGGTAACGCGAAGCCCAACTTCTACCCCTCAATGACAAAGCCCCTATTCCTAACAATCGATGCCCTCGAATAGATCAAGCTTACCAAGGACGGAAACGTTCTCCTGAGAGAAATGCAAATCCAAAACCCGACTGCTGTCATGATTGCTCGAGCGGCGACGGCGCAGGACGATATTTGCGGAGATGGCACAACTTCCGTGGTGCTGCTGGTGGGAGAGCTGTTGAAGCAGGCAGACCGACACATTTCCGAAGGACTCCACCCGCGTATCATCACCGATGGCTTTGAGATTGCCAAGGCTGAGGCTTTGAAGGTAGCTAACAAGAACATTTCGGTTATCGATTTAGTAAGAGCCTTTCGTCTGACATGTTACTAGTTCCTGGATTCCTTCAAGCTGCCCAAGGAGGTCGACCGTGAACTGTTGCTCAACGTTGCCCGAACATCCCTTGCGACGAAACTGAACTCAACATTAGCCGCGAAGCTTACTCCCGATATTGTCGATGCCGTGCTGGCCATTTACCAGGCCCCTGCCAAGCCCGACCTGCACATGGTGGAGATTATGAAGATGCAGCACCGCACCGCGTCTGACACCCAGCTCATCCGTGGACTGGCGTTGGACCACGGTGCCAGACATCCCGACATGCCCAAGAGACTGGAAAACTGCTACATCTTGACGATGAACGTCAGCCTGGAGTATGAGAAGACTGAGATCAACTCTGGCTTCTTCTACTCAAGCGCTGAGCAGCGTGACAAGCTTGTTGAGAGTGAGCGTCGGTTCGTTGACGCCAAGCTCAAGAAGATTGTTGAGCTGAAGAAGCAGGTCTGCGGCGACGACGGAAAGAAGAGCTTCGTTATTATCAACCAGAAGGGTATCGACCCCCTTTCCCTAGACGTCCTGGCTAAGAACGGTATTCTGGCTCTGCGACGAGCAAAGAGAAGGAACATGGAGAGACTTCAGCTCATCTGCGGTGGTGTTGCTCAGAACAGCGTCGATGACCTAACACCTGACGTCCTCGGCTGGGCTGGTCTCGTTTACGAGCAGACCCTGGGTGAGGAGAAGTACACTTTCGTTGAGGAGGTCAAGGACCCCAAGTCTGTCACCCTTTTGATCAAGGGACCCAATCAGCACACCATTGCTCAAGTTACGGATGCTGTCCGAGATGGTCTAAGAAGTGTCTACAACATGATTGTCGATAAGAGCGTTGTTCCCGGCGCTGGTGCTTTCCAGGTTGCCTGTGCCGCCCACCTGAAGAGCGATGCCTTTTCGAAGTCAGTCAAGGGCAAGGCTAAGTGGGGTGTGGAGGCTTTTGCCGACGCTCTTCTCATCATCCCCAAGACTCTGGCTGCCAATGCTGGACACGATGTTCAGGATGCTCGTAAGTTTATGCAAGCCCCCGGATTTCTCTGTTAATAGAAGCAAAATGCTAACATTACAATTACAGTTGCCGCACTGCAAGACGAGCACACAGATGGCCAGGTCGTTGGATTGAACTTGGAGACTGGCGAGCCCATGGATCCCGAGCTGGAAGGTGTCTTTGATTCCTTTAGAGTTCTGAGAAATTGCATTGCTTCAAGCTCAGGTATTGCGTCCAACCTGTTGCTTTGCGACGAATTGTTGAAGGCTCGACAGATGGGCAGAGCCAAGGGACCAGGTCCCGGAATGGATGGCCCTGATGATCACATGTAAAGGCTTTATTGTTTAGATTTATGGTAGATAAAATCATCCCGGAACAGGTTAAAAATTTCTAGGCACTGCCATTTTTAAGTAATACTGGATTTTAATATAGCTGAGATCTTCTGTATGCTATCATGGCGCAAGTTGTAAAGTCCATGTTGCAATATTATCACGGAGAACGTTGAGAGCTGGCTGGGCGATTCAGTGGTATCGGCTTGATAAGCCCCGCAATGATTTTCATCTTCCACCTTAAAAAAAAATCTTGACCCCACCATCACTGAACTGCATACAATCAGAAGCCTGCAGCACTGCGACAATGGCAGATTACGCTTCCGACTCCTCTGAGGGAGAATTCACAGAGACAAATGTCCTCCTCGGATACACTTCTAAAGAAGCTGATGATGATACTATAAGCAAGCTGGGAGGCACTCCGGTAAGTCTCTTTTTTTCTTCCTTTACCTTTTGTCGCCGTGATAGCAGCACCAAAGCTGCACCAGATGACATGCTAACAGTATGAATGTTCTAGGACTGGCTCGATGCAGACAAAGCTCCTTCAGCTGCCCTGGCAAGATGCAAGGTCTGCAAAGACATGATGGCCCTGCTGCTACAGCTAAATGGCGAACTCCCTGAGAAATTCCCTTCCCACGAGCGGCGGTTATACGTCTTCGCATGCCGCAGGGCGACATGTCGGCGCAAGGCAGGTAGCATTCGCGCTTTGAGAGGAGTGAGAGTTTGGAAGGACGGTGCCGAGACGACGATACCACAGGTTGAAGAGAAGGCACCGGAAAAGAAGAGCGAGCCTGAAGAAAAGAAGAAGGACGGGCCGGGCCTTGGGGAGTCGCTGTTTGGAGCGAAGCCTTTGGGAGCTGCGGGCGGAAATCCCTTTTCCACTGGCGCAAATCCTTTTGGTTCTTCAGCAAGCAATCCATTTAGTTCTTCTTCTTCATCCAATCCATTTTCAAGCCAGCCAGCCAAGCCAACCCCTACGTCAGCAGAGAAGCCTGCTCCTGCTTCCGCTCCTGCTTCAAACAACCTCTCCAAGACCTTTGCCGAGACTCTGGCGATAGACAACAACACTCCCACGGGACCACCGCCTCCTGCTGAGCCATGGCCTGAAAAGGCTTCGCAACCTACTCCTTACCCGACGCTCTTCCTCGCCGACGCAGACTACGAAACCCTCGACGAGACCGCCGTGAAGATGCCGGCTAACGTGAGCATCGCCGACGCTGATGCTCCAGAGCCTTCAGCCCTCGATCGCGAGGCCTTTGAATCAGCCATGGATGCCACTTTCCAGAAATTCGCCGATCGGATGGCACAGAACCCCGAGCAGTGCATCCGGTACGAGTTTGGCGGCGCGCCGCTGCTTTATTCCAAGACGGACACCGTTGGCGACCTGTTGACCAAGCGAACCATGCCGGGGTGCCCCAACTGCGGTGGCCGAAGGACGTTTGAGGTGCAGCTGACGCCGAATGCTATTACTGAGCTGGAGGAGGATGACTTGAGCTTGGATGGCATGGAGTGGGGGACGATTATTGTTGGTGTTTGCGAGAGGGACTGCTCGCTGAGACATACTGCCGTTGAGGAGGCAGGCTACTTGGAGGAATGGGCGGGTGTTCAGTGGGAGGAGCTGTCGAAGAACAAATAATGGTGATGGGGGGAATTTTCTTTTGCGTGGATAGATACAAAAAGTTTAAGAGGGTAAATAGATAACCTCGACGAGTTCATGATATCAAAATATGAGAGAGTGCGAATCAATGTGATGCCCAAAAGATAGCCTGTTCTATTCATGACTGATCTTGTATCGCTTTTTAATAAACAGTTTTTGTCCTATTAAACGCCTGACGAAATTTTTGAAGATCTCCGCACCATGCCATCATGCCAATGTCTTATTGCATATCATTGGTTCCGCCGACATATCCATTGCCTTCTCTTCCCTCCCCTGTATAAGCAAACAATACTAGTTAATCAACGCCTCTCTATCTCGCGCGCCTCTTCCACGATTACACCATATCTATACAGTCTCCTCCCAGGATCGTCGAATCACTCTGGCGAACTGGTCAACGTTGACGTCCTCGCGGATCTCGGACTTCTTGGCCTCGTTGTCGGGGTTAGAAGGAATCTTGACGTTGCCCTCCTCATCGATAGTCCAGCCAGCGACCTCGGTGATGAATTTCCGTGTCTTGTCCTCGTTGAAGCCCAGCCACGAGACCATGTGAGACAGCTTGATTTCCCGGAAGGCCTGTGAGATGAGTGTGGCGATGCGCTCGCGAACGAGGTCCTCGAAGCCGGAGACGTCGGCGATCAGGTCGGCGCACAGGTCGTCGCCGTCCAGGTCGGCCCAGAAGTCGGCGTACTGGGCGCCCTGGAGCTGGGAGTTGAGGGATCGGAGCTTGGTGAGGGCCTCGTGAAGTTCGCCGGTGGAGGCGGCGGAGGGGTTGATGAGGTGGAGGGCGAGGGTGAACTGGGACGAGGGGAACTGGGTCATGGCCTTAACGAGGATGTTGGTGACGACCTCATCCTTCATGCGGTCAGGGTTGAGCTGGTAGCTGTAATTTTTGCGCAGTCTTGGTTAGCATGGCAATTTCATAAATATGCTGGAGAGTAAAAAAGACGAGAATATAATGCTCATAGCAATAGTAGGTAATTTGTGCTTTGGTTTTTTCAGACACCACTAAAGTTGACTTCAAGTGACTGGGTTGTTTAGGTCCAGTCTCAGGTAATAGGAAACGTTTACAAAAACGGTCATCATATAAACAGCAGATAAAAAAAAAAAAAAAAAGAATTGGAGAATCCTCCAGAAGAGTCTAGGTGCTCGCAATTGGGCACTCACAGCTTCAGCAGTGTTCGGTTCGCATTGCAGTCGCAGAACTTCTGGTCACATTGCTCCTGGAGGTAGGTTTCGAGGGTGCCGACGGCCTCGGGGTTGTAGCGCTCGAGGCCGTTGATCACCGTTGTGATGTAGTCGGGTCGGTCTGAGGGGTCTTCGCCGTTCATGTTGGCTGCTTTTTGACGGATGCTATTCCCAAGTTGAATGAGGGGAGAATGTTCAAGTTCGAGATGGTGGGGCCAAAAGGGAAAGATTTCGATATCGTGGGCGGTTGGCTTTGTGCGGCACGAAATTGCCTCAAGGGGCTTAGCGGCAACAGAATGACGGGGCTCCTGATCTTCCGCACCGTGGGCGGAACTCGGTTTCACGATCACGTGCCGTCGTGTTGGACGGCGTCATGGATGGTGAGAGCTCTGCGTGAATGGCATGCCGTAGTTGGTATGTGTAAGCGGCGTTGTATGAATCACGCGTTTTACTGTCTGTCATGACTTGGACTATTTTTCTGCAGCATTTCTTCATGTCAATGAGATATATCTCGGGGCGTTGAGGGGCTTCCCCAGTCGTTCCGAGCTACAGCCACACTACAGACAGCATGTCTAGTCCATCGAAGAGGAGAAAGCTCAACAGTGGTACGAAGCAGCCGGCGGCTCAGTCAAGGGGACTGGAATACTTCTTTTCTAAGCAGAAGCAGTCAGAAGCCTTGCCCCCACCGACTGGAGAAGATGGCGCCTCAAGCAGTGCATCCACATTGCTTACAGACGAGGAGCTGGCCCGGAAGCTACAGGCGGAATGGGATCAAGAAGCAGCAAATGAAGCTGCTGCTGCTCGAGGAAGCCAGAATTCAACACCCAAAACCCAGGGTACGGAAGCCATAACGGAGACAGGAGACAGTGACTTTACGCCTACTTCTACGAGTCGGCCAGCGCAATCAATAGGTGAGACCACTCCTAAGAAGCTGGAAACTAAGAAGACACTGGCTTTGCAGTCTACCGGAATGGCTGATGACCTAATTACGGAATCTATTCCTCTGGATGAATCGCCGCTCACATTTGACCCGTCAAAATATGTAAAGGAGCTGCAGGAATACTGGGCGGCAGAAGGAGGAAACGCGTCCTATGCTCTCTTGACCAGATGCTTCGTGCTTGTCAGTGGAACAACAAGCCGTATCAAAATTGTTGACACCCTTGTAAACTGCCTACGTATATTAATCGAAAGCGACCCTTCTAGCCTCTTGCCTGCTGTAAGTGAATTGGCCAAAAATCTCGAGCTTGACTCTTATAGTTTTCTAGGTCTGGCTTGCTACAAACTCCATATCGCCTCCATACATCTCCATGGAGCTTGGTATAGGTGGCTCTGCTATTTCAAAGGCCCTCCGCCAAGCTTGTGGCCTGGATAATCGGTCTCTCAAAGCTATTTACGATAAATATGGAGATCCTGGTGATGTTGCTTTTGAAGCAAAGAAGAAGCAAAGCTTCACGTTGAGAAAACCGAAGCCTTTAACTATCAAGGGAGTTTACCAGTCGCTTGTCAAAATTGCTACCACACATGGTCATGGAAGTGGTGAGACAAAACAGCGAATTGTAGATCGACTGCTGCAAGATGCACGGGGAGGTGAAGAAAGCCGGTTTATTGTTCGAACTGTCTCTCAATATGTACGCGTTCTACGTCCAGTTAATCTGTTAAGCCCACACGCTAATGTTATATAGCTCCGCATTGGTGCTGTCAAAACCACTATGCTGATTGCATTATCTCGAGCATTCTTGCTATCTAAAGCTCCAGGTTCCGAATACGGCACAAAGGATATTACAGAGCTGAGCAAATTGAAGAAGGAAGAATTGGCAGAAGTTTGGAACAAAGCAGCAGAGATTGTCAAAGCAAGCTTTGCACGGCATCCCAATTACAACGATCTGATTCCAGCACTCCTTGAAGTTGGAGTTTGTGAAGAGCTGCTTCTGCGATGTGGCTTGAAACTCCACATCCCTCTGCGTCCCATGCTGGGAAGCATAACTAGAGACCTTTCAGAGATGCTCACAAAATTACAGGGGAGAGATTTCGCTTGCGAGTTCAAGTATGACGGGCAGCGCGCACAGGTTCACTGTGATGAAAAAGGCAAGGTTTCGATATTTTCTAGACACCTGGAGCTTATGACGGAAAAGTATCCTGATCTTGTGGAGCTTGTGCCCAAGATTAGAGGAGAAGGAATTGGTAGCTTCATCATGGAAGGAGAAGTTGTTGCTGTTGATCGAGAGACTGGAGAACTTAGGAATTTTCAGACACTGACCAACCGTGCGCGAAAGGATGTTGCGATTGGAGATATCAAGATTGATGTATGTCTTTTCGCATTTGATCTCATGTATCTTAACGGACAGTCTCTCCTGGATCGACCATTTCGAGAAAGACGAGAGCTTCTTCGGTCGCTCTTCATTGAGGTACCGCATCACTTTACATGGGTCAAAAGTCTGGACGCTACTTCTGGAGACTCGGAAACAGTGCTTGAATTCTTCAAGTTGGCATTGGAAAACAAGTGCGAGGGTATCATGGTAAAGATATTGGATAACTTACCTGATCTACCTTATACGGAAGGGGAACCTGAGGCTGAACAGCCAGTGGAAGATACAGAAAAGCTATCATTACCGAAGAGTAAAACAAAAGGCAAAGGGAAATCGAAAAACACTGCGAAAGGCGATTCCGAGGAAAAACAACCAGCCAATACCCGACGCAAACCGCTCTTAGCAACGTATGAGCCAGACAAACGACTAGATTCTTGGCTCAAAGTCAAGAAAGATTACAATTCGAATTTCGACACATTAGACATGATTCCTGTTGCCGGCTGGCATGGACAGGGCAGAAAGGCGAAATGGTGGTCTCCTATTTTAATGGCTGTCCGTAATGAAGAAAGCGGGACACTTGAAGTGGTGTGCAAATGCATATCAGGCTTTACAGACACCTTTTATAAGGCGAATAAGGAGTTTTATGACAATGGAGAAGAAAGCGGCGAGCCGAAGAATACTAAGTGGCAGAAGCCGAGTTTTATAGAATACTATGGACCGAGTCCGGACGTATGGTTTGAGCCACAAGAGGTTTGGGAAATGGCATTTGCGGACATTACCCTTAGTCCGGTCTACACTGCAGCAATCGGGCTAATAAGTGATGAGCGAGGTCTCAGCTTGCGATTTCCACGATTTCTGAAGAAGAGGGAGGACAAGGGCATCGACGAAGCCAGTACAAACGAGTTTCTGGCCAACTTGTGGAGGAAGCAGGAAGCAAAGGCAGAAACATCACCATCAAAGGTTGATGTAGCAGAAATGGGAGATGTTCAGGATGGCGATTTGGACGAATAGTCATGAAATCTTATGAAAATCTTATAAACCATGTTATAAGAGCACTTGGCAAGATTGGTTGTAATAGAAAAGAAGATTGTCATTAATCATTGATCGGAACTGAACTCATTTCCCAGCATTCAGCTTCTGCGCAATCAAACTAAAGACCGCCACAGACCCCATGAACAGAACGGCGTGATAAAACTAATAGCTCGCATTAGAAAAAAGCTCTGAGCACATAACTACTGGAGTGAAAGCGAGGCACGTACCGCTTTTCTTGAGATGTTCCTCTCCTCATCCTCTGTTCGGGCCTCGATGAATAGCCTCCTGAGATTGGGAAAGCTTGCCTGCGACATGAAAAAAATTTGTTTTTAGCAGACAGATACTTGGTGATTCATAGTTGATGAGTATGGCAGCAGTATTACCATGTTGGCAGAACAAGGAGAGAAGAAGAGCGGCTCTCGGCTTCAGACGGTTACACAAGAAGGATCGGGGAGCGAGAACTAAGGAATTAACTTTATGGCGTTTGCTGCTGGCTTGGGTGTGTGTGAGGAAGAGGCCCGTGCACCGGGTGACTTCTTATTCCGACTGGCACTGTTGTATTTGTTTGATGATGGTGAATAGAATAGGACATTCTAATTCTGGACAGGCAATGGAGGTTTGCTGGAACTGCGAGACTGCATGATGGATGACTAAAAGCAGCTAAAGCAAAGCCCATGAAACTCCCGGTTTAGGCGATGCAGGCGCTTGTGGATCAATGGTTTGTTTACTCTGCTTCTTGCATGGTTTAAGACTTGGCTCTAAACTTGGCTCTAGGCTCAATGCCACAGCTCTTTCTACAGCCTATTGACGTGTAAAGGCGATAGGCAGCAGTATTGCCTCTCTTACAAGCACAGATTTACATGCTAGGCATCTGTTATTGTAATCACAAGTCTTGCCATTTATGGAACTCTCCAAGCTTAGGCATCGAGATAATTATCCAGGAGTAGGTACTTCGTATGCCTACTGCTATTTCTGCGCTGTTGACAGCAGCCCTTGTCCCCTGGCGAAGCCCCGTGGATGACTCAGCAGCACCAGTCAATCAATCTGGCCCTTCGGCTGGCGCTCATGTAGCGTTCGGAGCCGCCTTTTAGTGGAGTTTTTGGCTGGCGTACAGCGAACATGGTGCCTGCGGTCACCGAAGGAGCAGTAGCGGTCCTAATATTAGCGTATGTCCCAATCCATAAGCTTGCAACTCGCAACCCCCTCGAAACGACAACTTCCCCGGCGAAGAGGCCACGATACGGAGCGCCGCGACTTGAGGTTCCCCTGGCAGACATCGCCGGAGCGCCATTAGCCCTTTTGACCCTCCAGAGCAGCTCCCGCCCCGACATCTCGCGTGGCCGCTCCCCTCTCTGGACGTGGCATCTCGACGCCGAATCCAAGACCATCCTCGTGCCCCTCCAACGACGTAAAGCTCCTCGACGATGGCGGTGAATCGCATCCGGGGCGCTTTTGCCGCGCCTCGGAAGGGAGAGACGTTTGAGCTGCGAGCAGGCCTGGTCTCGCAGTATGCGTACGAGCGAAAGGAGTCGATCCAGAAGACCATCATGGCCATGACGCTGGGCAAGGATGTGTCTGCCTTGTTCCCCGACGTCTTGAAGAACATTGCGACTGGCGACCTTGATCAGAAGAAGCTGGTCTATCTGTATCTCATGTACGTCCTCCGCATATACGATCGATTCTGTGATACTACTAGCGAACCGTCTTCAAGGCGTTCAGTGACGCTAGTAGAACTGGGACTGAAATATAATGATACAGGAACTACGCCAAGACGCACCCGGACCTTTGCATTCTCGCCGTCAATACGTTTGTACAAGACTCAGAAGACCCGAATCCACTCGTACGAGCGCTCGCCATCCGCACAATGGGCTGCATTAGGGTTGACAAGATGGTGGACTACATGGAGGAACCGCTACGGAAAACGCTAAGGGATGAGTCGCCATACGTACGCAAGACTGCGGCCATTTGCGTGGCTAAGCTTTTCGACCTGAACCCGGCCCTTTGCATTGAGAATGGATTCATCGATTCGCTTCAAGAGATGATTGGCGATCCAAACCCCATGGTGGTCGCAAACTCGGTCCAAGCCCTGGCCGAGATCAGCGAGACTGCACCCGAAACGAGAGCATTGCTGGTCACTCCTCCGATTCTGAAGAAACTACTGATGGCCATGAACGAGTGTACCGAATGGGGTAGGATCACCATTTTGACCGTGCTAGCAGACTATGCCGCGGCCGACGTCAAGGAGTCGGAGCACATCTGCGAGAGGGTCATCCCGCAGTTCCAGCACGTCAACCCTAGTGTGGTCTTGGCTGCTGTCAAGGTTGTCTTTATTCATATGAAGTCAATCAACTCTGAGCTTGTGCGGTCATATCTTAAAAAGATGGCACCTCCTCTTGGTATGTTTTGATATCTATAGCTGCGAATTCCTGGCTCCTAGTAGATACAATAATTGCTAACACCAAGATGCGAAATAGTCACATTGGTTGCGTCCCAGCCAGAGGTTCAGTACGTTGCCCTCAGGAACATCGATCTCCTTCTTCAGGCCAAACCAGACATCCTAAGCAAGGAGCTGAGAGTCTTCTTCTGCAAATACAACGACCCGCCTTATGTGAAAATGCAAAAGCTGGAAATCATGGTCAGGATAGCAAATGAGAAGAACTACGAGCAGCTTCTTGCAGAGTTGAAGGAATACGCTCTGGAAGTGGACATGGACTTTGTGCGCCGAGCCATCAAGGCCATTGGCCAAGTGGCCATCAAGATCGAGGATGCCAGTGCCAAGTGCGTCCAAGCGCTGGAGGACCTTCTCGCTACTAAAGTCAACTATGTTGTGCAAGAGGTTGTTGTGGTCATCAAGGACATTCTTCGAAAATACCCTGGTTATGAGGGTGTGATTCCTTCACTTTGCAACTACATTGACGAATTGGATGAAGCCAATGCTCGTGGATCCCTCATCTGGATCGTGGGCGAATACGCGGAGAAGATCAGCAACGCTGAGGAGATTCTCGACGGCTTTGTCGACACATTTTCGGAAGAATTCACACAGGTATGAATTTGGAGGAAGATTTTCCCATTTATGAATTCCATGGGCTAACACGACTTGCAGACCCAACTTCAGATCTTGACAGCCGTTGTGAAGCTGTTTTTGAAGAAGCCTAGTGGTGCACAGAGTCTTGTCCAGAAGGTGTTGCAAGAGGCAACGACTAACAACGATAATCCCGATATCCGTGACAGAGCATATGTCTACTGGCGACTGCTGTCAGGAGACTTGGAAGTTGCCAAGGTAAGGGGACCTATATTTACTCGTTGAGAGTGTGCATTTTGCTGATCTTTTCCTCAAGAACATTGTGTTGTCAACAAAACCAACCATTTCCACAACAATGACGAGCTTACCAGCAACGCTGCTAGAGCAACTCCTATCAGAGCTCTCGACGCTTGCATCAGTATACCACAAGCCCCCCGAAGCCTTTGTTGGCAAAGGTCGGTTCGGCGCAGACGAGATCCAGAGGGCTGCTATCCAGGAACAGCGCCAGAACGCCGCGGAGAACCCCATCGCCGTCTCGGTTGCTGCCAATGGTTCTGGCTCCGTTTCTCAGAACAACATTGAGAATCTGCTTGATATCGACTTTGACGGCGCGGCCCCGGCCTCTCACGAGCAAAACAGCGCAACAGGAACCCCTGACCGGATGCAGAGCCCAGCCACGGGCGGTATGGCTGATATGATGAGCATGTTTGATGCCCCTCCCGCGGGTGGCAGTGCAGCACCAGCTGCTGCTCCTGCAGGTGGCATGAACGATTTAATGAACGGATTTGAGGGGCTCAACTTTGGAGGTGCGACTACCAGCGAGCCACTGCCAGCGGCCATGCAGCTACACAATGCGCAGAGCGTCTCGCAGCCTAAGAAGGATAGCGATGACCTTCTGGGTCTGTTGTAGATTGCATACAATGCTCTTTTTCTGTTACATGTACAAGCAGGGACTCTGGACAAAAGGGGAAGAAGAGAAAAAGGAACAGGGATTATGGGAGGTGTTGAAGCAGGGCAAAGAATGGAGGGAGGGTCTTTGGGCTGCTGGGAATATAGTAGTTAATAAGTGAAGCATATTTGATGATTTGAACTCTTGATATATATATATATATAAGCCATAAAGATATATTTTTTTTCCCTCTCGAGTTATTACTCTCTATGCCGCTCTGTTGGGTGCCCTTTGCTATAGCAGGGCTACATAGTATCCTATGCTGCATTATCCAAGAGATAACCAAGTCGTGAAGCACCGATGCGACCGCCATGATCTGGTGCTGTTATGCTGAAGCGCCTCTTTTCTCGGGTATATACTATCTTCGCGCCCATATCGTCCACCCCATCTTCTTCTCCGCCCAGTGATGTCGATCTCATGTCTTGAAATTTCCGCCATCAGAAGTAATTCGTCTCAATCCTCCTTTGTGCGATTTCCCCTTGCTTGTTCACTGATTCGTCCCCTCGACATGTCCCCCCACCGTCCCATCCAGCGACGGCGCCGCAGTGTCCCTCTCCTTGTCCCACTCGGCGGGCGTCTGGCACTTGGCCGTCCAGGCGTGGATGGCGGCAATCTCCTCCTTGAGCGCGGTGTTGACGAGGCGGTGCCGCTTGAGGGACTTGAGGTCTTGGAATTGGGGGGAGACGATGAGGGAGGTGAAGGCTTGGCCGCAGCCACCTGTTTTGTTGTGGAACGCTTGATTAGTATTTGAAAGATTTTTTTTTTTTTTCTTTTTCTTTTTGCAATTTGGCTATAGCTGAAAGGGCGTTTTTGCCAAGGGTTGGAGATGCTTGGTAATGCGACGTACCGGACATGTCAGTGACTTCGACGTGGATTGCGCCGAGGCGCTGGGTGATGGCCTCGCGGAGGGAGGCTTCTGTTATTGAGGCCATGGATTGTTGTATGTGTTTGTTTGATGTGTGGTTGTGTGAGAGGGTATGGAGAAGGACGAGGCAGCAGGCAGCCTTGCGACAATCGGACGTAATGCAGAATTACTGGCGATCTGATTGATTAGATAATAGATCGTGGGGGGGGGGGGGGGGGGTTAGTAGCAGTTTGTATAAAAATGACAGTGTCTCGATACAGTATTTTGGCTGCTTTGGAACGGTATGAAATCATTATTGGAGCTCTGATTTGCTGGGCTTCCGTCTCGTGGTGGGGGAGGAAGAAGCTTAGCTGAGCTTCTTTGGAGGTGGAGGGGCTGATTTCGGCCAATAGCCTGACTTGTCTGGATATTTGCGTGCATCAATCCTCTTATCGTCCTCTTCTCTTCTTATTCTTCTTCTTCGACATATCCTATTATCGCAAGACTTGCCATGGTACTGGCGAGACTCCTTCGCAACAGTTTATCGCCAGCACTCCGAACAGCGTCTCCCCGCTTAGCATCGTCGCAGCTTGCTTCTCTCTCAATCGCAGTCCCTCGGCGACACTCCAGCGTCATCGTCTCTTCGACCAGTCCTCCATCGCGGCGAACCATTTCCACCACGAGCAAGAACTTCGATAACAACATCATGACTGATTACTCCGACGGCGTTGGCGCATGGGGCGCATGGCAGGCTGAGCCGTCCAAGTTTACACAGCAGGTCGTAGACGCCATGAGGACGCTGTACGTTGACACGAGCGTCATCGCCATCTCTTAGCTTGTTATTGAGAGTGGTTCCTCTGACAATTGAGACCGCAGTTATCCGGAGGAGCTTGCCGATCGAAAATGGGACAATGTTGGATTGCTGATCGACAACTCTGACGACACAAAGAAGCGCCAGCCGACGGTTATGGTGACAAACGATCTCACTTTCCAGGTCGCTGTTGATGCCATTGGTCAGGGCGTCAGCGTCATTGTCAGTTACCGTATGATTATTCTCTTATTCTCCTGTCTCATCAGGTTCTTCGATATATATCCATCACTCATGCTAATACGCTCTCCGCACGCCGTCTATATCCAGACCCCTTCATCTTCTCCGGCCTCAAGTCTATTACAAACAACGACCCTCAGCAAGCTACCTTATTACAGCTCGTGAAAGCTGGTATCGCAGTCTACTGTCCACATACCGCTGTGGACGCCGCACCAAAGGGCCTTAACACATGGCTCGCCGATATTGTTTCGGGCCCTCACAAGAGCACTCGCTCCGTCGCTATTCCCTGCGCCACGGCCCCTGAAACCCATTCTCCGGCCGGATATGGTAGCATAGGGCGATTTGAGAACGGCGGTGTGTCTCTGGCCGAAATTATCAAGAGAGTAGCCCTCAAGCTAGGAGGGCTGAAGCACATCATGGTTGCTTCTCCCGTTGGCGCCGACATCAAATCCACTACCGTGCGTAGTTTTGGTGTCTGTGCTGGAAGCGGATATGACGTCCTCAAGTCGGCAGACGTAGATTTGCTCGTCATGGGTGAGACGAGTCATCATTCTGCTCTCAGGGCCATTCAACAGGGTAAAACCCTGATCCAGGTGTTCCACAGCAACTCAGAGAGGGGCTACCTTCGAGAGGTGTTGAAACCGAGCTTGGAGGCACTTCTGAAAGAAGTTGAGCCGGAGGCAGAGGTATTATTGAGCGAGTTTGACTCGGATCCATTTAGGATACTGGATGTGAGTACCTTGGAAGAGGATTAAGACCACTCCCCCCTGGTGGTTGTGGTATAGGGGATTTCGATATACAGCGTCAGATAGACTGGGTTCGTTGCATAGATTTAAAAACGACCGGGCAATCATTGCTTCATGGCAGGTGGCGTGTTAGAGTGCAATGGGCCATATCGCCGCCCATCATTTGGTGCCCTCCCTTCCGGCGCTGGAGACTTCGTTCGCGTCAAGGCAATGGCTGCATCGCCCTCGTTAATGCATGCCTGTACGTCATCTCCGCCAACTCCCTTCTGCTTCCAAGCTTCTAGTAATTTCCTTGGCATCTCCCACTGTCGTCTCGCCTCTTCAAACTTGCCCTCCTTCACCAGTGCTTGTAGCCGCTCCGGGGTTGCAAGCACTTCAATGGCCAACTGTCTCGTCCTTTGGCGTTGCTGCTGTGCTTCCCGGGCCTTGCCCTCGTCTGAATCGGGGGACGGCACCGATTTCCGCATTGATTCTTGTATTGCTGAGGCTTGGCTGTAGATGTGTGCGATGGCTGGGTCGAGTGTTGTGGCCATGGGATTCAGGGGATCCATGCTAGCTCGCATCTAGATACCAAAGGAAGGCGAATTGATTAGCTGCTGTAATTCTTACAAGCTCATGCCACATCGTGCAGTACGTACTTTTCGAATTGTCTCCGTTGCAGTGATGAGTTTGCTGTAGTTGTCGTATACAAGTGCTTTCTTCTCTGCATCCAACGCCCTGACTTCGCCCAGCACTCTGGTGTATAGCTTCAACAGGTCCTGCAGGCTGCTCTCTGCGACGACCCTGTGGAGGTACTCGTCTAAGTTGAAGTCTGGCGCGTCGATCTCGCTTGCAGGGACCTCCGAATCAGACGCCTCGATGATGCGCGGAGTTGTAGGAGAAGAGCCAGACGCAGCTGCTGCACGGAGGTTGTAGTATTCGCGGAGGGCAGCCCGGTTGCTGGAGCGCTTGGCGCCGGTGGCAGGCTGAGATGCACCGAGGACAGGAGAGGTCACGGTGGACCGGGAGATGTCGGACGAGGGGCGGGCGGACGACGTGGGAGTGCCGGAGGGGGTGCGGCGCAGGGGGGCGGGAGGATTGCGGGAAGAGGCAATGGTGGACATTGTGAAGGCTGAAGCTGGTGGTGATGCTGGGGAGAGTGTGGGAGAGCAAGAGATGCGAGATGAGGCTGAGGGCCTGAGGGAGGTGACAACACAGCCTCGCAGGGACCTGGCTAGCGAAGCTAAACTGGGCCTAGGGTGCTGGCTGGGTGCTATACTGTACTGTAGTTACAGTGGCTTAAAGCGTTCGCAGACAGAATAAGCGGGACTGTCTGGCACGGGCAGCATCACTAATAAATATCTCCAAACGCCATAAATAGCTTCTATGTGTTATGATGGATGAATCAATGTGCTGATGGGGCAAGAATTAAATGTGCTTATTTTTCATGTCTCTCTATAGCTGCGGACGTATTTGTCTTCATTACCTACATCTACTGCCTTTACGCATCTACCGATATATCTACATCTATAATTACCAGGTCTTGTCATTATAACTACTAGGTACTACCACTGCCTTGGTATGAAAATCCTTCTTGGGTCCGGTGTATCATGTATATTGTCTATCTGTGTATTTATATTATCTGTCTCCTGCTAGTTATAAAAGTACGCCGATGTAACTGCACAGTAGCAAGCCAATAGGCTGTTACGTGGCTTGACGTAAACAGCCCACCATTGTAAATGTCCCAACTGCTGATTCTTTTCATTTAGTTCTATCGTCCTCACGTATTCACTACCACTTGGATTGGTCTTTGTATCACGTAGGGTGAATACCCTAAGATCATCTGAGAGAAGTGGCGGGCATGCATATATGAGATGCGCACACCCGAGGGCCAGCCTACTATAAAAGACTGACCAACTGGCATATATAGACTGAAATATCTTGAACCTTTCATCACCTCCAATTCCTAGGCATATCGACAAGACATATTATAGCGTCTTCTGTTATTAAAGAAGCCATGGATTAGCACAAGATGCAGCCGGAAGGACGCCACTTCCAAGCTGGTAAGAATTCGAAATCCACTAATTGTGTTTCTCGTCTGACATTGATGTAGTGCATATTAGACATATTTATACACCTATTCATGATATTAATCAAGAGGCAGCACACATTCGCGCCTTGGTCATTTTCAAGATGTACCTATACCGACTGGGCGTATCTTGATTTGATTCTTGACTGACGCATCATTACTTCACCAAGATCACTTCAATAAGCCAAACTTACCTGAGCCATGAACTGCATTGGTGGTTTGATAATGGGAAAACGGCGCTCATGCGATGACACAAGATGGGATTGGTGAGAGATACACCTCGCTGCTCTGGAATACAAGAGCTTCTCCTTTATTGGTGGGCTGTTTCGAGATGGTATAACATGAGATGAAACATTTTTTTTTAATTCAATATATGGACAGTAGCTGCTACTTGTAGCAAGGGTTTGGTAACTTTTTCTTAGACATATTCCAGGAAAAAATCTACTTAATTTTATGAATCCATGCCATAGCAGACCTACATTTGCACAAAGACCACTTCACTTGCTGAATAGGAGTCCATGTATGTAGAGAAAGCGCCCAACGCCAGCGCTTCTCGCCTACAAAGATCGGCAATTCCAGGGGCCTGGCCTGGCCTGGCCACCCGCTAATCGATAGGTACTCAGCCATCCATACGTCATTGCATGCCCGCTACGAAATTTCACAAAGCTTCAAAACCTCAGCTCCGTCCCATCCATACACAAAGAGGCGAAGCAGCATAAAAAGGCTCGCTCAAATGGACCTCGTCCCCCAGCTCCGACGCGCCATCCTCGCTCAATCTCTCCCTCCCCCCTCCCAATCGTTCCTCACGACCCTCACAACCACCCGCTCGCCCCCCCCTCCAATCCCATCTCTCCTCGCAACCGCCAAAGCGCGCCTTCTCGCATCCGACCTGACAAACACCTCCAGCAGCGCCATCATCGACCCGTCAGCACCCGTTTTCCCGACAAACATCGACGCCGCAGCCGTAAAAGAGGCGAAGCTCGCGCAGAATATCCACACTCAAGTCATCGACATTGAAAACCTGAGTCTCAGTCGCTGGGAGCAGGTCGAAGAGCTCGAGGCCATTGAGCGCGGGGAGCGTACGCGCGGGAGACAAGTCATCAGGGTGGTTGCCCCCGAAGACGGCGAGACAGATGCGGATGGATCTTCTGCGGCCCAGAATCAGGCGTCGTCTCGGCCAGCAGCTGCTCCCTCTGCTCCGGCTACTACTGGGGGAGCAAACGCCGTGCATCGACTGGTGCTGCAGGATAGACAGGGCAAACGAGTCTTTGCCGTGGAATTGAAACGTATAAACGGCATTGGAATTGGAAAGACACATATTGGGGAGAAGATCTTGCTCAAGACTGGGGCTTTCGTGGCGAGGGGGACGGTGCTTCTAACGCCGGAGACTTGCACGCTGTTGGGAGGCAAGGTTGACGCCTGGCACGAGACGTGGATGGAGGGCAGGCTGGCGAGGCTGAAGGAGAGCGTGGGAGCTGACCGGCCATGATGAGGACCAACATTGGGTCTGGATGCCAAATTGTTTTATGATACCCCCTCCTTTCTATTTTGTTACTTTTTACCTATATTTCTTGGATGAAATATAAAAAAATTCAATACGGTAAGTACATACATATCATAGTGCCGTACAAATGCCTTTCCCCTTTATGTTTATATAGCTGTCAACAGTTGTATCTTCACAAGCCCCGACATAATGCTCATAACAATCCGTGCTCTTTCCATCACTGCCATCACATACCCTCAACACCAGCTTGCAATGCATTCCATCCAGACATCTCCCACGGCGCCAAAAACGCCGCTCTCTGCGCATCTGCCACCCTGCCCGTACATGAATGTGCCTTTGCCAAGCCATGCGCTTCCAGCTTACCACGCGGCGGAATGCCCCTTGTAGCAACCTTTAGTGATACCTGAGCGGCATAATCACCATCTTCGCCTGCCGCCTCAGCAAGACAAGACCAGCCATGCGGGAGATAGGGGTAGAGGATGATGTCTGTCTGGACCTGCGAAATCATGTCTTGGACTGTCTTGCCTTCTCCGAGGGAGGCCACCGCTTGCAATACTTCGCCAATGCGCGATTGCTCTGTGGCGGTGACCTTGTCATTCGTTCGAAGGCCTTGAAGCTCTTCTACTACGGCTTCTAAGCTTGTCTCGTCTTGGTCTAGTAGTGCAATGACCCCGAGGAGCAGGACGCTTTGTATATGGTTAGGATACGATTCAATGACTTCGAAAAGAGCGCCGCGAGCCTTTTCCTTTGCATCTTCGGTGCCCTGTGCCCATAGTACTTGAGCCAGTAAGCACGTCGCATCAGGGTTGTTGTCAGACTCTTCCAAAGCTGACTCGAAACTCTTCTCTGCCTCGTTATACTTCTTTAGGCAGTATTGTGCCAGGCCAACAGTCAAATGCGCTGACAGCCTGGCCTTCTTGCGCTGCTCACTCGTCAACTCGTTCTCGTTCTCTTCGCCACTCAGCTGCAGTGCCATTTCACCGCAGTCAACGGCCTGCTCATAGAGTCCAGAGGCGAGAAATGCTCGTGCAAGATCGATTCTAGCTAGTGTAAATCTTGCGAGATCATCCGCAGACTCCGTCTTTTCGTAGTCGACTTCCACCTTTGCGCATATCTTCTCAAGGGTCTTGACCGCGCGAGAGTGTTCACCCGTCCGCTCTTGCAAAAGGGTGCCAAGATGTAGAAACACCAAATCATCAGGACGTAAGCTTTGGACTTGGTTAACAGCAAATAGGGGTTGAATTAGCGATGCCACGTTCAGGTTGGGCGGAGCTGTCAATATTTGGTCAAACAGCGAGGATGAATAGTGACGGCGCGTAGGCAGCGACGAAGAGTCTGAAATTTCCATGGCATGAGTAAAAAGTCCCATGGCTTCCTTGGCTTCACCGCACAACAGGGCCACAAATCCTTGACCAAGCCATGCATGGGCATAATCCGGATCGTTTGACTGAGCTCTTGTGAAATTTTCATTGGCAAGCTTGACATCGCCTGATAGCAGCGCCAAAGTTCCAAGGTTTGTCCACGCCACGGGACTACGCTCATTCAAATGTAAGCTCCGGACAAAAGCGTGCTGGGATATTTCTGCGTTGATATCACTTGTCACCACCCCCAAGGCGTTCCAGAAGTCCGCATTGCTGGCTTCTAGCTCAATCGAGCGTTTGAATGCTCTAACTGCAGCCCTGATGTATTGATTTGCCTTTTTCCGTAGATGTGACGGCAGGCAAGTGTGAGCACGGTACTCAGCCCATCCAAGGTTGTAGTAAGCCACAGCTTGTGCGTGGATATCGTTTAAGGATACATGGATAGCCTGCTTGTAGCTCAAAATAGCTGCATGTAGGCACATGGCAAGCTCAAGACCAAAGTGATCATTCGTCGCGACCTCTTTATAGATGATGTCGGTGCCAACTCTATCAACAATGGCCAGGACGTCAAAAGCCTCTTGGGGCACCGACCCTAACAGTGACTTGATAGAATCAAGGGGAAAGTCCAGTACTCGGCTATGGACTGAAGTAAAGATGGAGCAAGCCTCGGCGATGCTCTTCCAAAAATTGAAAGTTTCCAACACGCTGCCACTTTTCTCTGAGGCAAACTTGATGACATCTATAGCAAGATGAACTGCTTTTCCAAACAGGCCCTTATCCACGCTGGTAACAGCATTATCCACCATGGTCTGCATAAGCGCAAGAACCACTCCTTCTTCATCACCATGCGTCTCTAGGACAACTCGATAAAGTGTAATAGATTCGTCAAACTCGCCCAATTCACGCTTGATGTTGGCAAGCATATAATTGGTAAACCAAGTATCTCCGGAGACATCTTCTTTCGAGTCTTCTTCTAATTTCTTAGCATTGAGAATGGCTTTAGTGGCTGCAATGTAACGGCCAGAGCTGTGATAAGATTCACCAAGACCGACCCATGAATGGTAATCGTTTGGTGAGATTCTGAGGGCTGCCTGAAACGAGACAATTGACTTGTGGAATTCTTGTTTGTTCAGCTCTGCAACACCCAGCGCCGCAAATGGCCAGCTTATTCCCTTACGTTTTGACCCTGGTGGGGGCTTCACCTTGCCAGAGTCGACGATTCGCTGAGCAACCAACTCCACACGATCCCAATCGCCATCATCCGCAAAGGAGCGTGCCAAACGTTCAGCAGCCGTTACCTCTGATGACGATAGCTCTAGGGCTTTTTGGAAACATCGCCGTGCCCGCTTCTTGTCTTTAGCGTAGTCGCTGTAAAAGATACCCAGGCTAGTATACGTTGGAGCGTGGTTCAAGTTGTTGTTTAGAGCATTTAGCCAGTAAGCATAAGCGCAATCGCCCTTTCTCCTCTTTCGAGCTTGTTTATCGGTCTCCATGTTCCAAATGCACATTCCGATTCGGTATTGGGTATCAGCCAACAGTTCTTTAGCCGTACTACCTTGCTTTGCCAAGGGTTCCAGGCACTCCTGCAGCTCATCTCGAGCCGTTTGCCAATCTCCCTTAAGAGCTTTGACCCAAGCAGCTTCAGACTTAACACGAAAATTTGAACCATCTCGAGCCAGTGCGCGAGTAAGAAAGTCGATGGCTTCTTCATACTCTTCTTCCTCTTCAAATATGAGTCCGACGCCAATCAGGGCGGGAGTTGAACTCTTGTCGTGCTCCAAAATTTTATCAAACAAGCTCTTGGCCTCTTGATGATGTCTTGGAGACTGGAAGTAGATGAGGGCAGTTGCTAGGCAGATGGAATAGTCATCCTCCATTTTTTCATATGCCAGTCCAATCTTGTGCCTTTGTTTATTAAGGAACGGAATAGCCTTGCGCATCAATTCCACGGTAGTCTCGTATTCTCCAGATCGCAAAAAGTACTGTCCCGCTAATTTATAACCAAAGGGGGATTCAAAACTCGCAATGCCATCAGTCATCATTAGTAGCCGGTCTTCTTCCGTTAACGGGACTACAAAGGTCGGCACGCCGCCATCGTCTTCGTCGCTATCTTCAGAGGTTTCTGCCTCGACGGGTGCGGGGGTTTGCGCTTCCTCTGCTGGGGGGGCTGCGAAAGGAGAAAAGTCGCTGGTTAAGTATGCAGTAATAATCTTGTACAAATCGCTTTCTGGGAAAAAGTTGCAGTAGCTCCTGAGAATTTCGATGTCGTAGTCGCGAATCTCCTTCTTATCTTGCCAATTGATGGCAATATCCCAAGCAAGCCGGAAAGGGTGCTTGATGACGACCATGTCATTCGCCAATCCAAGAACTTTCCCTTGCTCCTCAACTTTGGCTGGCCCAGCAGGCAATACAGCAATGCGGTCGTGGCAGTACTGAAGCAATTTTTCTTCATAAGTCCGCCTCAGGTCATCGTCCGTTGTCCAGTTGATGAGTTGTCGATAGATGTGCTCCAACTTGCTTTGACTGTAGATTTCCCGCTTCACTTCCAGCGTGACTTCACTCAATTTCGCGCCCAGCCTAGTCCGCCGTTCTCCAATGAGCGTATTGATACGCTTCTTCTCAAAAGTTTCGATAATATGAGCAATGGTTTCATAAGTCTTGGCAGGATGGGGGAAATAGCCCTCTAGGATTGGGTAGAGGGGGCTTTCGGGAAGCCTGATCCACAGGGCATCGGCATACTGTACCTGATCGCCTTGGACTCGTACAAAATCAGTGTATTTGTCAACAAGTTCCTGACACTTGTACAATTCTTCTGCCTGGTGGAAGATTGGAGCCAGATGCACCACTGCATCTTGGTATTCTCTCAGCTTCTTGGCCGACTGCTTCTCGTACAGCTTAATCAGGCCCTGCCAAGCCTGCGCATCCTGAGGGCGCAGTGAAGCGGCTGATTTGTATACAGCTTCAGCTTCATCATATTTATTCTTCTTATCCAACGCAAAAGCCAAGAAAATATGCCTGAAAGGAAGTTAGCAATGAGCGAGGCTAAGGGATTGTTGGTTAGAAGAACTACCGCACCCCTGGTGGTTTTTGGGCTCCCTTTTCAAAAATTCTTGAGACTTTTCGATAGCCTCATCAAACTTTTGTTGGCGTACGGCTTCGTTGATGGCCTTCAGAGCCACCTTGCTCGACATTACGCCCGGAGTCTTCAAGAAATGGCCAGGGTCGGGGCGAACATTCACGACCGTGGTTAGAAGGTAGAAAAAGTCAAAGGGCGGGTTCTAGTAGCAAAAACAGTGCATAGCAGAACAGATCTTGGCTCTGCCCATTCAAAATCTCCAAATCAAGGCACTCATGTCCGATAATGGTCCAGGAATGAAGCTGAGCTGTGGCCAGTAATGACAATGCTAGGTATATGTACTAGGTAGGCAGTAAAGTGAGGAGCACCATCGCTCTTGAGCTACTTTAGCCGATATTTTGCCGGCCACTCTGCATCAGGGTGGATCGTTTCCATACTAGGTACCTAAGTACACAGGTCGAGTACTACTACTAGTAACCATCGTTCTTTTGACATTATGATTACAATTCCGCCTTTGTAGCAGCACATGTGCATATAAAGCATGAACATTACCTTCCTGCTTTCATCTACCCATGTAATGATGCCGGGCCTCTCTTTTACGAAGCTTGTCATCTATATTCAGACCCTCTACACGACTGTAGCAGTTTTGCTTCCAAAAAAGATAATGCTTCTTCAATTCTGTGTGTGCACTTGATGTGGACTTACGCTTCTACTGGATACAGAGGGGAAGTGTCCTATTTATTCTGAGGTGGATCTCCTAGATGAGGCACGCATCATGAAGTTACAACATACAAGGATATATCACAGCGGCGAAAAATGATAAGTTATCAATAGACTCCAATTCACACTTGAATATTATGCTTAAGAGTTTTATCCTATGTTAAGCTTCTAGTTTAAGAGGGTGACGACCAATTACAACGACCTGAACCTAGATTGCACCAAAGACGGACACCAACGTGCCAGCGGTATTACCGCAATAGACAGGGGTGCCATTTTCAGTGAATGTGCAAAGCTGGTTGCACTGATTGTGGATGTCGTCGGTGGTCGTGGGATCGAGGGCATTTCCACATGTGCAAGTAGATGCACCAGCCACTGTTGCCAATGAAAAGAATAGAGAAGGGTTAGGACCCGTGGCGCAAACACTGGCGCAGTCACTGACTGATGTTACTTCGACGAATGTGATTACGGTGCCTGTAAGGCCATTCGTTCCGCCCGCCGTAAGGCAGCCAAGGTAGTCATACTCGGCGATAGTACCATTGGCACCTGCTGGACCTGTTGGACCTGTTGGACCAATAGGACCAATAGGACCGATAGGACCAATAGGACCAATAGGACCTACTGCGCCATCGGTACCATTTGTACCATCCACACCGGCTGGACCTGTTAAGCCAATGGGACCAATGGGACCGACTGGACCAACTGGACCAATAGGACCGATTGGACCGATTGGACCAATTAGGCCATCGGTACCATTTACACCAGCTGGACCTGTTAAGCCAATGGGACCAATGGGACCAATGGGACCAATGGGACCAACTGGACCAACTGGACCAATAGGACCGACTGCACCATCGGTACCATTTGTACCATCCACACCGGCTGGACCTGTTAAGCCAATGGGACCAATGGGACCGACTGGACCAACTGGACCAATAGGACCGATTGGACCGATTGGACCAATTAGGCCATCGGTACCATTTACACCAGCTGGACCTGTTAAGCCAATGGGACCAATGGGACCAATGGGACCAACTGGACCAACTGGACCAACAGGACCGACTGGACCGACTGGACCAACTAGGCCATCAGTACCATTTACACCTGCTGGACCTGTTAAGCCAATGGGACCAACTGGACCGACTGGACCAATTGGACCGACTGCGCCGACTGGACCAACAGGACCGACTGGGCCAACTGGGCCAATTGCACCTGTGAGACCAATGGGACCAATGGGACCGACGGGACCAACTGGGCCAACTGGGCCAACAGGACCGGCTGGGCCATCCGTACCATTAGTACCATTCACACCTGCGGGACCGACTGGACCAACTGGACCAATTGCGCCTGTGAGACCAATGGGACCAATGGGACCAATAGGACCAACTGGACCAATAGGACCGACGGGACCGACTGGGCCTGGGCCGCCATTCTGACCTGCTGGACCTGCTGGACCTGCTGGACCGACTGGGCCTGGGCCACCGTTCGGACCTGCTGGACCGACTGGACCAACTGGGCCTGGGCCGCCATTCTGACCTGCTGGACCAGCCGGACCTACTGCACCCGCTGGACCTGCCGGGCCTGCTGCACCAGCCGGACCTACTGCACCCGCTGGACCTGCCGGGCCTGCTGCACCAGCCGGGCCTGCTGGACCTGCCGGGCCTGCGGAGCCTGATGCGCCATTCACACCTGCTGGACCTGCTGGACCTACCGGACCTGGTGGACCTGGTGGACCTGCTGCACCATTGGTACCATTGAAACCGATTGGACCTGGTGGACCTACAGGACCTGGTGTACCTGGTGTACCATTCTGACCTGCCGGGCCTGGTGGACCTACAGGACCCGGTGCGCCATTCAGACCCGGTGCTCCATTCAGACCCGGGGGTCCTGGTGGACCAGCGGGGCCATTAAAACCGATTGGACCTGCCGGTCCGGGTGGACCTACCGGACCCGGTGCTCCATTCAGACCCGGGGGCCCTGGTGGGCCAATTGGGCCATTGAAACCTGCCGGGCCTTGTGGACCTACAGGACCTGGTGTACCATTCTGACCCGGAGGCCCTGGTGGACCAGTAAAACCCATTGGACCTTCCGGGCCTTGTGGACCAGTAAAACCCATTGGACCTTCCGGGCCTTGTGGACCAGTAAAACCCATTGGACCTTCCGGGCCTTGTGGACCAGGAGGGCCATTAAAACCGATTGGACCTCCAGGGCCTACTGGGCCTGCTGGGCCTTGTGGACCGATTGGACCTGCCGGGCCTGCTGGGCCTACTGCGACATTTTGGGTTTGATGACCTTTATCACCATACTGGCCTTGATAACCAGATGCGTTGTTCTGGCTTTGATAACTTTGTGCGTTATCATGCCCTTGGTAGCTTTGTGCGTTACTCTGGCCTTGATAACTCTGTGCGTTATTCTGACCTTGATAAGTCGGTGCGCTGTTCTGGCTTTGATAACTTTGTGCGCTATCATGCCCTTGGTAGCTTTGTGCGTTATTCTGACCTTGATAAGTCGGTGCGCTGTTCTGGCTTTGATAACTTTGTGCGTTATTCTGGCTTTGATAACTTTGTGCGTTATTCTGGCCTTGATAAGTCGGTGCGCTGTTCTGCTGGCCTTGATAAGTCGGTGCGCTGTTCTGCTGGCCTTGGTAAGTCGGTGCGCTGTTCTGCTGGCCTTG